TCGTTGGCTTCGTGCTAGTCGTGCCCCATGTGTATGTGGAGGATGTCGTTGGCTTCGTGCTAGTCGTGCCCCATGTGTATGTGGAGGATGTCGTTGGCTTCGTGCTAGTCGTGCCCCATGTGTAAGTAGAGGAAGTCGTTGGCTTCGTGCTAGTCGTGCCCCATGTATAAGTGGAGGAAGTAGTCTTTGTAGTCGACCTGCAGAATTCTTAGAAATGGAATTTTCGCGGTTGAGTTTCATTTACTTACGAAGTGGTAGAAGAAGTGGTAGGCTTGGTGCTTGTTGAGGAAGTGGATGAGCTTGTAGTTGCTTTCCATGTGGTGCTTTAGATTTGTTAGCACAAAGGGAGCCAAGGCGAACAGCTGGATACCGCGGCTGTCTGGGATAATTGTACTTACCTAGAGCTGCTGGTTGTGGTAGGCTTCGTCCATGTATAGCTGGATGTGGTGGTAGGTTTTGTGGAAGTAGAGCTGGATGTGGTCGTCGGTTTCGTATAAGTGCTGCTAGTGGTTGGTTTTGTAGAAGTGCTGCTCCAGGAATAACTCGTTGGCTTTGTCGAAGTGCTGCTAGTAGTGGGCTTCGTAGAAGTGCTGCTCCAAGAATAAGTCGTTGGCTTCGTCGATGTGCTGCTGGTAATTGGCTTTGTCGAAGTGCTGCTGGTAGTGGGCTTTGTCGAAATGCTGCTAGTAGTGGGCTTCGTAGAAGTGCTGGAGGATGTGATGGTAGGCTTTGTCGATGTACTGCTGCTAGTTGGCTTTGTCGACGTGCTACTAGTGGATGGTTTTGTAGAAGTAGAGCTGGATGTAGTAGATGGCTTCGTCGAAGTAGAGCTTGAAGAACTAGTAGGTTTTGTTGATGTGCTGCTGGTAGATGGCTTCGTCGATGTGCTGCTGGTAGATGGCTTCGTCGATGTGCTGCTGGTAGATGGCTTCGTCGATGTGCTGCTGGTTGTTGGCTTTGTCGATGTACTGCTGCTAGTTGGCTTTGTCGACGTGCTACTAGTGGATGGCTTCGTCGATGTGCTGCTGGTAGTAGGCTTCGTCGATGTGCTGCTGGTGGATGGTTTCGTCGATGTGCTACTGGAGGAAGTAGTTGGCTTTGTTACGGAGCTGGTTGTTGATGACTTCCTGTCGACTGTATCAGCAGGGGCTCTTGTGGAATCTCATGTGGCATACTTACGACGGAGTGGTAGCAGAGCCAGGGGTGGTTGATGTGGACGGTTTTGTCGACGTTGACGGCTTCGTCAAAGTCGACGACGTGATACAGCTAGAAGTCGTGCTGCACTTGCTGGAAATCAGGCTGCTTGTCGAGCTGACAATGGTGCTGATGTACGTAGAAGTGATAGTGTGAACGACGGGCATCCAGGACGTAGAGACAGATGTGGTGGTGATTGGCTTGGTTACAGTCGATACCGAGGTGGTGTAGACGGCGCTGCAGGTGGATGAGAAGCCGTATGAGCAGACGCTGTTAGACGTGGTGCTGGCAGGAGGGCCGTTCCAGCCATTGTTACCATCCCATCCGCCCCCCCCTCCGCCGCCGTTGCCCCATCCGCCCTTATCACCTGAGTTTCCACCCCATCCTTGATTGTCCTTCTGGCCCCATCCACCTGGGGCAGCGGCGACGATACCACTGGAGGCCAAGATGGCCAAGGCGGGAGTTGTGAACTGCATGTTGACTTTCTTATTGGTATGTGTAGGAACGAGAGTAGAGGAGAGTTATACAACTCCAAGAAGCGAAAGCAGTTAACCTACGAGACTTTCGCACGGCACTCAGCTGCAGCTCGACTTTATGTATACCTACGGCGGACGATCAGGCACCGCATCAGTACGTCCCTCCTCGGACAATGTTCCTTCTGAATGGATGATATTCTCGCGGTTCTTGCCCCGCCTTTCTTGCCAAGCCGACCACTCATGTCCATGTCTGCAGGCGTCATGTTGACATCTGCAGGTCGTCAAAGGTAGTTCCTTCGTATGTGTGAATGCGTGGTGGATGCCAAGCAGCTAGAGACAGCCCGGATGCATGTTATGATGACATACGCCTCCCAGAAGCATACGAGAGTCAGGGTACAATCGATAGTTCCAAAGCCTGAGATACGAAAGAGGTAATGTGAGATCCACGAAGTCGTTGTCAAACGGCTAAGATCAGCCCAGTGAGAGTTTAGAAGTATTGATGGCTTGCGTCCGCGATAGACAGAGTTCGTGCCTGCGCGGAGGCTCTGCATGCACTGGTGCTGCCCTCAAATGCTTAGGGCGGTCGGACGGCACAAGGATGGGGTTTCTCTGACAGGCAAGCTAACCAGCAGCGACAGTCGACGAGGCAAAAATTCTACTATTGCATCGCCGTTCAAGCTCGAGCTCCGCAAGTCGTCGTATCGGCGTATATGCATATCACTAGAGGACATAAGCTGTCACCACTTCAGGCGTCCTATTGCCGGTGTCTTTGCCATGATGCACACCCTGGACATTGCTGCTGACGCCAAATAGAAGTCTGTGGAGGATGCAGACATAATCTTCTCGCATCGCAAGACCAAATTCGCTCGCTACGAGCGGATTTACAGCGTCGCTGAAAGCAAATGCATACTAGTGTGGGACGAGGTTGCAGCAGAAGGAAGAAGTGTAGTCGCAAACTTCCCCGCCAAACAATACGGGACTGGCCCCGCACGGTCACGATTTTACATTTTTGCGGGGGCATGCAGGCAAAAGGCATTCCAATTGGTCAGAAGCTATTAAAAATATGACAAGCTCACCATCAAGCAGCGAGCTCGAAAAGCAGAAATAGCTCGAGACTACTGCAACTCGTCTGCAGGCACGGCACGGCAGCGAAACTACAGAGATGTGATGGAGGGTGGGACTGTCAAGACTGCACCTCGTGTTCGCCCGTCGAAGTCTCCAGGCACCACGGGCTCGAGCGTCCGCCGTTGTGTGGCCACGAGGTCTATGAAACAAGCAAGCAAATTAAGTTTCTGCTCATGCAGCTGTCCTACTCGCTTTCCGCTGCTCTGGATTCTATTTCTGCTCAGAGTTCTTCGAGACGACGAGAACTCACCGAAGTAACATTCCGTGGGCGACGGTGCTCTCCGTGTGTTCTGGGAGCTCTGCCGCAGGATCGGAAAAGTCAAGAGACGAAGACGTGAGACATGCCCCACGAGTACCAAAATTCATCAGCCTCGGGGCCCGTATCGACCGGCTTTGCTTTTCAGGATGATGCTCGGTTTCCACCGGGAACGTCTTTCCTTGGGCAAACGGGGCCGTTGTAACGTGCGAGCCCACCATGTCAGACGGATGAGCCTATCTCGGGAAAGGCGTGGGCAAGAGCTTTGCGCAGATGTTTTAGCCGAATGCGCCTTAGAGGACTTTACAGTATGGCCTATGAGCGTTGGTTCAAGAGTCTCGTGCCAAGCCGTGCTTGCAAGGCAACATTGCTCTCGTAAGCACGTCAATATGGCTCGCGAGAAGTCTGGTGCCACTCACAGCATACTCTGCCCTAGACGGCAGTGCTCGGTTCCAGCAGCTCACCATCTACATTCTTAAGCGACGGAAGGGAGTGACAAGGCGTAATTCAGCGACTCCCGCGCGTCATGCGTCGACAGTGTAGTAGTCCAGGTTCTGTGCAAGGCAGGTGAGAGAAGTACTTCATTCTATATCATGTCCTCGCACGCAGACCCTTCGATCAAGCGTGCCAGACACACAGTCAGGAGTAATTGTGGTGAAAGTGTGTACTTGACCTGGCGGCGTGCCATGTCCTTCCAAGCGTGGCGGCCTGCGTCTACTTCGCACGTACCAAAGTCGAAATCGATCAGGATGCTGACGGGGTTGAAAAGCAGACTCGTTTGCAAGTGTTAGCCATGCATTCGGTGATCCCTGTTGAAGCTGTTCGCGGCCGAGAGTTGGGAGTGGCATTCGATGGCTGGAGATGCCCAGCTTGTGATCGAGGGGTCGTCAAGGCCAGATCCCCTCGCAGACTTCCAGGTACAATGTCATGTGGAAATCAACCTACCTATTGAGTACAGCGACAAACACATACCATATCTCACCACAACAGAAGGATGGTCTGCATGCGGAAAGCCCTCCCTACCAGATCTTGAGTTGTCCAGCAACGTTTGACTAGTTCAGCTGGTAATAGATGCGACAGTTGTGTAAGGACCGCAAAGTGTGGCTGATTTCTTACATGTCCCGAAAGACTTGTCTCTACCTTGAGCGCGAACCCTACCGACATTTAGGAACTTCCTCGTAGAGCACAAAGCAATCATCGATCGATCTGTCCTCATTGTCGCATACTCTCCAGCACGGCCCCTTCTGTGCTCCTCGCCTGGATAGTTGACGTCGTTGATCGAGAATTTCTCTCCACACGATAGATCTGCCGGATTGATGACTGCTGGTCCTGTAGTGATCAGATTAGCAACAGTCCCGCATAAGGTGCACTGTGTCGGGCCATTTGGAGCCGTGCAAGCGTCTTGTGAGCTATCGTGGTTGGATCAATATGGACAATTGGGGCTGCAAGTACCTATTGGCTGCCATCCTGCGTAGGAATCTGCTTGGCACCAGATGGCGAGTTCTCTCCAGTCGAACTCGCGCATCTGATACCTCCATAGCATCCGCTGTGTTAGATCAAGATGGAGCAGGAAATGCTGGGGCGGTAGTGTTCGTGGCTGGTGTGTATTCCAATAGTAATGTGCAAGAAGTTGATTGTGGAGAACAGACCATACATAGGCTCCGAATGCTGATCTTCTTTGCGCACCAGTGGCTGTGACGCTCCGGACGATTGGTATTCCGTGCCGCGCTGGAAATGAGTGGAGGATGTAGTGCGAGCAGATCTATACCAACAAGATATCATACCCGTCTTTGTTGATTTTTACCACGTCCGAGCCATCTCCGTACTTCCTTCTTATAACCTCAAACACGATCAGTCCGGCACTCGTGCTCGGGACCTGCGTGATAGTCCTAGTAAGGAAATCCTTGTACAGCCATCGCCGAAGTCCAGCATCTCTACGGGCGAGAGCAAGGCACTGTTTCCACGTCTTGCGGTATGCACTGGCATATACACCCCAGACCGCACCCCGTCTCGTGCCAAGGTCCAGCGGTACTTTAGGATGAGTATCGATCCACTCCAATCGTCCATAGTGGATATCTTGAATACGACTAACCGGATACTGCACCAGCGCTTGCGCTACCGACGCCGCAACACCAGCGAGTAGCAGGAAAGCCGGCTCGATCATATAATGTGGTCTTATCACAGGACTGCTGGCCGACTTTCCTTGCGCTCTGATGCTCTCTTGTTGAAATCCGGTGAGCTTTCCGTAGTGGCCGTAGAAGTTGCTAACGAAACTGTAGAAGGCTTGACCTTTGACGTATTCGAATGTCGAGAAAAAGACGGCATTACCGAAGCTATCTCGAAGGAGACTCAGGGACCAGCCTGCAAAGACTCCACGTGCCCCAATTTCACGAGACTTCAGGTAGCCATATTGCCACATGTTCTTGTACTTGCCGTCGATGAAGTCGCGGGCATGGAAGCGGACTTGCAAGGCATCCAGTGGAGCAGCTATAAGACTTTGTAGTGTTCCTGCCCCAAAACCAGCAGCGAACGTATATGCGGGAGGTGGAAGCGGATCGGCACGCTTTGTAGCTCTGGCTGAAGGCTCATGTAGCATTCCTAGCGTCTGCAGATAGCCAGTGTACAAGACTGCCCCGACGACTGTATTGGCCAGTAAAGGTGGTAGGACTTGATTCGGCAAGAAGGACCAGCCATACCGGTGTACGGCACTGCCAAGTAGAGCGGGAGAAGTCATTCGCCATGACCAATTGTCCCCAGCTTGCACGTGCGGATTGATGGCACGGGCGTAGCCCTAGATAGCTGTTAGGCCTCGTCTCCACCCGAGATCGGTACGAACTCACCATATAGCTACGCACGCGTCAGTGCAATTCAAACAGCCATTCACTTGCACATCGCACGTGACTCACTCAATTCGTGTCCGGAAGAATGCTCTTATCGGAGCTCTGAAGTAGAATGCGAAGAAACGAGCACTTATACCACGCATCGCCGCAGCTCCAACGCCTGTCGAGGCGTTCTCTTGCCGCTTCTTCTTTGGTAGGACATCTTTGCCACCGTCTAGTAATGCCGGAGGAAGTAGCGGGGGCGGAAGAAGCCCATCAGCGCTGGTCATAATCTGCAGTAAAGCATCTCAAGGTGACCGCTGCTCGTACTCACTAGTAGCGGATGATTCACTGCAGATTGCATTTATCGTAAGTGAGTACTAAGTAAGACGTGTTGCTAGTGAATATCCGCTAACGCCGGTAGTTCTTCGGCTGGTCAACCATGCACGGACTGCTGCCTGCGCGCCTTCGCGACTTTCACGCGACGCATCTTCACATTTAACCTGACATCTTTTAGTCGACATCACCTCCACACTCCTTTTCTTCATCACCACCGCCGCGACACACCATCTCACAACCTCCGCGGCGACTTGATAAGCACCCGCCAAGATGGCGGACGAAGTGAGCATCGACAAGGCCAGCTTCCACAATCGCCTGTCTTCGCTCATCACTGCGTGGAAGGGCGACAAGCGCAGTGGCAATCATGTGTTTGGCGACGTGGGTAGCATCGTTGTTATTATGGGCAAGAGCGATGAGACGCAAGGCTTCCACAAATCGAATGCTGCACAATTCTGGCTCTTGGGTTACGAGTTCCCGACCACTCTCTTCCTCTTCACCCTCGAGGGCATGTATATCATCACCACGAAGAAGAAGGCGACCTACTTGGAGCCACTGAAGGAAGGTGGCAAGACGCCTATCGAGGTTCTCGTGCGGGGCAAGGATGCTGAGGAGAACACCAAGCAGTTCGAGCGTATGCTGGAGCTTATCAAGAACGCGGGCAAGAAGGTTGGTGTGGTCGCGAAAGACGCTTCGAGCGGTCCTTTCGTGAACGAGTGGAAGACGGCATTTGCAGACATCAGCAAGGATGTAGAAGAGGTGGATATCAGCTCGGCGCTGTCGAACGTCATGTCGGTCAAGGATGAGAACGAGCTGCGAGCTATTCGAAATGCCTCGGTGGCGTCCTCGCACGTGATGGCTGACTACTTCGTGGACTACATGTCTGACATCCTCGACAAGGACAAGAAGATCACGCACAAGGCTTTTAGCGACAAGATTGCAGCTAAGATTGATGATGACAAGTTTTTCAAGTGGAAGAAGGCGCCGGCGAACTTTGATACCATGCAACTGGACTGGTCTATCAACCCTACGGTCATGAGTGGTGGCAACTTCGACGTCCGGCTCACCACGGACCCAGATGATAGCAATCTGCACGCTGGGGTAATCATCTCTGCCCTTGGTCTGCGATATCAGACATATGCTTCCATGCTCGCACGAACGTACCTAGTGGACCCTAACAAGAGCCAAGAGGGGGCCTACAAGGTCTTGTTGAATGTCCACGATGCAGTGATCAAAGAGCTACGAGATGGCATTGTCGCAAAAGACGTCTACAACAAGGCCATCTCCGTTATCAAGGCTTCGAAGCGACCAGAGTTGGCCGAGAAGTTTTCCAAGTCTGTGGGCGCTGGTATTGGTATCGAGACCCGTGATGGCACGTTCACGCTCAATGCGAAGAACAACCGCGTGCTTAAGGACGGCATGACTTTTTCGATCTCAACGTCTTTCTTTGATGTTGAGAACCCGAGTCCGCAGGATAAGAAGCGCGATGCCAAGTATGCTCTCATGATTAGTGACACAGTGCGTGTCAACCCTGCAGGTGTTGGCGAGGGGTTTGTCTTCACGAAAGATGCCGCAACCGACATGGAAAGCACATCTTTCTTCTTCAACGATGATGAGGAGGAAGAGAAGAAGGAGAAGCCAAAGCCGAAGAAGGACTCGCGAGTGGGTGCCGTCGCTTCATCCAACATCACGAAGACGAGGCTCAGAGGCCAAGGTGCGCAGACTGCGAACGAGGAGAAAGAGGGCGCGCGAAGAGAGCATCAGCGTGAGCTCCACAACAAGAAGCATGGAGACGGACTGGAGAAGTACACTGCCGGCCATGGGAATCTCAACGGCACGGCTGTGAAGCAGTACAAGAAGTTCGAATCATACAAGCGCGACGCTGTGTTCCCAACCAGGGTGAAGGACCTCATGATTCTCGTGGACGAGAAGAACAACTCCATCATCCTGCCTATCATGGGCCGACCAGTACCTTTTCATATTGCCACTCTCAAGAACGCAACGACTAGCCAAGAGGGCGGATTCTGCTTCCTGCGCATCAACTTTCTCAGCCCCGGTCAGGGTGTCGGCAGGAAAGACGATCAACCATTTGAGGATCCGTCTGCTCAGTTCATTCGTTCCTTGACCTTCCGTAGCAAGGACAACAATCGCATGGAGGATATCAAGGACCAGATCACTGAGATGAAGAAGAATATGACACGAAAGGAACAGGAGAAGAAGGATATGGAGGATGTTGTCGAACAGGAGAAGCTCGTCGAGATTCGCAGCCGCAGACCTCACAGACTCGACAACCTCTACATGCGTCCTGCACTTGAGAGCAAGCGCGTTGGCGGTGCCGTTGAAGTTCACACCAACGGTTTGCGCTACCAACATCTCGGTAACCAGAGAGTCGACATCCTGTTCAGCAACGTCAAACACCTCTTCTTTCAGCCCTGTGTGGGTGAGCTGATTGTCATCATCCACGTCCACCTCATCAATCCTATCATGATTGGGAAGAGGAAGGCAAAAGACATTCAGTTCTATCGCGAGGCCACCGAGATGCAATTTGATGAGACAGGGAACCGCAAGCGGAAGCATCGGTACGGCGACGAGGAGGAATTTGAGGCCGAACAGGAGGAGAAGCGGAGACGAGCACAACTTGACAAGGAGTTCCGCAACTTTGCGGAGAAGATTGCAGATGCCGGCAAGAACGAGGGCTTGGCTGTCGATATGCCATTTCGTGATCTCGGCTTCAATGGTGTGCCCAGCCGAAGCTCCGTTATGGTACAGCCGACAACCGACTGCCTGGTACAGCTGACCGAACCACCGTTCATGGTCATTACACTCCTTGATATCGAAGTCGTACACCTCGAGCGTGTGCAGTTCGGCCTCAAGAACTTCGACATGGTTATCGTCTTCAAGGACTTCACGCGCCAGCCAGCCCACATCAACACCATTCCCGTCGAATCCCTCGACAGCGTGAAAGATTGGCTCGACAGCGTCGACATCCCCTACTCCGAAGGGCCACTCAATCTCAACTGGGCGACGATTATGAAAACTATCGTCACAGATCCTCACGTCTTCTTCAAAGACGGCGGATGGTCTTTCCTTGCCGCCGAGTCCGATAGTGAGGGTGAGGACGAAGAGGAAGAGGAGAGTGCTTTCGAAGCTTCAGGGGATGATCTGGCAAGCGAGAGTAGTGAGGATGAGAGCGATTTCGACGATGACGCTAGTGCGGAGGCGTCGGAGGAGGATGTCAGCGATGACGAGGAGGGTGAGGACTGGGATGAGATGGAAAAGAAGGCTGCGAAGAAGGATCGGGAGGGCGGGCTCGAGGATGAGGAGAAGAGCGCAAAGGGGGGTAAGAAGAAGAGGTGAGGTTGACTTGGTTGAGAAGGTGCTGTACGATGGGTCAGGATTCAGTATCATAGCATTGGCGTTTCAAGGCGTTCGAAAGTGCGGCCTCATGTATCCGACTGGCGGGTGGGCTATAACAGCATGAGTCAAGAGATTGGACATCGTGAGGTTCGAGAAATGTAGCTTTGTATCTACGTCTTCATACTTCTTCCGTTGATGGTCCAGTCGCATGCGCAGCACACCATGCCTCTGCCCTCTCCACAGCCAAGTCACGCATGATGTCAAGCATTTGCTGATCCTCCTTCCCAGCTTTCAAAGCATCGCGGCATCCGGACAATTTCTCGGCAATACCGCCATCCTCACCGTCTGCGCCGGCGATTGTGCTGTACAGCTTGATCATGCGTGTTGTATCCTTGCCAGAGCTCATATACAAACCGTCAGTCTTCTCAGCCAGCGAGATCCAGATGCAGTTCTGCAGGACGTCAGATCCTCGAACAATCTTCTTATTGCGCAGTTGTCGTGCTTTCTGCTCTAATGTAGTACGCTTCGCGGACACCAGCTCGATTTCGGATGGTTGTATGAGCTTCTGTTTCCTCGCTAGCTTGGTGATGGCTGCTTGTACATCTGGGAGTATCTTCGCCTGCGAAATAGCCTCGGCCATCTTTTCGAAGTCCTTTTTCCGTGACTTATCGAGTATGAGTCGATCTTCTTGCAATGTGCTGATGATTGTGGGTAGGACATCCCGACGAGAGTAGTCGCACAGGAACTCATTAAGATGCTGGACTAGAGTGTCGTCTCTGGTGTTCGCGACACCGAGGGTGTATAGTTGAACAGGATTTACCAGTCGTTCGAGGATGATCTTCTCGAAAGCCACTGCATCTTGTGCGCCCTGTCTCTCCAGTGCTGTCACGATGGTTTTCTCGACTTCTGATCGATAGGGCTGCGACTGTAGCATAGCTCTCTGTAATTCGCGATGAGTTTCGTCAATGAGAGATTTGAAAACTGCGGCTATGAGCTTTATGTTGTTCTCGGAACCATCTCGAGCATGCCATATTCGAGCAGATTCCTGTGGTGCCGCTATGTGGAGGGATTGCATCGCTTCGTGAAGATAACTCGGCCGTGCCATGTACGTATGTACACTGGGACCAACATCACCGTCTGGAGTAACCTCAATCAGGCCATCCTCGACGTTATGCTCAGGATACCGCGCTATGTATTGCTGTCGGATCTGGCTTAGGAGATCAAGTTCGTCAACCTTGCAAAAGCCGCGTGTACTTATTCCCTCGACACACTGCTCGACGTGAGCTCGACGAGCAGCTTCCTTCTTGCTCTCCAGATCGTGCACATGGCTAGCGGGTATGAACACTGCTCTACCTTTCAGCAACTGCCACTCTCCAGCTGGAGATGAGTCGGATGTCTTCGCAGCAAAGGCTTGCGCAAGGCCTAGCAAGAGTCCGCCGGGTACGCTGGGGAAATGCGAGCAAAGATCTAGTCCTTCTGCAAACTCTGACTTAGCGTAGCTCGACTTTGCCACGAGTTCGAGGTATTTCAGCACAGCTTGCCACAAGACCGTACTGTAGACGTGGCTGGACTTCGTCGACGGATCTTCCCACCAGTGCAGCTTCTTGGAGTCGGGCGAGCTCTCCAGTAGAAGGTGTAGGGTTGATCTCGATAGATCGTGTTTGGTGGCGAAAGAAGCCGCATCGAATGACTTGACCCCAGCATGACCAAACGCATCGTCCAATATTTCCGCAACTTCTGGTATCGACAGGATCTGTCGACCATCATGGCTGTAATATAAGGGTTGTTCGTAGCATGCCAACAGCCAATCTGTACTGTCGATGTTGAGCAGAGATTGAAGTTCCGACAGTGCTATACGAGATGGTCTGCTCTGTAGAAGGCTCGAGAACCTCTTCAGTATATTCCTTGAATCGATCAAATGCTCATCGCTCGTTCGCCTCCCTGGCACAAGCGATGGTCGATCTCTAATTGGCGTGATCGGTCTATAGGCGGCTACGAGAGCGGCCATATCGGCCGAGGCAAAGACCGGAGCCATGTCGTCTTACAATCCAGTACTGCGATTCGGCTCCTATATTGCACTCTTCGATCAATGCACCCTTGAGTAGTACATGAAGCAGTGAGTATGCATATGTGCCTTGATGCCTGATCGGACGCTCCCGTCTCAAATCTTGGCGTAGCACTAGCGATTGGGAAATTCGCAACACCTCTGCGGTGGAACGACTTCTCGCGTGCCTCCCCCTACAGATCACCCCATCGACCTCACAACACCGCCAACATGGGTAAACGCGGTATCATCAAGCACCAGAAGCGTCTGTCAGCGCCCAAGCACTGGCTGCTCGACAAACTCTCCGGTTCATACGCACCCAAGGCCAGCGCCGGTCCACACAAATTGAGGGATTGCATGCCCTTGATTGTCTTCATCAGGAATCGGTATGGTCATGGCATGGATATACGAGTCGGTGGTGATCTGGAGGATATCACTAACATTTGTGTGCTCCAGTCTGAAGTATGCGCTCAACTCCCGCGAAACCAAGGCCATCGTGATGCAGCGCCTCATCAAGGTCGACGGCAAAGTGCGCACCGATGCCACCTACCCAGCCGGCTTCCAAGACGTCATCGGCATCGAGAGGACGGGCGAGAACTTCCGCCTCGTCTACGACACCAAGGGCCGCTTCACCGTCCACCGCATCACAGAAGAGGAGGCTGCATACAAGCTGGGCAAAGTCAAGCGTGTTCAGCTGGGCAAGGGCGCCATTCCATTCTTGGTTACGCATGATGCTCGCACGTAAGTCAGAAATGATCTTGCGGTCGCAGCTGTCTATCAGACGTTGGACCACAGATTTGGTTAGAAATATCTTGCTGAGACATAATGGATTTGTAGTATCCGATACCCCGACCCCGCCATCAAGGTCAACGATACCGTCAAGATTGATCTTGCTACTGGTATGTCTAATTGAAACATCCAGAGGACATCTGCGCGGGAACTGATGTCGTATACAGGCAAGATCGCCGACTTCATCCACTTCGACACTGGCGTGATCGCCATGGCCACGGGTGGTCGCAACATGGGTCGTGTAGGCGTCATCACCCACCGTGAACGCCACGACGGAGGTTTCAACATTGTCCACATCAAGGACGCCATTGACAACGAGTTCGCTACCCGTGAGACCAACGTCTTCGTCATTGGGCGCGAGAAGCCTTGGATCTCTCTGCCCAAGGGCAAGGGTGTCAAACTCAGCATTGCTGAGGAGAGGGATCGCAGGAGGGCGTATGCTCTGGCTGGTCACTAAGGTGTTGATCCAAGTGATGAGGAAGCAATTCGAGGCTGGGCAAAAGTGTGAAGCGCGGCGCTTGGGTTGCTTCCATGTGACCGAGGCTGTGCTACAATATATACCATCAGTATTGAGGAGACCACGTTCATGACAACACTATGACCTGACGTTTATAGTATCACTTCTGCTTTGGCTGAAGACCCTGCACTTGTCAGCACCCTCTGGCCTGGTCACCGAGAGATGTGTGTAGTCGGTCCTGTAATCGGCACTTTAATCGGCACGCTGCATCTCTACTACACACATTCTGCTCTTGCGTAGAGGCTGTAATTACAACGGTAATCAGCTGTTCGTAAGGGCTAGCTGTAAGGCGAGAGATGGCGCCACAGAATATCATGGAACAGGAGACATCCTCTGCGACTGGAGGCTGAAAATATGAATTGCAAATTATGTGCTCATTTCTGCTATGGCTAATCAATGTTACTAGCATTGTGCTTCGTAGATACATGAAGTTCTTTTTCATATCATGGTCATTATCATTCTCGTGTCGGGATTGGCATGTACAGTCGGCAGTGTGTTTATATATACGGTTTTCACCATCCTCATGGCTTCGTCAGTAAGGGCAGTCTTCTTCTCCTCGTTTCCTTACGCGTAGTATCCCGAGGGTTTGACTGCAGAGGTACTGGATCCATAGGAGCTAATGGCTGGTGCAGAAGAGCTGGATCCATACGAGCTGATAGCCGGTGCAGAGGAGCTGGATCCATACGAGCTGATTATGGGTGTGCTACTTGGAGAAGAGTACGCGGGAGGTCCAGCAGGAGTGGTGCTGAATATCTTGGCCGATGTGGTTGGTGTCGAATAGACTGGTGGGCCTGACGGTGCGCTTGAGGTCGAACTCTTGGCTGGAGAAGACGATGTGGTTGGTGCTGTGTAGCCGGGTGGTGATGGAGTGGAGCTGGATTTTGAACTTGTCGCCGGTGGGGTGTATGAAGCAGGACCAGATGGTGTGGATGAGCTATGATATCCCGAGGCAGAAGGACTCGAGCTCGTGCTTGAAGTAGAGGATGACCCGTAGCTTGGAGGTCCACTGGACGTATAGGGAGGTGGTGAGGTCTTGCTGAGAGAAGATGAGGTAGATGTAGAGGTGTACTTCGACCATGATGGTGAGCTAGAAGTGTACGGAGGAGGTGATACCTTGCTTGAGGATGATGTCGAAGTGTACGGAGGAGGCGAGATCTTGCTTGATGATGATGTCGAACTATATGGAGGAGGCGAGGCCTTGCTCGACGACGATGTCGAAGTAGATGATGCGCTGTATTTCGATAGTGATGGCGAACTAGAGCTATAGGGAGGTGGCGAAACTTTGCTGCTAGACGAAGAGCTGGAGGTATATTTCCACGGCTGGCTCGAGGTCGAAGTGGCGCTATGAGAAGTGGTTGTGTTGTAGATGGGCGGGGTAGGCTTGCTGTATGAATATGGAGCTGGCTGGGAACTCGTACTGTAAGGTGTAATGCTTGGCTTACTGCTCGTTGATGAAGTAGTCGAAGGTGTACTATAGGGCGGTGGCTTCGGCGTTGATGAGGTCGTGCTCGTCGAGCTGTACTTCCACGGCGATGGCGTTGAGGAGGAAGTAGATTTGCAGGTCGAAGTCGTAGAACATTTGCTCGATACGAGATCGGTTTCGGTCGAATAGTAAGTCTTGACCCAGGTACTAGTATAGCTTTCAGGGCATGGTGTGCTCGTGGTGTAAACACTTGGAATCTCTGTGACAACAGTCGAGACACATTCGCTCATGGAGGTTTCTGGGTAGGTCTCAGTGCTCGTGTATAGTGAGGTACTCTGCGTCCAGATCCAGACCGGCTTGGTGTAGCAGATGACAGTAGAGCTCTCTGACTTGTATGGGATGGTCTTCGTCTCCGTTTCATACTTGGTCTTCGTCGATGTGATGGTGGCTGCATTATGGTCAGCAGTGTATCTTGTTGCTATAGATTTGTCCTCATACAGTAAGAAGTAGCGTAAGAAGTGCTGGCTGAAGTTACTGTAACAGTCTCGGGCTTGTAGCTCGTCGTGACAATCACAGTCTGCTCGGGCTTGGTGAGGGTTCCGGTCTTGGTAGTGTAGACGGCACTGCATGTCGACGAGGTTTCCCAAGCCTTGCACTCGCCACCACCGCCGTTGCCCCATCCTCCGCCATTGCCCCAGCCGCCCCATCCGCCTCTATTGCGGTCACCCCAGCCTTCGGGAGCAGCAGCGACGATACTGCCAGAGGCCAAGACGGCGAGCAATGCGTTGTATGAATACATAGCGAGTGTAATTGCGGACGATGAACGAATGTAGCAGCGGTGTATTCAAGCGAGAGTGTAGGAGGGATCAACGAACGTGTTTCACCTTCTGAAAGTACGAGCAAACACTTCCTTGAGATGTCGAGGACCGTGGAGGCTGCTCGTACACTTATAGACCTACCTTACTGCACATGAATAGCCACACTATATGGGACATGCTCCATGACATCGACTTGTGGAGTCATGGTGGTATACCTGCAATGCGACTACACTCCGCTCTTTGACGGCCGAAGTTGATCCTCGTGCTGTCTGGCCACTTAGAACGGTCGAACAAGAGCCGAGCTGTGTAGAAAATCATTGCCAAGACGTCGTCGTCCGGTCGCCGTGGCCGAACGATGTGGCACAGGATGTGGTTGTCAACTGCCATCCTCAGAAGTTGATGCTAAGAGATAGAGGAATGCATAAGACCAGAGCTAAGGCCAATAGTTCGGAGGCTCTTAGATGGGAAAAGGTCCGAAGTGGCAATGGTCGAGCTATAATAGGCAAGTGCTTTGGAGAGGAATATTGGCAAGAATAGTCGCGTGCCATGCTTCGTACCTGAATTTGTCCTTTCGTACTGGTACGTACCTTAGGTATGCGGGTTGATGTGGGAATCTGGAAAGACTGCTGTATTGCTGTTAGGCTTTCGCTGTATATTTTCTGGGTAGATGGCCATGAGTCGTGCTCCCAATGCTTCTCTCCTTGCACTGGCGATGTAGTGTGTTGTATTGACGGTCACTCTGACGCTGTGAGCTGTAGTGTATCGTGGTGGGAGCAGGCAAGGCGTACACGATCCTGGCTAGCAGCATACTGCTTGTAGGTAGGTGGACCTCGAATCCTGCGAGGTGGCAGTAGAGCCGCAGACAGTCGCTATCACAAAGGCTTGTCTCCCCGCACTTGTCGTCTGGAGTCGTGTCCATCATTGGTGGAGGAAGGTTTTCGTCCATGGTGTCGAAATAGACTGCGGGGTGAGGTCTGCTGGTATGTTGCTTGGCTGTGGAGCTGCATGATGTACGGCAGAGTACGAGGTGGAAAGTCTTACCGTAGCTTGGCGAGCATTTCATATGCTGCAGGTCTTGGTGCCGTGTGATCCGACGCGCAGGCCCGCAAAATCTTGTTGCAGCCATGCTGCGTGATTGACCGACGGGCGCTCTAACCACGAGAAGATGTCAGAAGAAGCAGAACTAATCGATGTGCCTGATAGGTAAAAAGCTCAGATTCGAAGCCAGATTGTCAAAACAAAACTAAATTCCGGCGCCGGGAGCTATGCGGGATTAGTTAATGATTCCACTGCATGATTTCTAACAACCACTTACTCGAACCCGGCTCTGCTCGGTCCAGCTGGAAAGCAAGAAACTACTTCATGAAAGCGAGCGATGCTAGCCGATACTAGAACTTAATTAGACGTGACCGAAGCTGAATCGTAAAGGTGTCCTCACCACCACGCCGGACTGCTTAGATTGGAAGATTTTGAAAAGCGATCATTCTATCACAATATATATTACATTGGTTAGGCCGACAGCCAGCCGATAGAAGGCGGATAGTCGTAGCCCAGCTGATCTATACTCTCCTGCGTTGTATCGGCTTGAACGTCCGTTCTCGGGTCATTCATCACATCATACGTGGTGTTGTCCGGTGATGATGCGTCTCGTCTCAAGAGACACCGTGGCGACTGAAACGGAGAGAAAGGGGAGTGCCGGGCAAGGAGTCTCGGCGTCGCGCATCTGTGTAGCCTGCTAGTGATGACATAATCGTTAAAGATCCATCAAATGCTTGCGACTACACCACCACCATTTCACGATTTAAGTATTTCCCGGTCCAACAATCTTGATCACCTCAACATCAGTAGGAGAACAGTCGCCTGATCAGGCCATCACCACCCCAGATGTCCTCTCCAGCCATCTCAGAAGTCCTCTCCCTCTACCGCTCGATATCCCGTCAAGCACGCCAATTCTCAAACTACAACTTCCGAGAATACGCCAAACGAAGGGCACGGGATGCTTTCCGGGACAACAAAGCAGAGAGCGATGCCAGACGGATACAGGAGTTGATGCAGAAGGGGTTGAAGGAGTTGCAGATACTCAAGGTGAGTTGCATCCAGGTGAGGGGAAAGATGGACGGAATCTGGTTGAGGAGTGCTCGTGGGCTGGAGAACGATCCAATACGATGTTGTGGCATGGCACGATAGTATATGGAGACATGGCATGCTGACGTACTATGCAATCACAGAGACAAACAGTAGTCAGCCAATTCTTCCAGCTCGACCGGTTAGTAGTCGAGGGTGGCAAGGAATTGAAACAGAAAGGGAACTCGGGTGGCATGGTGCGGCAAAAGGAACATGGGTACGCACACCTTCCTCTCCCTCTCCGATGTCTTGTTGGAGATCCGCTAACATTACTCAGGTGGACTTGATGCGATTCTGATACCATAATGTACAAAAGTGTACTATACGATACCACAGAAATATTGCAGGCGTAAATGCTTGGGAGACGAAATGGGAGATAACGCTACTCGGCCTTCATGCTCTGGCATTCAATCTAAACGCGAAACGGATGGTCAAAGTGTACTTCACAAGACGTTGACCATGACCTTGGCACTCTCTCAAACGCCACCTTATCTTCACAGCATATACTCATCATAAGTCGGAGCACAGTAGTGGCACAAGGGTTGGCCGCACAGTTGCAGTGATAGTTGGTCTCATCTACTACCAATCTGGGCCAACCGACTAGGATGAATACCTTGACTCGCCTCCTCTTTCGACTTCTCCTCTGCCGCCTTTTCTCTCCTCGCCTTCTGATTGCCCAAAGCAGCCGCTTCCCGTCCCAATTGTGCTTTTTGATTCTTGAGAGCACCTTCCTCCCTCTTCATCTGCGCCTCATGCTCCTTCTCCTCCGCCTCCGCCCTCCTCTTCCTCTCCTCCTCCAAACTCACATTCTTCTCCCTAATCTTCTCTTTCCGCACTTCACCCGCGCCGCCACCACCAGCCGTCAACTCAACATTTATCCGCCTCCCAACTTCTTTCTTCCCTTTCCTTTGGGGTGGAGGTGGGAAACGTCCCGCGTTCTCAGAGTACTCGTCTGGGTCGAACAGGCTGTGATGATACTTCTTCAGACAAGTTTCCATACGGTCATAGCTTTCGAATTCGAGGAAGGCAAAGCCTTTACTCTTCTTTGTTTGCGGGTCCGTTCGGTGTCGGAGGGTGAAGGGGGAGAGTTTGTCAAAGTAGGCTTGTAGTGAGGCGTCGGTGGTGTTGTACGGAAGGTTTCCAATAAACAGGATGAACCGATGCTTGCGCTCGCTGCCGTCTACAGCCAGGCCTTTCCCTTTCTTGCCTCGTTGTCGCTTTTTCTTCCTGGTTGGTGGTTCGTCTGTGCCATCCTCACCGGCTGCTGTGTCTGCACTCGTCTTGGGTTGTGTCGTATCGTCCTCTTCTCTCTTTCGCTTCTTGGCATTTTGGTCTGGGACAGTGGCGGTGCTCTTCGCAATCTTCACTGCTCCAGCATTCTTCGGCGGCGCAACCTCATCCTGTTCATCATCCTCATCCTGTGCATCCCCAGGTAGAGCCTCCGTCTCTCGCTTCCGCTTTCTTGGTTTCTGGAACCTCGCGGCATCCCTTTCGACTTTCTTCTGCTTTCGTTTGCTGGCGACATCCTGAGACATGTCTGTGATCCGAAGCTCTCTCCGAAGCCTTACAACAGTGTGGAATACAATTTGGACAAACTTGCAATTTTTGGTTGTCGCAGCATGAACTTTTGATGGGCCGCGCAACTTTTCCGCTGGATCTGAGCCGAGGCAGACGCTAACTGTATATGGAAGGAGGCTCAGCAATCTACATGTTTTCAATCGCTTTCGTCAGCCTTTTGGTGCCTCGAAGAAAAGGGTTGAGGGTATGCTAGCGCCAGTCGTACAACGTAGGGTGCTCCCCGACTATCATCGGTCATCTTCCCACAAAACATTCCTCTGAACCTTCCACCAATGTTGTAAGAAACTCCGTGACCACTAATTTATGGTCTCCTCATTTTGAGCGAAATCATACCGCCACACCAAAGTCTTGCCCTCAGTACGACACAATGAAGAACCTGGCAGACCCTACGAAGCCCAGCGAGGGCAATCTACCGACAACAGAGACGACACCACTTCTAGGAGCTCCCGAAAGCAGTCCAGCAAAAGCCGTAACGCAAAATGGCCACGCCACGAAACCCACCGATGATGATCCCCCCAATGCATTCATCAGCAACACCGGGGACGCGGACGAGGAAGAAGAGAAGCCAATGCCCTACCTCCAAATCCTAATCCTCTGCTACGCCTCCCTAGCCGAACCCGTAGCCTACTTCTCCATCTTCCCCTTCATAAATGAAATGGTCTTCCGCCTGGGCCACCTCCCCGAAACCTCGGTGGGCTTCTGGACCGGCACAATCGAATCCCTCTTCAGCGTCGTCCAAATGGTCCTCATGATCTTCTACGGCAGAGCGGCGGACCGTTGGGGACGAAAACCGGTGCTGGTGTTTAGTCTTGTGGGTGTGAGTCTTGCGACGGCGGTCTTCGGTTTGAGTGAGAGTCTGGCGGGAATGATCGTTGCGAGGTGTGGGGCAGGTCTTTTCGCGGGTAGTGTGGTCACGATAAGGACAATGATCAGTGAGAATTGTACTAAGAAGAGTCAGGCGAGGGCGTTTAGTTGGGTGAGCGAGATCTACATGGGCAAGTTCGAAGCCTAAGTGATACTAACGAGACGCCAGTATATGTTCATGAGGAATCTGGGCATCTTCATAGGGCCCTTGATTGGTAAGTATCGTGTCTCTGCACCTGCTGCAGTCATGCTCGAACGTCATTGGCCTGCTCAGAGTGGCTCATGGTGGCCAAGTTTGGCTGGAGAGGTTCAGTACCTACCTGGCGCGAGTCCCATCTAACAACCTTCACAGGTGGCCCACTAGCCTGCCCCTCAGACCCAAACAGATCACCCGGCCCCTTCTGCAGAGTACCATTCTTCCAGCGCTTCCCATACGCTCTCGCCACTTTCGTCGCCGGCGCCGTCTGCTTCACCGGAGTAATCGCCTGTGTCTTCTTCCTCAAAGAGACACTCAAACGTGATATAGACACGAACAACGACGGAATCTCAAGACCAGCCAAGTCAATGACAACAATGGACGTCCTTCATGCTCCCGGTGTACCCATGGTCCTCTATATCCTGGGTCACACCATGTTGCTCTCTCTAGGTTATACAGCCGTGTCACCTGTATTTCTGTTCACGAGCATAAAGAAAGGCGGTCTCTCCTTCGACGACCGACAAATTGCAATATTCCTTGCTGTGGCTGGAGGAAGCCAAGCATTGTGGATGCTTCTCGTGTTCCCTCCCGTGCAGAGGAGGTTCGGGACTGGGAATGTTTTGAGGGTGTGCACACTTCTGTGGCCGGCCATGGTTGCCATGTTTCCGGTATACAACGAGTTGCTTCGACATGGACTGGATAGAGTATTTTGGGTCACTTTCTTTCCCGCTCTTGCACTTGGTAGTGGGGTGGCTATGTCGTTTGGTAAGCGCTGTCGATCTTCATATCATGGCATTGTCACTGACTTGTATCTTCTACAGCCTGCGTACAACTTGCGATAAACGACATTGCTCCCTCTAGCCAAGTCCTGGCTACTGTCAACGCTCTAGCTCTCGCGGTAAACAGCGGCGTACGTGCTTTCGCGCCAGTCTTGTTCACGAGTCTGTTTGCGGTCGGCATAAAGTCGCAATGGGCCGATGGACATCTCATATGGGTCATTCTCTTCGTGCTAGCCATTGGTTTACACATCGCATGTTGGTTCTTGCCTGCCCAGGCGGAAGGAAAGTACGATCAGCCCGCTAAGCCCCAGCAACGGCCAGAGAACGGCGAGGTAGAGTAAAGTGGTCTGTTGCAGTTCGGTTGTGGACCATAGTCAATCATACTCCACAGCTACCGGCCTCTGGCTCTTGTCATGGTGTCAAGGCGGATGCTATGAGGCGGCGTGGACTGCCAACTATGTTCCCAGCATACAACTCTCCCACGCTCTGAAGCTAAAGCTCCTTCTTAGCGCCTTTTTTATCGCTAGTCCCTTTCGTCCCAGTTGTCTGAGGGTGTTTGATCCGCAAACACCAAATATCCAAGAAGTCACAAATAGTGACAATGACATCCACGACAAAGCTTCCATAGACACCCACTGCAAATCCAAGACAAGTGAACATGAATGCGACCTGATAAACACCATCTCCCAAGGCACTCGGCCAGCCGAAACCTATCCGGCTCTGTAGAGCAGGACCAATGGCATCCATGACGCCGTAGATGAGTGGTAGCGCAAGCACGTTCTGGTACGGGAACTGTGCTTTGGTAAGGTGAGCGGTGATCATCTGTCCTACGCTATAGGCGTTGATGAGACCGACGTAAAAGACGAATGGTACGAGGTGGTTGTGGAGGATGTTAGGTTGCAGCGCAAGATACGAGGCGATGACGGTCCAGATTGCGAAGAACGGGAGGAGTCCAATCAGAGCATCTCGTGCTCGCTCATTCCTCTTGCGACGAGCGGACATGGCGTTCATCGCGCTGTGAATGACATTAGCCATCAGTACTCCGCGTTGGAGAGATCAAGGATCCTTACCTCTCAACAGTATTGAACACGACCAAAAGCCCCCCATAAACCATATAAAAGTCGCCGAAGTCCATTTCATACGCCACATCAGGCAAGAATCCCATCTTCGGCACCCCAAAGGCCCTCATAACAGACTGCTGCCAATACCCTGGGCCTTTCCAAGCCGTAACAGCATAAACAACACAGAGCGTCAAAATGCCCTCCACCGGCCCGGAGACCAAGCCCAGCGTTAAAGTCTTGGTATGATACTCATCCCAAGTCTGCACGTAGAACGTCAACAAACTAGCAGAAAGCACCAAAACTGTTTTCCATCCTTGCCCGAATTGCATCGTAGCCGAGAAGAGCAGGACCTCCAGACTAGTATTGAGAGCATCAACTCCGTGATCGAACAGTTCCCCCAACGGCCCACTCTGCCCCGTCCGCCTCGCCTGCGTTCCATCGATAGCATCGAAAGTCTGATACAGAAACAGCCCAATGGACCAGGAAGCATACACCCATCGTGGGCAATCCTGGTCCAGGGTAGGGGTATAGTAGAGCATCGTGAAGATATTGGCAATCACGAAACCGAAGCCTGAGAGCGTGATGGCGTTAGGTGCCATGCCCAGAGGGAAAAGCTCAATGACTTTGCTCCACCAGTAGGGTTTTAGAATGTAGCGGGAAACCAGACTGCGGTCGACGCCGCTGTATTTGTATTCATTCAGCTTTTCCAGCTGTTGTTGGCGGATGTAGACCATAGTTGCGGCGAGTCCGGAGAGCGATGTGCTCTCGTAGAAGTCCTGGATTGGGCGAGTAAGTGTTGTCTTGTGTTGGTAAAGAGTGCGAATTGATGAAGTGAAGTGGAAGTGGGATTTTTGTCCAACGCGCTGGAACGCGCTACGTCATCGCAACATTGAGTTTCCCACGCGAATCAGGAACAAGCGAGCGTAGATACAGGCAATCAGGATGATGCTTTTTTGGGTTTTACATAGGGGACACTCCCCGTGTGGTCGCCTGCAGATTGGGATACTTGCAGCCCGACCCTTGCGAATATGCTAGATTTGCGTCCGGCGCTGCAGACACCTAATTGCTTATCCAGTCCTCGGGCAAGGGACGACTCCTGCAACTCATGCCAATCTAGGCAATCGGACTCCATGGCATGGGCATCATGATCCTGCTCTTCATCGTCTGGATGAGCGGCACAGTCTTGTGTACCGTCTCACCCCACCCCGGCACACTCCAGCTCTGCTCTCTCCTTGCCCTGCGCTCCTCGAGATCCGCGAATTGCCATAGATGGTGTACCACGTTCAGCTCACCGATCTGTACGAACCATGCACCGACACCTGCGGCATGTTAGCGAGTGTACAGAACTGCGGGTGACAGTGCGACTCACCCTCCATAACCTCTCGCCTCGCCGACAGGCCCTTCTGCCAATGTGTTTCCCACTCCATCAAGTTGCCAGGATTGAGGGTATACGATCGCAGCTCGAACACACCACCGAGCTTCCGTGGCGGGCTTGTCGGCCAGAAGCGGAATTCCTGCATCAGAGAGATCTTCCTGCTCGTAATCAGAGACTTGAGCTTCTTGTCAAACTCCTTGAACTCTTCAGTGTTCTCGATCGTGTGCCGAGAAGCATGGTAGCCCGCATAACGTTGATACTCCCAGATGTGTACTACCTTTATGTTAGCCTCCCGTCATCCTCGCGCTACTGCTCGTACTGACCAAACTGATCACAGTCTCCAACCTCTGTTCTCCAACTGCCGACCAAGTTGACCTTGTTGTCCGGATCATTCGCCGTCTTAGGATACCACTGCCCGACCAACTCCACATACTCATCCACTTTGTCCGGCTTGACCTCGTGTACCACAATACTATGCACGTACTTCCCTCGCGCGAGTGTCTGGGAGAAACTCCTCTCAATTTCCCTGTCCATCTCCCTACCCTCCTCGGTACCATAAATGAAACTGCTCAGTCGACCACTCGAGGGCTTCTTACCACCAGACTGATCTTGCTTGCGCTGTGCTTCGCCTGCAGAAAGTGAGAGTGAGCCTAGCCCTGCTTTGTCAAGATATTCGGACATTGCTGAACGAGTGTCGGCAGAAGTAGAGGAAGAAGTAGATGCAGGGGAGGCAGAGGAAGAGGACTTAGCGGCACTGGACGCAGACTGAGATTGAGCTAGAGCTGACTGACGTTCTTGTTCCTTCTTCTTCCGTTGCTGTTCGGCCAGTTGTGCGCGGAACTCGATCTGTCTGGCGTCGAAGGAGTCGACCTGATCGGGCTCGATGTCGGAGAGGGCGGGTGCGCGTTGTTGCCATTGTGTGCTGGAGAATGGGCGTTTGAGAGTGGATGTGGCACTGCCGCTCATTCGAGCAGCGAGGCGTCGGGTGAACATGGTCGCTTGTGTCCTCGGTTGGTTCCACTATCGATAGACTGCAAATATATCTCGAGGTTCGTTATAGGTAACTGTTTGTTGCAGTAGTGTCACGCGTGTGACGTCCACGCGGACGAGGAGTCCGGTATTGTTGTTGTAGGCAGAAACCGGATCCAAGTGGTATAGCTCTCAATCAAACCAGCTCAATCTATTCGGTAGTCTGCGTCCGTCTGCTGCGCCGAGTAGCTCTTTACCTTGGTACCAGGTACCTTCTAGAGCCGAGAGTCGAGCTCCAGCTGTTTCCCAGATTGCCTTCCAGCCCCGTGTGGACGGAGCTGCGGGGAAGACGCACGGAGCAGATTACGGCAGTGGCACATGCGAAGGCACGTGAGCGCGAACTTCGGCGACACTTTCGGCGCTGGAGAAGAGATTCACTGGATGATATTGAAGAGCATTGAGATGGACGAGTGTTGTCAAATGCCTGTGCGGCCGCTCAGATGCTGATAAGGCTAAAGCTACTCAATCGCCTGTCAAATTCCCTTCAATTCCACTCAGGACTAACACGTTTGATATACTTCATGAATTTGAAGAAGCCAACAGCATACTCCACGTTGCCATGAGGATCCGTGACCCTCTCCGGCCATGCAATACCAGCACCATACATACCTGGTAGCTTCGTGCGGTCGGTCTTTGAGCCGCTGTCGTACTCGAATCCACCAGTCTTGTGGTTGTAATACGGTGTAATGCTCTTGCCATCAGTCGTTGTCAGAGTAGGCGTAGCGTTACGTTGATACCCAATCGCCTGTACCACGAAGTCTGAGCCAGGGAGATGCTTCTCGAATGTTGCCTCGTCTTTGCCCTTCTCGTAAGTGATGGCATCAATGTACTTGCTCACGTCACTCTTCTTGAAGTTTTCTGGTTCTAGATGTTCCTTGGCCCACACAGCGACCTCGCCTTTGAGACCAGTATTGTCTCGCAAGATCCAGCCGTTCATGAATTCTGCATAACGGAGCTCATGGCGAGTCAGCCATCTGATTTTGAGATCTGGTTTTATAGAGGATGCTAGGTTGTACAAATTGCGTAGTACGAGAATGGCAGAATGCGAGGCCCCAATGACTGAAATCGTGGTCGGTCCTAGTCCTGATAGTCTAGCAGACATCTTTGAGGGCGACAAAGCGTCGTCGAGATCGAAGTGCGGAATGTCTTTCGTGTTGCCGGGTAGTGGCGTATCTGTTGGTGATGATCCAGTGCACAATATTAATCTTTCAGTCGTGGCTGAGAAAGCCTCAGCAGGATCCGCAGACTTCTTATGGCCCTGAACATTGACATTCCATTGCTCCGTAAGCCCAAACAGTTGTGCATCAGACACATTACCTCGGACAGCAGTGACACCAGGAGTTTTCTTCAACCCTTCCGTAAGCATCATAATCATATCCGCAGCATAACTCAGCTCACAGCCCTTCTGTGGATCAAGCTGGCGAAGACTCTGTAACTTATCCGGCTTGTCGTCAGTCGACACTCCATCGCTTCCGGAAGGCTCCTCCCATCGTGATCGAGATGGAGTACCGCTCACGATCTTCCTGAACGGAGCCACGGCAGTCGCGAAGTCAATGAAGAGGGCCGCTTTGGTATTCGAAGGAACCTCTCGGTATTTGCTGTTCACACGGCCTCCATTGAAGTCGTGATCGACCCATAGTATTGGTGCGACTTTCCGCTCCAGTAGATTGCCGACGCAAGTCACGCCAGCGGGACCGGCGCCGACGACTACGGCTTCGTACTCAGTATTCAAATTTGATGTGTCGCTCACAGTGGCCATTGTACGTTGTGTTTGTGATCTGTGTATGGGATGCAAGATGTTTGCTGATCGTCGGCAATTTCTGGCAGGAGTGCCACCTTGTAATAGAGATGCATTCCGACATGTAGTGAAGGACCTCCGATACATCGCCTGTGGTAAAGGAGGTGCATTCATGGCAGTCGCCAACCCCTTCGAGCTGTTGGCCGTTCTTGCCGTTCTTGATAAGACTCGGCCATTGTGTGTGATCTGAGCAGGGATCGCAGACGCGTGTCTGGAGACGTGGCCTGCGAATGGTTGCATCAAGATAAGTTCAAAGGGTCGTGGTAGCTGCTGATTGCTCGAAAGATGCGTAAATGTGTGTTTGCAAGGGTACAGATTGTATGCAGCGAAGCATATGGTGGCGTGAGATAAGTCTAGTCAAGGGTCTGGGGACCCTCTAATTTGCCTTCTGCAGGCTGGTGCGTTACTGCTTCTGGTTAGACCATGGCGTTCTATGAGGTGAGGAATATTTGTACGCCGATTTAAACGGCGTTCAAACATCGTTGATCCGGGTTCTGTCACTTGCTTGCATATGGGACAATTATATGGGAGCATCATCGCTTGGCTACAGTTCTCGTACACCAAAGACAGCTTAACACGGACAATAATGATCTATTGTAGCACACCAAGGTTTCCTGCAATGTGTAATGCTAATTAGTAGTCACGGCCTGCACATTTCCCTACGTATGGCAATGGAGCAACTTAAAGATCTCGCTCGTCAGCGGAGGCCGCCAGATTCAAAACCATCGCCTATTGACGAGCTTGCTCCTTCGCCTCACTTCATCTATTTCCGGACGTGGCCCATCGAAGCCGAGACACACGTCCGCCAGACTTCCCTTACCAATGGCCATATCCAGATCGAAGATGCCGTCCCAGTCACCAACACAGAAGCCTGCTCGAACATGCACGCCACCGTTTCGTGACTTCGCACGATCGCTAAGTAAAGGCCCGAGAAAGCTCGTGACTCTCCACGCCAAAGCATCTGGCGCAAACTTCGTTTTCAGCTCCTTCTCCCAGCCTTCAGGCTCTTCGTCTGATATACGTACGAGTGCTGTGGACGTTGGTGAGCGGCTATTCGCCCAGTACGAGATTATGTCTGCGTCTCGCGGTGATTGCTCATATGTCGTAGACAACCACAAACTCATGACCAGCGACTTGAGGTTGTGAAAGTGCTTCATGGCGCTGAGAAGTGGCATCGTGATTGGCGTTGGTGTGAACAACGCAGGCGATCCTTTCCAGCCGCAGAACTTGAGCTCCGTGATCGTGTCGGCGTGGAAGCTGGCGATAGTGTTCAGCATAGGAGCACCTGGCGGCCAGCCATATTCTGCTTCGAAACGAAAGCTGTCTGGAGGGGGCTCAGGTTTTTGGGGCCCGAGTCTCCATACTGCCTCCTTATCCTCAGTCTCCAGACCTTCGACTTCGTCATTGTCAAGTGACTCGCCGAGATCGAGGCCGTCAGCTCCCCAAGTATTGCCCAGTGAGCTACATACACCTATCATGACCAGCTTCTCGATGGTACAAGCATGTAAGGCTCGAATAACCTCGCGTCGCTCATCGCGTGGTATAGCTCCTTCCATCTTGATCATCCGAACCTGTCTCATCTTCGGAGCAAAACGTTCAATGAAGTTCCGTCTGCTGGCTCTCCGGCTGAGAAAGCCGTGATGAGAGTGATGTGTCATTGGCTCACCACCACCTGTCCATGAGATGTCGAAATCATCGAGGCCACCTCTTGTAGAATACATCGCATCTACTCGTAGGTCCCCGAGCGTACGGCCCAGATTATTCATGACTGCCTCTACTCTGTCAGAGATGTCCCTGGGAAGGACACCAGGCGCGAAGAAGTGATCCATAGGCCACGCAAGACATTCTAAATTTTGGTGAGCCTCCATAAACTCAAGACACATTAGACTCAGATCTTCTGTGATCCTCCCAGCAAAACGAATATCATCGTAATCGTCTAAATGGATGTTGCCAGCACTAATATGCGACCGATCAAGTAAATAAAGCCCATCAGGTAGTTGTGTGTCAGGTACAATAGCACTGCGGAGCTGAAACGCTCTTAATCTGGGAAAGCGAAGGCTGAAGAGCAGCACGAATGTACCCATCCAGGCTTGCTGCTCCTCACTGCTGTGGAGGTAATCTACCGTAGCTGGTCTTGTGAACACCCAGTCCAAACACAGAGAAGTCAAGGTCGAACTCGCACTTTGAAGCATTTGGAAAGCAACGAGACAAGAGGGAAGTCTCTCTCGCTGACATGGCTTATGTACGCGAGCATTTCCGTCATCGTCAAGCTTGCTGGGATCTAGGAGCGCTCCCCGGTATGCTATCTGGGAGCGGTTCGTTGTGGAAGGTGGCGTGTTCTGGCGTAATAGGTCTGTCTCATCCTTTCCCAGTTCCGGCATCAATGCATCATAGGTCCGTTGCTCGAACAGATTTGCGATCATGAATAGTTGAGAAAGCGGAGATACAGGATTCGTCGTTGTGCCACTCTGTTGTGCCGCAAGCCACACTTCATGTCTACTTCCAGCCTCTTGTTCTTCCTCGACGTTGGTGGTCGATGTAAAGTATCCGGAGCCAGCACCGTCTTGTAACAGTGTGGAGCTCTGCCGATCGATATGATGTGATGGTCGTGCATGTACTATATCCATATCCGACCGACCTGTCGACTGAGGTAGACCGGGACGTAGAGGCAAACGTCGGAAACGTACACTTTCCAGGTCACTGAAGTTGAGTCGTAGCGGCAGATTTTGTATGTGATAAACTAATCTGGAATCGCATCCAGTATTGATCCGACAGTTCTCGAGCCATAATCGTCTGAGGGGACTTTCTTTTGTCCTCTGCTCGTCGAAGAAACATCTCAACAGTGTATCGTTTATACTTGGATGACCAAGGATGATGCGGAGCGTGCTGACATTCGTGAGGTTCTTCACCGCCAGCTTGATGAGGCCTATCGTCCGTTGGTCGCATGATAGCGTCTGGGAGCTCAAGGGCATCCGTGGAAGTTCCCGAAAGATCTCTGGAGGAGGCAGATGACAGCGATGGGTCAACGTTTGCACGTAAGTGGCAAGTCCGGGTCGTCTGAGGAGGCTGTTAGTAACGTCTTCAGAGGACTATGAGAGACCATTGTCTATCGGTCCAAGTCTGAAGATCGCAAGCTAGAATATCGAACGGCAGATATACATGAGCATGCAAGAGAGCCGGAGAGATGCTCCAACACTACACAAGTCGTTGCAGTAGCTGTGCGACGGAACATGATCCTCTCATTACCTTCACTCGATCCTGAGTACCTGCCAGCCGATATGCTAGCTTGCAGTCCTCAGACATGAGAAGGACAGACGACCAGAGAGGTAAAGAATAACGCACCGAATCAAAGTAAGCAGCACCTTAATCATAGGCGTATCATCATGATCGTCCACAGCATCCTCATGCTCAGTGCGGCAGTCTGTCAATAGCACTTCCCGCCAGAGCAGAGGAGAAGCGACATCGTAACCCCATTTGGAGGTGACTTCGAGGTTCAGAAGATCTGCTCGGTGTAGCCGCTCGATCACATCCTGTCTCAGCTCCTCTGGTAGCTGATGTAGTAGTCGAAAAGTGGCCATTTTATGAGAATTGCGAAGCGATGTGGCGAGTCCGTCATAACAGCCACAAACTGTATATCAAGGTCGTCAGCATTGTCGATCCGTTAACCAGTTCTCGCGTGAACGTGATGGCTCGGTAGAAGCGAAATGGCGTAAATGTCCTTGTTTTGGACAAGAACAAAACGAGTGGGTAAGAGCATCGGGAACAAGGTCACGTGACTATTCACGGCCCACCACGACAACATCACAAGACCAACCGCCTTCCAGAAATCATAAGCTACTCGAAGATACGATTCAATAGGTGATAGCGACCCAGAAGCCATTCGGGACCTTCTTCCCAATACCAACCTGCCTACCGCTATAGACCTATATACATACATCCCACCCTCATGACTCCCATCAACTCCTTCCCCAAAAGGACTCGACAAAGGGGATCAAATATGCTAGTGGCAGGGTATATATGATCGGAAGACACAACGTCGGCAAGACACCCAAGACACGTCTCCTCCCTCGATCCTCCGGCCCAAAGAACAAAACACCTCAGAAAATGTACATTACAGACCCATTACACCAGTTCCAGCCCCAGTCCCCCAAACAGCGATCTCCAATTTTACACCATCATCCATCTCATATCTAGCTGATTGCTCCCTCGAAGCAAGAGGGCATATCAGTGCGCCCCACCAGCATGCTGCTGCTGCTGCTGCTGCTGTCCATGCTCACCACCACTCACATGCCCACCAACCTCGTCCTCGCCCTTGATCGTACTTGTACCAGTCGTCGGCCTACTCTGCTCCCCATCCACCTCCCCCTCATGCTCAGCCGCGAGACCCGCTCTCCAGCCCGCCAACCCCCCCGCAGCACTAATATTCGGATGACTATTCGAAGCCGCCGTCGCCGTCCTCGAAGTCTCAAAGTCGAATTTATCCGAGAGTCGGTAATTCTTATTCGTCGTCTCCCAGTGCGAGCGCAGAGCGTCAAGTTCAGACGCCAAGCTGTCGAGAGCGAGGGAATTGCGGCCATCTTCGCCTCCTGCCACACTGGTTTCTTGACTGTATGTGCTCTCGCCACCAGCGGAGAGGTTGCGAGAATGTCCTCCTACGCCGCCGCCGAGGCCGGTGGTACTGTCAATGTTAGTGGTAGTAGCCTGGCTGCCTCCACTCAAGTTGCGGGAGTGGAAGCTTGTCCCGTTCGCAAGCGTAGGCGCCTCGCCACCTATCCTCGACTGCCGACGGTAGTTGTCAACACTGTGCTCGACCTGATCGAGTAGCAGTTGGACCTTGTTCTCAGCATCTCGCGCCCGCTCTTCTAGCATCGAGTTCTCCTTCTGCAGGTGCTCGATATCGCCCCTCGTCTGCTGATGCGTAGATTGCAAGGTCATCAGATCCGCATGGCTGGTTGCATGCGCATTCTTCGTCTGCTCGAGCTCTGAATGCGAAGTCTGCAACTGCTGTTGCATCGTGTTGATCCGGCCCTCCATATCAGTAACACTGTTCTTCAGACCGGTGTGATCAGACATGAGTTTCTCTCTCTCCTGCTCCCAGCCCTTTGCTGCCTCGGCAACATCCGGAGACCCTCTTGCACTCCCGCCTTCCTCCTTGGCCTTTTCGAGCTTCTTCTTCATTTCGCCGTTCTCGTTCTTGACCCGCTGCAGCTCCTGCTTCATCTTACTCAGCATCTTCTCCGTACCACGGAGATACTTGACAGCGGCCTGATGATCGTTATCGAGTGCGGTCAGTTTGTCCTCATACTCGCGCTTCATCTTCTCATCGCGTTCGTTGACTTCTTCGAACTGAGTCTTCATATCGTCATGGCTGCGGAGACTAGCCTCGAGCTGTTGTTCCAGCTCCTTGACACGATGGAGGTCGGGCGTCGAGAACCGAGCGAGGCTGTTAGGCGAGTCGAGAGCACGGCTCCTCCTAGCTTCTGCGGCATTGATGCCTCGTTCGGCGAGGATGTCCTTCAAGCTGGAATGCTGCACCGACAAGGCATTAGCCTCCAATGCATCTCGCTGCATGCGAACTTCCAGATCCTTCCTCTCACTCTCCATAGCTTGCTTGTCCTTCATCGCAACCTGGAGCTGCTTCCGGATAGACAGACCCTCGCGACTAGCCTGCTCCTGATATGCCTCGAGCCCAGCGATGCGCTCCTCAGCAGATCGCAACTTCTGCGATGCCGCATCAGCGGCTGCTTGATTCTGGCGCACCATTTCGTTCGCCTCAGACACGCGCTGTTGTAGGATGACAACACGCTCGTCAGATCCAGAAGTGACACCACCACGATCAGAGACCTTGCCGAAACCAGCCATGACAACCTCGCGATGTGTCTTGGCTTCATGAGCATGGCGCTCACTGAGCTCTTCGGCATCACGTAGCCTGCGAGTAGTCGTCTCAAGCTCTGCCGTCCGCTCTTCGTGGTCGTTCTTGAGCTGTCTGAGCTTCTGCTCCAAGGAGTCACGACCGCCGCGTTCCTCATCCAGCTTGCGCTCCAGCACTTCTGCCTTCGACGTCGATGCCGTCACAGCTTCACGCAGGCTGCTGAGAATCCTAGTATGCCCATCGCTCTCGGATCGCAAAGAGCTAAGCTGATTGCTCAGCTCGTCCTTGTCCAGAGTGAGCATCTGATGCTGCGATGAGATCTCGGAGTGTGTCGCCAGAAGATCGCGATGCTGCGTCTGCGTATCGTGCAGCTGGGCCCGCAGACCATCCAGCTCAGAAGAGTATGCCTGGCGATGCGACTCCAGCTCCGTCACACGCCTGTGAGCGGCATCTGCAGTCTCCTCAGCAAGACCCCGAGTCTGCTTCTCTGACTCCACTTCCTTCATCAAGTTCTCGATTCGCCGAGACAGGTTGCCCTGTGCGTTCAAGGACGAAGCAAGTCTCTTCTGCATCTCACTGTGGCGTTCCTGATCTGGCGTACCACGCGCGCCAGCCCCATCCACGTGCTGGCCAGCTAAGCGGGTTCTGGCGAAGACGGCTTCGTTGATAGCATTATCACGTTGCTTCTCGACAGCCGCGATCCGCTCGGCAGCTCCACGAGCCTGCTGATCAATCGTCTCCTGCACCCTAGCAAGCTCAGAGCGCATCTTGAGAAGAGCTTCGATTAGCGGCTTGTCTTCCTCCTGAAACAGCTCAGCTGGTGCCCTTTCGTCCAGGACAGGCGTGTCCGCTGAGGCCCGACCACTGTATCCAGACTTGCGCGCTAGGGCTAGCTCGGATGCGAACCAAGCATTCTTCTGCTTGACCGCTTCGAGTTCTCTGACCAGCTCATCATGCTGCTGGATAAAAGCAGGACTGCTTCCAATACCCGAGTCCTGAGGGACCTCTTTCTCCTCCTTCTCGTCTTCATCCACTTCGCGCACCTTGGGAAGCTGCTCAGGTACTTCAGTAAGCGACTGTCGTGGCGTGTCGGAATCAATAACGCGATCCATCTCAGAAGAGACTTTGCCACGCTGATTCCTCGAAGACTGCCTGCTCAAACCTGCAGCGGACTGATCTTGTGATGGCTGATAAGTCTCAGGCTTGTACCGAGCAGGCTGTTGCTCGACCCTTTCATTTTCGAAGAACTGCTCAGGCGGAAAGCCTGGACTCAGCGGTGCACGCGCCTCGATGGGCGAGCGCACGCCAGGAGAGTCTCGCGCTCCTTGTGGTGACATGAACGTGTTACTCTCGAACCTGTGTGCGCGCTCGGCATCATTGCTCGGGCTTAATGCTCGGTCAAGAGGTCTACTTGGCTGTCGTGCAGCGACAACTCCATTCGTCTTCATAGCTTGCTGTCCTGGTGCTTGTGGCGGCGGTCCAGTAGGTGCCGGGCTCGGTGCTTGAGTCGGCGAAGTTATGCGCGGAAGCTTGGACATAGACCCTCCTCTCGAGTTGAAGGAGTCGCCAGAGTTCATGCGTTGCCTGTCCATGATCTCGACAGGTGGTGGCGATTGTGGTTGTGCCACATTCCTAGCATTGACGCCTACAGGCACACCACCCTTCTCGCCACTTGGCCTGCGTGTACCCTGTATCCTATCGTTGACAGGGGTCTGCGATGCCGAGTCCGGAGGATATCTGATCTTGGCAGTGTCCAAGTAGTACGCCATACCTAGCTCCACAGGGTCTCTTGGTGCACTGCTTGGCTCTCCCGCCAAGATCACAATCGACTTGCCGACAGTAGTCATGCTGTGACCAGATCGAGGACTGGGCGATGGACCCATATTCTGGAATGTGTACCATCTCCGACTTGTGATGCGGAAAGCTGCAAGATCACCAAGATCATTGCCTTCTTCTGTTCTGCCACCGAAGATGTACATGACGTCTCCTACAAGCGCCGCCGCATGACCTTCTCGTGGACTCGGGATATAGCCTATACAATCCAGTTGTGTCCAGGAATTGGTGTGTGGCGAATATGACCAGACGTCGTTGTACCAATTCACACCATCTGTACCGCCAAACAAGTACAGCTTATCGTTCCAGCTGATCATTGAATGATTCGTACGTGCTGGTGGGATCTGTCCATGAGGTGGTCCGCCATCGATGGTGTTCTGGATCAGAATCTCCCATCGGTTCGTCGCCTGCTGTAGCGCGTTCAAGTCGAATGCTACCAGATCGTTGAAGAAGTATCCTTCGACTTGACCGCCGAAAATATATATCTTACTTCCCAGAATGTTCAGAGTATGGCCGTACCTTCCTGGCGGTCGCGGTCCAGCTGGTAGTGCTCTCGACCACTGCTTCGTAGACGTGTTGAGCAAGTATAGGGTGTCGTCCAGCTGGTCTCCGTCATCCATTTTGGTGTCACCACCGAACACGATGAAAGCATTACCCACAAGCAGACTCGAATGGCCCACCCTCGGTCCTGGACCTTCGCTTGTCGTTGCAACAGGGAAACATGTCATCTGTGCTTCGTTGCTTGGCGTATTGGGTGCTCCTGCTTCTACCATCCACAAGTCGCCTTTCACGGTACTACCATTGATCAAGCCGCCCATGAGGTATATGCTCCCGTCCTTACTCGATGTAGCATTCACCGCCGCTCCGTATCGTGGAAATGGGTTGGTGTGGGATACGGTGAAGTTGAGTCGTCGTTGTGACCACGGATATGGGGAAGGATCGACCGACGGTGTGCGCTGTGGAGGCTGGACAGCACCACGATGCTGCTGTGGCTATCGCATATCAGTCAGTATTCAGCGATTTGCATTCTCATGCGTTCCGGCCACATACCGGTTCCCGACTATTCTCCCTCAGCATCTTCTGCTCTGGACTCGGCGCCCCTCTCGGTGGCCCGCCCATACCTTCCTGCTGTGTGCGCATCAACTGTCTCCGGGCCAATTCCTCCTGCGGCGGCGCACTGCTACTCCTCCCATCACCCGCCACACTATTCAAACTAGTATTTACACTTCCTTGCTGATGCGGCGTGGGTGAGCCCGGTTTCGAGCCATTCATTACGCCATTCAGCGTAGGGATCTGGGACTGTGGTCCATCCGAGGACTTGATGTCGCGCGTGGCGGGTGGAAGTCCATTGGGTATGGCATTGCCTTTCTTCGAGCTCTTGAAGAGAAAAGACATGACTGTGCCTCCTCCTTATGGTGGTCTAGCCTGCGAAGCGGCGGTCACGAAGCGGCCACGAAAAGTCGCGGGCCTCGAGTGCGCAATTCGTGTGGGAAGATGAAGCCAGCGCGATCAAATGAGCGTGAAGTCGTATCGTACAATCATCCAGTCGTGCGTAGCATAGGCGATAGATTGCGCAAAAGAGTCGTTGAGGTCGTGGTGTGGGCCGGCGGTGGGGATAGATGGCAGGGCACGAGGAATGTTCGGTTTCACAGCAGCTGCGCAGCGCCAATGCCTGAGTATATAATATAACAATCAAAGTCAGTACACCGGCCGTGAAAGAGAAGCACAGCAAGTCCAGAAGCGCATGTGTGAGGGATGTGGCAGCGGTGGTCGTCGTGGTGTGTATGGCTTTACAGTACGTGTCGGCAGGTCACCGGTATTCTATTCAGGAGGGACGACTTTCCTCCACACTCGACTGACTTGGATGATGGATCTGGCTCTGGCGTCAAAATGCTGCAGGGGGACTGTGCACATCGATTCGACGAGCATTCTCCCGACAACCTAAAATATACGCACTGCTAACCCTAGGGACCTGACATACTACAAACCATCGCCCGCACGAATCATGAGCACCAGACACTTTGTATGCCGTCTCATTGACTGCCCCAACAACCTTGCTGTGCTAGACCAGTAGAGTGGCCCGTTGATGGGCTTGCCACTTCAGGTTACTTGATTGTGCAAGTCCGAAGGGCGGGAAAGCTTTAAAACTGCATGGACCACTAGCACCATCGATGCCGCTTCTTGGCATTATCGTCGTCGAACAGACTCAGCTGAAAGAGAAGTGTACATCTATCATGCAACATCCAGACCGAATCCCCATCTTTGCCCCTCTGCCATCTCATACTGTAGAACTTTCCCCTATGTCAGTAGATGCCTTTCAACAGTGGATCACGCGACTAAAGAGCCGCAACTTAGAACAATTCTAGCGCCTCGGCAGTAAGCGAGCCAGCTACTGTACCGTCAATCACCCAAGAGTAGTAAGGCACACACTCTCACATGCACACTTCATGCTCTTCTTGTAGTATGATGGTCTAGGCTATCGTCAAGTGTCGTGCGGAGCGACACATGCCTCACGATGACCAGACACGCTACGCAGTCGCTTGAGGGCGCCGCGAAGCATCCACAACCTGTATTACAGCTTCTCCCTTCAGACACCAGCGGTTCACAAGGCTCAAATCGACCGAACACTTCCTCTTCACAGGCTACCGGCCAAATGAATGGACATCATGATGCACAGGACAGCGACTCGGATGACGGCGGGCTGCATATGCCGGCAGCAAACGGTTCACGACATCGACCAGCGCAACTGATCCGGGCGAAGAGTGATGTTGTAGCAGACCGTCGCCTTGCACGAGCTGAGCAGGGAAGCGTAGATGGAGGCGAGAGGAAGATCCGTATGCGCCATGGGTGGGAAGCGCAGCTCAAGGACCAAGAGCAAGCCACCTTTCTCAGCCAGACGTTCTACATGTACTTCGAGGACAAACGACATGAAACAGCCGGGAATCCACCACCAAAGTACGATCCAAAGAGCATAGTATCGGAATGGCGCATGAAGGACAGGTTAAAGACAGTGTCCGCAATCCTCGCAGTATGTCTGAATGTAGGCGTTGACCCACCAGACGTGATCAAGACGAATCCATGTGCTAGACTGGAGTGTTGGGTGGACCCGATACCATCGGATTCGTCTAGTTCTCAGAGCAGCAACAATAGCAATGCGCAGATTGGCAAGAATCTCCAAAGCCAGTATGAGAACCTTTCTTTACGCACCAGATACAAGGTGATACTGGATCCAACGATCGAAGAGCTGCGAAGATATACCACCAGTCTTAGGCGGACGGCGCATGCAGAGCGGATATTGTTTCATTACAATGGCCACGGAGTACCGAAGCCTACAGCTAGTGGCGAGGTCTGGTGCTTCAACCGAAGCTACACACAATACATTCCTATCAGCCTACACGATTTGCAGGAGTGGGTAGGCGCACCGGGACTATGGGTTTGGGACTGCAGCGCAGCAGGTGGTATCATCAAGGGTTTCATGGAAGCGGTCGACAAGCACAACGCCACTCAGCAGGAAGCACTGCGTCGAGACGCCAACAGACTACAGCAACAGCCTAGCATCAAATGGGAGGACTGCATTCACCTTGCAGCCTGTCGCGATAACGAAGTCCTGCCCACGAACCCAGATCTGCCGGCGGATATCTTCACAAGCTGCCTGACAACGCCAATAGCAATGGCGGTGCGTTTCTTCATCTTGCAGAATCCCATCCCCAACAATCCAGCCATCACTCTTGAGACTGCGCGAGCGATCCCTGGTAAAGTCAGCGAACGCCGCACGCCACTCGGAGAGCTCAATTGGATCTTCACGGCCATCACCGACACCATTGCATGGAATAGTCTGCCGCCACCACTGTTCAAGAAGCTATTCAGACAGGATCTGATGGTTGCCGCATTGTTCAGGAATTTTTTGCTGGCGCAGAGAGTAATGCGCATGTATCATTGCCATCCCCGGTCATGGCCGCAGATACCTGATACGCACGGTCACCCACTATGGCGGAGCTGGGATCTAGCTGTCGAGATGATTCTGAGCCAGGTGCCGCGTTTGCTTGAGCAGCAAAAGCAGCAGGAAGCATTGACTGCAGACAGTAATCAGAGCAACGTGAACGCGCAAGCGAACGGCGCGGCTGCACCCACGCAGACGCCACAGCAGCCAACACAGGAGCTTGAGTATCAGCACTCGGATTTCTTCGCCGATCAACTCTCGGCCTTCGAAGTATACCTTTCTGCTGCGCCTGCAAACTCTGGCGCTGCAGGGTACGCCAAGCCACCTGAACAGCTGCCTATCGTCCTGCAAGTCCTACTATCACAAGTCCACCGCCTACGCGCACTAATCCTCCTCTCCAAATTCCTCGACCTCGGCCCTTGGGCTGTGAACCTAGCTCTCAGCATAGGAATATTCCCCTATGTCCTGAAGCTGCTACAATCGCAAGCTCTTGAACTCAAACCGCCTATGGTCTTCATCTGGGCTCGCATCCTAGCTGTCGATCAGAGCTGCCAATCCGATCTGCTTAAAGATAGTGGGTACACATACTTCACCGGCATCCTGAACAGCGCGAACGGTATTCCACTCGGCAATGTGGCGGAACATCGGGCTATGTGCGCTTTTGTTATCGCCATGTTCTGCAAGGACTTCAAACCTGGGAAGCAAGCTGTGCTGGAGAGCAACCCGGAGATTATCGAGGGCTGTTTGCAGCATTTGCTCGATATGGAGAACCCGCTTCTGAGGCAGTGGTCGTGTCTGTGTATGAGTAATCTGTGGAAGGATTTCGAACCCGCAAAAAGGCTGGGGTTGACATGTCAGGCTCATGCGCGGATACGTGATCGGAGCCATGATCCTGTGCCGGAGGTCAGGGCGGCATGTCTGGAGGCTTTGACGAGTTTTGTTTTCACTGGGACTGGGGAGACGATCGATGCTGCTGTCATGCTTGAGGAAGAGACGTTGGCTAGTGTGGTTGTTGCGATGGGTATGGATGGGTCGATTATGGTGCGCAAGGAGCTCACGATCTTTTATGCTACTTTTATCAAGAAGTATGAGAAACGGTTCTTGGTTGCTGCGTGGGAGCAGTTGCTTGAAGAGAAGGATAAGCGGCAGGGTCGGGGAGAAGAGAGTCAGGATACCCCTACACATCCCAATGCGGTTTATGATGGATCGCATTTCGATGGCCCACCACCGGCGCTCAATGGTGTTAACGGAGAAAAGACACATGCTCGTGCAGGGCATCGTAGGACCGTGTCTTTCACGCCTGCGGAGATGGCGAATGATCGTGAACAAGACGATAAACCCACGAGGCTGCTATCAAAGAAGACGATCTATCGTGCCATGTGGCGACAGATCCTCACGCTTTCCGCCGATCCACATCCCGAGGTTGCGCGGAACGCTAGTATCGTGGTTGACTTTGTCATCAGCGGCTTACTAGACTCGCCATTAGGCGATCATGCGAACAAGATCTTGGATGAAATCGTCATTACGGGTCTGAAGCGCGATCAGATTACGCTGTCGAATATGGATGGTCTGACGAGACAACGATCACGAGACCAACGACCACAGACCCCGCCGAGCCCGACTGCCAGTACGGCGAGTAAGGCAGACGGGTACTTCCCTCTCGGTAGAACGGCAAGTGTCGCTGCTGCGATGCGAAACTTCTTCGGCGTGAAGACGCCTCTGGAGGAGCCTAGCAGTCCGGCACGTTCACGCCATAATTCGATCGTTGGTCAAGTACCGTCATATGCTGCTCGGCCATTGACGCCAGCAGACGCTGCGATGCTGCCCCCTGATGCACTAGACCGCATCAATGGCCCGCCGCATCAACCAAAGGCCAAGGTGCCACCGTCGCCTTACTTTGTGCCGCGTGATCTGACACAGGTCCCAGAAGTGCCTCTGCAGTCCAATTTTTTCACGTGGTCTGCTTCATACTTTCGTGAGCCACAAATGAGGCCCTCTGAAGCTGATGAGCCCGGCTCACTCGATTACAACGAGCGGTTATGGCGACGGAACAGGAACGACAAGATCATCGCCTCAACGCAGCCACTTAAGGAAGCGGCGGGAAGTCAACGATGGGATGTTCCATGTGGATATTTCGGGATCGGCGCTGCACCGATAAGAATGGTGTTTCATCAGTTCGAGAACCATCTGGTGACTTCTGATGACCGCGACAGTATTGCTGTCTGGGACTGGAAGGCTGAGAAGCAGTTGTGTCGGTTCAGCAATGGGAATCCGCATGGTAGTCGCATTACTGAGCTGCGTTTCATCAATGAGGATGATCAGGCTATGCTTATGACAGGGGCTAGTGATGGCGTGATCAAGATTTTCAGGCACTATGATGATCCGAAGAAGATTGAGCTTGCTAGCTCGTTTCGCGCTCTCAGCGATCTTGTGATCAGTGATAAGCAGAATGCTGGTCTGGTCTTTGACTGGCAGCAGGGACAGGGTCGGGTCTTGGTCGCAGGCGACGATCGCGTCATTCGAGTCTGGCAAGCAGGACACGAGCTTTGCGTTGCTGACATCCCGGCACGTTCAGGCTCATGCATCACCTCCCTAACCTCCGACCAAGTGGAAGGCAACGTCTTCGTCGCCGGCTTCGGCAACGGCTCTGTCCGCGCCTACGACCAACGAATGTCGCCACGCGAGAGCATGATAATGGACTGGACGGACCGCAAAACCGACCACCGCTCCTGGATCGTCGGTGTCCACCTCCAGCGCGGCGGCATGCGCGAACTCATCTCCGCCGAATCCAACGGCGGCGTTCGTCTCTGGGACATTCGATCCCAGCGCGCCGTCTCCGCCCTAGGCAACCGCACAAATAACAGTAATAGCAGCGGTCAACCACGTAACCTGCGCACTCTAGCCGTGCACGAACATGCTCCTGTCTTCGCCACGGGAGGAGCAGACCATACTATCCGTGTCTACAACACTACCGAGATGCGGCAGCTGAGTGTCACGGAGCCGTATATGAGTCTTTTGCGCATGACGAATGTTCCGAGGAATGCGCCGATTACGGCTACGGCGTTTCATCCGCATAGGATGATGATGGCTTGTGGGGCGGTTAATGATGGGCATGTTAATTTGTTCAAGTGTGAGGCTGTTGAGGAGGAGAAGAGGGATGGTGGGATTGTGGATGAGTGGAGTGGGTGAGGGGCTGGTGGTTGATAGTGGTTCGTGCTTTTGGGTTGGGGGCGCTTGTGGAATGGTGTCTGGTAATGATGGTGTCGTGGCTGCTTTGCAAATGAGGATTAGCGAGGTGTTCTGGGGCGTAGCTTCTGTTTTCACGGATGGCCGCTGTGTAGTATAGGTATCTATTTCAGAGCACTCGGGTTGACAAGGTACTAGAATGCACCCACGAGTTTCCGCCCGCTAGTGGCAGGCTACTATCCGATGAGTTCCCTAAGCTGAGGGAATGCTGAGATAGGCGACCTCCAGGCCGCTGGGCAGCGATATATGGGGCGGCATGGCCTTGGCTATGCTCTATGACAAGGCCACACAGGCATGTGACTTGATATTGCAACTGGACTGACCCAGCCTTGAGTGATGGTTATATGATGCCTGCGGCTCTCCATTCTACTTCGTATGTGAGTCAGGGCTGCCTCCATACTGTATCGACAGAAGGCTGCTATCGAATAACACAACTGGTGATCTCCGAATTTGAGGCGGTAACTTGGGCGATTACAATAATGACGATGACAACCGATACTACGATAGTAACGACAACGATGACGATGAATAAGCAGATGAGCTTCATGGCTGTAGAGGAGGGACGAATCGTCCTGGAGAACTCCAGAATGAAGTCAAAAATAATTAACAACTCGATGAGGGTCGTCCACATCGTTGTGAAGAGACTGAACAGCGGCAACAGGCAGGAAGCATTCGTGATGCTACTCTAGCGTGAAAGCTCGAAACAAATCTCCCATCGATTGATACGTCAACAGGAAACGGAGAGGGAGGTGAGAGTACACAGCAGAATACTACAGCGGACAAGGTGAAAGGTACAGGACAGCGACGAGGACGGTGAAAGGAACACGGAGATGAATCTTGAGGATGCAGACGACGATCATCGATGGTTTGAGTACTGCAGAGACAATACCAGGCCGTCTGCAACCCGGCTGATGCGTTTGGACGATCTGGCAAGTCATCACCTCTTAGAGACCTCTTTGGCAATGCTGTTCTGGGCCTGAATCGCTACCATGAGCGATCTACGATTGCCACGCACTGATGATTGCGTTATACACGGCAGTCTTCTTCTGGAAGTTGGTATCCCACGGAGTGGCAGCACCATAGCCAGGGAATGTACCGGGAACCCAGCTGTTCTTGTCATTCCAGTCCCAGAGAGTGACACCGACACAGCGGGAGACTTGCTTGCAGGCCTTGATGGTGCTGGAGTAGTCGGTGGCTTGCTGCGTCAACTCGGCGGAGGTCTCGGGTGTCTTGACGCGGATGTCGAGCTCGGTAATGGCGACGTCGACGCCCAGCGCTGTGAATGCGTTCATGTTGGCGACTTGCTGAGCTGTGGTTGGGGTGGAGCCGGACTGCCGGAAGTGTCAGCATTACGTACTACCGACGGGTGAAATGGTGAACACTTACCACGAAGTGACTCTGGAGCCCAACACCGTCAATCGGAGCGCCATAAGCCTTAATCATCTTGACGATGTTCTGAGCAGCGGTCGACTTGACACCAAGAGTCTCGATGTTGTAGTCGTTGTAGTAAAGCTTCGCACTGGGATCCGCAGCATGAGCAGTCGCGAAGGCGATTGGGAGGTAGGCTGGACCGATCGTGTTGTGGAAGGGGTCAGAGCGGAGGGTGCCACTGCCATCGTCGTTGATGGCCTCGTTTACGACATCCCACGCGTAGCACTGACCCTTATAGTGGGTGACCTCGTTCGTGATATGATTCTTCATAATCGAGATCAAGGTGGCATTGTCGAAGTTGCCGCTGGAGACCCAGCCTAGGACATATCAGTGATGCTCTTCTATAGAAAACCGTGTATGGATGTTGGGCTTACTAGGCAGTTGGTTGTGCCAAACAAGGTTGTGGCAGCGAAGCTTCTGTCCATTGGTCTTGGCGAGGTTCGCAATTACATCGCCCTGGGTGTAGGTGAACTTTCCGCGGCTGGCTTCGATGGCATCCCACTTCATGGAGTTTGCTGGTGTGATCTGGCCGAAATCTGCGGTGTTCTTTTCCTCTGAGGTGTACTGGGAGTTCCCTAGGTCACCATTATCGACAGCGGTACCGAAGTACACTTTGCCAGCTGCTTTAGCGGCAGTGTTGAGTTCTGTGGCGGTAGCACGCTCAGCGACGGTATCGACTGGAGCGGCAATCACGCTACCCGCAGCGAGTGCCAAGATAGCTGTGATGGCGTGCATGACGAAAGTAGAGGCGCCAGAAGAAGTGATGTACGAACGGAATAGAAGGCCAAAGAGGACAATACTTATATCCCCTCGATCGATCAGATCTTGGGCACTCCTGATTCACACCATAGTCTCCGAACCGGCGTATGTAATATAGAAGCAGCACTTGTTTCCATCAACCTACCGTGTATAATCTCGTAAGTGCTCCGGCTGAAGTCCATTCGTGGTTTCAAACTTATGCTTATGGTCTACATGATCTGGACTTAGGCCTGGTCCGCAGAGGATAGATTAACCGCAGGAGTTTAGAATGCCTTGTGACACCCGGGCTTGAGTATAGGACCCTGTATGTCGACGCGATCATCCTTCTGCCGAAGTATGACTTGTGGAGTGGACGAGCCGGTAGGTGCGTTAACTCTGGTGCTGCTTCCATGGCGCAACCCGATACTGATTGATTGATCATATGGAAAAACTTGTCACTTCATGCTTGGCGATGGTGCCCCGTCTGTCGTTTCCAGTATCAATACTTGGGAAAATGTGTATAGCATGCATTGTGCGGCAGAGGCTTTCGAGCCACGCAGGTCCAACTCCCAGCGGCCCCTCATCAGTGTTTCATCCCCTCTAGCGCATCGGGCGGACTAAGCTTCTTGCATAGCCTATCCCAGTAGCCTACACTTCTCGCCCTCGTGACTGTGGTCGTGCGATAGCGTCGGACAGTGGTGGAGGAAATGAAGCTGGGATCGTTGGGACACGTTGTCGTGTGCGCGGCTAATAAACAAGCAAAGGACAAGACCTACCACAAACCCCTTGGCCATGATTTCGGAAGAGTTCCGACGTTCGCATGTACTCTGCCCGCGTACTGTATCAATGCTACCATCTGTAGTTGGATGAAGATGTTCATTCTCCATAATCATACTAGCTAAAAGACTCCACGCTAACTTTCATGCCTTGGTAATAAATCTACCCACCGTCCATGTCTAGAACCCTAACTCGCTCCAGGAACTCCTTTTCCGCCTATGTCCCTTTCCTTTTGGTCCACCCGGCGGAGCCAATCCAGCCACGCTTTCGAGCTTAGGCGACATGATACCACGAAACACTGGGAAAGGCTCTGTAGCACGGCTTGCCTCACCGCTTGTGCCGCGCACGAAAGCCATAGGGTTGACTGAACAACGGCGTAAATCAGCGGCTGCTTTCGTGAAAGGACTGCATTGTAGGGTGGTCACATACCATCCAGTCCACGAGTCCGTACAAGTCAAGAGACCCCCTCCACCACCCTTCCCGCAAGTCCTTGCTCCTCGCTCTTGACAACGATCTTGACCGTGACACCACTCTTCGCACTCGCTGCCATCCTGACCAACGCCGCGACCTTGCCACCCTGGACACTCCGTCCAAAAAGCCTGAGCTGATGCGTAGACGTTGACAGCGCAATCTCGCTTCCGTCCAACGCCTGCATTCCCAAAGTCTTAATAAGCATCTCAACGCCGTCAGATATAGACTTGACGTTGCCGAGTTGCAAGGTCTCCTCCGCTTCATCAGCATCGGAGCTCTCAAGTCCAGACCAGATGTTATCGAAGCTGCCGGCGTAGGCAGGTAGAATGTAATCCGCGCCTGTGATATCCAGATCACCCAGCTGGTACTCATCCTCATATCCGCCCTCTTCCGGCTCCGAGGTAGCAGGATCGATCTCCTTGAGCGTGAATTTGAGAACGTTCGCAAAAGACGCAGTAGCGAAAGCCTCCTCGCCGCGGGAGAAGGAGACATAAACAGTAGCCGTCTCCTCAGCTTTGAGAACAGGCACAGGAACGATGAACTCCTCCTCGTAACCACCGCTGCCTCCCTCGTCCCCGGCTGCAGTCGCGACACAAAGCACACTGACATCCCCAAGCACGTAGTCGGCGAGCGTATTCCTGACCTCGAATTGCAAGACCAGGTGTTCTTTGAAAAGGTGCTTGATGCCCGAAACCACATACTCGGTCTCGCTCTCCGTAAGCTCCACAACAGGAGAACTCTTGAGCACGGCGCCATAGCTCCCGAACTCAGGTACAGCAGAAAGCTGTTGCGCATATTTCTGACTCGCAACCGTAGCCTCACGAGCCGAGTCCGCCATAGCCGAATTCGAATTAGCTTCCTTCTTCGGTCCAAGAGATGGAGCTTTGAGGGTTGGTGTCGCAGTTGTGAGTTTCTTCGTCCTGTCCTCGGCAAGACTCTGTTCGCGGCTCACAACAGGCACATTCTTGAAATCGAAAGGTTCCGCGAAAGCCTCTGCGCTCGAGCCATTGACGTAGTGTGCCAGCTGGTCCTCTAGAACAGGTAGGGAGAACATGCTGTCGTTCCTTACAAACTTTCTAGCCACTTCATCGTCTTCCTTCATTAGCCGTAAATTCAATGCTGCGCGATCTCGTACTTCATCATCCGTGTCATCCAGACATCGAGTCAGCAGAACCTGCACCGAACTCTTGACTTCGTGATCGGTCTGCCCAACGCCGAACTTCCCAAGCGCCGTCACAGCTGCGGCCCGCACGATGGCATTCTCCAGAACGACGCGGTTGTAGATGTATCGGATGTACTTCGTCGGCTGCCTCGTCGTTGGGCCTTCCATACCAAGCAAATGCAAGATTCTCACTGCTAGCTTCGTAAACTCGCAATCCTCGATGAACTCACACAAATGTGCCAAAGCTTCCTCCTTGCTCTCAGGCACAAACTTGATGAGGTCGAAAATGCTCTCCACAACAGCACGCTTGAAGTCGAAGCCGCCTTCGTCTCGTAGGATACCAGACAAGAAGGAAAGCATACCAGCTTGTTTTGATGGGAATTTGAGGCAGAGAGTGCGAATGGCTTCCACGATGGTGACTTTGAACTCGTCCGTAATCTCGGACATGAAGGAGGAGATTTGCTTCATCAGACGGTCGACACTGGACTCGTTGCCAGTTTTCAGCAGGGTAGTGATGGCGAATGTGGCAATGCTGCGATTAGTGTTGCTGATGAGGCTCTCAATATCCGGGTTGCATTGCCGTACTGCATCAGGCTTGAAGCTGGCGAATTGGTGGAGGATGCGGATGGCGGCGAATTTAGTGATGGCGCGAGGTGAGGTGAGGAAGAGCTGAAGAACGTGGATTGCTTGGCCAACTTCCGTGTCTGTCAGGTCAGGCATGCTGCAGATAGCCTTTGCAGCTTCGAAGTTGACCATTTCGCTCTTGTCGCGGAGCCAGTCGTCCAATAATTTCATCATCGGTCGGCGGAGGCTGGGATCGTCTTCCGCAAGTTTAGTGGCCAGGCGTACTAGCATAACGCGAGCAGCGGGTGACTTCACCACACCAGCTGCACTATACTGCTGTACCATCTTGACCAGGGCCATGCGATCGTGACTTCGCATTTGATAAAGAAGGCCAATGGCGTGGTACTGTGTCATGTAATTGTTGCCAGCAGCCAGCGTGGCATGTTGTGCACTGCCTCCGAAGCCCATGAAGCCGCCAGAGGATTTGCTGCCGGACGCAGCTTCTTGTGTTTCGCTCTGCCATCTTCGGACGATGTCGCGGGCGATTGGTAGGAGGTGATAGGAGGAAACCAGTGCTGCTGAAGAGACAGAGGGAGTCTTGTCTACGATCGCAGTCTTGATGTTTCTCTCGATGGCTTGGACAGTCGAGGCCTAGGCACGGTCAGCATCGTGGTCACCAGTCCTTTACGTATGCCACGCACATCAATAATTCTACACAGCGCCCGTATAGCATTTGCCCTATACACAACATCACTCCCCACCGCCGCAGTATCCTTCATGATACTGCTCGTAACCATGATAACATCCTCGGCATCTTTACTGAGCTCCTTGATGACCAAGTACACCATCTGCCGTAGGGAGGCATCTTTGTTCTGGAAGAGCTTGCTTATGCCAAAGAAGAGCGAGGTGGCTTCTTGTTGTGGGAACTTTTCGCCTGTGAAGAGGAGGAGGGCTATCTTGGTGAGGAGGATTCGGCAGCGGCGGGGACTGACTGGGGAGGTGTTGAACACGCGGGCTAGTGGTCATTCTGGTGTTAGTATGTGATATGGCATTGGTAGTATATTTATTGGTGCATCTTACCCTCCTGGAAGACACTCGTCCGGTCAACTTTGACGATGCCGGCGTCATCCTCGTCTTTCTTGTTCATAGACATGGTGGCTGTCTCCCTTGATACCACTATATGGACGACATGTGTTCGGTAGAAGTGGTCTGGCTGGCTTTCAGTGCGCTTGTTGTCCACAATTCCCAAGGGTCTGGAGAACGAGTACGAGTTGGTGCGTGCGTCAGCGGGCACTTTGTGGACATGCACATGCAAGAGGATCATAATTCAGTTGCCTAGATATCAGACGACTGTACAACAAAATTGCCTGCCTGATTCTACTTGACCTTCAGCATCACCTCTGATTTTCCCCCTTCTCCGTTGTTTAATAGCTTCATCCGCCAAGATGAACATGCCAGACATGCCCATCAATGTCCAGGTGGACCCGGTAAGATAGTCGCTATACCATATACATGACCAGACGGTAGGTGCTGATGGCGTCGTCCATCACAGAATGAAGACACAGAATGGTAGGTAATATCAAGCAGCACCCATCGTTTCCTTGCAATCAATTTCATTACGCATTTGCGTCTTCTCACCATTAACCCTGCTCGACGAACAGGAACGACATCCTTCGAAAGCATGGCGTTATTCCAGAGAAGCCTCCATCGCCCACGCCCATGATCGAAGAAGCACTGGAACAAGCTCGACACCTAGCCCAAGAGAACAGACTAGAAGGTAAAGACCTCGACGAATTAGACGAGCTCGAGGATGAGGAAGACGAGGCCTTTCTCGACAGCTATCGACAGAAGAGGCTAGGCGAACTGCAAACAATCCAGACGAGCAGTGTCTACAACCAGGTCTACCAGATTCAGAAACCTGAGTACAGTAAAGAAGTCACAGAAGAGAGTACCAAGACAACCGTCCTTGTCCTTCTCACCTCAAGCGCAGGCACGAACCAAGCAAGCGCATTGATGATACCTATATGGAGAGAGCTGGCGAAGAAATGGGGCGACATCAAATTCTGCCAGATGCAAGGAGATTTATGTATTGAGGGTTATCCGGACAGGAATACACCTACGATCTTGATCTACAAGGAGGGTGAGATTCGCCGGCAGATTGTCACGTTGCAGGAGCTGAAGGGAATGGATACGAGTTTGCAGGATTTAGAGGAGTTGCTTGTCGGTGTTGGGGCTGTAAAGTTAGGCGATGTAAGGTTGAGGAAGAAGGATGAGGAGGAGGGTGAGGAGAGGAGGAAGGCGATGTGGCAGGGTGAGAGGAACGGTGGTGCAAAAAAGGGCACGGATGACGGAGAGGATAGTGATTGGGAGTGAGACCGTCATGCATCTTGCGGTTGTGAACGGTCGCCGCGGAAGTCGTGGAAGGGCAGCCGAGCACGGTGTTCAGGCATCGAAGGCCATGGTGCAGCGACCTGGAGAACGGGTGTGGCATGCACGCCGTATCGGACTGTATCACCATACCGCATCGCAAGTTGGCCGGCCGTCGGAAATGGGTGGCACTGGCAGTTTGCACCCGCCAGATCTTGACTACTGCATAAGTGTAGGCATGAAGCAATATAAGATCAGCACAACCGGGTAGTCTTGGAGCTCTTATGCCCGGCTGAGTACATGCGAAGTCATAGCACAGAATCACATTGCTCCGACAAGCGTGGCACCTGGTGAGAGCAAGGAGTCGAGTCGAGGAGGATGTCCGAACTCTAAATGTCTGTCGGGCCCGAAAGACTCCAGTAACTCGAGTAGGCCAACAGTACCTAAATTTCGTACATGTAACTTTTCGGATCTGTTTCCAGCTTATGCTTGCATCTTTCCAGCATGTCCATATCCGTCTACCCACCTTTGCTGCAGGCCATCACTATTCATCTCACTGACCATCAAGTTTGTCGAGGATGAAAGTCTGGCTCGTTGAGCACATATGTGAGGTCATCCCAGATGAGCCATGACTCAGCACTGACAGAAAGAGAGTTCGGCGCCGCCGAGCACAGCCACCATGCACATCTCGCTGCTGCCAGCCCGCCATGGCAAAAATGCCCGAAGTTGTGGATTTGGCTGCTATGCGGACGGCTTGTAGCTACACGTCCTCGCTGTTCAACGCGGGCTAAAAGTGGAGATAGCTTTGTTTGACATATGCCTGAAGTATGCATCGAGTCGGGTGAGTCAGGCGCTGCATCTCCATCTAGGAAATGTTCTACAATCCCTATTCCGCCTCTTCCTTTTTCAACAAGTGGAGTACTGGCAGACGGCTTGATCTAGGAGCTCTACCTTGCATCCTCGGGCACCTTTGCACGCAATGCTCAAGCTACGATAAAGCTAAGATAAGGGAAGCAATATGATGGCCATGGGAAGCTAACACTCCAATGCGTACTGTACTATCTCGGATTAAGGTGTTCGAACAGCACTCTCACGGCAGGAGGCGCCGACAGATGGGAGGTCTGCTAGTCTTCCATGTCACACTGATGGTTTGCAAAGCCACGATTCTGCCATCCGATGTCGGCTTCGTCGAGCCTGTGTAACCGTATTCGTACCTGACGATCATATGGTAGGAGTTCGTTGGCAGCCTCCGATCGACCTACTGATCGAAGTGCAGACTTGCCTTGCGCCCTGCTGTGCGGTGTATGTACTCGTCCTTTGAGTTCAGTCTATCGCGCCACGGAAGCTTAATGCTCATCAAGGTTTGATCCAACCCAGCTGTGATAAATTGAGTTTCGGCTTGGCAAGCCGAAGGTTGAACATGGGGTGAGCGATCGCCGAGAGAGCGGTGATGTAGATCTGCTTGGGGCTGTGAGGTTGTCCGACGACTGCAATAGTCGAACGTGATTTGCCATAGAAAGTCGCAACCTGTCTATGATTGAGCCCGATCGGTTCCAGGCAGATTTAGGCTGGTGGCAGCATGTCTGATGCCGCGTCGCTGCGCAAGGCATACCCTTTCAGGTATACACCAATCTTCGAATCACAACCATGCTTTACGGAGTATTAATAGTTCTAAAGCCTGCGTGGATGTCATCGGGATACCGCTGCCAACGTGCCTAGGAAGAATCAACAAGCTTCTGTCATGAAGATCAATGTTAGTCGTCTAGTAGCATTTATGTCGCTGTCCAAGAGACGAGCGGCAAGGATAGCCAGGAAGCTGCGATAGTTGCCGTCGGCTCATAGGTGTAGCATTACAAGGTGACAATGCAAGCGGCTGCTACCAGGGAAAACCGTTGTGGCTCAGGCAGTAGCCGCTGTCCACCACCTAGGATGGCATGAATTACTTTGGTTTCATAAGATGCTTGTTTTCGTGTTCTGCTACTTGGTGGTAGGTCTGCAAGCTTGTGAACTACCGCCAACGCCTGTGCTACATCACAAGCACGAATTCAAACAAAAGCATCCTTGGTTGGAGCTGGGTATAGTCATTTTCACCGATGCCCCTCTGAGAAGTCCTTGCCACGTTGCCTTTTGATCTCATAGCCTTGCCTACATTGTCTCCATCATTCGTAGACTACATCGGCAGGTTCAAAGTAGTCCATCACCACCACTTCGACCGACCTCCTCAATGACCTTCCGAACTTCTTCTTCCTCAAACATGGGTCCCATACCATCACACTTTGCCATCTTCTTGAGCCGCTCACACACCTCACCGATGTCTACCGCACCAGTGAGGTACAATGGATGTGATTGTAGCAAATCCCAGGTGGCACTTGCAGACAGAAGTTGACTGTCAGTACTACTTAAGCTACCATGCCTTGTGGGCGATATTGTGCCGGATGGAGAGAGAAGACCGCTCGCCAGCCGAGAGGTGTCGAAGAAAGGTTCCGCAATGGCTGATGATCGTTTTAATTGACGTGATGGTGGTAGTAATGTCGGATCGTCCACGAAACCCGGTGGGTGGCTCAACGTCGGAGACACAGCTGCGGTAGCTCTGAGGATCTCGTTCTCAGTTTGTGCCCTTTGTAGCATGAGCTTGAGTCGTTCGTTGTCTGATTGTAGAGATGTGGTCGTTGTGGTGAGCAGATTGAGTTTAGCTTCGAGGTCCCGCACATGTCGTTCCTTCCTTTCTCGGAAAGCTCGTTGACTACACTTCGTCAACAAGCGTTCGTACCAAGATTACTATGCTACTTACGCCGCTCGATTCTGCGCTTTTCTCCTTGACTGTGCAGGGTTCATGTTGTCCTTCTCCTCACTGCTGCCCCGTCTTTCATCCAACTGCTCCTGCTGCTCATGGTCCATGTCGAGAGCTATGCCGCTGTCGACCGAGCCATTTGGAAGGAGCGATAGCTGGTGTGGTACAGGTGAGCCAGAGTCAGGCTGCATAGGCGTGAGACCGGTGTCATGGTTGAGCGACGCATCGAATGCGCCGTAGTCGAAGTTATTCGGTAGGAAAGCGTTCGCGTCAAGAGGGTTCTCAAGGCTCTACGACAACGTCAGTAGCTGATATCAAGCTTCAGTACAATCAAGACCTACGGGAGTCGGTAGGGACCCATCATTGCTGGTGCCTGGCAGAAGACCAGTGTCTGTGCCAAAGCCGAAATACTGATATGGCTGTGAGGCGGCAGATGCAAAGTAATTATAATCCATGGAGTCCATATTAACAAGTGAATGACTGAGGTTGATATCTATCCACTTCCTTAACAGCCCTACGGTGGAAGCTGTAAGGCGAGCTGGAGGTGCTAGTCAGCGGTAGGATGGAAGCTGTGTTGGGGCCGAAACGTGGAAGCTTCGCCAGTTATATGGAAGCTGAATAGACAATCAGTAGGAAAGGATCCAGAACAGCAACACAAGGAGTACTAGTAGCAGGCAAGCTCTACCATCGATGAAGCGGCTTGAGCGCAGCAACGCACTCAACTGAGATGAAAGGACGGCACACTGATCAACCAAGTCCGTTCCATGTCGGTCTGCAGGCTGCAGCGATAGACATGCTCCCCGTAGCTCGCGTAGCCTTGAGGATCATGGGATGCAGGGTTGGTGCTGCGGGCGTATACGACATGCTGCAGGCCTTCATAAATCCTTCGCCATTTGCGACCGGCCTGGGATGGGAGTGTTTGGTCGGCAGAGGAAAGTGACAGCGACAACGGCACACCAAGTCAGGCATGGCGCCTTCAGCTGAACCACTAGCCAACAAGGGCTGAGCAGACTAGGCTTGTATGGTCGTTAGTTCAAGTGGAGGGATCTAGCTGCAGAACGGACGTGCAGCTGGTGAACAGTCAGGTTGCGCAGTCAGCAAAGTTCACACGCGGATATACTAAAAGCTTCCCGGTTGTTCACGGCGATAACAATCATAAAACTGGCATGTAGTAAGTTCGTTAACTTCATTGGCGGCAGAAGTCAATTCTTCTGCCGCACGGCATGATGATCGCATCGATCCTACCATCAATCAATGAATATCACCTCCGGTCTTGATGAAGTGCTAGCCACCAACATATCTCTCCACCAGACCACTGGCTAGCTCCATGCAGCTTCCGGACAGCATGTCCACTGCTACGGTGCGAAATCCGATTTTGTTCGCGTCCCTCCACATGTGGGCCGACATAGGCCCCGACCTAGCTGGTCGAGCTGGACGTGCCGTAAGCTATGCGCAGTCGCGGAGCTGCCTTTGCTGGCGAATGCGTTCATAACTCCGGCGCTGGGTGACATTGCACTCCCCATCGAGCGTGTAACTTGGGACGACGAGCTGCTCCATGTAGTCAACGACGCTATCGCCATGATATCCTGCACTGCTGCAGATACCCAGATGGCAAGGAGACATAACCGACGAAGGTCGTTCGGCGTTCAGCGACTGCTCGCCTAGCCACATCCTCGGCGTCTTGCCGAGCTTGATATACAACTAATGCGCTCGTTCGTCTGCGACATATGCGCTGTTGCTGACAGGCCTGGTTACATACGCAAGCATAGACCAATCACAAGGTGATGACCAGCCATAAGGCTAGATCTGCTGGAGCATGTTGTGGCAGCATAGCTGTGCGGCCCGTTATGCCACATGCCAATGTACATACACAGGGAACCAATAAAGATACGGGTCGTCTCTTGTGTGCCTTGCTGAGCGGGCCACAATAGGACGCCACTTACAGACTCTCACAGGTCTGGGAGATCACCGCTGGACTGCCTTATCTTACAGGTACAGTATCGATACTTCTACAGTCCCTAGACTCCGCTCTTGAAATGCTGGGTGCGATATAAGCTTGCTCCGTGTACAAGCATAAGGCTGGAACTGTGCAACATGCCACCCACAAGTGCTGACACGGGGATGAAACATCCCGAGAACCGAGGGTTCACCTGCTCGGCACATTGTCTGCCAAGTTCATTGCGGCTGTCGTGTTTATGCTGGTTCACTGGCCGAAAGGGTGGAGCCAGCTTCCAAGTGACCACCTTGCTGATCTTGGCATGAAATATTCGAGCTTGTTTTACTTAAGGCGTCCCTCATAGATTGGAGATATTGATGGTGCAAGGTGATGGCGAGGGGTCAGTTGCTAACCGTCCTCACTGACAAAAGCGTACTTCAACAGACCGTCGGCAGTTCTGTTTCAACAAGGTCAATCGGATTTGCGTATCAAATGGCAGAGCCGGAATCTAGACCATTGGTATTCAGGCTGCACGGTAGGTTGGATGGCCGAGATAGGGACTGGGTATTATGGCCCGTGCTGCCCGACGAGAGCATTCGTGATATGCCACTAAGAGCGCCACCAACATGTGGGAGCCAGGGTCCAGGATTCCGGCAGCCCTATAAGCGTCGACGCCGTAGGCTGAAACATGCACGTGCTTTGCCTATGCGGGACGGCAATCATGGAACGACTGATAAAAGAAGAGGTCGTCCAGAGCGTGTACGATCCGAGCTTCGCGACTTACGAGCTCGCGACCAATGCATGTCTGTCTCACTTCCACAGCCCGACTTCTTCTTTGGACCATGTCGTGTACATGCCATTGAGCAGCTTGCATGCTCGCGCTTATCGCGCTAGCTTGACTACGGGTATCTCTTCGATGTTCGAAGGCTCGTTGTTGGGAAATCGTGCAGCCAGCATCGCAGCTCAAGGGAAAGCATGGCATATTACGGACCAAAGTTCCGAGCCTCAACCAGGGATCTCGTGTTCGCAAGGCCTATCCAGAGCGCTTCCTCGGTACGAATGGTCCGGCTACCCTGCGAAGGCACAAGATTCACCCAAGCATCGAACAAGTCCTTGGCTTCTGTCACACCGGCTTTCTTAAGCTCTTGATCTGCAGTCAGTGCCGCTTCCAGACCAGCAACACCACCAAGCACAATTAGAAGATGCTGCCAGGTCGGCGCAACGTAATCCTCGTTTCCCGGTTGCACAATCGTCTGAACTGGTACACCTCGCTCGCTCGTGCCCAGACTAACATCATAGCCTCCATCGTATGGCGCCTCGGTGAAGACTGCACCCAAGGACGACGCTTGTCGAACGCTGTAGCCCCAGTAATATCCAGCTTCTTCACGTGGCGCATCCGGCGAGACTGCTTCTCCAACCATTGGTTTAGTCGAGCTCGCGACCGACTGTTCGCCCAATTTCACAGTCACACGGGTGTGATCGTCCAACTGCACAGGCACAGAGACACGGTCTGAAAGACCACAGTCCAAAAGCGTTCCCCGCACACCATCCTTGCTCTCGGTCTGCCGCACTGCTACCGCCTCACGATACGGGCACCACTCGTCACTTCGCAGATGATGTGGCATATCCAGACTTGGTAGAGCGCCAGCCAATTTGAGATCTGCATGCATCGGGAATAGCGCGCGCCGTAGATGTGGTGGTGTTTCCAGGAAGGTCAGAACATGGTACAAGAAGTAGTTCGGGTCTGCAAACGCAGTATAGCCATCACGTTCAGGAGGTCTGATCAGGGCCTGGCCGTCGTTGAAGACTACAACCTCGTCGACACAGAATACTGCACAAGCCCGAGCTATCTGGCCTGCCAGAGCCGTCTTCTGTTCCGGCGTGACAGCGCTGCGAGTGGTCAGTCTCAGGGTCAAATAGAAGTGACTTCCCTGCGCATTGAGTTTTGACGTGTGCGAATGTCAGGAGCCAAACTTGACCAATCTTGTAAAACCCTGATCCCAATGGTCCATCGACTAGGCGAATCGAACAACAATGCTTTTTTCAAGGAGGGGAGACATACTTTGCAATGATGCTCCCTGGAAGTGCGATACTCAAAGTATGGGTGCGCCCACTCGATGGCACGAAAACAGCCGAAGGTTTTGATGTGTCGATGGGTCCATTCTCGTTGCCGCCATGGTCGTTCCCCTTCCGCTTCTTTGACGTCTGTTAGTCACGTGCTGGCTTCCTCGTCGCCGTTTGACTGACTTACCTTTGATTTGTGAGATGCCATGTCAGACGTTGGCCGTCGCTGCAAAACTATCGAACATTCAAAAAGTCGATGAAGTTACTTACTTGCGGCTCTTCCCGCTTCAAAAGCGCTTGGGCTGCCTCAGAACATGATCATCTCATCTCGGTGGACGCATGTAATGATGAAGTCGAAGACGATACCATTGCCATTCTACAACACGAAGTCATAGCGACAAAATGTCACTGAACGGCGATTATTTGTATAACGGCTTCCCTCAGTATGATGGGAGGACGCGCGATAAGTTGACTCTTGTGCTGCAAGACAGGAAAGGACTCCTTATTGCTATCCTTCTTCTGCGTTGCCACTGGGATCCTCTAAACGAGTCATGACTTTTGCAGTATCCTCTACGTGAGAACTTTACAGTGATACAATCACCCAGAGTCTGCAATGGAGGGACTCAGAACGTGTGGGCATCCACTTTGCTGGCTTGCCATGTAAAGCGACGTCGCCTGTAATGATCCCGGACTCAATCACAAGCTCGGATCGGATGAGCTACTAAGCCCAAGTATCATGTACCCAATATCAAGATGCAATCTTCGTACACCGCGAAAAGGTCTCGCGCAAGCCCTAACTAGAAGGTGGAGTTAGTAACCAGCATAGGTAAGCTAACAGCCATCCCAATGCCTCCCCGTATCTCCGCATGCATGACTGAGCGAATGACTACTCCACCTTACTCTAAAGTACGAGGTACAAGTCCAAGCCATTTCATTAATCCTGCAGCTCCCGCATCGTGCGTTTGGGGGCCAATAATAGCTCGAGGATCTGTCATTCGACGCGAGACAGGGCTGCATTCCGCTGCGCTGTCTTGCGAGCTAGCAACGCATGTGCTCCAATGCAAGAGCGATGTTCGGGACTGGTGGACCAGGCTGCAGTTTTGTGAAGCACAGATCGCGAACCAGTCGTCGAGCATTTATCCGGATAGCAGGATGCAGATATGGTATACGTGTACGAGACACGAGAGGTCGTAGGCGAGGCGAAGTGGCGCACGAGAAACGAAGGCAACAAGCGTGATCGGACGGAACGCCGGAGCAATGGTGAAGACGTGCACCTCGATGACCTTCGAGAGAGAGATGATGAGTCTCAATGCCTTCTGCTATATACACTTCAAATTCGTCAGAGCCACGCTTCCAGGACCAGCGGGTCTTGTGACCCCCGTGATAGTACCACAGCGACTCTGCTCCCCAAGCCCCTGTCGTTGGACACGCATACCATCCAAGGGGCAGACCGACAACGACCTCTAATCCTCCTCCTGATAGGAAATTTTCCTCATCTCGCCCAAGCGATGCCGAGCAGCGCTGAGAGAATTCTCCAATTGCAGAATCTCGACCTAAAACAACACGATCAGTCCCATCCATCACGACGGTCACAGAAACCGAGTAAGAAAATTAAAAACATACCTGCTGCTCCATCTGCCTCACCTTGAAATCATGCCCACTCAACTTGCTATAATCCAGATCCTCCTCCCCTTCCCTCTGCCTACTCTCAATAATCGCCTGCACCTGCCTCACCAACCCCCTACAAGCCCCCGTAACAGCTTTACTACACTCCTCGAGCCTCTCCTGCGTCTTCGACATGAAACTAGCCTTCACTCTACTCGCCGCCACAAGCTGTGCCGTGCTGGCCGCCACATCATTCGAAGCGACGATAAGTTGTTCAGGACTATTGCGACCCGAGATCACGCCGTCGGCTGTCTCAATCAACATATTTGTTGACCGCGCCACGGCTTTGGCGGCGGAAATGAGTCCCTCAGTCCATCGATTGTTCTTCTTGTAAAATTGCGTCTTACTCATGCTCGAGCCACGACCTTGTTGCACGATCTCCTGCTGCGAAGCCGTAGCCGCTTTGATGAGTTGCGCGATCGCGTTCGTCACGGCGATGGCGGCTTCGAGGATAGAGTCGTGGATTTTGAGCTCGTAGGTGCTGTATGAGTCCCTTGGTTTGTTCATCAGTTTCGTGAGACGCTCGGTCGCGTCTTCGATGGCTTTGGCGGCGTTGGTCATTTCTCTGTCGACGAGCTCGCCGAGGTCGCCAGAGGTCGAGGTGACTTTTGTGCGTGGGGCGAAGGCATCGGCGAGCTTGCTGAGGTTGTTCAGGGCGATTTGGACGTCGTTGTTTTTGTTGATGACTACGTCTGTCTTCTGGAGGTCCTCTAGGCCGTCCAAGCGGTACGACATTATGCCGCGGAAGAAGTCTACGGAAGATGAGGCTGAGCGTCTGGCGGCAGAGACGAGTTGATCGGACTTCTTGTCGTCACTTGCGAAGCGTGTAAGACCTTTGGTGTTGGATAGCACGTCCGCGATGGCGTTGGAGAAAGTATGAACTGTACGAATCACTTCTGCGTGAGTGCTGTTCGGCCCGTCCGCGATAAAGTTGTTAAATGCTGTACTGAATTCCATGGCTGTCGATTGAGCTTTCTCGATCTGCGACAAGACGTATGGGCCACTGGCGTTCTGGTTGCCGGCTTGATTACTACTGTCGAGCTCATACAACGCATCGTCCACTCTTTGTACACCAGCCGAGAGGACGGAGTCAATAATGTCGTTGATCTTGCGAATGTTCTCGAGAAGCATGACATCGATCTGCTCATCCATAGCCTTATCAACACCGTTGCTGCCGTTGCGAAGCTCATTCAGCTCCATCAGTGTCTGGTCCATACCAGACTTGTAGATCTCCAGCTCGTCCTCCTTTTCGCGGAGTTGACGCTCAAGATCTGAATTACCCTCGCCAGACTTCATGTGGACATCGTCCAAAGCACGAGTCTTGTTGCGCAAGGCCTCCTCCAGATCCGCAATCTCGCGATTGTGTCTTGACAGCATGGAAGAGAGTTCGCTGCCCTTGGCCCGGTCTGCATTGTCGGCACGATCAAGGGCCATTCTCAGCTCACGCTTCAGCTTCTCAAGCTCATCACGGTGTCCACCTGTCGATCGATCCTTATCGTGCAATGCTCGATCGCGTTCTCGGATCATGTCCGCAAGCTCGAGGTTCTTGGTCTTTAGCTCGCGCTCCAGCTTTTCTCGCCTGTCGATGGCTTCCTGCGCGCTCGCGGCCTTGAGCTGTACGCCCTTGAATTTCTGTAGAAGCTCCAAGTGTTCGTGCCGTAGCTGACTGTACAATTTCGCAAGCGCTTCATACTTTGTCCGCCATGTATTGACCTGCTCTTGCAGCGATCTGATCTGATCGTCCTTGCTCTGAGTCTGCTGCTGGAAGTTGGCTCCTAGTTGTCCTAGCTCGCCTTCCAGTGCTTTCATCCGGCGGTCGTATTGCTCCAGCATCAACTGATCCCTCTCGTACTGTGCTCTCGCATTCAAGTTCTCGCGCTCCAGCTCGGCCATGCGCCCTTGTGTCTGCTCCGCGTATTGCTGTCTCTGCAATTGCTCGAGCTGCAACCTCTGCTGTTCTGCCTGCAAGCGCTGCTGCTCCTCGAAGTCTCTCTGAGCCTGCATTGCTTGCTGCTGCTGTTGTCGTTGTGACGCTTCCCATTGCGCTTGCAATCTTGCCTGCTCTGCCGCATACTCCTCCTGCTGCCTTGCCTGCTCGTTTTTCCAGAACTCGTTGATCGGCTCAGGATCCGTGGCTGGTTTTGGTGGTGGAGTCTTGGGCTTCGTGACAGGCTCATTTCGTGGTCGGGAAGGAAGTGCAGGCGCAGTCTCGTCGTCGCTGAGTAGATTCGGAGGGTCTTGCGGCAGCTTCGGCACGGTAATAAGGGAGGTTAGATATCGCAGGTTGGAGCACTCGTAGTAGAATCGCACGAGTCGATAATGCTGAGCGTCATATCTTCCTCGCAGCGGACTCAATGCCTCGTCGTCGCCAAGGGTAGTATGCATAGCCCGCAACATGCTGGTGATGAACTTGTAGATGCCGTAGCTTTCCTGCACTAGTGGCACCAACGCACTGATCCTGCACTCGTTGTTGTTGCCACCCCGGAAGTGCGCAAAGATCAGCTTCTGGAAGCTATCGATCTGGTCCTGCAGGTTCATAAGGTCGGAGATAGTCTCATAGCCCTCGTTCGGATCGTTGATCGACTTCAGACTGATGTACTCCTCGTACTCGAAGGTGCCGTTGAACTCGGGATGATCGCGGTGGAATCGCAACTTGCTGATCAGGTAGAAGATGTATTCGGAAATCAGCGGTTGATATCCTCGCATGCCGTCGTTGCCCTGCCCACCAATCATGCCTCTGCTCAAGCTCTCCAGCCATGACACGTGCTGTTGCGCCTCCTTCAACGCGATCGGGTGGCCTTCTTGCAGCACTTTGTGGACGGTGATGAGGGCCTTGAAGGTCTGCACCTCATCGGCCTGGATGGGCTGGACTTTGATGCCGTTCCAGAAGCTGGCGCTGCTCTTGTGGTCCCACGTGTAGACAATACACGCTCTCACGTGTTTCCGCTTGGGCGCTGTCTCTTCGATGGATGTTGCCTTGCGGATGTTGGTCGTGAGCTCCGTTTCCGACTTGCCCAGGTCGACATTGCGAGTGGACTGATTGAAGAGGGCCATTGTGGGAGACTGTCACTGCGCAGAGGTGCGCTCAGCAGGGGAGGACGTTCGTTTCGTTCGAAGCAGTACTATACTCAGTGCCAAGCTAGGCAACACGTATAAAAAAGTGAGAGTCGACCACGCAATGCGCATGTCAGAGCCTCGACGTCCTTGTGGCTGAGTGGCTGAACTTCTGGAGCTGCGCAAGCTCTCGGAAGCTTCGGCACCAAGAGATCAGTCACGTGTCGCCACTCATGCTACTCTACCTCCACGCACTTCACAACTCAACAGGCCGGCTCCCAACCCATGTCAGCCTTGTACGTACTAGGGCAAGGCTGAGAGGGGAAGGATGGCAGTCTCCAAGGGCTTTGCTCATCTCATGCGTTGCTATATAGCGCCGAAAGCCCCGCAGGACTCCAGAGCTTCCCTACAGCCGACTGTGTATGATGAAGTGTGACAATCTCTTTGTGCTTGATCCTCGATATTCTTGAGTCGACAGTAGGCAGGCGGGTTGCGGGGGTATATATCACTGCAACACACCTTGAAGCCTTAGCCACAGTAACGAGGACTATCCAGCACATCTTGCTTGATTGGTCTGACCAGGAGCACTCACTTCTGGATCACTCACGAACAGAGTTGACTGTTTGAGTTAAATCAAACAATTTCAGCCATGGCCGAGCAAGTCGAACATCCAATGGGTCTTGCAGCGGAGTCCGGCAAACCAACCAACGGCACTAATGGATCACATACGAACAAGTCCTCTGATGCAGTAAAGACATCTCGCTTCGATCCCGCCTTCACGGACGCAGTAATCAATGCTACTGGACCGAAGGCTAGTCCACGACTACGTAAAGTCATGGCGAGCTTGACGAGACATTTACATGACTTCTGTCGTGAAAACGAGATCACAATCGACGAGTACATGGCCGGCGTAGAAATGGTACGTATCGTGTTCCAAGATCGACGCCCTACCCATCAGAACATCCACTAAAACCATATCAAGATCAACTGGGCCGGCCGCATGTCCGACCTCAAACGCAACGAAGGCCAACTCCTAACCGACGTCATCGGCCTCGAAACCCTCGTGGACGAAATAACCTACACCCTCGCCTCCGAAGCCACCGACGCCCCAACGGCAACCGCAATCCTAGGCCCCTTCTGGCGCCAAGACTCTCCAATTTACAAGATGGGCTCAAGCATAATCCAGAACTCCATCCCGGACGGCGACCACACATTTCTGCACGGCCGCGTCCTCGACTTCAACACCGGTAAACCGATCCAGAATGCCGAGATTGACATCTGGCATACTGCTCCCAATGGCCTGTACGAACAGCAAGATCCAGAGCAACCGGATATGAATCTCCGCGGCCGCTTCTACACTGGCGAGGATGGGGCGTATAGTTTCTACTGCTTACGTCCTACCTCCTACCCGGTCCCCATGGATGGCCCAGCGGGGAAACTGATCCAACTGCTTGACCGGCATCCGATGAGACCGGCACATATCCATTTCATCCTCACGGCGGAAGGGTATAAACCCCTGACCACCCAGATTTTCGATCGGAGGGACAAGTATATTGATAATGATGTGGTATTTGCTGTCAAGGACAGTTTGGTAGTGGATTTTTTGCCGAAGAAGGGGGATGAGAAGGCGCAGTTTGATTTGGAGTATGATTTCAAGCTTGTGGGATATGGGGTGGAGAAGAAGGGCGGGATGGAGGGTGCTACGGCTGTGGCGCCTTGAACAGATCGTTGTATTTGGGCACTACTTCGTTATCAGTACAACCACAATCCATGTCAAACGAGTCAGTATTATCAATATCATTGGTAGCAATATCTACACTACACAAGTAGCGCAGCAGTACTCTGCCACACATTGCTTTCGCCGAGCAGAATTTTCAGAAAGTAGGTGTACAGGGGTATACCATTCTCCGTCCATCTACGCTCTTGCGCTACAGTTCTCTTAGTATGATCCAAGGTCCAAAAGTGAGCCTCCCCTTTTTACGCCACTCCATCGCTGATGCAGGAGTACGCAAAGCAGAAAGTGCTTGAAGACCTTTCGATGGCGGTGGCTAGTGCACCAGTTCTTGGATGGTCGCTGTGGCCTGTGACTGTGTCGGCGATTGTGCTATCGCCGCTGGCACTCTTGCACATGCGTGTATCAATGAGGTGGCGCCTGAGGTTTGAGACCTCAACCACTAATCTTCTCGTACAACAAGATATACGCCACCTTGTTGTCCTTGACACCTTCCTTCTTGGCAGTAGGTGTCCTCTTCCCGTTCGTGCTAGTCGGAGTTGCTGTGCCGTTCGTGGTGACAGCAGCACTCCACTGCTTCTTAGCCGCAGCCTGGCCATTGACTTCAGACCATGGCTTTTCTTCCTCAGGCTCGCGATCCGCCTCGTCCAACCCTTGGAAGATGTTTCGTTGCTTCTGCAGATCCTGGTCTGCTTTATGTTGCTCGAGGGCCTTTGCCAGGATCTTCGGGTCCTCTTCTGCGCCACCCTCGGCAACGTCCTCCGGTCGGATGCGTCGGATGAATGTATCGTCGATGCGAATCCACTCACGACCATCTTGGCGCAGGAGGTCAACTGTGTAGTGCCCACCTGCGGCTGACTTCCCATGGTGATACACAACACCAATGAGCTTGTACTTCGGCGTGCCGCCCTTGACTGCAAGCCCACTTCGCTTCGCAGGCGTGAAGACTTCCTTCGGAATCTCAAGCTCCAGCGGGTAGCCGATCTTCTTCCAGATCTTCTGAGTACCTGTCATGCTACTATTGTACTCGAACCGCTTGAGATGAAGCACCAGTACTGGTGGGAGAGTGTCGATGAAGACCTGCTTCTTGGCAGTGTTGCTTCGCCCGCCGAAGTCACCGGTCAGAGTCTCGGTCCTGGTGATGCCCTTCAAGGCATCGATGATATTGTTGACGTGCGAGGCGCCGATATCGAGCTGCAGTGGCTTGTAAGGCTCCAGTGTGACAGAGTCTTTGAGACCTGGCACGCGCAGCTCGGAGCGCAAGTTACCACCGAAGATCTTTGTGACAGGTGTGGGCGCTTCTTGGTGACCTGCTGTCCGTGTCACAGAAGCCTTTTGCTTCGGTCCAACCTCGAGCCAGCCGTCTCCCGAGCTTGGCGATTCTGTGACGCTAGGTGTGAGAGCGCCATTGGTCTGTGGCTTCTCATCTGCCGCGCTAGACATCATGAGCGCAAACTCGTCGTGCAGTTCTTCGAGCAGAAAGCCCATGAATTCCTCAGCATCCTGCTGGTGTCCTCGCCTCATGCCATTAAATCTTGGCAGCTTCCGGATCGCATCGTACACATACTCCGGCGCAAAGGCTTCACCATACTGCTCCAGTTGCTGCTGGTTGAGTGTCCGCTGCAAAGAACCCATTGACTCCGCGCTGGAAAGTACCTTGAACTCCCGCATGAACATAATCATCGCATCGACAAGAGGGGTATCGCTTTTCAATGAATGGACCGTGCGTTGCCGTACCTGGTCCAAGAAGTCGTAGAAAGGTGCGCAAAATACAAGAATTTGAAGGATCTACATCATTATTAGCATTGATGGTCTTAGGTTATCAAGGTGGAGGTACTTACAGAGTTCATATAACACATGTTCCCCGTGTTCACGAGGCCACGGGGTTCGAGAAAAGAAAGTGTGACGCCGTGCTCGACGCTATACTGACGGAGTGCATCGCTCAGAGTTGCACTTTTCGGAACCGTGCTGCCATTAGTGATAACAGCGCCGTTTGCTTGCGCGGCTGCACCATTGGCACCCTTTGTTCGAACCAAATCAGCCCACGACTTTGGTGCTGCCTTAGGTGGTGGCGTCTTAGGTTCCTCCTGCTCCTGCACTGGTGCTTGCGGCTCGTCTGCTTGTGCGGCAGGCTGTGTCTCGGGTGTAGGTGTTGTTTGCTCCGTGTCGGTCGTGAGTGGCACATCTTGCTTTGGCGCTGCAGGTGGTGATGCTCGTTGCTTCGGCAGACCGGGTATGTTCGGCACAGCGATAGCTGATCGTGTGTCTCTCCGTACATGCGTCTGTGTAGGTGTGATCTTAGGTGAGTCGGCAGACGGATGTGCCGGCGTCGCGGGTGTTGAAACTTGCGTGAAGTCGCTTTCTGATGGCGCCTGGGATGTGGCCGGAGTTTCGGGCTCAGATGGCGCGGCGATTGTGGATACTTCGGATGAAGGCTCTTTCGGTAGCGCCGGGGCTGCTTGCTGCGGTGCATTTGGCGCGGCTGGTAGTGCCACAGTATCTGTAGTCCTGTGCAGCTTTTGCGTTCTCCTTCGGCGCGCCATGTCTCTGCGTGGAAAGATGGACTCGGGTACTGAATACCAAGGAAGTGCCGGGTAGAAGGGCGTCTTGTGCTCAGGTGCTAGGGAGAGAGGACTCTGTGCGGTAGACTCCCGCCTCGATGCTGGCGCCGGTGTTGGTGCTTTTGGTTGTACTGCAGATATCGGCTCTTCTACAATTGTCTTAACGTGTTCTTCTTTTGGTCGGATCTCCTCTGGTAGTAGAGGCGCTTGTGCTTGCTCTTGCTTCATGTTTATAGGTGGAGGTGTGGAAAATGCCTGCGAGTGATACTGTATTTGCGGCTGTATCCGTGCTGGTGAATGGTAATCGGTGCGTGACTGTGCGTGTGGCGGCAGAGGAGGTCGTGTGACTTGTGGTGATGGTTGCGGCTGCCCGTATGGATTCGGAGTGGAAACCACGACTGGGCTTTGAGGGTATTGTTGCCTCATTTGATGATGCTGCTGCTGCTGCTGCTGCTGCGGTGGATATCCAGGATTGTATTGCGGTGTCCATCGTGGCTGCTGCGGATAGTGAATCTGCGGAGGTGGTGTGTAATAATGCTGCGGAGGAGGGCCGCCGTAGTTCTGGTACGGCATAGAGTGCATGGGTGAATGAGGTTGGGCATGCTGATAGCTGCTGTGATACTCCTGCTGCCGCCTAGAAGGCTGATAGTTCGGCATCGCAGCAGACATGTTGTGTGGTAGGCCAGGAGCCCCAGCCGGCCCGTGGTTCATCATGGCGATGAGGAGCTATTGCCTCACGCAGATAGCGGTGGTCCTTTCAGACCAAGCCGGCCATCTGCGGAGAGCGAGCGATAGTGAGTCGGGAGTGTGTGAAATTATGAGACCGCATGAGGTTGACGTGAAGTAGCGGGTATGGGGTGAGGAGATGAGCGCGGCGGAGCGGAGCTGTCCTGATTAACGCTTCTAGCAGCGGTCATGTATCGCTCGCAATGAGTACATTCTGTAGTCACCGGCGTCGAGTTGGCGAAGGAGTCAGGGCACTTGTGTAGTGACTGGGGGCTCGTGGATGGTGTAGCAGTAGATAGCTAGTCACTTTAACAATGCTCGTAGAAGTGAATTTAGTTTCTGGCCCGTGCGTCATCACGCTAGGCTGCATGAAGTACGAAGTCTGTCGACTCGAACTGACTAGCACAACATGTGGACAGGAACAGTTGGACGGTACGGACGGTGCGAATGACTCATGGCAAAAGTAGAGAGTAGCTGCCATTCATGTAACTCGCAATTGCTGGCGAATCCTACCAGGACCGAGTTGACCACAGCGATAGCACCCCATAATGGAAGACGACCCACCAAAACAGAGCACCCGAACAATCAGATCCCAGCTTCCCCAAGAGCTCTCACTCATGTTCATACTCACATGTCCATGCTCAACTCAGGACTAAACCTCGAGACATCGCCTTCCATCTCTTCGTCTTTGTAAACAGTTGTCTGACGCCTCTGGAGTCAAATCAGCTAGAGCCCTCCGCCGGTGGTCGTTTCAGTCGTCATATCATCGGCTTTCTCGACTTCACAGATCTTCTACTCTTCTTAGGCTCCGTTGCGATGTCTTCAGCATGCATAGATTGATCATCATTCACGCCAACATTGTCATCATATCGACGCTTTGGCTTCAGTCCGCGACCTGAACGGCGGATTACATCGTATAAAATCTTCTCAGCGATATTCACGTCGTCTTCTTCAGTAGGTACTTTCTCTTTGCCACGACCGCCGATTCCCCATGGTTTGTGGACAACCGGTAGCAGCTCGTCAGCCGAGTCGAGCGCATTGAGAGTCTGCTTTGCACCAGCCGTCTTGGCTCGCTGATTGCCTGACGCGACAACGATCTCGTCACCGTCGCCATCTTGATTGGTGTCAAAGTAGCATGCGCTTGGTGCTTTGGATGACTGGTCGTTCTCAGACGAGCTATGACTGCCAGAGCGGTGGCGTTTGCTTGCTCTCACGGTGTGATCAGATACCCTGTGGCCGATGAGTGGCAGGGGTACATCAATCGTCGCTTCGATGGAATGATGAACATCCTCACAAGCGCACTCATCTCGATACTCACTCTGCTCGCGCAGCGATGGGAACGCCGGCACTTGCGGCTTCGTAGCGCCTGACTGTGGAACGAGCTTCCTCTGAGGATTGCGATCATTGCATAAGGTGACCGAAGAGTCGATGGAGCTGTAGCGTGTTGTCCGACTACGCATCGGAAGCATGCCTGGGTCTCCTACTGCTCCCTCGTCGTATGGAGCAGTGTCCGCACATCCTGGGCCAACTGTAGACTGATCTACGGCAGTAGTGTTGACGAGGCAATTAAACTCAGATACGTTTGAGTCTCCTGGGCGCGGGAGGATAGCCATGCCATGACCATGACTGCCGACATCAAGCACAGACGAACGACTCTTGGAAGATGAACCTAATTCGTTCGGAGCATGACGACGCTGGACCGTCAGCACCAGACCGTTGGCTGTCGGCGTGGGGACGAGGACCAGTGTGGAGTTGTCCAAAGCAGTCTCGCACGACTGTAGACGACTTTCCAGATTACTACGAAGAGCGTTAGCGGTCACTGCCTGCTCACCGTTCGGGTGTTGACCTACCGATCCTGTTTGGCCACAATATCCTGTAAATCCTGGACTTGACGCTTTATCTCGGCCAGCTCATTGTTTGCCGCGCTTGTGGCTGTATCAGCAGCTACGGCTTTAGCCTCAGCTCGCTCGATCTTCGTATTCATCGTATCACGCCAGGAAGTCACGGCATCCAGTCTGTTGTTCAGGCGTTGCTGCGACTCCTGGATACCACGGATGTCCTCGCATACCAATGCGTGGCCGGCCTGCTGTACAGTGAGCGCAGTCTGCAAAGAAGACTGGACATCCCTGAGCTTCGCATCTGAGTTTGCGAGATCGCCGACTTTCGCATGAAAGGTAGTCATTGCCTCTTCGAACTCAGAAAACTTCGCGTCTGAAGTAGACCTGGACTGTTCAACTTCAAGTAGCCGTGTCTTGAAGCCATTGATAAGACTCTGCAGGATATCGCCAATTTGTGCACTAGCCTGAGCCATCTTGCTAGACGGCAGCTAAGACCTGCAAGCGTTATGGCCGAGGTTAAGCACTGAAAGAGATGGGTAAATGTAACACCGGTGTAGAGAAGCAATGAAAGAATGTTTACGCTGCGATATTATGAATACAAGAACAAATAGAAGACATGAGAAAATCGTGGAGCTTGTTGCACACGTGATGCGCTAGTGGCCGGTGAGCGAGCTAGGGTCCTCGAGGAAGGAACGACCCAGCTGTCGTGCCGGTCGCGCCTGCCTGAAAGGGGTATGGATAAAGTTGACACCGGATCCGATCTAGGCGAAACAGGTGGTGGCAGGAGATCCTGAGTTATGCGCTTTTGCTGTATAAGAACAGAGCAGATATCCATACGTCTCCCCATTGCTAGCCGTGGCTCTGCAGCACTATCGTTGATCGTAGCGGCAAACAATCCCCCCATATCTGTACACTTCATATTTCGTCTCGCTACGGCGAGCTCACATTCTGTCGCCTCTTTGACCTGTCCGCTGGCATGATCATAGGCCTGCCATTTCTTGCCTGCGCCTGCCTGAATGCTTCTGTGATAATCGGAGAGCTGTCTGTTCGAATGGTTGTGCCGATCGACATAAAGAAGCTGTGTATTGTATTGTCAGTATCGCAAGTGCTCCCATCGAAGAGGTGTTCAACGTATGTCGTACCCAAACGTTGCAGCTGATCCTAGCATGTATTGGCCGAGTGTTCGCATCATCCCGTTCGGTCCAGGTCCATATCTGATGATATTTGTTGCTCCGAAGATGAAGCCTATGATGAGGCCCACGGCTATCTTGTATCAGTATCGAAGTGCAGTTAACGATCCACCGTGTTCACGCACTGCCTCCCATCATACCACCCATCTTAGCTGTAAAGTCGTTAGCTGCTGATCGAACTTCTCGATCACATGCAGATTGTACCTTTATCGAGGGTCGAAGGGCCACTCATGCCGCCTGCTGCGGCAACTGGAGGCATGGTTGCGATATATATCTCACCAAAAAGTCGTTGTGTAGATGGACGCTCTTGCCTTACCTCCTCCTCAAGCGTCCATGTCGTCTGCTCTCCACAACCACGAGCTTCGAGCCAGCGCCTCGGTGCAAACGTCCCGTGCCGGGAGCGCGGGAAACAAAGCGCCCGCGCGCGCCAAGGAAACCAGAAGCCAACTGAGAGACGGCAGACGTGATGACCATGAAGCTTCCCCCCGCTCTACTTAATTAACCTCGACTACACGCGCGCGTGTCATTGCTGACGGCTGATTATTCTGGTATTTCTGGACGAGCCGCCATGATTGCATGATTGAGACGGCAGAAGAAAGGCGAAGCGAGCTGCCGCTGGAGACCTCCTTTCAACCCGGAGGCGCGGCTATAGTTACTGGCAGTGACTTCTACATCCTACGATTGCTACGCGACTGCATCTTCACGACTACTTCTACTGGGCTTGATACGTTTCAGGAAGGCACGAAGGGGCATTGCTTGGGTTTTGGGGCGACCTCCGGCTGCACGAAACATTTCTTTTCTGTGAGCACACGACACCCAGGCCCGTGCACTACGCGGCCAACCGCCCAAGGCCATATATCTCATTGGCAAGTTCGTGTATGAGGGAGGAAGGCATCGTTATAGGATATTGGTGTATTGTTAGAGGCGGAGTACAGGTCAACATCGAGCAAGAGCAAGGACCCGACACCCGCAACTGCAACGTCATTGCCCATTGGTCTTACCAATGACTGCGGTCGCAGCTCCTCTGTCCTTCCAGCCCAGTACTCGACTGGGATGGAGTCCTAATGGCAACAGCTACGTTGCGATGAATACCGAAAAGTCCGGCGAAATGTTCAATCCACAACCTCGCAAGACTGTTCAGCGGCAGAATTCATCATCCTCCCTGGCATCCACCAACTCGGCTTCCTCCACCTCGACCTTATCGCCAAGCTCAGTACAAGCGAATGGCAACGGTACAACGTCATCAGATGCAGGCAATTGGGCAACAAGAAAAAAACCAACGCGTGGTCTATGGCCCCCTGGCAAAGCGGAACCTGCCACTGGCATCACTACCGCACGACCTCAAGCTGTGAGCTCGGCGACTTCGGGGCCGACAGCTTCCTCCGCAATCTCTGCTCTGCACACTCCACTGCTCCCCTCTCAGCAAATGGCGAATGGCAATGGTCAAGTCAATGGTGCGGTGCGGAATCAAGCTCAGCCCGAGCCTTCGGCGGTGCTATACCTTCTGCCAATGAATGGCACCTTTGAGCGGAAGACAATCGTCGTACCTTACTACCCGGAGATTCTCAAGGTTGGCCGACAGACAAATCAGAAGACAATCCCAACACCACTCAATGGATTCTTCGACTCGAAAGTCCTGTCACGGCAGCACGCAGAAGTATGGGCTGATCGGCAAGGTCGTGTCTTTATTCGTGATGTGAAGTCAAGCAACGGTACCTTCGTGAACGGCATGCGGCTGAGTCAGGAGAATAAAGAAAGTGAGCCAAGGGAGTTGAGGGAGCAGGATGTGCTGGAGCTTGGGATCGACATTGTGTCAGAGGACCAGAAGACGGTGGTACACCACAAGGTAGCCGCAAAGGTCGAAAACGCTGGGATATATGGACAAGCGAATGATCCGTTGAACTTTGGCGAGCTCGACCCAAGTGTGAGCGGTGGCTTGCTTGCCGCACCGCACGCATTGAAGAGGAATGGCAGCCAGGGCTCAATCAATGGACGAGCGCCTGCAGGGATCGGCGCTGTGCAGCAAAATGGATTAGGAGGCGCGATGCCCGGACAGCCGCAGCATATGCGGGCCTGGCTAAACCCAATCACGACGGAACAGATCGTGAAGAAGCTTAACGTAAGTTTGTCAGCATGTTTGATGTTTGATCGATAACTAAGACCACATAGGTCGAGATGAGACTTGCGATGCAGCAATCACAAGACTTGGCAAGGGCACGACAAATGATCGACCAAATGCTTGGTGGTAAACCTGCTTCGCCAGTAATCAAGGAACCGAAGATGAGCTCTGAGAGAGCACGGCCGTCACCCACGAAGGCGAAGCTTGACCTGCTGGCGCAGTTCACGGAGCCGCCCGCGCCACCACCTCAAGCACCACTGCCAGAGAAGCCGGATGTCGCACGAGCTCTCGCAGATCCGATCATCCGCCCACTATTACGGCGAGATGACACTGCGTTGCCGATGTCTAACAGTAGTTCGCCAACACGAATGGATCACTCTAGCGATATTCTCCGGCTATGTGAGGAGCTGAAGCTTGCTAAAGGAGAATTGAGCAATCAAAGCGAGAGGATGAAGAATCTGGAGAACGAACTAGCGCAGGAGCGGACGGCGCGGGAGAGCGCAGAGGAGAAAGCCCAGAGCCTTGAGCGGGGCGATGTACCGGACCCAGATGAGGAGAGCCCATCGCAAGATGACGATGCAGTGCCATCGATTCTTCAGACACAGCTTGATGGACTACGGACATCTATGGATGAGATGAAGCAGCAGATGGAACGGTACAGGCAGCGAGCGGAGAACGCCGAGACGGAACGAGACGAAGCACGACAATCATTGGCAGAAATGATCGAGCAGAAGCGGAAGGAGAACGAGCGTGGAGGCACTCGTACCCCGTCAGGCCCACGCAAGTCTCCGTCCGCAAAGCGGACACCACAGCTCAACGGCAAAACCATGGAAACGAACGGCCACGCCATCGTACCTTCTCCTGACAGCCCAACATCAGATACTTTACTTAAGCGCGCTGGGGTTGAAGAGGGTCAGCCGATCACACTCGAGCAGGCGAGGATAATGACACAGCTTCTTTCTCAGGAGATCTTGATGCCCGGAGGAGGCGGCCCGGGCAAGGTGAGGGAGTATGGAGTGCCTTATGGAAGTGCGGTGGCGGTTGCGCTGCTTGGGGCTATTGTTATGACTTGGGTCAACGGGTGGCCGAAGGTTGAGAGATGAAAGTTGATGTAGTCAGGATGAAACGTGCGAATTTAAGATCTGCGTTTGCTAGGATGATGGAGCATGGCGCGCGCCGTTCGCACGCGACTAGAGGGGCCAGCAAAGTGACTGCGCTCGAAAGGGCTGCGAATGGCTCAATCAGCTACCTGAGCGGTGCTGGCCTGCCTCGCGTCACATCATACCACAAGACGAGGTTGACACGCAGCCACCACCGAGTGACTGCGAGAGGATAGATGAGGAAGAAGGCCACTGGCAGGAGCGCCAGGTACGACTATGGAAGACGAAGCATATCTTTATCGAACCACAGTGGACTTTACTTTTCTTGGATACCCTCTGCATACGAGGTTGGCGTTGATGTGATAACGAAGGCACAGGACACGATCTACAGAGGCTGACGTCAGGCAGGCTGTGGATCACAGCGATTATGGTATTGTGCATGCATACATGGGCAACTGGGATGTATTGCACGGTAGGAGTTTGATCAGTAGCGACGGCGCACTTCTCGGGTTCGACGAGGCTTTTTCTTGTGTATATACAGCCGAATGTCACGGCACGACCGGTTCACGATCTTAGTTGCCTTGCATGTACCAAAGTCTTCTCATCGTTCTAAAAGCACAAGTATTGCGCCATGTTGTGCTCAGCCTCATGCTTGCGCCTCAATCCGCTGTTCTTGTTCACCATTACAAGATGAAAAGCATGTCACACCGGAGCTACACCCCATACTCCCACAGGATGGTACGAACGCTTGTACACTTTAACAGAGGCGTCTTTGACAAATGACTATATGGATGTGATCGACCGCAGACGAAAGCGCGCATTTCTAGCATCTATTCAGCCGCTCAGCCGTCGTAGTCTAAGGAACATGCACTATGACTACGTCTCGTTGCCTGAGTACCATGTCCGAGTATTCCATATCGACCTGGCCTCTAGCCTGACGGATCCCTTGGTCGGAAGATTCGAAGTCATAGCCTTGAAGACGTTCAAGATTGATGAAAATGACGATGATGTTACTGCCGGCCCGCGACAAAACGAAGGCCTAGATGCTGGGAGCGACTCGCACACTATCGGGTCCCGAAGGCAACACGGACATCGTCTGAGGTCAGGCGCGGTAAGACTCGCTACATAGCACTGTCTTACGCCTGGTGCTCGGCAGAACTAACACAAGTCATTTTCTGCCCTTATCGGGCTGTTCAAGTAACTGGGAGTCTGTACAGTGCTCTCATCCGAGTACGAGAACAACTGGATCGAGGCTCGCTACAGACACCGGGATCAGCTAGCCGACCAGCAGTATGGGCTGACGGCCTCTGTATCGACCAGGCGAATACTGAAGAGCGCAATCATTAGGTGCAGAGTATGCTTCGCATATACCAATCCTGCTCTCGACTAGTAGTGTGGCTAGGCGAAGAAGCTCACCCACCAAACTCGCTATTCGATCGATCAACAGAAAGCTGGCAGCCGGACCTCGTGAGAGCGCCTTGGTTCGGACGTCGCTGGGTGGTACAAGAATACTGTGCCGCCCAAGGAAAGAAGCGAGACTTCCTCTATGGCAGCATTTGCCGCCCAGACCGGGAAGTCGTATGGTGTCTGGAAGAGCTCGAGCTTCTTTCTCAAGCTGGTCCGCTATCGAGCGAGGATGACAGAGCTGCACGGCTTATATGTGAGCTTTACGCACATCAAGACACCGTCTGCCAGGACCCTCGAGATTGTGTTTACGCTTTGCTCGGTATTAACTCCGATAGTGTGGAGAGGGACTATGACTACACACTGTATCCAATGGAAGAGTACTGGGTGGATGTTAATTATACGAGCTCTATTAATCGATTGTATACAGCAGTTGCTCGCCACTACGTGACAGGTTCCAGTCGGGATAGCATGGCATTCTACTTTTCGATGGGTTGTGCAGTCGTTCGGAGGCATAGGCGAGGTCGAGTCAATCCTCGACTGCCTTCCAGGGTTCTGGACTGGCGCCACGAAGAGCAAAGCTCGAACATAACCACGGATGACGCGGAGGGGGCTATATCTGGGCAAGCCGAAGAGACCGCATCGGTGTACATGGAGCTAGCACTAGAGGACTGCTCTGAGTTCTCACAATATCACGATACTTTACTTCAGCGACAGTTCCTCCAAACAACAAGGGTCTTCAGCAAGCCAGAGTTCCGTCTTGGACGAAAAGACCGCATTTCCGCAACAGGCTCGTTATTAAGGCCGGAAGCATTGAGTGCATGGACGATCACTCACCCCGAGCGCTTGTTCTTCCTTGCTGGCGGGACCGGAGAAGATGCCGAGATCCATGACATTCTGATATTAGCAGAACGACTACAGACAGTAGCAAAGTTGTTCTTCATACCCGGTGACTCCTTTCGATCCCCGCAGCGCGGAGCACTGAGGTCCCGCTCTTGCTATCCTGCGTTCATCTTGCATCCCAAGACTGCGGCTCGACGTAAAGCCGTCTCAAGCAAGAGCGATGTCTATATGCTTGATGACTGTGTCGTCTTGTGCGGAGCCCCCGAGAGACATGCAGTCCTCGACATACTGAGTACGGAGCCGCAATCTCGAATTCATATCGTTTAGAGAGGTCGATAATATTATCTGCGCGTGCGACAGACTGGCCAGTAGCACGCTTCCGGCAGAGCCAAATTGAGGTATCTCACACTCAGCCTGACTGATTGGTGCCAGATTGAAATGAGCTCAAGCCCTATCTCATTGGCCTCCACATCCACCCAGTTACTACAGAGGAGCTGGCAAGCATGCACACCACTGTGAACCATATCACTATAGCATACCTCCCCAAACCATACTCGGTAGCATTCACAGCTTTGTCCGAGCCGATCAGCCAACTACTGATCGGACCCTCAAGCACATTCGACACGCCTCGCTCGAAGCTGAAGAAGCCATAGAGCAGCATCGTCGTGCCCTCGGGATCCCCATTTCCATCCATGCCACGAGCATCAGAGGCTAGGAACGTGCACATCCTCGTGAAGAGAACACTATAGCTGGCACTAAAGAAACCCCAGACCATCACAAAAGGCACCAGAGTCGCCATATTCTTCGCCGGACCCCAAAGAAGCAAAGCACCAACTCCAGGGACTAGTGCGGAGACGGCCGTCGGGATATAGATGTTGACTCGATCCGAGATCCATCCTTGCCATATCTGTCCGAGAACTTGTGATAGCGATATCAAGGCCAGAAGACTTGAACTCGCAGCAGAGGAGAGGCCGAGGTCGGAGGCGTAGGATGGGATATATATGTTTGGGATGAAGAAGCCGAGGCCTTGGGTGAAGACTGCAAAGGCTAGGAGGAGGAAGTGCTTGTTCGTGAGAAAGGGTCGTAGAGATCTCAGACTGTCGCTGTCACTTTCAAGCTTCTTCTTCTGAGCCTTCGGGACTCGTCCAGCAGGTTTTCGAGGTCGTATGAGCCACAGTCCCGGTGCTGAGACCACGATGGTAATCAGCGCATACACCCTCAAAGCAACGCGGAACCCATATCTCTCAAGCAACCATTCCATACAGACAGGTATAAACAATCCCGTGACCCCACTAGCACCAAACAGAATCCCATAAGCTAGTCCTCGTCTCCGTACAAACCACTCGTTCAGCATGAATAATAAAGGCGTATAACACACTACCCAGCCCGTCCCATACACCACTCCCTGCCACAAAAGCAGTTCCCAGACATGCGTAGCCAGACTCGCCCCAAGGAGTCCGAAGATACACATGATCCAGCCTACACAGCACATCGTACGCCGATGCTGAGGCCAGCGGAGCGCAATAGCGTTCGTCAACGGCATGAGTAGATAGCTCAACCCCGTCGCTAGTGTTCCGACTGTGGGGATGAGATGGGAGGACGACTTGAAGAGGAAGTGATTGGTGTAATGAGATTGGAAGACCCCGAACGCGAGCGGGAAAGCCCAGATCATGGCTTCGATTAGCCAGCAGCCGAGGAGGAAGGAGTAGGCTCCTTTGCCGCGGTCGATGGGCGGGAGGCTTTCGTCTTCGGTCTGGTCATCGTCGTCGTCTTCTTCGTTCTCTTGTTCTTCGTTCGAGAGTAGGTGGTCTAGATCCGATGTTGTTGAGTCAATCGATGTCCGCGGTGGCGGCGGCAAGACTCCCAGCTTAAATGCATTGTTGAGGCTGTTTGCTCGACATGCCACCATCATCTTTTGTGCGAGAGAAGCGTTATGCGAACATCAACTCCATGTTCAACTCCACAGTGTGGGGTGCAGTCAGAATGGAGAAGAACAATGACATGAAGCTGGGTTTTGGTGTGGGGTCCACCTCGAGAGGATCAAGGTGGAGATCTATTGGGTTGGAAAATCTCAATACATGTATTCCACTCTTTCCACCCATCCGTCACTAAGTAACGCTAATGCATTCGACATGGACGAGCAATAAATAAAAGGCCATCAGGTTCTAGTCAAACAGGCACAAGCCGCTCAGAGCAACACTATGTCCACCCACCCCAAGCCAAGCCCAAACATCCATCCATAAAAAGGGACCAGGAAAGACCCAGAACATGTTTAACCATGAATTGTAAAGCGAGGAGTAGAAAGTGGTATTCAATCTCCCTCCAATGACAAACGTGATCCTTCCATTGATGTTTGAATGGTACGTATACTGAGGAGGGTGTTTCTGTTGTATTGTGTGGGGTAAGGTATATGCAGGGAGGAAATGGGAAGGGTAACTCCAGGACAGGCAAAGGAGAAGGGGAATGGGAGAAAGGAGGTAGCTGGTGAGAGAGGGACGGGAGAGGGGGAAAGCGTGCTTGTAAGGGGGGGCAAAAGCCTCTGGCGGATGGAGGTATAAGTATGTGCAAGTCTTGGTGTACAAGATGATGGGGGTATAAGTACAGTGGTCCAGTAAGTCAGCGTGATCCAAGCGCGTAATGCCACGAACCATGAGGTATAACTTCCTCGCTCAGCTCCTGTTCCCGTCCGCCAAAGTCGGAGCAGAGGTAGGTGAATCAACCCCTATACCTCTGATGCAACTGCCGAATCTGCTCCTGCACATCCCCACCCGCCGCACCTTGCCCTTGCTGCGCCTGCACCTGTCCACCCGGCACCCCCACCCCGCCCTCAAGCATCGCTCTCTTCCGCCTCTCTTCCTCCTCCGCCGATCCAGACCCCGAAACAGCATCAAAGACATCCCCCCTCTGACTCGCCAACCGCCTTAAATTATTCGCCACCTCCCCCATACTCAAATTCGTCGTACTGCTCCTCTGGACGGCAATCCGATTCTGATCCCGCCACAGCGGGTCCAGCATTTCGATGCGCATGTGTTCTGCTATCTCCACGTCGGGGATGAATTGCCCACAATTAGGGCACAGAGATGTTCCGGGCGGTTGGCGGGATTTTGGCTGTGCGGCGGCGCGGGGGACGTAGTCGGTTCGGATTTTTTGTTGAGGGGTGCTGGTGCGGGCGGCTTCTTGAGCGAGGCGGGCGCGGTCTTGGTTCATGCGGAGTTCGGCTAGGCGGCCGGCTTGGTCGTCGGCGCCTGGGGGTGGTTGCCAGGCTGGTTGGGGTATGGGTGGGGTGTAGGGTGTCTGATATTGTTGTTGCTGTTGTTGTTGTTGTTGTTGTTGCTGCTGAGGAGTAGCACCATATACGCCATTGTTGTCGTCGAAGGACGGGAAGGCCTCTTCCAGGCGCATATTGGGGTTGATCGACATTTTCGCCTTTTGCTCCAGACTTGCGGATTGGAGATCGTTGAGTGTGGTTGGAGGTGGAAGCTGAGCCTCTGCGTCCCGCTCATCGAACATCACGGTCTCGACAACGACAAAGTCATGCCAGTCGATTTGTTGGAAAGCAACCTTTTCCTTCTCCTCCGACTCCTCTTTCGCCACCTTCTGCGCCTCCTGCCACTTCACATACTCCGCCCTCTTCTTCGCCTTCTCCAGAACTCGGAATTTGTTCTCCACATTTGCCTCCAGCTCTCCTATCCTCTTCTTCTGCGGTCGTCCACCATCCACGCTCTCGCCCTGCAGAAGCTCGGAATACTGATCCACCAATCGCGTGAAGAACTGATAAAGACTATGTTGCGGTCGCAGGAAATCGAACTGGAAGTTTCCCGCTTCTCTTTGCGAAAGGTTGGTCATCCAGCTTCGTCCGTTCTTCGCCACAAACATGGCCGTCAACTTCACGATCTCCAGATCTTGAGCAGAGATATTCGGCATCCGGGCCGAAAACACAAACTCTTCGGGCTTATCCGGGCCTTTCCTCTCCTCCCTGCCTTTACTGCTCACACCCGTTCCACCACCACTAGCCGCTTCATTCTCCCGCCCAGCACTGATAGCATTCCCACGTCCAGCTTTGATCTCTTCCAGTCTCCAGCGGTAGTAGGCATTGTAGGGATCGTCGTCGAGGACGAATGATACCTTCGCTTTCGACTCACCAGTCTTTAGCCGTTCTTCGAATTGAGCACCATTTCTGGCGACGTAACCTGGGCTAAGTATTAGCAATCATTCCCGCAATGTCTTGTATTCGGGTCCTACATACCCGCCGCCTTTTCTATTTGTGTCTTCACTCCGGCTGGCGGGATGATGATGCCTGCCGGTGCCTTACTCGAGGCATCATCGAGGACACCATTGGGTTTGCTGTCGGCCATTGAGGTGTTGAGAGGGGATGGGGGTGATGGGGAGGGATGTCGATGGTGAAGGTGTAGGAAAGTGTTTGGTCGACTCGGAACTTCGAGTTGCTAGCTCTCGCGAGTCATGCTTGTCTTGGCAACGATCTTCGAGCTGCGCGTGCGGGAGCGGGAGCGGGAGAGGGAGGCGATGCAGGCGCGTGAACCCTGTCGCTGCCGGTCTCTCCTAAGAATAAACGCCAGCTTGACAATTCGTACGGAGAGAAGCTGCAGTAGCTGAAGCGCAAGGCTGGACAGCATTCACCCCTTACATTCTAACACTACTTCCTTGTTACCATTCACTGTCGTTCCTTCCTCATACATTTTGAAGAGCAGAGACGTGATTGACGAACACGTGTTATTGGGGAAGGAGGTCGTCGAACAGAGCAGGCACGACACAACACCAATGGTCGTTACAATTCCACCTCATTAACCACCTCATTTACCACCCCATTAACCACCCATTGATTGATCGGTTGATTGATCGATCACCCACCACCAACACCGCCATCATGGCGACCCGATCAGCACCAAGGCAGCAACAACAACAGCCACTCCCACCCGTCCAAACCAAGAATGTCCAACAACCACAACAGCAATCCCCTCGATCACCCGAGATGAAGCAATCCCACCCCTCCAAGCCCCCTCACCCCTCCTACGCATACACCAGCCACGGCATAACCAACAACAACCTCCTCCACCTCCCCAAACACGACTGGGAACTCCTCGCCGCCCTCACCCTCGTTGCCCTCTTCGTCCGCCTCTTCCGCATCTACCAGCCCTCCTCCGTCGTCTTCGACGAAGTCCACTTCGGTGGCTTCGCAAGCAAATACATCAAAGGCAAGTTCTTCATGGATGTTCACCCGCCCCTTGCCAAGCTCCTCCTCACGCTGGCCGGATGGTTGGCGGGATTCGACGGCGAGTTTGATTTCAAGGATATTGGGAAGGATTATTTGGAGCCCGGGGTGCCGTACGTGGCTATGAGGTTGTTGCCTGCGATTTGTGGTGTCTTGACTATTCCGACCATCTACTTGACGCTCAAGGTGGCGGGGTGTAAGACTACGAGTGCCGCTCTTGGAGCTGGATTGGTGATCTTTGAGAATGGACTCGTCACGCAGAGTCGCTTGATTCTGCTTGATTCGCCTTTGATCATATTCACCGCCCTGACAGCGCTAAGCTGGACGAGCTTCACGAATCAGCATGAGTTGGGACCACAGTACGCATTCAGGCCTTCCTGGTGGTTCTGGCTGGCCGCCACTGGTCTCACACTCGGCGCAACAGTCAGCGTGAAGTGGGTTGGTCTCTTCACCATCGCCTGGGTGGGGTCGCTCACAGCCCTCCAGCTCTGGGTCCTCCTTGGCGACACGAAAAATGTCAACATCCGCGTGTGGTTCAAGCACCTCTTCGCCCGCATCTTCTGCCTCATCGTCATCCCGGTCACCTTCTACATGGCCATGTTCGCCATCCACTTCGTCTGCCTCGTCAACCCTGGAGACGGCGATGGCTTCATGTCCTCGGAATTCCAAAGCACTCTCAACAGCAAAGGCATGGCCGACGTCCCCGCCGACGTCGCTTTCGGCTCCCGCGTCAGCTTCCGCCACCACAATACCCAAGGCGGCTACCTCCACTCCCACTCCCACATGTACCCAGCCGGATCCAAACAACAACAAATCACCCTCTACCCGCACAAAGACGAGAACAACGTCTTCCTCCTCGAGAACCAAACCCAACCCATCAACTGGGCCCTCGACCCCACAGGCAATACCTCCTTCCCCGGCCCCCTAGCCTGGGACAACCTCGCCCAACCCGCCTTCATCGAAGACGGCTCCCTCATCCGCCTCTACCACATCGTCACCGATCGCCGTCTCCACTCCCACGACGTCCGCCCCCCCATCACCGAAGCCGAATGGCAAAACGAAGTCTCGGCCTACGGCTACGAGGGCTTCGAAGGCGACGCCAACGATCTCTTCCGCGTGGAGATCGTCAAATCCCTCTCTGACGGCGCGGCCGCGAAGACGAGACTCAGGACTATCCAGTCCAAGTTCAAGCTCGTGCATATCATGACTGGATGTGTGCTCTTCAGTCATAAAGTCAAATTACCCGATTGGGGCTTCGAACAGCAGGAGGTGACGTGCGCCAAAGGCGGCACCTTGCCGAATTCCGTCTGGTATATCGAGAGTAATAACCACCCCCAACTCGACTCGGTCAGCGAGAAAGTGAATTACCGCAACCCAGGCTTCTTCGGCAAATTCTGGGAATTACAACAGGTAATGTGGACCACCAACGCCGGCCTCGTGGAATCGCACGCCTGGGACTCCCGACCGCCTAGCTGGCCGATTCTGAGGCGCGGGATTAATTTCTGGGGGGTCGATCACAGACAGATTTACCTGATTGGAAATCCGTTAATTTGGTGGAGTAGTACGGCTGCGATTGGGTTGTGGGTGGCTTTCAAGGCGTTGGCTGTGTTGAGGTGGCAGAGGGGGTGTGGGGATTATGGGAATGTGGTTTTGAGACGGTTCGATTATGAGATTGGGATGAGTGTGCTGGGGTGGGCGTTTCATTATTTTCCGTTTTATCTTATGCAACGGTATGTTTTCGCTGTTCCCCCCCCCTTGCCCACGACCACCGGTTTCTGGTTTCGGGAGAGATTTGGTACTGATGTGTTCATACAGTCAACTCTTCCTCCACCACTACTTCCCGGCCTTGTACTTCGCCATCATGGTCTTCGCCCAGATCTTCGACTTCACCACTTCCCGCATCACTCTCTCCCTCCCCAACAATATCAACCTGACGCTCAAAAACCAACCTTATATCGCCCGCGTCTCCGCCGTCGTCTTCCTGGCTCTATCCATCGTCGTCTTTGGCCTTTATGCTCCTCTTAGCTATGGAAACTCCTGGACTAAGAACGATTGTAATCGCGTTAAGCTTTTTGGGACTTGGGATTGGGATTGTAATACTTTTCACGATTCTTATGCGGATTACTCCCTCTCTGTCAAGCCTGCTTCGGGTCCTGCTCCTACGGGCGACGCGGGTATGGCTGCTGTGAACGGGCCGGCGCCGCCGGTTGCCGAGGATCCGGCGAAGGATGTCCTGGTTACGCCTGGCATGCCTGCTCCTGTGGGTGGTGGGCAGCAGGTCCTCTCCGGTGCTGCGGGAGCTCCGATCGTGGAAGAGAAGGTCGAATATCGGGACGATCAGGGGAATCTGCTCGATGAAGAACAGGTTAAAGCTTTGGAAGGGAAAGTGTCTTTTTCCACGCGGTACGAGACGAGGACGAGGATGGTGGATACGCAGGGGAATGAGATCTTTAATGAGGTCGTTGGTGGGGAGGAGGAGAAGAACTTCGCGGGCTCGTCGGCTGATGGGCCGGATGAGGCGACTGCGGGGGAGAGTGGAGGGGCGGAGGCAAGTACGAAGCCGGGGAGTGTGAATGTTGAGGCGGACCTGCGCAAGGAGGCTGCTGTCGAGGGCGGTGCGGGGACGGCTGAGCCCGAAAGTGGGGCGGGGAAGGAGACGGGGAGGGATGAGTTGTAGAGCGTCTTGACAGAGAGTGATGATGATGTAGTGGCCCGGTTGTTGTGGTAGCAAGAGGCATGATGTATTGATGAAAGGATAAGATAAGGGGTGAGAGAGGCGGGGGGGGGGGAATGTATGAATATGTCCTGTTGCAAATTGTTTTTTCAAGCTGAGGTAGACCTGTAACGGGGAGAGAAAAGAAAGGGGTCTGATCACGCACGACTACGAACGTTTGTAAGATGAGAAATCTGGTCCATGAAGCACCTCACGCCTTGGTTGAGCTAAAGGTGGAAGGCGGGCGTCAGTGCAATGCCCTTCTCAAACTGAAGTGCGCCGTGAATGTCTAGCCACAGGTAGATTCGGGCATCGCAAGGTCGTGATGTTTGTGAATCGTCACGGCACAAATCCAGAACTTCCTTCTACGACAGGCTAGCGTGGCACAACACGTGCGGGTGCCGCAACTGCTTACCACCATGATCACGACGATAGGAGGGTTGGGTGAATTTTGGGACGAAGAGGATTTGATGTGACCCACGCACTGGGAGAATAAAATCGCGCTATGAGGTTTTTGATTCTTCTCTCTCTCCAGTACGTTACTTGCGGAATACTTTCCCTTGTGCCTCGACGACAAGCATACAACACTCCACCACCGGCATCTCCTCACCACGGGCAGGTGATTCGATTTCGTATATAACAGACCAGTCCCAACCAATACCAGTCACCGTCCTATCAGCCTCGCACTCCAGGATAATTAGCCAAACATCGACTTTTCCCTCCTCGATCTTGCCTCCTCGATCTTGCCTCCTCGATCTTGCCTCCTCGATCTTCGTCTTCTCTCCTCCAGCGCACAACCAACACAATCGACACAACCATGGGTTGCCTCCCTCGCCTCTTCACCGCCCTCCACAACAAATATACCGCCTACCGCCAAAAACGCAGAGCGGCTAAAGAAGCCCGGAGGAGAGAATGCGCGGAAGCGCTAGCGCTCCGTGAAGCCTGCGGTCACGCAGCACTTCTTAGCCCGTCTTCCTCCCGGAACGTAGAGGAGCTCGGAAGATCGAGGAGTAGGAAGAGCAAACTGGCTATTGCGACCGTGACGCCTGCCACCGCAGGAGCAAGGGGTAGTACTTCGCAAGGAGAGACGGGGTATAGCAAACGCAAGCCCATCCCAGAGCCCTGCCCCACCCGGGAGCCCTGGGCAAGAGACGTAGAAGGTGCATTGGAAGCAGTAAAGACCTGGGCGTGGCCGGAAATCTGCTGCAAGCCTGTCTCGCAACCACCCATGGCTCAGAAGAAGAAGAAGACCATTCTAACCACCCCAACCAACTCAAGCAAAACCGAGATGGCAGAGACCCGAAAAGATTCCCGGGCCTTGCACTCGCACATCCCGTCCTCACCCTTCCCCACCAAGACAGCGGCAGAAGCGGAATCAGCGCGCAGACTTTCGCGGAAATGTAGTCCCGCTCCTCCACAGATTGTCAAAGCGCTGCCGCAGTTTTCTGTTGCTCCGAGGACAATGAGTTGCGTAGTGGGTCGTTGTGGGAGGGGTAATGGGAGTAGGAGCGGCAGTGGCAGTGCCGAGAGCGAAATGGATGTTAGACGGGTGAGTGAGGGTCGGGCGTTTGGTGCGCTGTGATCCGGGATCGCAGGCTCGGTGATGATGTAGAGCGAAAATGTCAAGCCCTCGTGGCCAACATCTAAGTAGCGATCGCGTAGCGAATAGTGTCCTGCAGGCAGCAAGCTTGAGTCGAGCTCCGGACAAACTTGAAAAGCCCCTTTCGGAAGCCGTTCTCAATATCTTCTCTCACCCCCCAATCCACACCCCCATCCCCCCACTTCCCCCCTTCCCCTTGCCCCTCCCCATCTCCCGTCCAATGTCCTCCCTCACAATCCTCTCCTTCAACCCCTCCACCCTCTTCAATTCTTCCTCGATAACGCCCCCAGCGGCAAGATCCAATACCCCACCCTTCACACCCCCATCCCGGCCGAACCAACCTCTCCACTCGGACCAACCCGCATTTCGTCCGCCTTCACGGTAAGAAGTGGAGTCCTGCGTTTCGGCGAGACGGTGGAGCATAGTTTCCCAATTACCCACGCCAGTGAGGAGGCAGGCTTTGCATCTTTCTTTCTCCTTTGGCGTTTCGGCTGCGGAGTTGTGGGTTTGGTTTTGGAGATTCGCTTCAGCGATGGCGACGGCTTGACGCGTCCATCCTAGTCCTTCATTGCTAGCGGGAGAAGTCGCGAAGAGGATTTCGCCGATATACAACATTAGTTCGCTCTCGTCACAGCTCGGCTTCTCACTCGTACGGATCAGTGGCAGATCCCCGGATGGTGGCGGAAGGGGGTAAGCAGGGACTTGAAAGATTTTGGCCAGGAGGGAGCTAGCGGCGCCTATGTCTGTTTTGGGTTGTTCTGGGTCGGTGAAGAGGGCACTGAGGTTGCGCGTGGTGGATTGGGACATAGGGGAGAGTGGCGCTGAGCGGCGGGCTCGGAGGACGGAGAGAAAGAGGGGCAGAGCGGAGGAGACATTGCTGGTGCGGGCGTGGTGGATTGCTAGTGCTGTAGCGGCTTGGAGGAGGTTTGGTGTTGCGTTCGATTCGCCGACGTTTCCTAATAGGACGCTTGTCCTGGCGTCGATGATTGTGTCGGGTGCAATATGATTAGGAAGACCAGCTTTGGCGATGTCGACACCCCATCTGTACATCTCCTCGGCGCTGTCCTGTAAACCTTTGAATTCCAGCCAATTCGCGTAGACCAAAGCCGCATCCAGTTTCTGCTTGGTGGTAAAGCCCTTGCCAGTAAGCACACGCATGTAGAACGTCTCCGGCGCCTCAAAAGGCCTCACGCAATTCTCCTCCAGCGGCGCAGCAGGCATATATGCCGGCACAGGCCTAGGATCCAGATTCGAAGGGCCTACAACCATCTCCTTTGGAAACACTAAACCCCTCGTCTCATCCAATACCATGCCATCCATCTGCTCCGCCGCAGCCGCACAACCCATGATAACCTCACAATACCCCGACCTCCACGGCCACGACTTCCCACTAATATCCTGCCCGGCCTTCCTTACCCCCTCGATCAAAATTCCGCCTTCCTCCACCTCCCCAGTCCCCTTCCCATCTCTCCCCCTATCCTCCAACCTCGCCAAGCACCTCCTCAACGACCCACCGACAGAAGCCCAGTCCACAAACCCCTGCGTCTCCCCCGCCTCCATCTGCGCCCTCGCCCCCCTCAACGCCCAGCGAGCCCAGAAACTCCATTCCTCTGGTGTTGGGTTCTTACGTTCCTGTAGTTCGATCGCGATGCCGAGGTACATCATCCCGCCTAGGATCCCGAAGACCCAGATGATGATGCTCCATTTGACCGCGAGGTAGAATTGTTCGCTTATGTAACGCCGGGTTTCGGTGGAGAGCAGGCGGGCGAGGTGCGGGTTGGGGCCGAGGATGCTGTTGGTGGGGCGGAGCGGGGGTTGGGAGAGGTAGGGGATCTGCGGGCGGGAGGTGTGGCGGTGGGTGAGGATGCGGTGGGGGGAGGTTTGGGTGAAGAGGCGTGTTTGTGGGACTGGGCGGGAGATGGTGATGGCATTGGGCGGGCGGAGTGGTCGTGTGGATGGTATTCTCGTGCGGGCGATTTGTCTTGATAGCATTGTGTTGGCTGGGAATTGGCCTTGCCGGACGTATGTACTATGTAGTACGGTGCTGGAGCTCGGTAGTGATGATGTCGAAGCTCAAATGCATGGCCTCACCTCCGCCATGATCGACGCCATAGCTTCCTAATCAGGGATAGTGTCTGTACCACCTCATCACTGCCCAGATGGAATTGTCATCCCGCCATACAATAAATACTCCTCTACCACTCCGATAAGAAGCTCTCATACAGACGGACCGGTAACTCCATTTGCACGCACAGATCAGACACGTACAGACCGGGAACTCGAACTGTACGCACCCCCCGGACAGACCTCACTTACTCAGACGGGAAGCCAAAAGAAACACCACCTGGGACTCAACTAAGAGACAACAAATGGCCTTCGACACAACCCTCTCCCTAGCTCAACTCTGGCAACAAGAATCAACTCCCTTACTCCCAGACTCCACCAATCCAAGAACAACATCCCCGACATCCACAAACAAAATAACAATCTTCAACCCACCCAACCATCCCCCAGCCGTAAACAGCTACTCCCACATAAGCACCATTCCCATCTCCCCCACAAAAACCCTCATCTCCTTCGCCGGCCAAACCTACAAATCCGCCACCTCGCCCACACCAACCCCGGACTTCCGAAGCCAAGTAGGACTTGCTCTGGCGAACGTGAATAAATGTCTCACCGCTGCTGGGGTGACCAAGGATGATATCATTTCTAATCGGCAGTATGTGGTTAAATTCCAGGATCTTTCGCAAGCGGATCAGGACGCCAGGAGTGATTTGTTTGTTGCATGGTGGAATGATGGGAGGGTGGCAGGTGGTGGGGGGCAGGGGGAGAGGTTGACGCCACCTGATACCCTGATTGGAGTGGATAGTTTGGCGAGCAAGGATATTTTGTTTGAGATTGAGGTTACTTGTGTTGCTTCTGCGCCGGCCGCGAGGTGGTATGAGGAGGCTTTGAGGTCGACTGTGGTGGGGATTCTGGGGATTGCGGTTGTGCAGGGTATGGTGCTTGCGGGTCTGAGGGCGATGGGTGTAGTACCGCCTTCGCCGACGCCGAGGTGGTGGGGAAAGGGGTTTGCTGACGTTTAGAGCTGAGATGAGATGGGTTGTTGCTTGATGGATAGATAGATGAATCGAGGTGTGATGATCACTAGCTAAGTAACTCGTCGATACCGAAAATATGTCCACCACCCCTCGCATCCGTATCAAAGGGTCCATTCATCAACGAAGGTAGTTCAAGCTGATCTCAGTCCATCATATCGCCATCCCCAAACCCATACCCATATGTAGTCACAGCCGCCAGCGACGGCAACGCCGATGCCACCTGAAACTGCTGCTGAGGCTGAAAACTCACACCCTGCTGCCCCCACGTCGCTGTCGGTCTCGGCAGGTTCAGGGTTGCGAGGGGATCTATCATGGTGCGTGTCTGGGGTTGCGGCCAGTCTAGGATTCCTCGATCCAGGGTGATGAGGCCGGGGTCTGGATCGAAGTCGGAGTCGAAGGCGGCGCCGAAGAAGACGTCGTCGGGGAGGAGGGGCATGGTGGGGAGCCGTTTGGACTGGTCGGTGGCTTCGATTGGTGGGATGGGTTTTGCTGGGACGACTTTCGTAGCATTGATGGCAATAATGTTCGACGGCCGTGCATCAGCCGCGTTCTCATTGTCGCCATGCGTTGCAGACTTCCGCCCCTTCACCTCCCCTTTCGGCACCAGCCCGGCTTTCGCATACTCAGCTGGATACCTCGTGCGCATACGATCTCTCAAATCCGTTGGCGTCCTCTGTGCCAAATCCAACTCACTGTCAGCCCTGATACTTGCCCACTGCTTGCCATACAACTTGAAGCCTCTCAGCAGAGCCTCATCTTCGGCCTCCGAGTAGCCGTGTCGTGCACGACGTGCCACTTTGTCAAAAGGCTGGTTGATGCCTAGCTCGGCGAGCTCGGCTTGAGACTTGCAGTCGCGGCGGCTTGGTCGTGGGACTGGTTGGCGTCGTTCTTTATTGCTGGGCTTTGGTGCTGGAGCCGTGGATTTGTGCTTATAGTCGTCCGGACAGCATACTCTGAAGCGATCTTTCAGGTCTAATGCTGTACGGGCGTTAAACTCGTACTCGGCGTATTTCAAAATCTTGGTCCAGTTGCCTACACCGAACTTCGCCACTCCTTTCAGCAAACATGCCGTCTCCTCATCGCTCCACTTCTTCCGCTTGGGTCGTTTCGATTTCTCTGATCGTGTTGATTCGGCAGTAGGCTTTACTGAAACTGTGTCGTTAGTGACTGGCTCGTCGACACCAGTCAGTCCCGAATTAGGTGGATCTGCCTTCGGCTGAAGGTCCCCGGTCGGTTTAGCGGGTTGTTCAACGGATATTGAAGGTAGCAGTCCCGCATTAGGCGGTGGTTGATGCAGACCACTGAGCGTTGGCGGAATTCTCAAGCGTTTCGCATTCTCTCTGACAGGTAATTTTGGTAGATCCAGGGACTGAGCATCGCCAGACTTCCTCCGTTTAGCTGGTCGTTCTTGGACAGAGCTTTGGACATTATTGTTCCCGTATAGCAGCCTAAGAATATGTTTGTTTGAGGCTTGGGGGAGCTGTGATACGCCGTTAAGTGGATGCTGTTGCGGGGCCGATTGTGGCTCCACGGGATTGGGACGATTTATGAAGTCTAGGGATGTTGGTTTGTAGACTGTGGCAGGCGCCATGTCGGCTCCGAGGTTCTTGATCAGACCGTCATCCTCCTGATATCTAGATCTCTATCGATATATATGGAGTCGCTGACTTATCGTAGAAATGCATAGACCGATTCTTGGTTAGATAGGAGGCTGCGTGGATGCAGTACCCTGCCAAACTCGTGTGTGCGAGATGCCAGAATTTGACGCCTTAGGCACTCCAATTTGCCACCACGCCTCCTAACGTATCATCAAGACGCCATCTGTACGGCTGTGATCAATTAACGAACCCTCATCATTTGACACAGATCGTGCCCATTATTCATACCACTACGACAGCAGCTATTACCTATACAACATGAAAGATACACGGATATTGACCTGACTTCGGCCTCAATAATCATGATTCTACCAAGCCGTATCATCTGAACGGTACGCCGCAAAGCAACAAACCGAAAGACTGACGTATCTATAAGCCTCCCATGTCTGCTGGGACTGGCGTAGACAGCCATCGTCGCTTAAGAGCCAACGGAATCGAATACTATCGAGCTTCTATGCGTTCCAAAGGTGGGTCTCCAGGATGTCAAGATTTATGTCATCCATACATCATGCACTGCTTGTAAGGAAATACTCCATTGCGTGTCGTGTGCCTGTCACGATATTGCCTTGGACAAATACGTGCAGGCATCTTACATCATGACTGTCAGAGCATCGGACTGCGGTCGGCACACATACCACAGCGAGAGACAAGTACAATCATCGGGAATGTAAGTCGTAAGTATCTCTCTCACACTCTCTTCGTACATTATCTGGCTGTATCTCCGTCTCAACTTGGCCGCTGCAGTCTTAATTACCAGACCAAAATTCCAAAATGCAACACGTACTACAAGCAGGCCTATCGGCTGGCATGTCCGCTACGTCAGGCTTCCACTCAAGCAAGCCTAACGCTATGCCAAAGGACCACAACAACGCTCAAGACCTTACGCCATCGAGTTTCGTGCCTGATGTACTACCGCGAGGTCATGTCACATATCGAGGAAAGAAGCACAACGTTGAAGCGCCATGGATCTCCATTGGAGCGTGGCCATGGGGTGACAAAGCAACCTGGCAATGGGACGATGCCAGAGAACGTGGTCCACTGAGGGAGGCATGGCAGCTTCTTGTGCAGAAAGGTTGTAACCACATCGACACAGCGCAAGTTTATGGCTCGGGAGAAAGCGAGCGCATCTGTGGCGAGCTCGTAGCTGGCATGAAGCGTGAACACTTCATTATGCAGACGAAGTGGTGGGTGTTTCCAGGCGACGCACAGAATATCATCCATCCACAGGACGCCCCGCTAGCGAAGCTCAAGGGCTCACTGGAACGAATGAAGCTGGACTACACTGACATCTACATGGTCCATGGACATATCCACGCCCAATCAATTAGCATGGTAGCCAAGAGCCTAGCGGACTGCGTCGACCAAGGTCTCACCAAGACAGTGGCAGTGGCCAACTACAGCGCGAAGGATATGCTTCAAATGCGAGACGAGCTGGCGAAGTACGACGTCCCACTCGCCTGCAATCAGTGCGAGTACTCTCTTCTCCGCCGCGGACCGGAGACAGAGGGCCTCCTGAAGGCATGCAGAGAAAACGACATCGTCTTTCAGAGCTACTCCTCGCTTGCCCAAGGCCGACTTTCTGGCAAGTACCACAGCGATAATGAGCCGCCGAAGCAACATCGCTTCTCCTCATACCCTATGAAGTATATCGAGCCGACGCTTGAAGTGCAAAAGCATATCGCACAGAAGCACAATGTCAGTGTTGCAGCCGTGGCGTTGAATTATAACATGGTGCATGGTATCGTGCCAGTGGTCGGCGTGCGCAACCCTGAGCAAGCGCAGAAGAATTGTGAGGCGCTGGGATGGAGGCTGAGAGACGAGGAGATCGCTCAGCTGGATGCTGTAAGCTTCGAGGGCAAGTCTACTAGTTTGTGGCAGCAAGGCTAGTTGCAATGTAGTCGTAATTTACGACAGGGAGGGATCTCATCAATGTGATAGTATAATGTCCATCAGCTATATCTCTACCCTAGACATACCACCATCCGTCGCGTCATCTTGTCGTACCAAAAAGCGTCGTAATATCGTTTCGTTGTTTCCGCTATATGAGGACAGAATAGCATAATATTCGATTTCTGCGTTTGCAGCAAATGCCTTGTATTAGTGGCTGCACCAATCGACTACATCTGTCTTCTTCTCAGTCGAACGTTGATCGGATCCTTCTGCCAAAAGATGAACGTCTGCTGCTCTCCCCAGTCCTTGATACTTGGCTGTGTATCGAAACTGATATCATATGTATAGAGCATCCTCGCCAGGACCAGACGCATCTCTGCCCAAGCGAAGCGAATGCCGATGCACTGATGTCGGCCGAGAAGGAAAGGATGGAAAGAGTCGTGATTGTCATCGAAGCCTGCACCAGCCAAGAAACGCTCTGGGATGAATTGATTCGGCTTGCTGAAATTTGTAGGTGAGCGAAAGGCCGGATATTGGTTTACTCCGACCAGGGTCTGCAAAGTGGGATCAGTAACGTCGAGCACATTCTGTATTGTCATCCTTGCGTGTCTTTGCTTACATTACCTGGCACCCATTGACCGCAAATCATGGCACCTGCTGCAGATACGACTCGGGGTACGGTCACAGAAGATGGTGGACCGAGCCGTATGCCTTCGTTGATTACTGCGTCAAGATACTTCAGGTTGGACGTGCTTGCTACTGTGATCTCGTCTTCTGAGGCGAAGGTGGATCTAATCTCTTCCGTGACCGTCTTCATAGCGGACGGGTTCTTCAGTAGACCAAACAGGATGGTAGCCATTGCCGTGCTTGTTGTTTCACCTGCTTCTTGTTAGCATGCTCGGAGCAGAGATCAGGAAGGATGCTACTCACTGGCGGCGAACACCATAATGCTCATGTTGACCTGCATCTCGCTCACAGTGACAGGGTCTGCCTTAGAGTTATTGTACTTCAAAATCGTAGTTATGAAGTCGTTCCTAGTCTCGCCAAGCTCCAATCGTTGTTGAACCTTGCTTGCGCTAAGTTCTCGATGATATTGAGCCCTCTCGCGCACATCAGCTGGCAGAATGTACTTCAGCGCCTTGTTCAATGGCGAGAAGAAGTTGAGCGAGGCTATCAATGCGACACCTTTGCCGAACGAGCAAGCGATCTGCACCCAAGGATGTTGCCGCCCTGTTGCCTTCACCAAAAGTCGGTATTCAATGTCCAAATATCAGACTCAATGTGGAAAGAAAGTGAGAGATGAACTCACAGTACTTCCGAAGGACTCTCCGAAGCAAAGATCGCCAGAGATATCAAAGGTAACATAGTTGAACCAGGACACAATGTCGACTACAGCACTATGATCTGTCGCCACGCCGCTGAAGTGTTTCATCATGATTTCGACATAGTGCTCCAACAGCGGCGAATGCCCCTTGATAGCCTTGTCACTGAATGCGCCCATGAACGCTCGCCGAAAGCGAGCATGGTGACCTTCATGACTCCCCATGATACTCCAAGGGTCATCAGGCTTGATTTTCCGAAACCAGACTTGGTTGCGTTCTAGCGCAGGATTATGGTAGATGTCCTTCCAGGCTTGGGCGTCAATGTATGACAATTCATCAGGCGCTATTCGTACGACTGGACCATAGCGATTGTGAAGCTGTAGGATGTCGTTGTGCAAGTGTCCCTTTTGCAGAGATATGACCCATATCAGCCGCGTAGCGGACCAGAGCCATGGTCCTGGATAGCGGCGCAGCGGATGTAGGAAAATGTTGTAGAGGATCCGGAAGACTGTATACTTCGGTTATAGTTCAGTAAAGGCCTCGTGCTGACAGCATGTTTCCATGTCTCACCAAAATGCCCGCCAGTGATACGAGCAACCCGGCTCTAACTACGGATCTGAGGGCGTCCATGACAGACCCGTGGAGTTTAGACCGTGACTTGTTATGCGCTCATTCACCAATACGAGAGATGTGGTCGGCGTGATGCAGAAGAGAGACGACCAGAACCTACGTGTAGTATGCTTTTCACAAGCTGCATGATGCTTGGGCTGATTCATCAGCTCATGTCATCGTGGTCACCATGCCCATTCCAGAAAGCGTCACACCACCAGAACCTGTTTGGGCTACTTGTGCATAGTACTGTCAATACTTTACACCACACACATCAGTCAAAACGATGTCTTTATAACGACCAGATAACGGCAGACCACCGCTGGTTGATGCCCGCCTTCATTTTTCTCCGCCAGGCCGATTCGCACTTTAGCCGCGACACAAACCTTTCCACCGCGTGTGAGCCGTGCACGGCACATTTTCCATGAACAGATCCCCTCTCGTATTCTTGGTGGATGAATCGCCGTTCCTGACTTGTGGAAAAACATTAAACCTTGTACTGTCAATGGCAATGAAGAAACTGTACATAAGGATGATGAAGAACACCACGAAGTACGGTAGGTCTGCCAAGCTCTCTTTCAGATTTCTCACCTCAAGATGGGTTTCTTACAGCATATCGTCGGTTCGCTGGCTCTCGCGGGCGTAGCAGTATCCTCACCAGTAGCACAATGGGGAGGACCGCCAGGTTATGGTCCTCCTGGTCCACCAAGCAATGGCCCGCACCCAGGCCCGGGCAGCCCACCAAGCTATGGCAACACCACGAGTGTGATCGCACCAAACCCAGCCAATGGCCATTGGGTCGATACTTGGACATCGATGCCTCAACTGACCGAGTTCGCCAACCTGCCGCCACCACCATTTGTAAGTAGATTGTCAAGGGGAGAGTATATACAAATAATACTGATGCTCAGTAGAACCAATCCAACCTGGTCTTCTACAACAGCACCATCCGCCAGACACTACGCGTTACTCTTGGGGCGAAACAACTCCGCATTCGTTTGTCTAACGCGTTCGGACTCAACGATCTCCCAATCACGAAAGTAAATATTGCTCTGCCTGTCGCAGAAGTGGGCCAGAACCTGACAGGCGCCTCCGCCATCAACACAACGACCGTCCAGCAGCTGACCTTCAGCGGCAACGAAAGTATCATCATACCGAATGGCGCGCTCGCTGTCTCCGACCCACTGAATTTCCCAGTGACCGAAGGCCAAATTATCAGTATCACAATGTACCTCCAGTATGGTCAAGCAAGCAACTACGTAACCAGCCACCCAGGTAGCAGAACCCAGATCTGGCTCAGCAACGGCGATTTCACCAACACCGCTAACTTGACCGATGCCAGCGTCCAGAGTACTTTCCATTGGTTCTTCCTCTCCGCCATTGAAGCATGGGAACCACCACAAGACTCTTCTTTCGTGGTAGTAGGAGACAGTATCACCGATGGTCGAGCAAGCTACAACAACTTCAACGGCCGCTGGCCTGATCTGCTCTTCAATCGGATGCAGACCTACGGCCCGACCAAGGACATCGCCGTCGTCAATCAAGCTGCAGGCGGCAACAGGATTCTCTATGACGGCAATGGTCCGAACGCTTTGTCCCGCATCGACCGCGATGTCCTCGCCCAGAGCGGCGTCAAGTACGCCATGATCTTCGAAGGCGTCAACGATATCGGGACAGCCGATAACACGACATATAACCAGACCCTGACAGGTGACCGGATCATCCAAGCCTTCGAACAGATGATTACTCGGGTCCACACCTTCGGGATCCCGTTCTTCGGTGCCACTATCACTCCTTTCGGAGCACCTAACAGCACGATCCAGACATACGCCACCCCCGAGCGTTTGGCGACCCGTGATCGTGTCAACAACTGGATCCGCACCAGTGGGAAGTTCGATGCAGTCATCGACTTTGACGCTGTGGTGAGAGACCCGAATAATCCCGAGCAGTTGAACCCGATATACAATTCAGGCGATTATCTGCATCCGAACCAGCTTGGTTACCAGGTCATGGCTAGAGCTTTCCCATTGGACATCTTTGAAAAGTATCAGAATGGTGTCAGCACCTTCGCTTGAACAGCGCACGATTTGTACACAAGTGGTAGAGCATGAAACGCATGCTGGCGGAGTATGATACACGGTATCAACGTACAACATCATCGCTCGCATTATCGTACTTCACGGTCTCATATGTCGTATCGGTAGCAGTAGTGTCCTCTCGCTCCAATAGTGGTATACCCTTCGTGTCCTCCGTACTCACACGGTTCAGCCGCTTCCGTCCCATCCTGGCAACGGGCAGATTGCTCGTCTCAATGCTCAAGGCACCACTATAGCACTTCAATCTGCCCCACAGCCTCTGGGTATCATCCTCCACAACATTGTCACCTAATTCCTCCTTGAGAGCATGCACGATGCGTACCGCATCTCTATAGCCATCCAGTCCCACGTCGATGCGGTTCGCACGGCTATAAAAATAGACTTCCCATTGCAGCACTAGCATTACAGCTCCGAACAGAGTTGTGAAGATGCAAAAGAGGAGAAGCAGAGCAGCTGAGAATCCCCACTGGTACTGGGCGACCAGCAAGCAGACGGCTCCTTGTGCAATAGATGCGTTACTAAAGTAACCACCGTACGTACCATCGTCGGATAGGACGACGGACCAGCTATCCGCAGGGCCAGTAACGACAATATCTAGCGGCGGCGGTTGCAAGACGTACGTTTGGTTGTAAAGCGTGATGTTCGACCACGTGTACTCGGTTGTGGGTAAGTATGGCGCGTCTGCAGGCACGATGGGTCTGACGAGCGTATTGTCTTCGCAAGTATTGCCGCCGGATTGGGAGATGGTGCAGTATGCCCAGATTGGGGCATAGCTACCGTTACCGGACGGCATGCTGTCCCCACGTGCCTGTGTGAAGGTGGACATTGCCTCTTCCGCAGGCAAGGTGTATGTGCTATTTGCTATGGCGTTTTGAATGGCGAAGTAGTCTGTAGTGCGGGCACGTGTTAGCGCTGTTGAGAGGATGCATTCTGCAAGCTTTAGAGGGACGGACAACTTAGCACGGTATTGTATGTGTCGTTGGTAGTCCTGATGCCGCCTCCGAAGAAAGGTTTAATGTCAGGGGTAGCGAAAGTGACACCATCGTGCAGTCCCACTCGTGAGCCGTCACGGACGGTAAAGGGAAGGTTGGGAGTGATACCTCCAGCTGGTGCGAATGAGCCACCGCTGGCGCCAGCAGGATGGAAATAGACTGAGCCTGTAGTCTGGTAACCTGTCATAGCGGCCATAATGGTGGGATAGCTGATTACATATATGACGAGAGACAGCCAGCTAAGGAGCCTCCAGGCTGGTATGGCTTTGTTGTTGCGTATGCGGCCACGAGTCAGGTTCCGTATGATCGAGCCCAGGAGACCGTAGCCAAGCTTGTCGAAGTACACTGAGTATGCGATCGGGATCGCCACGTCTTGTCGCTCCATCGTGAATAGCATAGACTTCCTCACCACGTAGTACGTCCAGATGGCGGCCAGGATCTGTCCTCCTCGGCCAACAAGTAAGTCCCACATGACATCAATGGCCTTCGCCTCCGGATAAGTGTACTGGCCGTGACCGAGAGTGATATACAGAGCTGTAGACGGGCTCCAGTACTCGTTGACAGTCGCATTCCACCGGAAGATCGGGTTCCCATTTGCCAGGCATCGTGGCTTGTCATTGCGCTGTGCTTGTGTAGTTTCGATTAGAAAGAATGGTGTTGTGAAGGCGATGATGATCAGTAGGAATATTAGAGGCCATGCCAGCTCGATGATGGCGGCAGAGACATGCGATCGTGGCCGTGGCGGGAGGGTTATGTGCATGTCATACGCTTTTGACGCGAGGAGGACTGGAAAGAAGGAGACGAGACGTGGAGGTGATATACTACCGGAATACCATCATGCTATCGTGGTCGGCCCTCCTGTCTGAAGGGCTATGGTCAACATGCGGCTGATAACTGCTCCGCCACCATTTTCGAATCCTTCGAAACCATGCGAGAAATGGCTTGAAGGGTTGGGGGGCCGTTCGACTTGATGTGTTTCCGTCAGCACGTGACTGACTAGCGCGGCTTGGCGCGCCCACTTCGGGTTTCGCAAAGCCGACGACAAATTATGAGGGCAGCGCAAATTGGTGAACGAACTTCCACACGACCACGATAACAACACTCGTCGACCACCGCCAGAATGAGTACGTTGGAAGAGGAGATGTAAGAGATGGCATTGAACAGGATACTGACGATTTGGAACAGCGAAGGGTACATCCAGTTTCGGAAAGCGCCACAATAAGACGCACGTTCTGTGCAGACGCTGCGGTATGCTTGCAAGACGCTGGAATATGATACATCGCAAGGCACCGAAATGCTGATACAATGGCCAGGCTCGCGCTCTCTCCACGTCCAAAAGCACACATGCTCCAACTGCGGATACCCAAGCGCTAGCATCAGGAAGTGTACGTCTCAACCTGCAACGAACACCGATACGACGATTTCGAGGTTGCCGAATGAACGATGGTACTAACACATGATGTTGCAGGGAACTGGAGTGAGAAGGCCAAGAGGAGAAAGACCACAGGTACCGGCCGCATGAGGACATTGAAGGGCATTGCACGCAAGGCCAAGAACGGCTTCCGCGTCGGAGCACCAAAGGGCGCGAGGGGTCCGGCAACTGCCTCATCATAGAGGATGTGGATGATATGAGGGAGTAAGAGAACGTGGTGGTGGCATGAGGTGGCACGAATGCCGGTGGAATGGAGTTATGGATCGCCTTCATTACACGCATGAGCTTGAGCGCCGTCCACAACATGGATATGCGGAGTAGCTAGCGCTGAAGCAGAGCGAAAAGCTATGTCCAAATCACCTCGAATACCATCACATCTTGATCCCAAGGCAAGACCGGTTCCTAGCCAGCAGGCCTCTGTATATCAGCTATAGCACTGCTTGGCAGCTCTATCTATTTGTCCGACCTTCCTCTACCATCTTCGAATAAGTATACCAAGATGTGGGTGTCAAGAGTTGATGTTCAACGCTGGTCATGAGGCGATACGGCTCACGAAAGCCTGTATCTTCATGCTGACACCGCAACACCATGTGCAGCAGTTCCTCGTCAATGGCTCACCCCTCCTTCATTGCGTCACGAATGCGTGCTTCTTGGTCGGTCGGAGAGTGAAGGCTTATGTCGTGTGAGGTAAACAGTCGCACCTTCCTAGCCTGTCTTCACATACTACTGTACCCTGTTCTGGGACATCTCAACGGTGGCAATTTCACTTCCGCAGAATACTCGAGAAATCACTAGCATTGTTCACAGACATGCTATACTTGAAAATGTGGGCTACTGACGACTTTTCTGCAGGGGACGAGACTGTCAATGATGTACTGACAAACCAGCTTGGTATAGTCTACGGCTTGCTCGCCTGATCATGGCTACACTACGCCCACCAGCCATGATATCTACCACTAGGCACCCGCTCCGCATTGACTCCTTGCAGCGTAGGCGTCACAGGTCTCATAACACCCGTATGCCAATCAAAAGTCGCTCGATCAATACAAATCTCCCTGTCTGTGCCGTCGCCACCTGGGATCTTGAAATGATGATACGCCATATACCAGTCATCTGTACCAGGAACATTCACCGTCGAGCTCGAACCAGTCGCCAAGATACCCTCGGAAGGCCGCTTATCCAGCACATGACCTTGGTAATTCCATGGTCCGTGGACACTGCTTGAGGTGGCGTAGCCGACGTAGTAGTCCGCGTTACCTGTGTCACCGTGGCTGAAGGTGTAGTGGTAGTAGGGTTTGCGGTAGACTAGGAAGCTGGCCTCTGTGAAGTTCGTGAGGCCTGTGACTGCGCTGAGGGTGTTGGATTTGAGAGAGATCATGTCGTCAGATAGTTCGGCGTAGAGGGGGTTGCCGTTGCCCCAGAAGAGATAGTATTTCCCTGTCGCTGGGTCGACGAAGGCGGCTGGGTCGATTGCTTGACTTGCATTGAGCGCTTCGTTGTTTAGGATCATGGCTGTTGGTTGGGCGGTGAAGGGGCCGGTTGGAGATGGGCCGGTGGCGACACCGATCGTTTTGCGGTCGTATGTTGGGTTGTCGCCGCTGAAGTAGAGGTAGTAAATTCCGTCGCGGTGGTGGATTGTGGGAGCCCATGCGTTGCCGTCTGACCATGGCACATTGCCAGAACTTCCGTTGAGCGTCAGGACAGGCTCAGGCGTTCGCTGCCAGTCGACAAGATCTTGTGAGCTCCAGACGTAGAAAGTCTTGCCACCCCAGCCGGGAAAGCCATCGGTCGTGGAGTAGATGTAGTACGTGGAGTTGAAGACTACGATGTTTGGATCGGCATATAAGCCAGGTATTGCTGGGTTGTTGTTGGCTGTGGTTGTAAGGGCTACACTGGCCCACAAGAGGACTGCAGACAGTCTGGATGACACTCCCATCGTTGTGCAAAGAGAAATGGTGAAGAGATGAAAGTTGTGGAAGTTTACACACTGACAATGGTGCCTTGTTATGTACTACTGAGGTTGATACCATCACAACAGACCACATCGGTACGTGGACCGCATCGAGAAGAGTGGTCGTATGGCAGGAACAATTCTTCTGACTCGGGCTCTGCAGCAGCTCGTATTCTTGGGAGGAGCTACAGTGCCATTGTCGTGATGATCTTGACCCCATCAAGATTTTGTCTTTCATGTCTCCACGCTTCTCCACGCAACCGTGCTGAGCATGTTTACCCGAGACAATGCCGTCGGCTAAGGAGCATCATGAATTGAGCATCTAACAACATGACAGCCACCGAGCAATGAACAACGGCGACAGTCGAAGCAGCATCGGCGGCGAAGTTTTTTGTGCCACGGAGATGCGCCGATGCACCATGTGCAAGCCGTCCTACAGCTCGAGCTCATATCATCTGCCGGATCTGAGGTGGGGCACCTAGACGACGAGAGAACCATGTCAAGCACCTTGATAGCCGTCCCATTTCCGTCCAACACTCTGCGAGAACGTCAGCCGCAAGTGATACTCTGTCTGATTACCTAGTCTTCTCTCCCTTGCCCAGTGCCCAGCGAGGGAACAGCTTGGCGGGCTTATTTGAAAGCAATTCAGCCCTGGGGGCGATCTGATCGAATATATGAGCGGACGGCGGCGGCTGACATCGTCCACAAGGAAGCATTTCTGTCTTGCTCACGTTCGATAGCCTTCCTGCCAATCATCAACATACTCTCACTGACAGTGTCCTGACCACAACTATGCTAGCCTCAATCTTCCTTACTATCATAGCGCTTGTGGCAGTGTACTATATTGCTGCACAGAGCATCAAGACCAGATGTTTACCACAGGGTACGAGACTACCAGATGGACCGCCAGGAAGATCATTCGTCGGCAATCTTCCTGACATACCGCCGAAGCACAGCTGGCTGAAGTTCTACGAGTGGAAGAAGAAGTATGGCGACCTCTACCGCATCAAACTTGCAGGGAGAACGAACATCATTGTCAGCACGGAGGAGATCGCGAATGATCTGCTGAGAGAACGAGGCAATATCTATAGCTCCCGAGAACAGCTCCCAATGGCTGCGCAGCTTCTCAGCGACAATCTAAGGCCACTGCTATTACCATATGGCTCAGAGTGGCGTGAGGTCAGAAAACTAATGCATAGTCTCACGAACGTCAGTATGACATCGTCATACGAGCCCGTGCAGGAAGAAGAAAGCACCCGGATGGTGCGCGATCTCATACGAGAGCCCAGAGCTTATGAGAGATGGTTTCATCGGTAGTCCGCTGGTCTCATCTTGCGCATAGCTTACTCCAAGCCGGTGCAAACTGGCGAAGAAGAGTATGTGAAGCGGATTATGCAGGTCAACCATCACTTAGAGCGGATAGCAAGTCCCGGCTCGTATCTCGTAGACACTTTTCCGATCCTGATGAAGTTGCCTTCTTTCTTGGCGCCGTTCAAGAAAGAGGGCAACAGATTACATGCGGAGGAGCTCAATCTATTCCGTGATCTGCTGGACCGAGGTGTCGAAGCAGGAGACGCTGCAGCTCCCAACTTCTGTCAAAGGTGGTTTGCCGAGAAGCAGAAATACCACTTAAGCAAAGATCTCGTGGCATATGCCATTGGTACAATGTTTGAAGCTGGGGCGGGAACAACTTCTGCAGCAATGGGAAGGTTTTTGCTTGCAATGACGTTGCATGAGAATGAGTTCCGCAAGCTGCAAGCAGAAGTTGATGCTGTTGTTGGCCACGATCGCCTCCCACGACTAAGCGATATGCCGAAGTTGCCTCGCGTGCGTGCCGTGGCAAAGGAGACACTTCGATGGCGTCCGGTCACGGCTGGCGGGCTTCCACACCAGCTGACGAAAGACGACGTCTACACTCTCGAGAACGGTGAGAAAGTCTTCCTCGAGGCAGGTGCCAATGTGCACCCAGTACAATGGTCCATACATCGGGAGCCGAAGCGCTACCCAGATGCTGACAGCTTCCGACCAGAACGCTGGCTTGAGCCGTCGTGGCCGACGTACAAGGAGCCCTTGACCACGTATCCGAATCTACAGAACTTCAGTGCTTTCGGTTTTGGAGGCGCATTTGTGCTGGACAACATATTGCCGAACGCTCGTTGTATATCGAGATTGCAAAGATCGCTTGGTGCTGTCATATCTCGCAGGTAAAGGATGAGACAGGAATACCTATACCGCCGCCAGATTATGATTATGTGGCAGGCTTCAATGTAATATACTGCAAGACTGATAATCAAGCTTTTACTGACCATGTACAGACTCATCCGAGAGACTTTATGTTCGATCTGAAGGCAAGACCTGGAAGGATCGAAGTAATTGAACCAGAGTACCAGACGGTATGGGGCCACAAGATGTCTTCATCATTGAACACGTCTTGATAGAATCTCATTTATGGTACCCCTCAATCAGGAGGGGGAAGGTCAACTGCAGCTAGCTACATCACATTCATTCCGGCTTCTTCATATTTGGACCTTCTTCCAACTGCGCAGCACCATTCACAGCACAAAGCCACGGTGCACGTCTCTTCGTAAACGCTTCCATGGAGGGCTTCATGACCTCCAGATCTAGTGCATCATCACCATCCAATATGCCAGCCTTCAAGATCCTCAACTCAGGAATTTTTGGCGATGCAACCCAGAGAGCACTTCCGCAATCACCACAAAAGTTCAATGTAGCCGTTGTAGCGGGATCTCCAGGCGATTGGAAAGATTTCGGCGTGCCCTTTTCGAGGTGAAATGCCGTAGCCGGAACGACAGCGTTGATGCTGAAGGCTGAACTTGTCGTCTTGCGGCAGTTGAGACAGTGACACATGCCTGCGTCGACTATCTTGTCGATCTTGATGTGTATCGCACCACATTTACATGTCGCTGTCGTTGCCATGATGTGCTGCTGTCAAATCTTAGCGCAGCTACAGTTTGTCCGTGCGGAGGTTGCTCACCTCCAATGTGTGCTTCTACTCATTTACTTTTGCAAACCTTGATCCTATCGTCCAAAGTCCTTTGAGACCAGTTGCGTTAGCTGACGTCCTCTTCGATGTTGTCTTCGTGATGAGAATGAAGTCACCTTGAGGAAGTGAAGGTCTTGTTCTATTTGACCCACGTGCAGGATCTCGCCGCAGTCCGGAGGCACGAGGATAGCTAGAACCAAATGAGGCTGAGGGACCTTGCATCCTTACTACGGAATATGGGGTCTACTGCATCGTCCAGCCTACTCTCCACCTTCCTGGTCTATCGCTCGATAAGGCAGCCTATTCTAATTACGTGTTGGTCTGCGGGAATGTAGTCGATGTCCGCTTTCTGAGAGTCAACTCCCTTCAAGACCGGACCCGGCATCAACATGAGGCTGATCAATACCACTACGCTGAAGCTGGAGGAGTTCTTCGATAAGTCTATACCGAATTATGCCATACTCAGTCACCGATGGGAAGCCGATGAGGTCAATTACAAGGACTACGTCAAAGGACGCTACCAGACGACGCAGCAAGGCTACCAGAAGATCAAATCCTGCTGCGAGCTTGCTGTGCGGCGTGGACGGGGGTATGTCTGGATTGACACATGCTGTATTGACAAGCGCAGTAGTGCGGAGCTGAGTGAGGCTATCAATTCCATGTACGGCTGATCACTTCCCATTCCTTCCTTCTAGAACATCTCCGCTGACTTGATCGTTTGACGAGGTACAAATGGTATCAGGACGCAGTGGAGTGCTATGTATACCTGTCCGATGTGCAACCTTATATGGAATCGCAGGACTGGCAAATGCACTTCTCGTCAAGCGCATGGTTCAAACGGGGTTGGACGCTTCAAGAGCTACTGGCTCCTTGCATCACGATCTTCTTCGCCGATGACTGGTCAATTCTAGGCATCGGGACGAATCGCCACAACTTCTCAGATGACAAACGATGGACCATTGAAGGTCTCCCGCGCCTTGGCTCTCTGATTCAGTCGATCGTACGCATTCCTATCGAAGTTCTGCGCAATCCTCAGATTATGTCATTTTACAGCGTGGCACAGCGGTTAAGCTGGGCTTTCAATCGGCAGACCACCCGCACCGAGGACGAGGCATACTGCTTGCTGGGTATTCTGGGCGTAAGTATGCCCTTGCTCTATGGCGAGGGCAACAAGGCCTTCAGGCGTCTTCAGCTCGAGATCATGAGGCAGACTGCGGATGAGTCGATTCTTGCATTCAATCGCTACGAGCCATGGTTCAAATACGGACACATTGAGGTACTTGCACATTCGCCTCAGCAGTTCCAGGATGGTGGAGACATGGCCCGGGCCCAATTCAGTTCTAGACAACCTTTCACCTTCACAAATATGGGACTGGAGCTATCCAGCTTGCGAGAACCAAAGACAAAGGAATTTCCAGCTCGCAGAATCATGGAAGTCAAGGGCAAACGCACGACGATACTGTATTTGCTAGCCTGCTGTGCCAATTCCAAGCGGGAGATGATCGGGTATTGGTTGCTGCTCGTGATGCAGTCGTGCGGACACTACTGCTTGCAAGCAGTTGGACATGATCTCGTAGCCCCCAAACGCTCGAGTCACGATGATAGCGGCCACTCTGTCTATGATCGTACACATGATGGGGGTCTCAATGGCTCGTTGATATGGGCGGGGCATGATCTGGTGAAGGCGGATTTGGAGAATCGACCGATACACGTACACAACCCTAACCAGATGTGTCTCTAATTGAAATGCACCTCTTATGCTGTATCCTTAGCTAACGCTGTATCCTTGTTCGAAGGCCATTGTTGCGATGTCGCCAGAATGTGGTAATGGCTCTGTTTCGAGATCTCGAAGGCTGTTTGCAATTCCCTAGTTGGCCCGTTTACACGTGCTTCACGACTTGTACTATCTGGACGACTACTTGAGATGACCTGTTATGACCATGTGCAAGAGTATCGTCTATCTGTACAGTATATATAGGCCTAAGTTCTGCCCACAAATAAACCTCTCAGCTCCTGAGATCAACTGGTGTAAACCGAGATCGAACAATCCGGCGAAATGTAGTAATTGGAACACCTCAACTATCCCTCAAAAACCCCATGCTGCAACTCCACCCCCATCCCACTAGCCATCTTCCTCATCTCCACCTCAATATCATCATCCATCCCCTTTCCCCACCCCAAAAACTGCCTTACCTTACTCCACCAGAACACGAAATCCGTACTCAACAGCACAGTCCTAAACAGAACATGTCGTCCATACTCCCTCCATCGACTCGCGAGATCGGCATGCCGCTCACTATCGACTAAAGCCCGCGAGGCCCATGTCCCGGTGATCTTAACCCTGTTGACGGGCGAGCCGAGGAATTGGTTGTTTCCCTGGACGATGCGGAGGTTGCGGCCGATGAAGATGAGTTCTTGTGGGAATTTATCTTGGTTGGCGAGGACGTCGCGGATCCCTTTGCGCATACGTTGTTGCATCTCGAATTGGCGTTGTTTCTGTTCGAGTTTAGACATGCTTCGGATCTCGTTCATGGTTTTGTTATCGCCTCCCTTGTACGGAGACATCAGAGTAGCGCTGGCGAAGGCGTCGGGAGCATTGATACCCCATTCCTCCTTTGTGATGCGTGCGATGGTCGCGTTGTCGAAGGTCATAAGGCTGCGCCAGAAGAGGGCGTATTCGTGTCGAAATTTAGGATCCATTTGGATGTATAGGCCGTGGTCTATCAGGACTAGTTCGGGCTTGCCGTTGGGTAGACGTCGGATGAAGATGTTGCCGGGATGCGGGTCGCAGTGGACTAGGCCCCAGAGGAACATTTGGGCGCTGAAGAGGGAGACCATAGTTTCCATTACATCTTTTAGTGGAAGGCCGAGACCACCTGTACCATTCCCGCCTTTCCAGCTGTCGCGACTGGGCTTGAGCTTCTCGTCGATGGGGTGGTTGGAAGGTACTGATGCGATGGTGGATGCTGGGACAGGGTCGAGTGGACGACCACCGGATCCAGGGGAACCTGTTCGCCACCCACCTTGCCATGACTTGGAAATGCCATCTTTATCCCATAGCCGTACGCCTTCGATCCACTCGGCTGTCATCACTCGTTGGGTTGTAAGTTCTGGGAAGGCTTGAGGTATGTAGACCTTGTTCTTCAGCCTCGGCTCGTTTTGGACAAGTTCACGCATCTTGCGAGCGTTGTTGGCCTCGTTCTGGAAGTCCGTCTCGAGCATCAGACGCTCGCAGACGTATGGCACAAGGTGGTAGAGCGGTAGGTCAAACCACCATGTGTACACCCTCGACACCGTTCGAAAAGCCCAGAGATCCCAGCCGACCTGTCGAGCAATCTCGCGTTTCTGAATCTTGATTGCCACTTCTCTGCCATCACCAAGTCTTGCCCAGTGTACTTGTGCCACACTCGCGGACGCCTTCGCCTTTCGCTCCATGATACCCTTTGACGGATCCCCCGTGAAGCTGACTCCGAATACTTCCTCTGGACTCTTCCCGAAATCCTCCCTGATCACCTTCTCAACATCCTGCCAACTATTCTGCGGCGCATCGTCGAACATCCTCGCGAACATCTTCTGGAATTCGGGTGGCAGAACAGCGCTCTGCATTGCTATTGCCTGGCCGATCTTTAGGTACAGCCCTCCATTAGCGCGTAGAAGATCAAAAACCCGCTGCGCTGCTCGAGCATGCACATCAGCTACACTATCACCTATCCATGGATCGGCGCGGAAGTTGAGGTTGTAGTCGAGTGCAATCACGAGTCCATTGTAGAATGTTCGGACGGAGCGAGTGATGCATGAGTCGTACATCTGTGTATCCACACCGTATATCGCTCCGCCAAGTATCGACAATTGGACCAGTCTTCGCAGCCATCTCCTCGTCCGTCTGTACGTCTTCGCTCGTGATGGTTTGCCTAATGACTCTGGTGATGGTGGAGTCGCTGGTCTGAATTGGCTTTGACAGCGCCGTGCATCGAGTGGCGATACACTGCTCTTATATGACGACCGTAATGCTGGTGATACATTCCGGGGTTGTCGCGTGCTATCGTTGCACAAGGACGAAAGCGGTCGCCGCTTGAGCCCGAGGATCTGGGTCACGCATCGCCTGCATACTGGCGGCGCAAAGGTTCTTATCATCGCACGGTCAGTCGGATATATGGAGGACTCGCTGCAAACGGCGAGTGGAATGCTAGAACCACGTATGATCACACTCTTTGTTCTCCGAAAATTGTATATACTGTATGCGAGTGATGACACCTGTAAGATAGCCTTCGTGCTACTGTAGTGTCGATCATCTCGGCAAGCTTCCGGAACTCTTTTCAACCCTACGGCGTAAAGCACACGACCTCCAGCCAGAATTTGATTGAGAAGTGTAACAAAATTATAGCCGGTCGTTACCTCTACATAGACGCGGACTGATAGACTGCACACTGGGGATCAACCTTGAGCGTGTAGGCGATGTTGTCGGTCCCGTAAAATTGCTTTGTTGTGCAACCTTGGTGGCAAGAATAGGCATTGCTTGTCAATGCTGCACGGCGCTGCATGTCTGTGAATGTGTGTTTGCTGGAGGTACTGCGCACTACTTGTTGGGCTGAAGTAGCTTTCTGGAACCATTCAAGTCATCTTGGACCAACAAAAGATAGCCAAAAATGCTGACCGACAAGGACATTGAATAAGGCTCGGCCAAGCTAGCAGACTATCGAGCAGCAGACGCACAACACCACGATTCACATACACAAATACTCGAGCAATACGTAGCACTCATTGAAGAGTACAAGCGTCTCAAGTCGGACTACGAAGAAGAACGGGATTCTCGCGAACGCTACAAACAGCTCGCTCGTGGCCAGGAACGCAACCCCTTTGTCTTGGTTCTGGTGGATGGCGATGGCTACATCTTCGATGACGACCTCGTTAGTAATGGAGCCGAAGGAGGACAGCGTGCTGCTCACTTACTAGACGAAGCCGTCAAGAGGAGTCTGCGAGAACGTGGACTAGAAAACTGTCGGGTTATGGTTCGAGTCTACGCAAATATGGTCGGTCTATCGAAGGTGCTCAGCAGATCCAAACTAGTTGGGCCAGAGAGACGGTCATTGGCTCCCTTCATAGCCAATTTCACGAGATCGATGGAAATGTTCGATTTCGTGGATGCTGGCGAGCTGAAGGAGAACGCCGACTTTAAAATCAGAGCACTCTTCCATCAGTTCGTTGAGAATGCGCAATGCCGTCACATTTTCTTTGCTGGCTGCCATGACGTGGGCTACATCAACGAGCTCACCCCATACGCTTCGAGTCGGGAGCGTTTGACGCTTATTCGCCACCCGGCTTTCCACCCCGAGTTCAAGAAGCTGGGTTTGCGTATTGAGGAGTTCTCGAACATATTCCGGACCACTCCTCTTGAAGGCGGATATGTCCACCATGCAACTGCTGTTGCCCAGCAAAACCCATCTGTGACACCTTCACCATTCAAAAAGGCTGCCGCGTATCAAAGCCACGACAATGATACAGGAGCCAATTCTCAGCAAGTATGCAGGTTCTTCCAAAGTGGGAACTGCAAGTACGGCGATGAGTGTCGCAATCTACACATCAAGTCAAAGCCCAATGGCTCGACTAAGCCGAGCTACGGCGGACTGGAGGACGTCAAACAATGGCGCAACTCTGGAACGTCAACCCTGCCATTTGGAATGAACAACTTAGCCAAAAGCGACAACGACTTCATGGCCGGCAACGCCTCCTTCATGCAAACCCCAAAATCAACAAATAAGACCTCGGCACCATCCACGAACGGAGAAGTCATCGACTTTGCCGCCATCCTTCCCGACTCCATCCCGGAAAACAAAATTGCAGTGAACAAAACCGACCACCGCATCGATCCCTACGACGGCTCATACACAGCTCAAGACTTCGCCATCTTCAGTTCCCGCACCGTAAAGAGGAAATTGTGTAACCTCTACCACATCGCCGGTTACTGCGCCGCAGGTTCCGAATGTCCCTACGACCACGATCCGGCAAGCGAAGGCGTTCTTAACGACCTCCGTCATGCTTGCCGAAGCGCCCCATGCCCTAGAAAGGGCGCTTGTCGACGAGCGGGATGTACCCAGGGCCATATCTGTCAGAAGAAGAATTGTACCAAGCGAGGTGGGAAGGTGGGCTGTAAGTTCAATCGGGAGTTTCACGCGCAGAGTTTGAGGGTGGTGAGGTTTGTTGATGCGCTGGCTTTGGACGCGAGGGAGAATAACAAGGATGTGGAGGGGAGTCGTGCGTCGGCTGATGGGGAGGCGAGTGAGCGCGATACTACGCCCTGGGGTGGCCGTAGTGAGGTGGGAGATGAAGGCGAAGCTGAGGGCGCTTTGCTGGATTCTGGAAATGGAGAACAAGTATCGCTCGACTAGAGCTTAAGCTGTACCTCTAGAGAGGCGAGTCCAACGATCGCTGATGTTGAAGTCCAATGCGACCAAGATCTTCTCAACGCGATCGTGGGGGATTCTTGGAGCTACAACCGATGATTTTTTGGTCAACGTTGTTGATCCATTGCTGCCCACGCTTACCACTGCCTCCATCAGGGAGGAACTCGATCATGAGAAGAAATGCATGGAGACGTTTTGCGGAAGAGCTTCAGAGGATATCCATGGCGATGATCGTGTTATCCTTTACCTTGGCAAAGAAGAGATCTCTCACAGACGGAGTGACACGATAGTAGGGGGGCTGACACCAGGTGCGTCGTCAAGACCAGTAGTACTACGCAGCATGGTCCTTCCCTACTCAAAAAGGGGAGAAGCAAGCATGCATGCACAAGAAAGGCAAGACTCTAGTCTCTGCCTTCAGATCAAGCTATGAACACAAGTCATAGTCGCATAGCAGACCAGCAGAAGAAGAATAGACAGGGAATAATGAACGAAACAGAGCTGTACCAAATATCGTGTACGTGTAGTGTATAACTTATCCTATTCCGCATATCCCGCTCTGCTTCATGATCATACAATCAAACACATTACGATTACAATTGCCACATTCGACGCTTCCGTTTCCTCCTGTTGCCCATTTCTTTCCTTTCCGTTCCTTCCCTTCACACACCCGCTTTACTATAAATACAATCGCTTGACCGAAAACTCAAGCAGAAGCCCCATACCCGCAAGCCCTGCCATCCCACTCGCTCTGCCATGAGGCGAGGCGATTACAGTCAGAGGATGCCCGACCTAGTCAAACCCACCAGGTAGTTTCCGCTCCGGTGACTTGCTACCTCTCTGCTTACCCTGCTCCATCGCTCGTACCCTCGCCAGAACAGCCGACGGTCTTCGCTCGCTCCGCTGCGGCCTCGGTGGCGTCGAGACCTCAGCTTCGGAGCTAGGAGTCGGCTCGTTGACGATTGGGATCGAATGCAGGACGGGGACCTCAGTCTTCTCTTCGAGACTGCTGGACTGTGCTGCAATCTCGTTTTGGAGTTGTTGGTCAGCTGCTGCGCTTTGCTCCTGCGAGGAGGAGAGGTCGGACGGGGCGTCTTCGAAGGGTGTCGTCGGCTGCTCGGGCACTTCCTCCTTGGACATTTGCAGTGCAGGTGCTTCTTCGAGGGTTGGTGAATTGTCTGCTTGCTCATCGGATGTCGCGGGCGATGTATCGTGCTCTAAGTGTCCATTGGGCGTAGCATCCGGCCGCGAAGTAGCCAATCCACCAGAAGGAGGACCCATAACGGCTCGCGCGATCGTGCTTGTCCTTCGGTTCTGCTCCGCCGCCTCAGTCGTATCCGCCGGCTTCGTCATCCTCTCCGGGATGCCCTCAAGACTCTGCCGCGCACTCTCGATAGCCCTCACACTCTCCGGACTATCCAGCATCTCCCTCCTCATACCATTCAGCTGCGAAGCCGGCACAACGCCACCGCCAAGTCTAGCCCAGAACATCCTCTCCCTTAATCTCGTAGCTTCCTCCCAAGCATCCTTTTCATCCTCTTCGCATTCCGTCCTCCAGTGGCCATCTCGGAGCATACGCAGGAATCCCACAAAGTCGCCAGAAGCGCGTATACGGCCAAGACACCAGTCGCAGAGAGGATAGCGTTGCGCGTCTTCGCTTTCGCTGGTGCGGAAGCGGTGTTTGCGGATATAAGGCTCGTTCTTCCTCTGCTCGCCACAAAGAGAGCAGGCGAAGACAGAGCCGAGGCCATAGGACTTGATGGCGGCATTGAAAGGCTCCACGACCAGGCTACCAGAAAGTAGAGACGAGAGGACTGATCTTCTGCTCAGAAAGCTAAGACCTGGCGCCAGATCAAGGCGCAGGGTGGGTTCAATGTCCTCGTTCAACGTTCGCTTGTAAAACTTGCTGTCCTTGAGGGGCGGCAAAACTGCTTGGTTGCCGAACGTGGAAGACGAAGGACTGTTGTTCGCCGAAGAAGAGAAGAAGCTGCCAGGGATCGTGGTGGCAGATGTTGAGGCGTTAGTCGAGTGCAGATTAGGCGTGCTAGTCGAGGCGATATTATGCGCACTTCCACTAGCCTGCCGCGAATGTGGCGGTGCCGCACGCTGAGCCAGGAGGAGCAGCTCGCGGAAGTCGGTGTAAGCTGCAGTATCCGTTCGCAAAACCGGAGCCAGTAGCTGCGAGAAGTGAAGTGGATGGTCTGGCACCACGTCGTGTCCATGCCCTCCTGGAGAGAGCTGCAGAGCGTCCCATACTGCTGTTCGAGCATCCACGGGTGTAGCAGGTACACTCGCATCTCTGGCCCCCTGCTCACTCAACCGCTCTAATCTCTCCATATTGTCCTTCAGATCTCGCAGCTGTTCCGTCTGACTGGCCAAGAGAAGTTCAGTGTCTTCCAATTGAGTCCGCAATTGGCTGTTCCGCTTCTCCACCGCCTCTGTATCCTTCCTGGCAGCCGCAACCATAGTATTGGCCTCCTCAAATAATGCCGTAGTCAAATTCTCTAGCTCGCCTTCCGTCTGCTTCTTCGCCTTCTCCGCCGTCTCTCGTGCTGCTTTCTCCGCCTCCAGCTCGGACCGTAACTTACTCATGGTGTTGTCCAGCGCACTCTTCCGAACCAATATACCGTTTGCGACTTGATCGTCTGTCAACTTCTTCTGCAGCCTGATCTGCGATAGCTCCTTCTTGGCCTGTTCCAGCTCATGCCGTGTCTGCTGTAGCGAGTCGTCTAGATTTGTCTGGTAGTTTATCGCGTTCACCAGCTTCGTGCTCAGCATCGACACCTCGGCGGTCAAGTCGGGCTTGTATTCGTCACTATCTGGAGTCGCGACATCGCCGTTTGCATGCACTGGTGAGGGTGTTCGTGTATCCATCATCTCAGCGCCGGCTAACGGATGTGCCGGAGGTGGTGACTGTACCGCCGCCATGCTGTCGCGCTGTATGTGTGGTGAGGATGAGGATTTGACCAGACGGTGCGGCAGTGGAAGATTTTGTTTGCTCGGCGTAGCAGGAGGATTCGGAGTTCGTGAGCGGGTGAAAGAAGGGCGGGCGAAGGTCAGGGATGTGGTATTCGCCCACTTCGGGACATAGAGGAAGCTGGTGCGCGTCAGTGTCAGCCAGGCGTCAGAATTGCTCGATAGACGGCAAGATCATTCACGTACTCGGCCACGATGGTGACGATGCACGGTTCGTTTGCGCACGCAGCGCTTGCGACGTGAATGTCACTTTCGCTTGATGAATGTGGCGGTTGGGTGAGATAGCCGCCGCCGCTAACTCCGCTCCCGGAGAATCAACAAAGGGCCGTAGTCGTACGTTGTGCCGGTAACATGGATTGGCGATCGTACGAAACCGTTGTATAGCATCAGCCTGTACACGAGTAAATTGGAGCATCAGAGTCAACATGTGCGTTTGAGGACAACCGCTGTCTCCAGACCCACATCGCGAAAGCCAAGCCATTTGGGGAAAGTCAGGGGAGTGACGGAATGGCTGGCAGACGATGGAAAGCTTAAGCCTCATACGACGAGCCACGACTCATGAGAACCATTCACTTGCAAAGCCACAGCTCTCCAGGGCCGAACGATGAAGGAAATTGTAAAGTACTTCCCGATCGGCAATGATCGTTGTGCCCTCTCAGCGAACACGAGATGAGACGGGTCTGAATCAAGACGGAAGGGGAAAAGGTAACAAAACACATAACCGCTCTTTCACTATCTACCTCCACCCAGCACCACAAGAAAGCTCTTTTGTGCGCCATAAACACCATAGTACCGCTCGAAAGTAACAACGTAGTCCGGGTATATGCAGAAGAAGGTACCAAACCCCCCCGCCCAATCATAAATATTAAAGTAGTGTAGCTGTAAACATAGCAATGTGCGGAAATCGGCCTTCATGTCGAGAAGTGAGTAGCGTAGCATGAGGGTCGTAAGTTTTGGTAAGTCAGCTGTAAAAAGATTGGGCATTCCTGTGTCTTCTACATGACGGAACAGCAACCACCTTGCTTGTCGCCTTTCACGTTCTTGACTTGCAGTGCCACGCGTGCAGCCTCGGTGAACGCCTCATTGACGCCGCGGTTCTTCATGGCGGAGCATTCTGCGATCACCGAAGTTAGCACAGTCCAGACAACCCATCATCTCGCGTTCTTCCGAGAGCTAAAGACATGAACGTAATTGCTGCAGAAACCATACCGAGATACCTCAACGCCTTGATCTTCTCTGCCACCGCCAACCCAGCCTTGTAATCAATACACGGCCTCTTCAACGCCCCCTCCCCCTCCTCTCCCTCCGCCACCGGTTCCCGAAGATCACACTTCAACGCCACGAGTACGAGTCGGACGCCGGGACAATTCTCCGCTATTTCGCCTACCCATTTGGACTCCACGTTCTCCAGCGATTCGGGTGAGTCGACGCTGAAACAGAGCATGATGGCGTGCGTGTCGTCGTAGGAGAGGGAGCGGAGTCGGTCGAATTCTTCTTGGCCCGCTGTGTCCCAGAGGGAGAGCTCGACGTGGACGTTGTCGATGAAGATGTCGTGGACGTAGTTCTCGAAGACTGTGGGTTCGCTGTGGACATGGCATGTTAGTTCTGTGGTATAGAAGTGGGGTGCTTGGTGAGTGTCTTACTAGACTGTCGGGAAGTAGCCTCGGGTGAAGACATTGAGGAGGGATGTCTTTCCACAGGCGCCGTCGCCACTACAGTATCTTGTCAGCCTATTGTCTCTCCACAAACTACTCCACGCTCTCGCCGAGCTTAGCCCATCATCCTACGTACAGCAATACCAGCTTCCGCTGCACCGTCTTCGTGCCTCCGCACAACGGCATCCTGCCTGTGTGTGTATGTGTATCTCTTCCTACCGCTTCTGACTTCCCACTACCACAACGCGACCACCAGATACTGTCTCAGCTCCCTCGTCCCGATCTCACGAGCGCAATGCAATCGGCCGCGCGGTCCCGCTCTAATCAGTGTCCACAGAACCGATGTCGCACTCTGAGCCAGGGAAGTCGTGTCTTCGCGGAATGAGTCGGGTGTTAGAGCGCGATACTGTGGTATGGTATAGTGACATAAGAAAAAGAAGACGGGGGAAATATCGTCGAGGTGGAGTTCGTCGGCAGCTGATGTGATGGATCTCGAAGCTGGGCTGGGATGCCGTTCCAACTTTGGGTGATCTGCCCGCCCGCGCGGCTCGGCTTGAGACGGCAAAAGGCCAAATCTGGGTAAAGCTTCGATCTTGGGATGAACAGGCGTTCGTTCGAGAAGGACTTGGTATGGCTTGGCGAGAAGGAGATCTCGCGAGGAGGATTGAGAGAGTGAGAGAGTCAATGGTTCCTATTCCAGTGTTGCTACGTTTGCGTACGTTGTGATCATGAAGACGGGTGCTATGAGAGATACATATTCCTGCATTAACATCTTCATCTTCATATGGCACAGCCACAAGTTCATTTCAGCTCGTTTGCATGCTGACTATAGGCTAGTATACATGTCAGGCAGCATCGCCTACAATTGCCACTCGGATACTTGACGCTTGTAAACATGATATCATCAGCCACCTCCAACACACTACTCAGTCCTCCCTTGCACCGCCTCTCCCACCACCTAGCCGCCTCTCTAGTCCAACATTCTCGGCAGTCCGCCTCACATCACTCACAAAGCGTCCGCGATCAGATCTCTTCTTATCGTCTTCGTCACGTTGCTTGCCCTCCTGCTCCGCGAGCTTCGTCAGTCGTGCTTGGCGGTCAGTCTCCAGTTCCGAGGCATTCGATTGCATTGCTGCCAACTTGGCAGCACGATCATCGTCGTCGTTACCCTTCTTTGAGTCCTCAGGTGGTGATGTATATGGCTTTCGTCTGCTGCTGCGATCGTATGACGGCGAGCGACGACGTTCACTACGGCGAGAGTCTTCTTTGTCGCGTTGGTATGGTGAGCCCGATCGCGAGTCGGACGAACCTGAACGGCGTGGACTTGGGTATGACTTCCTTCGGCTTGAACGATCATCGCGGTCTTCGTACTTGCTTCTTCGTCTTGGTGGACTGCGTGACCGTGGAGCACTGTAGTCTCGTTCTCTTCGCGACTCGTACTTCATGTCGTCTCGACTTTTTCGCTCATACGGCGATCTCGACCGTGATCTGTCCTCACTCGGCGCTCGTCTGCTCTCACGATGTGACCTATGCCTCCTCGTCCCCCTCTCCTTATCTTCATCACTATGCCTCCTCCTCTTACTCTTGTGCCCATCATCATCTCTATGCCTATGCCTGTGCCTCCGATGCCTGTGTTCTCGCTCTCCCTTCCTTCCCTCATCGTCATCCCCATCCTTTCCTGCAGCAGCCAATAACATCTTTCTCCTCGCCGGATCCTTCATCATAGCCTCATAAGCCGCCTGCTCCTGCTTCTTGATAGCCAGCATAGGATCATTCGAGACTTTACTCATGACGTCCCTCGCGGAATTAGCATTCGAATTTAGTGCCATGAAGCCACCACCCTCCGCCTGCTCAGCCCCAGCACCATCTTTCTTCAACGCCTCCGTCTCACTCCTCTTTACCAAGCCTTGCAGACTCCTCTTTCCGAGCAGGTACCCTTCCATCTCCTCGCTCACACCACCGCCAACACCAGGAGCACTAGAACCAGGCCCATTGTACATCCAGTCCACACGATCAGTCTTCTTCCGTCCGCCAGCGGCCTCCTGCAAACGCTCCAGTTCCTGGATCTGTCGTTCTTCGGCTCGTTCCTTGAGGACTTGGTCGGTCTTTTTGCGCTCCTCGAGGGCTTTGTTTTCTTCGGCCCAGACACGCTTCTGGTTGCTCATGAGCACTGGGTGCCATGATTTTTTCAGGTTGAGGTCGCCTCCCATGTTTGCGATGTGAGGTGAGATGCAAGTTGAGAATGTGCTGTGGTGGGAGGAGAAGGTGGATGTGTGGATGATTGTGGCTGAATTGTGAGCATGACTCGTTGTGCGGGCGGATTCCGCGAGCTTATCGATTGTCGACGCTGCCTGGAGCTCGTGTCTAGACCGAGCTTCCATACAAACATTCAACCACCTTCACCTTCACATTACTGACGTCTTGCGACAAGATATCATACATTGATCGATCAGTATAGTCCAGACACAGTCTAACACTACTGAAAATTCATCATAACCTCTTTGATCCCGCCTAGCACAACACGGCCATCATGTCGGACGACGATGACTTTATGCAAGCATCGGATGAGGAGAAGTATGTACAGATTGCCACACGTCTATGCCGAACGGAGGTGCTGATACTTCTGTAGCTACGATTTTGAGTACGAAGACGATGAGGATGGGGAGGAGGGCGGTGATGTTGACGTCGAGAACAAATACTACAATGCCAAACAGATGAAGGTCGAGGAGCCGGAGGCAGCAATTGAGGAATTTCTCGGTGTGCCAGCACTAGAACCGGAGAAGGGTGACTGGGGTTTCAAGGGGCTGAAGCAAGCGATCAAGCTGGAGTTCAAGCTGGGAAGATATAGCAAGGTCAGCATATCGAGCATGGATTGAGGGTGAGGCGAGATACTGATGTACAGCAGGCTGTCGAGCACTACAATGAGCTCCTCACCTACGTCAAGTCGGCCGTCACCCGCAACTACTCCGAGAAGTCAATCAACAACATGCTGGACTTCATCGAGAAGAATGCCGAGGATGAGGCCGCAAATACATGTATGGAGCAGTTCTACTCCAAGACTCTAGAGTCATTCCAGGCCACCAATAATGAGCGGTTATGGCTGTCGACAAACACAAAGCTGGCGAGGCTGTATCTGGCGGCGAAAGACTACCCTCGACTTACAGCCAAGGCACGTGAGCTGCATAAGGCTTGCCAGCGCGAGGACGGCAGCGACGATCCGAGCAAAGGCACATACTCAATGGAGGCATATGCATTGGAGATTCAGATGTATGCCGATACGAGGAACAACAAGCGTCTGAAGGTATGACGAACACGATCGCTGAACATAATCCACGGTGCTGATTATACTTTAGGGCCTGTACGAGAAGGCTTTGAGTGTCCGATCGGCAGTGCCGCATCCCAAGATCATGGGTGTGATCCGAGAATGCGGTGGCAAGATGTACATGAGCGAAGGTATGCAAGGGACACGTGATCATGCAGCAATGCCAGACTAACAACCACCCCCAGAGAACTGGAAGCAAGCCCAAAGCGACTTCTTCGAGTCATTCCGGAACTACGACGAAGCCGGCTCGCTCCAACGAATCCAAGTACTTAAATATCTGGTTCTCACCACCATGCTCATGGGCTCTGACATCAACCCCTTCGACTCACAAGAAACCAAACCCTACAAGAACGACCCTCGCATTGCCGCAATGACGGAGCTGGTCGACGCCTACCAACGAGACGACATTACGCAATACGAGAAGGTCCTGAAACTCAACCAAGACCTCCTGGCAGACCCTTTCATCGCAGAGAACATCGACGAAGTCACACGCAACATGCGCACCAAAGCCGTCGTCAAACTGGTAGCACCCTACACGCGCTTCCGCCTTGACTTTATCGCCAAACGCCTATCCATTTCCATAGCAGAAGTACAAGATATTGTCGGCTTCCTCGTCATGGACAAGAAACTCCGTGGTCGCATCAACCAAGAAGCCGGGACCGTGGAGATCGAGAGCCGAGCGGATCAAGATCGGATGCACGCCGTGGCTGACTGGACGAAGGCGATCAATTCGCTTGCTTCGTTTGTGTTGAACGAAGGTGAAGGCTTCAAGAGTGATGATGCCGGGCTGGGCGGCGGTGGTGGGCCGGGAGGACCCATACCGAATTTCGCCTCTCTTGGGACCGATACCCTGGGTGCCTCGTCGCAGCGTGGGAAGCGGAAGCCTGGGGTTCGGGGGGCTGGGAAATGAATGCGCTGCTGGGTCTCCATGATTTACGCTTCTTTGTAAGACGACGAAGTGGTTTACTGCTGACTGAGGGGTGTTGCACATCCTGCAAGCCCGTCAGACGGGACTGCCCCTACTACCTCCACTGGGAACAATTTAGGCGATGGGATGGCAGTGGCTGGCGCTAGAAGGTCTATTTGGAAGCGCGACGACCAGACATTTGCTTCGGCAGCTGCAGGAAGGAGATTCCCGTCTTCACTTCTCTTGCGCAATACTCAACGCCCGACACCAACAGCCAACGACGACAGCAAGTCAGAGAACCAGAAGGAGAGCACTGACGAGGCGCTCACATACTGTCGCACCGGGCTCCTGTGTCTCGCGCAAGGCTTGAGTGTTCCCTACGATTCGGACAACCTCGGCGGGCTTGGGTGGGATGGGCATGGGTTCCTGTGTCACTGTGCTGAGTCGCACAAGGGCGCGAGTGAGCGCCAAATGAAATTTGCGCAGGAGTCGGAGCAGCCGCAAGCACACACGGACAGGCATTAATTGTTGCAAGCGAAATGCTTGGACTGTATGATGTTTCCTTTGATACCCCGTTCGAGCAGTAGTATAGCATGGCGTAGCGTATAGCCAGAACAGTCTAGCAAGCTTTTAGTAATGCCTTACATAGCTTTTGACAGGAGACATGGGATGATGGGACGGAAGAATTTTCGCCATCGGCCTGCCAGGCCCGTATCCTTGAAACACATCTCCCTATCGTCAGCTGTACAGGCTGGAGCGTCCTAATTTACGTATCTCCGCACCATCTCCAGAGCCATGGCATAGATCATAGATACCGTGGCTCCTTCGGCTAGGCACCGCCGTCACCCGGCATCCGACAAAATAGCTCGAAAGTAGTCTCGTCGTCGATCCCGGTCACCAGCTTCATCATTCGTCGCCTAGCGCGCTAGCTGGAGTGGTGGATGCCACAAGCGAGAAGAGGCGATCCTTGTCAAACCACACTGTCGGGTTCCAGAGCACTGGGTCATCAGATCCCGGCTCTGCAGGGCTTGGGGAGATCTTGTTGGCTGCGTCGACCGGCGCAGATGCAGCTGTTTTGCGATAGATCGCAAGACTGACGACGGTCTATCCTGGTGGTGTTGACCCTTGTAGGGCGCTACGTCTTTTCATTCCAAATGCCTGTCAATTTCGCCTGCAGCTTCGCTTGCGAGTAGTGCTTGTCTTGCTCTCTTCACGAAGGAGGTTGCGCTAAGGATGTGTATTTGAGTTTGGGCTTTCCGTTTTTGACAGTTCGTCGGGTCCATATCTGCCTCTACTCGGACTGCTACTGGGCTGCTACTGCTGCCTCGCCCACACCGGTGCGGGCGTTTCAGCTTCTGTTCGCCACGATCGGGACCCGAGATCTCGTGGGATGTGATGTAGGGGTTTGACGCAATTCATTTACGCAGTTTGGCTTTTTGGGGATTTCGGGAACTCTAATCCCACTCTTTGGCTTTGCTGTTCCTCTCGCCTCGAGGCTACCATGATGCTTCGACTATGTTACTGCGCTACGACATGAGTTTTGCACAGCGAGTGGCGGCTCTTTGTAGCTTGCTTGATTGCTTGCTTCGTGCTCTACCACTCCACCCAACAGGCACACGATTGGGAGATGGGTCCCTAGCTAGTTTACGTATGGTGGCTTGAAGGACTATTGACATGGCCCGAATCCCCCGGCATCCTTGTTCGCGTCCTACATGCGGCTCATGCCTTGATCGTCCATTGTGCATGGGGCTTCTGTAAGTGCATGCGAGGAATACCAGTCGTTCTCCAGCGTTGAAGCTGTTCCGATCTAAGCTCTACAGTGGGATGATCAAATAGACATTCTGATACATGGTCCAGGCTATCACGGTCCCTGCCCTGTCTCTCGTTTCTGCTTGATTCGTGACTCTCCGCCCTACGTTTGAGATCACATACTCTCCGATCCATTGACATGCGCATTTGCCCGCATTGCCGCCGCCGGGATTATGTGGTAGTGCAGCTTTGCGGCTTGTGGTTAGATCTGGCAAGGATACCATCGTGATCTGATCGTTTGTGTCAGTCGACAACTCGTGCCGTGAGGCGTGCTCTTTGTACTGCACAAGACGCCATCGTTTGTACCTGGCATGGACTATCCTTCATTGCCGAAGCGATCCATTAGTAGGACCCGCTTTATGCTACTCTGACGCTCTCACACACCTGCCCTGCTGAGTATCCCAAGGTGTGGGTATTTTGAGGCTTTATGAGATAGAAACCGCAAGCTTGGGATAGCGGCAAAGGGAACGTACAGTCGCATGGGGGCGTGTTCGTTGCCGTGGGATTTTTGGTATATGTTGTCGGTCGAAGGTACCCAGCACCCCGGTCCGTACTTGCGTCTCTGTCACGCTGCACTCCCTGAGGTTACTCTACAGCAAGGAACAACAGCCCTTTGTTTCGGCCTGCCTGCACTCTGCCACTGCTCCACGATCCGTGGCTCCGAACAGAGTAGGCTTGTCGGCTGCATGGTTACTCGTGTCTTGCCTTTGCCTTTGCCTTTGCTTCCTCCTTCGACATTGCTGCTGCGTGTCATCTGGTTTATGGAATTGTGTTCCATGGTTACATACTCAACGTGATACCCTACCTGCTTCGACTGTCGACTTGAGCTTCTTGCTGCTGCTTGTACGAGGTCAATAGTACATGCAGCGGCCGACGCAGAGGGGTGTCATTTGAAGGATACGAGAGGTGTCGCAAAGGCTGAAGTGCGATCCTTCAGCATTCCAGTGTTTGCCTTCTTCGCCTCAGACGAACTCCACCACCATCGCCATCTAGGCCTCGACTCCAGCTCAACTTCTCACACCTCAAGGGCGAGAGCAGACGCGACCCGCGACAGACGCTGACAGCAAAGCAAATATCATTCGACTTCCCTGAGCGATTGGATCGACAGTGGCCCCGCTTAGTCTGCTCTAGCTTGGATTCACTAGCCCGGATTGTACTGAACAAGATGAACCACCAACCTGTCGCTACCGCACCAAGCTACTATCATCAACACCTGTACGCTCCACAGCTTGCCCATGGACACTATCATGACCCCGCGTACACTTCCGTGGGCTATCGACCTTTGCAGCTGCCAACCCAGCAAGTGCAGCAGCAACAATACGCCGAACAACAGCATCAACAGCAACAGCTTTCACTAGCGGCGGCAGGGTACCATCACCATCCCGCCTATCAAGCTCAGGCACAGCAGCATAGTCAAGGACAAGTATTGCCAGTTCGCACGCGACAGCAGGCTCGTCAGCAACAACAAGTAATGGCCTACCAGGAGCAGACGCCTGAAGAGCTTGCCGAGTTGCAAAAGCTCAGCAATGAATACCAGCCGGAGACCATAGTCAGTGAACTCTGATCACGATGAATGACTTTGTAAGTGAGGTTGAGTGCTGACTTTTGTGGTCATCAGGGACCGCTCGTGGGCCAACGCGAGCCATGCACGAAGATCGCCACAGAGTACGCCACGGCTGACCCTGTCTATCAAGCGAAGACAGCTGTAAGTTGAAACATCCTATTTCATTCTCAACAATGACAGCTGACACTGTCTAGGCACTACCACAAAAGTACTCACACTACCGTACTGTACGTGGCGATGGACGATGCGGGTGGCGAGGTAGACTGTTCATGGCCACTCACCCCGTAGAGGACCACACTAACAAGCATCAGCAATCGCGTTCGGCTGGATCGAAACCCTCATCCACCATGGAGATACCAACCGCTTCTACGAGGAAGAAGCTCGACTTCGATCCATGTACAACATCCTTGAGGCCGCGGGCTGGAACGCACTGCTTTACGAAGACTTTGCAGATGAGGCTTTTGATCTGTTGAGAGAAGTGGCTAATGGTATGCACAACGACACAGCTGGAGATGTGCTCGTCGCAGCTTTCAACGATGAGATGAGACAGAACTATATCATCACCTACGTTCGGGTATGACATGCAATGAGTTTTCATGATCTCCTCGTACTAACACTTTCTTAGATGCTGGCGGCTGCCTGGATGAAGACGCGACCTGGCGAGTATGCACCATTCGTGCTTGACAAGACGGTCGATCAATACTGCGACGACTCGATCCTGCCAATGGACAGCGAGATCGAGAACGTAAGCTTGAGTGCACTGAAAGATGTCCTCCTGTCACCCGCTGGCATGGCCCTGGAAGTGCTCTACCTGGACCGTACAGAAGGCGGAGAGGTGAACATGCATCGCTTCGACCCTGTGAATCCTCGTGACGGTGTAGCAATCGGAACGATCAGACTCCTATACCGCCCTGGTCACTACGACATTCTCTACAAAGCCGAGGACCTCCCTTACGTGGTGGAGCCGATTACGTACCTCAACTTCGGCAGTCAGCCACACCAAGAACACGTCTTCGCAATCAACCCTGGCATGGACTACATGATGAACATGCCTGGCGCATCCCTTATCAACCCGCATCAGCATTGGCTCTCTTACTCGAGCTACGACAGCGGGGTGTCAGACTTCTTCACCGCTCCCAACCCACAGCAGCATTGCATCCAAACTACACCAAACCCAGCTCCTGTGCCCACACCTGCACCTGTCGTTGCCTCTCAGCAGCAAATTCAGCCTATAAACATCTACATGCCACAAGCTGAACCACAGCTTATGCCACCCCCACTTGAGCTGTCGCAGGAGCTCGCCATACGCAGTCTACCACAGCCGCCTACGATTACCTCTGGCTATCAGCAACAACTCACGGGCCCGTTCAGACCATCAGCGTGGCAGTTCGAGGAAGGCCTCGCGCAAGCAGCTTCGCAGCGGCCATTCCAGACTTCCATCTTCAAGAAGTGAGTGCAATGCAGGGCCATTCGGTGACACGATCGCTAATCTTGACCAGCTCTCCATGGAACACGGCACATTTCCGCAACCCCGACTTCCAACCGGAAGAGTGGCGACCGGACGACGAGTATGTGGTGATCACTAAACCACTGCGACACAAAACCAGCGGGTGACCAACGACCCTGCAACAGAATGCACCCGCCTGACCTTTCACATGCACGGCTCGCATATACCTGCAGCACCGCGTTGTGAATGAGGCGGGGCTACGGCAAGAGTCACACGAACTGAAGGCCTTATGCATTAGCTTACTTCCATCCCTTCCACCGCACCACACAACTTGCCGCAACCTCACGCAGCCACACGCCAGTGCCCATGCCCGCGTACTTCCCAGGCTTGCAGTCCGCTCCTTCACCCAGCTGACGGATAATGACGGCTCACGAACCAAAGACTTATTCACCTCAGGGTAACCTTGAAGCAAGCAAAGTCAACTTATTCCTGCCAACATACTTATATTATCGCTTATCTCGAAATTATCAGATAGCACTCTAGTAATCAGATAAAGTGGGGGGATAGGGCGAGGAGTCATCACATAGATAGATGGACCAGACATGGGGTATGCTATTAGCGAAGGCGATGGTGGTGTTATGGTGGAGAGAGAGAGTGGCCTTGACGGCCCAGGACGAAATTTCGGTAGTCTGGCGTATAGTGTAACCTTTTTAGCGGCAATATAGCTAGATGACAGATGTAACAAAACGTTCAAGCCAGAACATAGTCGCGAATGTGATGTATCTCCCACAGACAGAGTGAGCGAGCAGCTGTCGAGTCAAAGCAATGACTCAAGCACCACGTCAATCAAATAGCCAATCAAATGCATCAACCAAATTTAAGCTCCAGAACGGAGAGGCGAGAGAAAATCTTGGCAGATGAAGCACAGACCGCCTTCTCCCGCACCTCAAATTCTATCTACTCCGCTACTTGACGTCCTCGACATAGACAAGCTACTTGCCACAGCCTCAAAGTCATCACCCACGACATATTGCATCGACGAAAACTCGGCTCAGCGATACAGCAAATACATACGAATCCGTCAGTACCGCAATCATGGTAGGTTCTGCCCTGTGGGAAAGGAGATGGCGGTGGCGAAGATTGGCAAGGGCGAGCACACGAGCATGAGTTGAGGGTGGAGGGTGGTGGAGGGTGGTGATGCTCGTCTATGCTGTCGGAGGCAGTGGTGGGATATGGCAGAGGAGATAGTGTGCTAATACCCCATGCTCTCAGGTTCTCGCCGTCGACCTCTTGAACCCTACCCCTCAGGCTGAGGCCCGCAAGCACAAGCTGAAGGTATGTTCATCCCCTTCACAAACCACCCCCGCCCCCAAAACTCACCTCGCCATATACTGACATAATACCCGATGTATAGACCCTCGTCCCCGGCCCCCGATCCTTCTTCATGGACGTCAAGTGTCCCGGCTGCTTCACCATCACCACCGTCTTCTCCCACGCCCAAACCGTCGTCGTCTGCGCCGGCTGCTCGCAGGTTCTGTGCCAGCCTACGGGTGGTAAGGCGCGGTTGACTGAGGGCTGCTCGTTCCGGAGAAAGTAGATGCTTCTCCTACGTATTGAGTGATGGAGATGAGGAGATATGGAAGAGGCACGCAAGCAGGCATGCATGCACGGATATGACGACATGCATGTATGATGTGAGACCACATCTACTCTGCCAGCCAAGTGCTGCGTAGATGGAGTGGTCAGAAATTGGGGTTGTGCTGTTGAATCTCTGGAAGGAGTTTGGTGGGTGCATTGTGGAGGTGAGATGTGGCATATTCTGGCGAGCCTTTGCTTGCAGAGCGGACGCTTTTCTTAGTTCGTCATCTGCATCGGGGTGAGGATCCGGTATACCCTTCATCGAGGAATCCTACCCTTGCGTGGTTCCTTACGTGTACTTAGCGGCCCCGAAATGGAAAAGCAAAAAACTCATCATTGCCCTCATACCCCTACCATCGTCACGTGATATGCATCTGTCTCCTCCAACTTGCTGTCTTCTGAGGCTTGCGTTGGACCCTCTTACTTCTTTCTCGGCTTCACTCAATTCATGAATGTCGGCGGAACAGCTGGGATGGATAAAATGTATGTACACGTATATTACATCAAGCATAGGACAGCGACGGCCGAAGCCAGAAACACGACTACACCATCCGCTCCATGGCTACTGTAAGAGGAAGACGCAGACTTCTTATGTCCGCCTGTCGCAGCAGCAGCAGCAGGCGTGACCGATACACCCGTCCCTGGAGTCGGCGGAGGCGTCATACTCGGGATCCTCGACAACGGCACCGTCTTCGTCCCTCCAACCACCAAACCGTCAGGGCCATCACTAATCACAGTCCCATATAACATCATCGCTGGACCTCCAGGATAAAGCGTAGTACCATCCACGATCACGAAATCCGCTCCTTCGGGTTCGATTGCCGTGTAGATCTCGCCTGATATAGTAACCAGAGCCTCGAGAGCGGATGAGGTTGGTATGGGTGTTGGTGGGATCGTTTTCGTGCCGCCGATTACTAGGCCATTGGGACGCTGGCTTATTATTGTGCTGTCGATTGTTGCTACTGGACCGCCGGGGGAGAGTGTCGTGCCATCGAGGAGGACGTACGCTTCTCCGGGTGGTTCTATGGCTGTGAGGACTTGGTTTCCGAAGGTGAGGAGGGCTTCGTAGCCTAGGGGTGCTGTTTGGATGGCGGAGAAGGGGATGGTTTGGGTGCCGGCTAGCACTAGCCCGGATGGCCCGTCCGAGACGAGTACGTTATGAATTGTGGCTGCTGGGCCGCCCGGATGGAGTGTGGTGCCATCTATGACTACTCCTGAAGAGCCATCGCTTAGCTCGCTTGCTGTGTAGACTTGGCCATTGAGAGTGACGAGAGCTTCTTGAGCTGTGCCTGGCGTTTGGAAGGAGGTAAATGGTATTGTTTGTGTTCCTCCAAGGACCAAGCCGGCACTACCAAGCGAGATGACCGTGCCGTCGATCGTGGCGGCGGCTCCTCCTGCGCGTAGTGTCGTGCCGTCGATGACGATCTCTGATGGAGAGCCGCCGACTTCTGTGGCTGTGAAGGTCTCCCCACCAAGGGTGATAAGAGCCTGTGGTGCTGCTGTAGCTGGGCCATTGAGCGGCACTGTCTGCGAGCCGTCGACTACCAAGAAAGGCGAGCCTACGTTGTCAGAGCCTGCGCTTAATGTCACACCCGCAAAGGTAGCCACACCATTACTTCCAAGAGTTACGGTGGAGGAGCCGTCCACGATGAGCGTCTGACTGCTACCCGGTACTTGCTCGAGAGTCAGGGTTTTATCATCAGCTATCACTGTCCCCAAGACAGTTGCACCGCCGGCCGAACTTCCGGCTGTAGGAATGGCATATGTACTCGCTGGCTGCTTGTTGCTGCCGCCAACTAGAACAGAGCCACTTGCAACATAGACAGGTGTGCCACTAATCGTTGTCGTCTGACCCGATGTCAGGGTCTGCCCGTTGATAATAATGCCGCTTGGGTCTGAAGGGTCGGCCAAGATGGTCTGACCTGCCACAGTGGCAATTACACCCGAGTTAACGCCATTGTTTGCAGACGTAGGTTGTACTGTGGCCACGGTGCTTCCGGTACCGATGATTGCTCCGCCCGACGTTGGAGCACTGACCACTTGCCCGCCGAGTGTTGTTGTTGCGCCCGGTTTCAAAGTAAATGTAGTCCCGCCATTGGCAACAACCACTCCAGAAGAGTCTGCGGACTGTGTAGGTAGGACAGTGAAAGCAGATGAGCCAACCGTCACCACGGAAGCTTGACCATTGTTCGTATTTCCAGCGCCGGAGTTTCCAGGTGGTACTGTCTTGGCAGCACTGCCACCACTACCGATAACGACACCACCACCAGACGACTGCGCACTGACAGCCTGTCCGCCAATGCTAGTGGTCTGGCCTGGTGTCAGCGTGGCGCTGGAACCTCCCGCGGCGACCACGATTGCAGTAGAACCTTCGGAGTTCGAGGTCGGTGCCATGATGAACGTTCCTGAATTCACGGTCGCCACGACGCTTCCCCCTCCAGAGTCGTTGAATCCACTTCCTTCTGAGCTGTCTCCACTAGAGCCATCATTCGAGCCACCATTGTTCGTGCCGCCGCCGTTGCTTGAGCCTGAGCCTGAGCCTTGCGTGGTAGCCGCACCTCCGTCATTACTATTACCGCCCATGGCTTGACTCTGTGCGGTGGACTGATTCTCAATGACTGAGATGATGATGCCGCCTGGGTCAGCTGAAGAGATCTCGGCGCCCGGCGACGCATTCTGCGAAGGGTCGCTACTTGCGCCATTGCTCGAAATACCGGATGCTTTGTTTGCCGATCCATTAGGGACGGACCCAGCATTACTTTGTGCGGACGATACTCCGTCTCCAATCTTTGAACTTGGGTTCGACCCTCCATTTCCAGAGGATTGGTCGTTCCCATCCGCTTGTCGAGTAGAAGAAGATGGAGCACTGCCACCTTGTGGTTGTCCACCGGTAGATGAGCCCTGAGTATCGCTTTGAACCGGCGGCGTAGTCTTAGTTGGACCCGGCGTGGTAGCAGCCGGCGAGTTTGGCGTCTGAGCTGGCGAGGCAGTAATGGTCAATGTGTTCGATTGGCCAGGGGCAGTAGGCGCTGCTTCAGACGATGCTGGCTGTAGAGCTCTGGGCGGACTATGCAACACATCAGTGCTGTCATAAGTGTTTGGTTCCTCGAACTTACTCCCAAAGTCCATCTAAGCCAAGCTCACATTGCGACCAAAGAGGATCCAGATCCCTCATCTCAGGAGGGACAGCCAGTACCGGTTGGAACAGACTGGCAGATATATAGTCAGCAGTACGCTGATGAAGACGGACTTCGCAATCACCCTCACCTTTCGTATATGACATAGCTGGATTGCCTACACATAACAGGCGCAACCACTCCGTTGAGTTTGTTGGGATATTGGAGCTCGCCCATGTTTCCACTGCCAGCGCAATCTGGCATGGCGAGATATGCGCTTGCTGGAATGGGAGAGTTCAGGTCGGCAAAGTTGAAAGAGTAGGCGTAGTCGAAAAGATCGTAATTGTAGCTGGATACGCTGTAGACATCTGAAGATGCGACCGGCAAGAGACCGCCAGCATACGTCGCCCCCAGGCGGCCACAAGTGTTGGTGGCAAAAGCTGTCTGGTAGGAGAGGTAAGCTCGGTTCTCGTAGAAGGTAAATCCATCAGAGACTACGAAACGGCCTATCAAGGTATGTTAGTGTGTTGTGTACAGTCGATGCATAGCTGGCTCTTGCCCGAATCTGCCACCTTTGTGGCGTTGGTCGGAAAATAAGCGCATACGGCAGGTGCGATACCGTTGGTAGTCGTAGAGGCTCCGGGAGTGGTAGCACCGAAAGGACAAATCGTGGGGGCCCCTGGGGCTGGGGCACACATATCCCTGCTATAGTTCGTTGTTACAGGAAAGTACCTATGGGCGGACAGAAGTCAGAAGGAGCGGATATGCCAAGTAGGAATACACGGCTTGCGCCCAGTGATCTCTTACATGAGCTGTACAACCCCACCAACGATGGTGCATGCACCACAATAGTCTTGCGTTGCACCAGCACCAGTGACTGTGCAGACCGGATGGTCAAGAGTGCTCCATCCAGTTACAAACTCGCTTTGCATCGAGATGCAAGCCGACTGACCTATGCTGCAACTAGGTGCTGGTAGGACAACGGTACTGGGAACATATAGCGTGGTGAAGATGGGTGACTCGCCAGTCGATGTGATGTCGCCTACGATGCGAGCTTTCCCGTCGCAGAGTGTCGTGATGGACGCACTGTACTCTGTTGCCCAGACAGTCGTATTCGGGACAGCTGTGTAGACGACAGAGCCGTTCTCGAATCCAAAATTGAACCATTCGGCATTGCAAGCCGAGTAGTAACTTGAGCCTGGACATATGATTAGTGAAATTGCCAGCTTTTGTCATAGAGTATTCACTGACTATTGCCCACAGCTGGTACCATCCAAGGGGAGAAAATGGTGCTAGTTATCGGTCCAGTCTCATTGGTTGGGCCGACGCTCGTGCCTAGAGTACCGCCATCTGTGGCATTAGACCCTCCAAACCCTTGGGATGGCATAGTGTATCCTGCTGGGATCGATCCTGTCGAGTTGCTATTGCCTGGAGTTGAGATTGTGACGCTGGCAGTCTGGTTGGAGTATGCTCCGTCACCAGAATACAGTAGTGAGGCTACCCCAGAGTACGATGTACTACTCGCCTCTACCGTGCTGACATTGCCGGCAGTACTTGAGACATAAGACCTGTATATCGCCGTGACACTGCCAACGAAAGAAGCGTTGCCGACGGTGCTCGAAGATGCCTCTCGGACTGTAGTGTGCTGCGATGAGCTCGGTACTGTTGGGAAATTCATGGTTGCGTTCGGTGCAATGTCCGAGCTGGCAGAGCTGATTGTAGTTGAGACATTAATGACTGAATGATACGTGTTGATTGTCGAGGCTGGCCCGCCGGAGCTTCCGTTATTGACAGAGGACGTGCTAGACTCTACGGAAGAGGCTTCGGCTCCGGAATTGAGACCAAGGCCGGACAGTATATAAGCACCTAAACCTGCAGATGCCATACCTGCGAGACTCGATGAGCTTGTGCCATGTCCAGACAAGACCGTGGTGTAGCTGGACTGAGACTCAGACGTGCTGTTTGCTGACGAGGGTGTTGTCGTCGGCAACGAAAAGAAGGCAGACGACGAACTCGTGCGGGTAGTCGTGGCTGACAGTGATGGACGTTGGTATGTAGCGTTATTTGTGGCTGAGCTCGAGACTGCATTGACAGGTCAATATAATCATAGCCGGCGCCTTGGAAGATCCAACCTACGATCTATGGTTGCAGCTGTAGTAAGATCTGCCAGGATTAAGAAGGGAACACAGATCAGTAGCGACAGTGACATCTTGCCAATCAAGACCACGCTTTGGAGCAAGCTATACCGCAGGAACGGGACGACACAAAGACAAAAGAAACACAGTGATTAATGGCAAAAAAGTTCCTGGACGTGGTATTTATAGCCAACTCTTCAAAGATGTCGCGAGTGCTGAAGCATGTTGGTCTCTCAGCTCGTACCAGCAGATCTTCTTTCAGCGGACCACAATAATAGGCTCGCTGTGTCATCACAGGGTGGGTGCTGGCCCAGATGTGAGCGATTGAAGCGCAGTGGCTTCGGTACATGAAGCCGACTAGTCCACTGCTGACAGGTGCATGCAGGTACGCGGATCCTCTGCATGGACACAAGCTGATGAGCCAGAATTGACGATCAATGCATGCTTGGTGCTCGGAGTCCCGTGATAACCTCCACGGTGCGTCAAAGTATCGACTTCATATCTGCCATTGAACTGCTCCTATTGACAGCGTCCGTAGGGTCAATACCGCGATGAGAATCTCAGGATCTTACAAGAAGCGGATCATGGCAGGTCACGCCGCGAGCAGACGCGATTAGTGACGACCACGACCAGCAGTATTGGCACTTTTCAGGATTTGTGTCTCACGTCCGTGATCAGAGTCAGAGCTGCGCAGTCTCGAGCGATCTTGCAAGCGTTATATTACCACGTCTCCTGGGCATCAAATGAGAGCTTCCAAACGAGGCCCAGAGAGCATGGAATATACTCTATCGGCGTCTGGAGCACACTAGCCCACGAGGTCCATGTCAGCGTTCGCAGATGGCTCGTCAGGAGCAGTAAGCACTATCGAGGAATAACAAGCGTGTTGCATAGTTCGACAAGGGTGCCATTGGCCGAATCAGGTATGGTCGTTAAACATTATCTGAATAGATGATAAGCGTCCCTTGATTTCCTGGGCTCAAGCGGTATAGTTGTGAATGAGGATGCACTTGGTATAGCGTTGTACGATCTAGCCGAGTAACCAGATTACGCTGGAAGCAGGGATGGTTGTGGGAGAGGAAAGAGGCCAGGAATTGGCGAAGCTGAAGAACTGAAGGATTCGGGACGCGGCCACATCCGAAGAGCCGCAGCAGGCAGGGAGAACCAATCGCCACGCCCTGACAACACTTCAGATCTGTCTCACACTGCTCGATGGCCAATTCGTGCGCCCCATGTCCACGCCATACGACTCGCAGAGTACTTCGCAGTCGTCGCGGAAAAGCTCGTTTCAGTCAGACGATGGCCTGCTTCGCACTGGAGGCAACTCTCGCTTAAGGCCCGAGGATGCCATATATGGACCATCGCCTCCTCGACATCGGCCTCGTCAAAGCAGCCCTCTTGGCAGGAGCGATACTGTGACCACTGCTACGGCGCCAATAAATGACAGCCGCAGACGTCGTGACAGACGTAGAGGCCGAAGCAGTAGCCGACGTAAGGCCGGGCCATGGAAGAAGCTGCTTTGGGTGAAGCAGAACTATCCTGACAACTACACTGACGAGGACACCTTCTTGGATCATCTACAATGGAATCCTAGACTACGGCCATATGAGTTCTGGCCTTTGGTTGCCGACAGCACGATCATAGTACAGCATGTTTGCTCAGTTGTGATATTTGTATGCTGTTTCACTGGCATTTTCCAAGCACGAGTCAGCCCGCAGACGGTTGTTGGCTGGGCCACTGTCGGTACAGTAGCGGGATGGATCTTTCGTGATCTGTGGCAGAGCCAGGATACGTCAGAAGTGACCGACACCAGCAAGAATGTACCTGACAATGAGGAGGCTGAAGTTGCATCAACAGCGTCGAGCATAGGCTCTGCTCCATCGTCTGCTATAATACCTCCCGAATTGAGTACCTTCGTCAATGATCAGTACTCAAATGGTGGAGGCACACTATACGGCACTCTCTCGAGGATGCACTCGCGAGACCCTAGCGCTGTCTCGCTCGGTGCATACAGCGCTTCCGCCATCCCGAACAGCGACGTTGACATGATGTCAAACACTGTTACTACAGTACGTGCAAGCTATATTCCGCCATATCAAGGCAAGCCTTCGTCATTCTCGCCGCGCATGCAGGAGCGTCTCACGACTGCCAAATCAGCCCTTCTCATCTACTGCAGTCTTCTAGGCTTATCGCCTATACTGAGATCCCTCACCAAATCGACTTCGTCCGACAGTATTTGGGCTTTGAGCAGCTGGCTCATGATACTCAATGTCTTCACCTTCGATTATGGAGCTGGTCCAGAAGCGAAATTTCCTGCCTCTCTGTCCACGAATGCAGCACTGATGGCTAGTACTGTGCTTGCTTCTCGTCTGCCAACCACTACGCACGTATTTAGCTTGACACTCTTCTCTATAGAAGTCTTTGGCCTGTTCCCTGTCTTCCGCCGTCATTTGCGACATCACAGCTGGACTGGTCATCTATGTCTTACAACATTCCTCGTTGTCATGGCTGGGGCAGGATTGAGCATGACAATCAGTGGAGGCGGCTGGGGCTTTGGGATGTTCGGGGTCGTGCTTGGTGGAGTTGTCACCGGTCTGAGCATGGGCATGACCAGCTGGTGGCTGATCGGGCTGCAGCGATACAAGAACGAGATTCGCGGACCTTGGGATCCAGCTAAACCCGTCATCAGACGAGGTTGGGACTGAGCTTGAGCCGCACTTCATTTTGAAACAATATACTACCATGAACTACGACAATGATGTCTCGTACAATGTCAAGAATTCCGCCTCAATGGATCGATATGCTCGTGCCCACGAACACAACAAGCACAGCCGCATATGCCGCCGTAGCACCAACAATATCCTTCACCTGCAAAACCGACCCATCAAGTGCATTCGCGCCGATGCCTAGTGGTGCAAGCAAGCCTCTAGCCAGGTATGCGATGATATTGAACAGCACGAGCGACGAAGCAAAAGCAAATACAAACACGCAGGTCACTATCAGGCTGTTCTTGGTTGAGGGGTGTAAAACCATGATGAGCATGGGGACTACCAACGCGGCGCCCATGCTTCCAGCGAAGATCAATTGGATGATGGTGCTCAGGGTGAAGTTGAGATATTCGGCCATGGCACCTCGTACCTTTTCCAGGGATTTAGGCGGTCGGGGAGTCAGGACTCCGACACGTTCGAATGGGACGGGCTCCGGTTCCAGTTCTACGGGCTTTGCTTCGATGTCGCCATCTCGCTGCGCTGGGAGGGGTGGCGAGGGCATCAGTGGTCGAAGGTTCATCTTTTCTAGGTTATCGACAGCTTCGGCTAGCGTCTGGACGTCAGCATTGGATATGGTGGTGGAGGGGACATGATTGCAATGACTACTGTACTCACAGTACCGGTGTAGCAACCCATGTAGCTTATCGTGAGCATCATCATCCATTGCATCTAGGCTCCCACTTTGCTGGACTGCTACCATGATGCGTGCCTCGAACCTTTCAACATTCTGCTGATGTAATTGCTTGAAATGCTTGATGGGTTGTAGATCGTCCTGTCCCTTGCCCTTGGCCTTGCGCCTCTGAAGAATTGTCAAGTATACTAGTGCATTCATCGATTTCGGCGTGCACGAGGATACCGAACACTGCAGTACTAGTGATCACTGGCGTTTCGAGCGATATACGAATCAACTGGTGGGTTTCTCAATTTCGTCTTTTGGGCTTGCAGATAGTACTGGGAGTTCCGTTTATACACGTTCTGCAAACAGAAGATGCTCGTTGCATTGACTTGAGGGATCCCTATTACAACGCGGCCTCAATGCACTGCCCCATGGCCCGCTGGTGGCGTTTATGCACCTAAGTTCCTGGGGAGAGCAAACCTAAGTACTACTGCAGCGACGTGCCTTCCACTCCCGACAAATCAATCGAAACATACGTGAACGAGCAGGAAGCCAAGAACTCCCTCATTGGAACGCGGCGAGAGTGTGAAGACGTAGTCGAGTTTGTAGAGAATACAGACTACTCATAGACCAATACAATACACGCAACCTCGCTCTCGATGGAATGCCATTCTCCATATCATGCTCGCCATATCCTACAAGTTGCCATCGCTATCGTTAATGCCAAAACGAAGTACTGTTCGCTAAATGCAAAAAAAAGGTCGACATACTCAAGCTTGCTTGCCTCCCTCCTCGTTTCCAATCGCATCATACTACTCATCGCGACTATCCTGATCGTCCAAAATCGCATCCTTCCCACCAACTCCTTGCGGACTGACAGCAGTGCCCTTGACAGCAGGTACGGGACTCAGCGCGGAGCGCTCAAGTTGAGGGCCGGCGCCGGAGCCGACGATGGCTTGTTTTGCGGTTTGAGTTGCGTCTGCTGTCTTTTGACCGGGGCTGTACGTAAAAGAAAATAGACTCATGTCAGCGCAACATGATCTTCATCTTCAGCGAAGGCCGCCAAGAGTGGATGCTCCGGACACACGATAAGTACCACCCTGCACACCACCCGCCTCAGCTGCAGGCCCATTACGGAAAGCCGAGTCGTGCTTATCGCCGTTGACGGCACCAGTGGTAGTCGAAGGCTTGATGATGTTGCCTGGGACTGGGAGGCCGCTGGCAGTCTGGCTGCTACTGCTAGTGGGGCGATTACGCTGGACATCGGGCGGCATGGACCTGCTCTTTGAAAGGGGTGAGATTTCAGGTTCGTCTGATGAGGTGGTGACGGAGGTTTGAGGGGGAGATAATAATGATGCATCGTTAAGAGCTGTTTGGCTGGGTTGCGATTGCGATTGTGGTGATTCCGCAATGGGTGCAGCGACTGGTCTACTCACGTCGGCTCCAGTGGCTGCAGTATCCTCGTCGAACTCGAAGGCTTCGGCTTCCTTCTCGTTGAAGTCCTGGCCCGGGTTGGCGGTCTCGTACTCCAGGACTTTGATGAAGCGGTAGAAGCCTACGGCGAGAAGGGAGCCCAGGATGGGGCCGAGCCAGTAGATCCAGTGGTAGTGGGTGAAAACGCGGAGGGCGACACAAGGGCCGAAACTACGTGCTGGGTTCAAGGAGCCTGTACTGATCAGTCATGTGGATGGAAGAAATGTTAGAGTAGTGGCAAAGACATACCTCCAGTGAAGTAAACGCCAGCCAACTCGCAAACGAACAAAGCCAGGCCGATACCAACAGGAGCCAAGAAAGTGCCTTTGTGCTTCTCAGCGGCCAGCATCAGGATCGTGAAGACCAGCATGGCAGTGAGGAACATCTCGATGAATAGTCCTTGTGCAATCGAAGTGTTGCCACCAAGGGTCGTGGAGACATTCATGGCGCCAGGATACAGACACAAGACAACGCCAGAAGCAGCCATGGATCCAAGAATCTGCGCAATGAAGACCAGACCAGCGCGGCCCCAGTTGACTGCTCCGATCAAAGCCAGGGCGAGCGTGACAGCGGGGTTGAAGAGACCTAGTAGGAGTCAGATCTCACTCGCCGCATAGATTGATATTGATTGGACCGACTCACCCCCAGTGATGCGGAAAAACACCCAGGCATTGACCGCCAAACTGAACCCAAAGGCAAGACTGATATACAGCAGAGTGGAAGCGTTAGGCGCCTGGCTCAGACCGCCTGCCCCTGATGCATTACCAGCGCCTTGATTGCCGACATCTTGGGCCGCGGCAGCAGTATTTGCAACCTGCGTGGCGGCGAAAGCGAAGAACAAGAAGAGAAATGTCCCAACGAATTCTCCCATCATGGCGATGCTGGAAGAACATGTCAGTGCGAGCCGATCAGTGTCATACGAACGTATTCAGCCTATTGCACTTACAAGTGGTTACGGAACTTGTTGGGCATGAAACCTATTCCAGGCAGGCGAAGCTCCTTGCGGCCCTTTTCGGGGTTGTGCTCGATACCCGGGAGTTCGACATGGGTGCGGATGAACGGGAGGTTGATGAGGCGGTCTGAGGGGGCGTTGACGTTCATGGTGGCGGTGAGGTGGGAAGTCCAGGTAGAAAGGTTAGGTTGGATCAGGACCAGAAACTGCTGCTCGAATGTACTATTCCGCACCGTGGATTTCGGAGGTCGTGTTCACAAGGTCGTCCAGTAGGCCAGACAGGTTATGCTGGGGTCCAAAACGAAGGCCTGTCAGGTCGGGCAGTAGTTTGTGGTCGAAGCCTTACTGAGGATGGTCGTAGATGGATATAATGTTTGGAGAGAGACTCAGACCGTGAGGTGTGGCAAGAGTGGAACCTTACACCATCAATATTTACGCTAGAGAAGTCGCAAGAGCAGGCGACGCACTCGAGCAAAGAGTGGAGAAGAGAAGAGAAGAAAGTGCTTGGTCAGAGGCAAGGCAAGTCAAAGTGAGGTGAGGTGGTGGATGACATTTTTTTGCCAGCCCCAGAAGCGGCAGCGACATGCCGTCTTTTTGGGGGAGAGCTTGAGGTAAGCTTTCCAGCTACTCTCACGGTGACGCAGGTCAATGTCCGTATCGCGCCTTGCCTGAGGTGGGTTTGCATGGCGTGAAAAGCGCGTGAGCTACCGTTTGATCGGAAAGGTTAAGCTGGCTCACTCCTCTCGCTACGCAGTGACCATCGGGGGATCGTAGCTCCCGGTGCAGATCTGCGCATCATCCCACTGCCTTGGGAGCGAGCACCTGAACATTTTCTGCAGGCGCCACTGGGTATTCGGCATGCCGCACACGCAATGTAACAGAGCTGGAGACGGAGTGTAGGTGCCGGGGCATGGATGTCGATTCGTACCAGCACGCCAGCTTGCGTATGTCTCGCTAGCTCTAGCTCTAGCTCTAGAACTTCATGTCTGGTCGCTGGGTGGCTAGAGACTTTTTTGCTTGCCCGCTATGCCACTTCCAACCTCGAAGGTGATCATATTCATGTCGTCAACGGCGTCAAGAAAGCATATTCCTAATCTGTTAATGAAATATGGATCCTAACACATAACACATCGTGTGTTCGTACTGCAGTATAAGTACCTACTCGACCGGGACATGGCCGAGCGGCGTGCCTCCCCGATACTTTTTGTTCACGTTCCCAGCGTGACCCGACCGCCGTGCAACAACCACAGGGCTCCACTGATCTACTGTAGCAGCACAGCCGTCTGCCTAAGAGATAGCGTCCACTGGCGGTCATGCAAACGAGACAGGATACCATGCTCTTCGCGATACTACACAATCGACGTCCCGAACTTTGGCGGTCGTCGTGATCAAGAAGAGGCGACAAGCCCATCCTCACACAGAGCTGCATCACGCGTCATGTCTCAGCCTCAGGCACGCAGCAATGCGTTGCTGTCATCATCACGTTGGAGCTCGAGCATGAGCAAATATCACCGATCTTAATTCTCGACCAAGGAAGGAGGCGTGGCATGAGGCGCAAGGCTAGCTCGAAGGCACAGGATATGTATTTGGCTGCATCTCAACATCAAGCGATTCTTGGCGAATAGCCTGCCATATCGTACGTGCCTCGTAGTGCCTGTCATCCAGATGCTCCGATAAGCAGCAGTCATTGACCATGATTACATGCTCCCTCGGGGCAGGCCAGTGTGTTTCGCGAGCGTGGCCGGACTTTGGTCTCCTGACTATTCGATGTTGCCAACATGTGTCAATGGCGTTATCTTGCTAGCCAATGGTGCTTCTAAGTGCTCAATTGAATCTGCCATATTCATGACTTCTTCTACAGCCGTATATGCTGACAGTGCTTCAGTGTCACGTGCTTCATGTAGATCTACCCGAGGCTGAGGAGCACAGCCGATTTGTGGCTTGACTTCCAAAGGTTTGGCTCGATTAGGTTGTTAGCAGAGCAGAGGGGCAATAAGGTTATCGTGCGCATACCGCATCAACAATCCTCCCATTCAGTGGTGAAAGTGCTCCCTGTGTACTCCGTCTCACCCTTCACGTTGTTGGTTGCTTGACCGGGCGGGTCCGTGGCTAATTCACAGTGGCATCATCTCCGCAGGCAGGCTATTTCATGCAGACATCATCGAGCGCATGACCCTGCAAGCCCGCATGTGTGTCTCCGACCCAGTCTAGCCCGCTTCAGGTAGACATCGACATCGACATCAACCACTCTTTACCCATATCCTCTTCCCTTCTCATGCGACGATAGCGACAACGCGGCAAGACGTCGCAGCAGCACATCTCGTGCCTCTTACATTTCCAACCATGCGGCCCCTACGCTTCCTCCTCACCTTACTCACCCTCGTCTTCGCCTTCTTCTGCCTTCTCTTCTTCGGTCCGTGGCGGGATCACGACGAGCAGGAACAGCTTCAGCAACGCGGTAGTATTGGAGCACTCTTCACATGGCGGACACCTTCATCGCTCTTTCCCCCTTCCGCCATCATTAGTCTGACGGACGACAACTCTACTTTCTTCTTGGCGCGGCCGGCTGCCTTCGGACCCTTACTTCCGGCCAAGAGCCGGAGTGGGCAGCTGTGGGTGGGTAGTGGGTTTGGTGATGATCACTTGGGGCATGGTGGACCCGGCGCAGGCGCTGAGGGGGAGTTAGGGTGTAGTGATATTCCGGAGTGGCATGATGGGAATTATCATGCTGGTAGAGGGAGACTGGGCGATTTCAAGACTGCGACCGTCAAGGTGAAGTATAACGAGGCCGGCAAGAGCAAGAGGAGCATTGTTGTGGAGGCCGAAGTAGATGAGGATGTAGTGGAGGGCGAGGCTGAAGGTGATGACGGCACGGACGACCATCTTCATCATCCACTTCCTGCTTCGGGTGGTGTGAAGTCGAATGGGCGACCAGCAGGCAGCACGAAGAAACCTACGCATGCTGATATACAGTCTTTGCAAGAGACAGCGGAGATCGCCGGCAAGGTGGTGCTGCTCAGTCGAGGAGGATGTGGGTTCTTGGAGAAGGTGAAATGGGCGCAGAGACGTGGTGCTACAGCCCTCATCATCGGCGACGACATACGAGGAGGACCTTTGGTCACGATGTACGCTCGCGGGGACACTTCGAACGTGACAATACCTGCTCTTTTTACATCCCATATGACAGCGCACTTACTGTCTAGCCTCATACCATCTGGTGGGTTACTGGACGATCTCTCCGCTGAGGAGATCGCGAGACTCGGGTTGGCGCTTGGTGAAAAAGCAGATACTGGCAAGGCCAACAGGAAGTCTGCCGAGAAGCCGAACTTTACCACAACTTCAGCTGCGGTCAAAACGACCTCTACTGCCAAGTCCGCGCAGAAGGCTACCAAAGAGGGTGTAACAGAGGACGACGCCGAGGAGTTGGATCTAGAAGCACATGGTGCAGGTTGGATCCACTCATGGTTTAGCGGTCGACGGGATGCTGGAGGTGATAGCAGACGGCCACCAACAAGTGGTAATCTAGGCTGGATACAGCAGAAAGATTTTGAAGATGATGGGGAAGATGGCGGTATGATTGGGAAGGTCGCCCCAACCTCCACAAGCGCCAAACCGTTGACCACGGAGAAGGCAACCCATGGTGGCGATGGCTTTAGGATTGGTGTTCAGGACTGGCGAGACCCTGATATGGTGGCTGAGGAGAAAGAGCGCCAGCAAGCTACTGCTTCTGCATCAGTCTCAAGCTCATCGACTATCGTGCAAAGTAGCCGAGCAGCGAAGCAAACAGGCTTCAAAGGTGGCAGCATCACTCCTGGCTCAGGAGAGTATGCCAAGACGCATCCGAAGGAGGCTCATGCTGAAGCAGCTGGCGAGCAGACTGAAAGCAAGACGCAAGACGACATGAAGCAAGGGTCTCACCAAGAGATGTCAGGCAACTGGTTCACGCGCCTATTCCAGGTTGAGCCCGAAGAGGAGTTCGATCCGACGCCCGAGGCTTCTAAGCCTAACGTACCGCCGCCCAAGACTGACGGCCTCCGGACCTATCACCAGATTGTTGATGGCATGTCACATCATGAGGGTTTATGGGTCACGCTGACACCGACTTCGATGTCCTCCTCTCCGTTCTTTGACACCCTTCTCGTTCTCGTTGTCTCACCACTTGTCACACTGACAGTAGTCTATGCCCTGCTACTACTCCGCTCTCGAATCCGGAGACGAAGATGGCGGGCACCAAAGTCAGTAGTCGAGCGCCTCCCAGTACGTACTTACCAGACTATGCCAAGCACGACGACAAGTAGTACCTCCCCTGCTTCTTCAGTGGCATCTTCACCAGTCACGGCCACGACACCTCTACTGCCAAGCAGTGCAAGGCCGATTAATGGGCGCCGAGCACGATCACGGACTGCATCCGAGGTCCCGATCCAACCTAGCTCCTCTGTCTCAAGTGAGCTTGCTCCACCATCGCTGGAGCAGATCGAAGAGAAACGTGCTGCTGGACTAGCTGAGTGGCGGAGAAGGTACGGTGGCAAGCAGCGCGAGTGCGTGGTCTGTCTCGAGGAGTATGTGGATGGTGTCAGCCGGGTCATGAGTCTGCCTTGCGGGCATGAGTTCCATGCTGAGTGCATGTAAGTCTTCCTCCCTCGCCACACCACCCATACCTACAAAACATGCATCTTGAGTAGTTCAACTGACATGACTCGAACAGAACGCCTTGGCTAACCACCCGTCGCCGCACCTGCCCAATCTGCAAAGGTGACGTCGTGCGCTCCCTCGCTCGAGCAAGCGGCACCGCGGCTCTCGGGTCCTCAGCTTCATCGCCTCTGACTCTTCCACCACAACAGTATCGCGATGACCCTGAGGATGAGGCGGCAGATGTGCAGGAGCAGGCTGCTGTGGCGAGGAATGATGATCCGGCTGCTGCGAGACCGATTAGTCGGGAGGATGAGGCGTTTGAGGATCTGGAGAGGGGGGTTGGGGGTGAGGGGAGGCAGTGATGCTGTTGTTTTGGTCGATGTGCGAGTCTCGGGCCGGCATTGGGAGGGGTGGGAGGGAATGGCGATGTGGTGGCTGTACGTACGTACATTGATGTGGCATGATACCCCTTATTTCCTTTGGCTTCCACATACGACTTCGTGCCTCCTCCATTCCCTGAGGACTCAGAGTGGCCAGCTCATTGAAATGGCGAAAGAGTGTAGGGCACATAGGTATAGAGATACGGTCATCTTGTTCCTCACAAGGGCTTGCGAAAGAGTTGCGATACTGACATGTAACAGAGGTGCTTGGCTCAGAAATCGCCCAAACAAAAGTCTACTTTGCGTTGTCCTCCACGGCTCCTATATTGGCATGAGGACAACCTCGTGCCCATCATTTATACGGTGTAGGGAGGGCCTTTGCTGAAACGTCAAGCACATACACTACTCTCGTAGCGTTCCAGCATTGTTTTTCAACAGCTTATACATTGCAACATAGAAAGGCTCGGTCTTGATCACGAGAAACCCAGGTGACATGACTACAGACGGTGTTCGACCCCTGAGTCCAATTACTGGCGAGGATCGGCTCCTCAACCTACCAGTCGAGATCCGACATACAATCTACAGCCTCTGCTGTTACTACCGTCAGATACCCATTGGAGAACGACCCCCACGATGTAGTTGTCCTATCCCAGGCGTATCCAGACGTCTCTGTCGGGACTTTTGCGACCATCAAACCCTAAGATCCATGTACTACGCCGATAATGTCTTTCGCGTGGAGCTGTATCGTCTCTCGCCCCTGGCACTTCGGGAGCCCGATCTGCATCTCTCTCCCACCATCGCTATGCTGGAGCGATGGACCAGATGGACGCTCGCGCTCGATACTTGTGCAACGAACTTGCGCAGGCTTATGATCTTGACGCCGGCATATACCTGTACCTTTGACTTGGCGGATAGAACGTTTCAACTGCGCTTGCGAGGGAGCCCCTTTAGTCATGTCCACAGTATTGGCAGAGCCAGACAAGCTATGATGGCTGGCCAAGACCATCTCGCGGCTGCGCTCGCGGCTGCGCTCGCGAGATTGCCACGTCAAAGTGTATTATCGGTGGCTGACCTTCACGGCCTTTTGCGGATGACGTTGGAGTTGGTGGTCATGTTATGCCATCGTCCATTGAATCGCTTGGGAGATGGTGACGATGTGGCACTAGGTCCAGGTGACACAGGGCGGCATCGACAGATGATTCTCGACGAGCCAACTGATCGAAGGACTCGCCCCTGTGCGCAAGTATGTGGCGACTTGCAGGGTCTACTACCTAGGACTTTGAATGCTTTTGAGTATCTGGACGACCTTTGTAGAGATAGTCGGGTTAGGTGAGCCATCGGCACACGAGCATGAAAGGCATGAGTTTGAGCGTCTCCTCCTGCAATCTTGAGCCGAGCGGAACAAGCTAATATGTAGGCGTGCAGGCATGACTTTCGAACAGTTGGACAATGTACGAAACATGGGCAGGTAGCCGTGTGCAGGTCATCAGTAGCTCGGCCTTACACGAATACAGATCGAAGATTTAGTGCAAGCTCAGCAATAAAGGCCATAGCAGTGCTTCGCAGTTCCAACCTTCAACCATCCGCACAAGATCCTTGTGGAGTTGTACATGAGAGCTCTCCGATGTTTGCTGACTTATTCTGCAGACATTGTTGGTCCTGGCCCCGGATTGCGCAAACTCTATCTCCTGTTGTCCTCTCCATGTTGTCTTCACATTACAGTCAGGAGGATCATTCGGAGGACAGTTCACACTGCATTGACCATATATACGATGTGCTGCCCAGTGTGGAGAGAGCGGCAAGGCTCTGTACGACAAATCTATATCTTCGGTGACGCACTACAATATGGAGAACACAAGCCAAATCAAGTTACTTGGTGGCATGGCAGGTTCCCATCCACTGGCTTCTCTCGGCGCCATATCACGCAGCACGCACAGATCTCCCTCAGACAATGCAGCCTCGGGTGCCGCTATCTCGAGCGAAGACCGCCTTCTCGAATTGCCTAGTGAGGTTCGAGACCAAATTTGGGCCTTTGTCTGCGAGACTCGCGTAGTAGCAATCGGGTGTCCTATCAGAGACTCAAGCAGCAAGCTACGAAACACCTCGGGCAGACTGTACAAGGACTATAACGACTACCTGTCAATCCGAAGCGTTTACTATGCGAGCAATATCTTCTCCTTCGAATTCGACGCAGGCGGTCACACAGTCACTGGCAAGCAGCATGGAGCAATCAATTCGGTTCAAGTTTCAATGGCGAAATGGATCGCATGGACCAAGGCAATCGTGGGCTGCACGCCCAAGCTTCAGTGCCTCATGATCTCGACCCCGTACTTCTCCTGCACATATCGTCTTCCAGAGGCAACTTGCAAGCTTCGATTGAGATCATGGTTTATTGCAGCAATGAACAGGATGAAGATGCGTGAAAAGGCTGAAACGGCGGCATTCGATTACATCAACACTACACTGTCCGAGCTACGTGGTAGGCCAGTCAAAGATGTCGCTGGTCTTCACACATCCTCCGAGTAACGCTGGAGACGATGGTGTTATTGTGCCCTGATCGACTGCGCAATATGCAAGACAAGGTGAAAATCACCTTAGGTGAGATCAACGTGGTGCAACATGTGCAGAGTGTCCTCGAGGGTATGGAGCCTGCAAGCAAAGCTCCGTGTGGTTGCAGATGCGCAGATCTATTCGGACTGATCAATGGTGGTGCCAGCGTTTTCGCTTCCATACACGAGCTCTGTAATGGCAAGGTCTTATGAGTGAGTCTTCGGTCGTGGGAACGTATTGCGCAAGTACGTATGCTTGGTTTGCCGTCGCAGCGCTGGACAGAAAAAGCTGACATGTCGGCAACCTAGATATGGGTGGTATGCTCTTTTGTCTTGGGAAGTGACTATGCGTGTACATGAATGAGTGGACGTCCTATCTGGCTGAGGCGTATGCAAATTCCACATCGAAAGGCTTCCGCGCGATATCAAGGAAGTGCGAGTGGGTGTAGCGCTTCTGGCAGATTTCGCTTGGAGATAGTGCTTGGTACATCTTCACTACCTGTTCAGACACTACGGCTACAACCCGCACATCCGCGACGTCAGATGCGTTCACAGATGCCCTCTGGCAGCTTTCTTGCTTCCAATAATAATCACGGCGTTCATCCCTGAGCTCTGCGATCTTGGTGCTAGTGTGCAGTGCCATAAATATTCCACTTCTTGGTGCTCACCGTCGTCCTTCTCCGAAGCTGTAGCTCAGCAAGTGCTAGTCCAATAGCTATCTCCTAGACTCAGCTTCCAATCGATGCTCAGAAGAGCTGGGTATTTCCTGCACACACTCACATCAGCACCTGGAAGCAAAAAAGTGATGATGATGCTAGACCAGGATATCAGCCCAGGGTGCACATGTTGGACGACAATGATGAATGGTGACCCTACGATAGGACATTTTCGAACGATATACGGGACTGACTCGTGACCATTGAGACTATGTAGCCTTGGTATGTATCGTACAACAATGGCCCACCTCCCCTAGCTTCCTCAGCACCAAAGTCAATAGCTCGCCACTACTTCTTGATCAACCAGGTCAACGCCCCAGCTGCATAAGCGTCAACAGCAACCTGAAGGGTCGGCATGATAGCCGGGTAGAACAATCCACTATGGTTGATCGGGACCTTCTCATCCAGCGTCCCTTCCTTCTCACACTGATCCCAGACCTCCTGTGGCGTACCTCCATACATGAAGAAACAATATGGTTTGCCAACAGCAGTAGCCAGGTTAGGGAAATCCTCGCTGCCACCTAGCTTTTCGATTTCCGAGGTGTAGTTTTGTGCGTCTTCGGGGAAGTGGGAGCGGAATGTTTCTTCGAGTTTTGCTGTCACGATTTCGTCGTTGACCGTCAAGGGAAAACTGCGAGTAGTGACGTATGTGGGTGGCTTTACAGCATTCGAGGCTACAGCTTCGGCGTCAACGATGCGTTTGACGCTCTTCTTTACTTTCTCTCTCGTTTCCGCATTTGAGGTACGGATGTCAACGGCTATGCATGCGTCGTCCACGATCACATTCTCCGCGTCTCCGGCCTGTATACTAGCCACCGTCACCACTGTCGGGTCGAACGCCGCCACCTCCCGTGAGACAATAGTCTGTAATTTCATGATTGTGGAAGCAGCCATAACGACAGGATCGACAAGCTTATGCGGCATCGAAGCATGGCCGCCTCGTCCATGAAGCGTGATGCGCATAGAGTCTGCCGAGCTAGCAGCCAATCCTCTTCTAGTCCCGAGGACGCCAGCACGGTGCGGCATGACATGTCCACCTAAACAGACATCTGGAATCGGTACGTTATGCTTCTTCGGATCATACATTCCATCGTCAACCATCGCTTGAGCGCCAGTCCCACGTTCTTCCGCAGGCTGGAAGGCGAGGAGGAGAGTTCCGGACCAACTGGCTTTGGCTGAGACCATGAGCTGAGCTGCGGCCAGAAGACTAGTGATGTGCATGTCGTGGCCGCAGGCATGCATTACGGGCTTTTCAACACCGTCGGCATCCTTCATGCGCTTTTTGGAGGCATATGGGAGACCAGTACGTTCTTCGACTGGTAGGGCGTCGAAGTCTGCTCGGAGAAGCACCCTGGGGCCATCGCCATTGAAGAGTAGAGCAGCGAGGCCAGTGCCTCCGATGCCAGTCCGGATATCGAAGTCGGAGGAAACCTTGTCCTTCAGATATTTCGCAATGGCTGCAGCTGTTTCATGTTCTTGGTTTGAGAGTTCCGGGTTGGCATGGAAGTATTTGTATAATTCCTGGTATGGTGATAAGTCTGGTCGATGTTTTTGTACGAGCTTCGAAATGGATGCCATGATTGCACAGTAAGAAGTGGCTACGTACGAGACAGGGAAAGCAGAAGAGAACAGAATGAAGCTTGCCTACCTACGATGCAGTGATGATGCTGCTGTAGCAAACTCAATGTGACTGTCGAGGTCCAATGATGATTTCCGCAATAGCCGAGAGCTTGCGGCTGCCAAGACATTACTAGATGCAGCTCGAGTCATGGATGTCACGTGCAGAAAGACGCGAAGCCCTCGTCACTCATTTGCGGCTTACGCCCTATCAGCCTCTGCCTGCGCTTCCGTACTGCCAGGCCATTCCCTTCTGAAATCAAGCAGGTCACGCTGCCCAAACACTTCGCCAATGATGGTGATCACGGCATCAAGGGTTATGAGCGTGTTCTGTGCAGACGATGAAGTAGTGTCAGGCAACTCTGGTGGCTTTCCAACTGAGTGAGCAGTACCACCATCTGGCATGTTTGTTTCGCCTTCTGTGCCAGCTGCTCCACTCACCACATTTTCCTCCTGATTGACATTCTCCAGTAATAAAGCAGCCGCAGGATCGAACAAAGACAGCTGTATCAGCACAGCGCGCTTACCAAATTCACGTAGAGCGTATACTTCTTCGTTGTTCATGGTGCCTACGTCGTCCAGCCGGGCAAGAAGTGACCAGATCCAGATACTAGTACTCTCGTGGATCGGTTCTCCGCGAAAGAGAAATATTCTTTGGATCAGCTGAAGAAGCTGATTCACAGCATCCGCATCCAAAGTCCGAATCTGTGCGGGTAGTGGTGGTGTCGACTTTAATGTTCGTGTCCATTGAGCATACAACTTGTTATTACGTATGTCGAAAGTCGTCGGATGCTTGTCATCCAGTTTGCCCAGTGCTTCTGCGCTAGCATTACTGTGCATCTGCTCGCGCTGGTCCAGAAAACGATTCTTGAGCGAAGTCGTGTATGCTTCAAACGGTGAGATCTGGCTATGTGCGGATCGTGGCATGACCGGACCAATGTCTGGGCAACCAACATAAGCACCATCCTTGACATAACCTCGAGCATCGCCGTTTCCGGTCTTGTAGATCTCCTCGTTCATATCGTTGTGCTGGGCACGCACCACTTCTGGTAGAGCCATGCGTTCGTTCCTGCGATAGCAGGTCAGCTATTAGTCCTTCAAGATCGTAAGCATGCGTGTACGGAGAGGTGTCTGTGGCGGATTGTACGGCTTACCTTACAGCTTTCAAGTATGCCATGGCTTCCTCCTCCGCACTATCATAGCTCTCCACACCCTCACCCTCACCCTCGTCGTCCCACTGATACGCGAGCGAGCCTATAGCAGGCCACTGACCTGTGATTGCATTCTTGGTCGTACTTCGTTTGTAGTGCGAACGTTGATTGTTGGACTGCTCGTTGGTACTGATCTCGGAGCTCTCATCTGGAACGGAGGTTGGTGCATCCTCGTTGACCGGCTCTCCCAAGGGCTCCGGGATGTACTCTTCCTCTTCTTGGGGGTAAGGTGGGATTGCATAGTCGGCCGACACTGCGTCTACGGCTGCTGTATTGCCAGTGCCCAAGGTCTGACCAATGTCATCGTCCGTGTCTTCCTCATCTGATGCGTAGCTCAGCAGCACTCTCTTATTTGGGTTATATACAGAGTCTGGCCCAGCCTTAGGCCTGTCTCGCTCCCGTCTCCGTTTGGTCATCTTGTGATGATGATGTGCGAGCAACAGAACGAAGTCTAGTGCGAGGTCGAAGATCTACACATCGAGCGACCCGAAGAAATGCCGACGCGCCCAAAGACGCGTCTCGGCTGCTGGAGGGAACACTCACTGAGTCACCTTCCGATGTCGTGAGTCGTGACCATGAAATAGCATTTGTCTACGTTTTGCGATACCGTAGAGCACTGCTTCCGATACCTCACTTTCTAGGTCAAGGCATCATTTCTGGCCAGCTGCGTATGTGCCCTCCTCTCTGGTTCATTACTCTCATCCCTCGCTTTGATTCTCATCACCATGTCTTCCTACATCTGGCTCGTCACTGGTGCATCAAGCGGCCAAGGCACAGAAATCGCGCTGGCTGCTCTGCGGGCAGGGCACAGAGTCATCGGTACAGCTCGTGATGTGGACAGGGCTAGAAGGACTTGCACCGAGATGGAACAGTTGGGTGGCAAATGGATCAAGCTGGATGTCACGGACGATAATACCCAAAGTGTGGTGGCGGAGGCCGTGACGCAGTATGGCATAAACGTCATTGTCAACAATGCTGGCTACGGACTACGAGGTGTTCTTGAAGATTTAAGGTGAAGCAGCCGTTTCGCCACGGCAAGCGGTTGATCATATGTTGACAACATTCTAGCATGCACCAAGTAAGAGCCCAAATGGAAACAAACTTCTTCGGTGCCCTCGCTGTAACCAAGGGCGCCATTCCCACTTTCCGTTTCCAGCGCAATGGGATCATAGTAATGATCTCGTCCGCCTCAGGCTTCTCCGGCACGCCCAGTCAAAGCATGTACTCCGCCTCCAAGTTCGCTCTGGAAGGTGCGTCGGAGTCTCTGGCCGCTGAATTAGAGCCTTTTGGCATACGTGTTCTCGTTGTGGAACTAGGGGCATATCGTACACCGTTCCAGACTGCTGTCGAAAAGCCTGAGCAGGCCATTAGTGAGGCTTACAAGGGCACTGCTGCGGACGAGGCGGCGAGGAGGATCACTGCTGGACATGGGAGACAGGCGGGCGATCCTGTGAAGGCGGCGCACGCGATCGTTGAAGTTGTCACTGGGACGGGGCGAGGCGCTGAGCTGAAGGATGTCTTTCGGCTGCCGTTGGGTAAGGACGCCGTGTCTCGCGCTTCTGTCAAGATGACTTCGTTCTCAGAAGACGTGGAGAGATGCAAGAGTCTTGCTGAGTGGGCTTGCTTCGAAGAGGATTACGAAGGCTATCCGCCGCTCTAAGTCGCTCTATGCAACGAGAGGGAGGCGAGGGTTCGAACAAACTCACCTAGTGAGTCGCAGAACGCAATCTTCGGTATGTCTGACTGCCACTGTGCTCATCTAGCGGGTACACCGATCGTTGCTACTTCCGACAAAATGTTGGTTATATATTGCCAACAGCTGATCCTCGCAACTGGACGGCAAGCCACCTTACACCCTTGCACCTTGAAGATCGACTGAAGCCTTTCCACCCACTAAGCTTGGCTCCTAATCCGAGGTTGCGGTTCTTCCAGCGTAGTGTTGACTGCTTTGCTTGTGAAGGCAGAAGGCAGAAGCCTCGTACGACTTCTGAGGCCGCATCTGCGTGGCTCAAGTACCGTGCATGTATCTTATGCAACTAAGGTCAACGATAATGGGGCGTCGCGATACACGAGGATTTTCAAATCGTCAGCGATCGACGCCACATCAACACCGCATCATGCGACTCAACAGGAGATTCTGCGACAAAAAAAGAGCACGATCTTGCTCGTTGCCGTGATCTGTCGAAACAACAGAGCAAACACAAAGCAGTTCGCTTATATCCCCAATCCTGGCGACGTGCCGCAGGTCTGCTGCAGAAGTGTGCGGCTGTCAAAACGAGATGTGCATAAGTGTACATCGCTTCTACAGGCTATCACACGCACCAAAGACGAGCTGAGTGACAACCCAACCCACGTGTTTCCTTCGATCTGCAACATACCTCTGATCTGCTGTATAATGACATTATGACAACACGCTTTATGATCAACAACAGACAGCCTCACGCTGTTCATGAGAGCACCCCGTGCTAGATCATTTGTGGAGGGTTGATGTTCTGTTGGCCAACAATGATCTCCGACGAAGGCGACCAACATTCCGAACGACACGCTGCTGGGACGCCATAGACAAACTTTTTGCGACTCTATATATATATCGAGAACATGTTAGTGCCAAGTGCTCTAGAATCGAGCTCAGTATCTGCTGCAATTAACGGCGCACTACATATCTTCATACCGATTCATCATGGTTTTCAACAATGCGAAGACGTCCAACGTCGCGAACTCAGAGCATGGCAATCACGACGACAGTCTAGAGAGCGGCGAGCACCGCACATTTCATCGACCAATGCGACATTGCGCTGCAGTCGCTTTGGCTGGCTTCGTCTTGTTCATTGTTGAAGGCACTGCGGCAGTCGTGGTCCATAACAAAGTCACCATGGTCGCGTCTGGCGTCTTCGACGGCACCATCCTTCTCTTGATATTTGGTCTGATCGTGGCGAGATTGATCACAAGTCGTGAGTTGCCCGTTCGAAACGGCACACGAGTACTTCAGCTGATGTCGACTAGGCCACGACAAGTTTGCCTATCATTCCAATCTTATCAGCACTATCATGACATGCATTGCGACCATCATCATATGCATGATCATGTATCCATTGCTATGGTATCCCAGACTGAACCAAGATGTGCTCACGCAACAGGTGCAGGACATGCAAAGCATGCGCCCTCTAGCCATGGCATTGGTATCGATCGCGGATCGTGGCGACTCGCCGAAGCTGCTGTATCACCCATATCCCAAAGGCTTCGTGTCTGACATTGCGGGTGGCTTTGACTCCATCATGACACCGTGCCAGGCGCAGACAGAGGAGATCATACTCGCTGAGCATTATTGCAACTGCTCTGAGTCCCTCTCGGGTGTGCAGAAAGCGCCTCTGGCTAACCATGTCGGCGGGATATCTTACCGAGATTTCATTCCATAGGCACAGATCAGCTTCAATACCACTAATGCCAGCCTAGTATTGCAAGTGTTTTCGAGCCGTACGTCAGATCTTGTGCGTTACTCGTTGACGAATAGCTGACCGCATTCGCAGACAACTCCTCCGGCACGCCACGAGACTGGACGTTGCCTGGTCCCATTTTGCTCCTGATGGCATTCGATCCCATCATGCCGATAATGGAAGCTTTTACCAGCGGTCGAGCACAGATCACCCACGTCCCAGCTTTGGCATAGACGAATGTTGTTATCCGTCCGCAGTATCGTATAGGCTGGGGAGGAAAGCCGTACTACTACTATGGTAAGCCGAGGTGCAGACAACTCCTCGTAAGGTTTCGAACGGTCGCTAAGCGCCAAATAGACATGGAAATCACATCCATACCCAGCTTGAATGATATCTGTGATGTTGGCGACGATTACGCAAACTGGTGCTATACCACGGTTGTGCTACAATTTGCCGATATGACAAGGCCGGTCATGACAAGACAAAGGGCAGCGTCTCCAAGCGTAAGCGTAAGCGAGTCCCTTGGCGCATGAGAGATGCTGACAATAGGTAGGACATCTTTGCTCAGGTGGGTGGCTATATTGCACTCGTGCAGTTCCTCTGCTGGATGATCAGTGGAATGGCATTGTGGTAGCATCATCGTGTGCCTCGTGTGATGAAAAGTCGCAATGGACGTGGACGCAGGCCCTCGTCCGCTCCACCTTTATCTCACCTGGAGAATTAACGTCTGCCACGCATGCGGTTTCTTACGCCTGGTTGAAGCCGAGGCGGCGCAGCATGTTTAGTGTCTGCGCTTTTTAGGTACCTTGTGTTGTAGGATACTGAAAGGTGCGAGGAGGGATTTGCCTCCTCGGCCCTCGAAGTGAGGCGGGCTCATCGGTTGCCTTGTGCGCAGCGTTGTCGACTCCGCTTCAGCCCTCTCATCCTTGGCATCTGCTGTCTTCAGAACCGCTCGCATCTCAAGTCACTATTATGCTTATGCCCAACATACATCATTCCATCCGTCGCAACGCAGCATACAAGGAAGCAACTCGCTTCAGCGGTATGACCACGTAGTAGTTTAGACGTCACACTTGCCGTGCCACGCTTGACCGGTTCACAAGCCAAGACTGTCAACTGCAACGTGACGGCGATGGGACGGGTAGCTGCAGCGATGGCGCAAATCGCTTCATAGTCTGCATATATAACAAGGCTTTCGGTTCACGCCATCGCCTTTCAGCCTCATCGGGTTTGCAATCACTATTATTCTGACCGAGCACTCTTCTCATTCATTCTGATTTGGTTCGTATAGCAACTTCTTGAAGCGGACCGAGTCCTTGGCACGAGAAGTCTACCCTCAGCAAAGATGGCCAGCACAGAGACCGTGAACGCTTTGTTGAAGCGACTGGACGCTCAGCGCGATGCATATCAAGAGACCTTTTCGTTGATCCACGAGGTTCTGGCACAAAATCTTGCAGCCATTGTACCATCTGGAGCACCAGTACCAGCAACCCAAACATCTGAAGTGCCGCCGACTCCCCGCTCGCCTCGACAATCAGTTTCAGGCACTACGGCGGAGCGGTCCAAGAAGCATCGGAAGTTTTCAGGTGGTCTCGCTACCTTGACGACCTCATCAGACAGCAAGCATACAGGAAATAGCGACTCCGAGGCTGACGATGAGGAGCTCTATGCATCGCACTTCCTCGAACCAGAGATCTATGATGAAGAAGGGCTTCGAACTCACCTACCAAAGATCAAATACTACGAGCATACCTCTAAAGTTCTGCAGACAGTGATCGACAACCCAAAGAGGATGCTACAGAAGCCTCTGATACCACACCGCAAAGGTCAATTGGAAGATCGCAGCCACTTCAGTCACTATCAGGTGTTTGATGTCGGCACAGATGGCGCCCTTTTGCAAGTTGAGCGCACCGATATCGAGCAAGAAGCTTCGCGGGCACAAGCCATTTGGCACGCAATCAGAGAACTCAACCAGCCACCGAAGGAACGATTGGCTGTGGGACGTATCACGATTCTGCGGGAGCTCAGTCCGATCCTTTTCGGGGCCGCCCATTTCGCCTTCAGCAAGCATTTTGACGTGGATGAGCTCTTTCGCCACTTAGTCGCAGTGGATGGCTCCTCCGCCAATTTTCATCGAGCCTTCGACTCCGACGAAAGAAAGCAGCGGAGCTTCGTCTTCAACTTTGAGTACTACACTATCGTTGGCCAGGACTGTGAACCGATGCGATGGCAGACCTCTGACCTCCAGAATAAGAGGAGCGCGCATCACATACCCATCACACGTTGTAGCTCTGTCGTTGCTCTTGTACTGAACGGACCAGCTGTTCGGAAAGTCCGAAATCCTTCCAGACGGGCTGTCAATAGTCATGGTTTTGCGTACGATCCTTGGTCATCGTGGCAAGTACTCAATCTGCAGTGTTACCCTGACTGGAACGCATCCACCGAGGTACATGATTCTACTCGGCATTATGTCAATGGTGTGGAAGCGTTCATGGTGACAGTGCTCGGCGAGTTTCGTGATGCACAAAAGAGGTTCGAATTGATTTACCGGGTGAGTGCGCTTGTTCCGATGGTCATGCAGAAATGCTGACAAGGATGGATATGCTAACCTCGGGCAGGCCATCACGAAGCTGATCACGCCACCACTGGACTTCATGTTTGATGCTGACATCAGAGATGAACTTCTTTTCGAAGACGGAGACCTAACATATTCGCGACGCTACTTCTGGGCTTCGACAACGCTAGCCTTGGTCAATGAGAGCATAAGAAATATGCTTGAAGCCTAGTACGTCGGATGCAATGCCACAACTGTGTAGGAAGATATATTGACATCCTTTTAGCGAAGACAATTTCACAGACGACGTATGGGAAGGTACGCACAAAACACTGTGGCCTTTGCTGGAGTATGACAGCGCACGCAATGTCTACTTCAGAAAACGCATGGCTCTGCTTCGGACGAGATTTGAGCAGGAGATTGAGAACCTTAAGAAGCAAATGCAGGAGAACGATGATCGGCGAGATGAGATCCACAACTTGAAGGAGGAGTTGTTTAAGGGTACCTCGATACTCGAGAGCCGGTATAGTCTACTCCATGGGACCGCACTTCGAGCCAGGTGCTAATGCAGCGTTAGGAAATCTGTCGAGAATACCGAGATAACTATCCAGTAGGTCCCTCGCCTTCGAACAACCCTTTCCACAGCTGATGTCATTTAGGCAAGGAAACAACATAAAATTACTTACACTTGTCAATATTTTCTTCCTTCCGTTGACCTTCAGGTTAGTGGGCCCCCAGGAACCATGCTGCACGCAGTTGGCGAGTTAAAGCTGACTCTCCTTTACAGCTCGTCGGTGTTCGGAATGACGAATGTCAGTGCCCTTTTTTTGCATCCTTCCCATTTACAGTGAGAGCTTGCTGACGACTGTCTCCAGATGCCCACCACCGAACACTATTGGTGCGTATCGAGCATTTCGAGGAAGCCACTCTGGACAACGTCGAGATCTTGCTGATGTTATTCAGGCCCTTCGCTGTTGTGACAGTAGCTATTTGTGTACCATTCTTCGTCCTCGTCGGTTCGCTCAACACCAAGGAAGGCATGCACTGGTGGCGATCGAAGACTCGCGACCTTTTCCAGTGGATCGGTTTGACCTTGAAATGGTTATTTCGCAAGCATTCGGAAGAGAACGATAATCTCTCACGAACATCCTCGATCGACGAGATGTATGGTCTGAGACGACTTTCAGCATCTCGATCAACTTCGCAGCAAAAGGCGCGTGATTTGCCCTTACGGAAGATCACTACAACGCAGAAATTTGAGATCAGTCGGCAGAGTATCGATGTGAGGAATGTGGACCATGAGCTGACAAGAGAAGGCAATGGGGTCATGCGTGCTCCACCAGCCAGATCACAGTCATCGAATTTGGCTGTGATGTGGGCTGAAGAGCGAGAGGGCAAGAGACGCCGGACTGTACAATAGGCGACGAGCATACGTCTAGAGGAAGTAGATAGCTACATCTTCGTCGTGCCACCGCTATATGCCGTGTTGGGTATCTATTCGATGTACCATGCTGACGGCGTCGATGAAGTCTGATCTGGTTGACTATCATGACTATCTCTCAAACTATGCAAGCACGTTGCTGTATGCCTCTTGACGCCGAAACTTATCCTCCAGATTGAATGTGTATGGCCAAATCATTCATTCATCTCATCAGGCGTCCCATGCGTTCTCGACCCCACCCTGGGCTGCAATGGTGGCGCTTTCGTCCTTTGCGGCTGAGGACAACCTCACCGGTTTGCAAGAAACGTCTGATTCACCTGCGACATGAGGCTGCTTCACGCGCTGTATTCGACCTGATCTCTACAATCGTTTCTCGCCACTAGCCTAGCAGTCCGCAAGTACTGGACCTTTGCTTTCGCGTACTCAAAAGCTCACCATGTCGTTCCTCGGCGTAGATGATCGCGCGTCACGTTCGCGTTCCAAGTCTGGCAACCGAGACAGATCGCGGTCACGCAGTGCTGTACGTGTACCGTCGCCTCCCAAGTCACAGTCGTATGGCTATGCTCCGTCGACCACTTCGGCGGGTCCAATGCCGGGCTCATTCGACGACGGACCAACCTCCGCCAAGTACGATGTCAGATCACCTCCAGGCGTCTCAGATAGGAGCAACTACTTTCCCTCCTCGAACAAAGCATCGTCCAAAAATCGTGCTCCTCCTGACGGTATGCCATACCCGACTGATGATGGTGGCTTTACTATGGGAGACTATAGCGACTTTCCACCGAATGAGAGACCAGGCTATGTTGGTCCGGATGCACGATTCCCGCAGATGCCTCAGCACCATGACGATGACGATCTCGCGTATGGGAATGCTAGCCCTGTAACTTCGCGACATCAGTCGTACAATAGCCAATATCCTGGCCAGCATTCCAATTCGCAACCTCAGTACCGCGAGCCATCTGATTCGGACTACCGCTATACTCCTCAATCTGCCACCGATAAGTATGGATCGAAGTCATACCAGTATGCAAAGCCGCCAGAGAACATCACATACACAGCAAAGCCGGCAACAGGGTCTAGGACGACATCGTATACGCAATCTACGGAACCGTACAGTAGAGACGCGCAGCGCCACAACTCGTACACTGGACGTCCAGATGATACTCGTACTGTCGACATCACGCCTGGCCGTGATAAGCGCGATCGTGCGCCATCAAATGCGCAGCCTCATAGATTATCTGTCAGTACTCAACAGCTCAGTCTGCAACCCCAGCCCGGCTTGAGCTCTGGTATGCATAGGCTGTCATTAAGCAGCAACAGACCTGATATGGGTAATATGCCACCCCCCAGTCCGCTCCTCGAGGCATATCGCGGCACATATCAGTCATTGTCACCCATGCCCATGGCTCTTAGGCCGGACGATGACGATGACATGAGCGATCTAGAACCTTTAGAAGCGCCATCGTCACGTAAGGGTCATGCCAAGGACAAGCTCAGCCGTGAGGCAGAGGCCGGTCGAGTGAAGGACCGCGGAGGAAAGGACAAGAAACGTGTCACGCTGTACGATCCAGAAGATGACGCGAAGAAGATTGCCAAAGCATTAAATCACAGCAAACCAGTGGCCGAGCCAATCATCGACATTTTACCGGGCCTCACTCACGACCAGACGTGGGAGCTTCGCAAGGAATACAAGAAGCAGGTCAAGATTCAAGGCAAAGGCATCTCTCTGCCCAAGCATCTGAAGCTAAAGCTTACTGGCAACTTCGGCAAAGTAGCATATGTCACCACTCTGGGCAGATTCGAGAGTGAAGGTTACTGGGCGAATTTCTGGTACCAGTCTCATGGAAGCAGACGAGAACTTCTGATTGAAAGCCTTATGGGCCGCACAAACGCCGATATCCGCAATATTAAGGACGAATTCAAGGATAAGCGGTACTCGGATAGTCTTGAGAAGTGTATGGAGAAGGAGCTGAAGATGGACAAGTTTCGTGCCGCGATATTAATGGCGTTAGAGGAGCGTCGGCAGGAGGAACTGGATGTATATCCGCCAGAGTATGTCAATCGTGATGTTGAGATGTTGTTCCGATCTTTGAGCGCAAAGCAAGGCGGTGAGAGTGCCATGCTTGACGTCGTGGTCAGGAGGAGCGATGCTCATTTGAGGAGGGTGCTCGATCTGTACCAGAGGCAGCATGGTGAGAACTTTGCTCGTGCGGCGTTGAGGAAAAGCAACAATCTTATCGTGAGTCGTGCTCCATGACCGATGAGTCAAGAGGATACTGACATGGATCTACAGGGCGAGGTCGTAGCCCACATCCTGAATGGTGTAATCAATAAGCCCGTTCGAGACGCTATCCTGCTCAACCACGCGATCAAGGACATCGCCGAGAAGAACAAGAATGACGACCTTAGGTATGAACTTTTGATTTCAAGATTGACCCGAGTACACTGGGACAAGATGCATCTGGAGCGGGTGAAGCGTGCATACATGGACAAGTTCCGTACGCACCTACAGGAGGACATTGAGGATGCAACCAAGGGCGATTTCAGGGACTTCATGTGCGAGCTGGCCGAGTCGAAGTAATGGACAGAGCATGCCGTTTCGTTGTTCGGCCATCTGTAGATACGATGTTGATTGGCAACCTAATTGAGCGCTCTACCACCGTCAACAGGCAATTCAATACCTGTGATAAAACTCGCCTCATCACTCGCAAGCCAGCACGCCGCATTGCCGATGTCCTGCGGCGTGGCAAATCTGCCCAAGGGAATAGCTTTCGTCAGCCCTGCTCTGCCCTCGAGGGTGTCAGTTCCTCCTAGAACACTCGACACCATGCCTGTCTCTGCAACAACCGGACAGATAGCGTTACATCTGATTCCACTGGGCCCAAGTTCGGCAGCTAGGCCTTTGGTGATGGCCGAGACTGCCCCCTTTGACCCGGCATACCAGACCAGGTTCGGGCGTGGCCGCGGAGCAGAAATGGAAGAGATGTTGACGAAGACGCCTTGTTTCTGCTTGACGAAGTATGGAGCTATGACTTTGGCGCTCTGGTACAACGGCGACACATTGATGTTCATGATGCGATCGTATTCTGATCTTGGCACGTCATGGGATGGCTTCAGGTTGTTAGCGAAAGCAAATACGCGGTTCATTACTATCATCTTACGCCAGCCCTGTGAACAACGCCCGCGTTGTTGACGACGATATCGAGCTTGCCGAATTTGTCAAGACATGCTTTCAATGCTGCCTCCCAGTGGTCCAAGTTAGTGACATCGCCCTTGAAGAACGCGGCCTTATCTTTCGCGAACTGGTTGGCGACGTTCTGTCCGTGCTCGGCCGAGATCTCGAAGAGCAGGACGTTGGCACCTTCTTCGATGAACTTGCGTGTTATGCCTTCACCTAAGCCCATACCAGCGCCTGTAATGATCGCTGTCTTGCCTTCAAGACGGCCCGGATGAGACATGCTGAAATGTTTGGCAATGTACAGGTTTCTTCTTTACTAGGAATTCCGAATACTTTGTTAATGGCTAGTTATGTTAATGTCAAGGACTAGACGATGATTGAGTGCATAGTTTAAAGTCGTTCTCCGCAGCAAGCTCAATGCACCCCGCAAGCATGCACCGCGTAATGTAGCCGAACCCATATTGTCGCAAGGACTCCCCTCGGTCGTGCTCGTTCTCTGGATATCATTGCGTAAGACAAAATCGCGATGTCAGTATTCATCCGTAAACAATCTTGTCGTGTTCGGTCTCGAGCCTCGCCTCTGCTCTTGTACTGACGGCGGACTCCGACTCCTGTCCACAAACTCCCTTCCCTCCTTGGCTATCCAGACACCATTACTTGTACCTAACCTGCTTGCGCCTGCCTCAAGCATTTTCACTGCATCCTCGATTGTTCGTATACCACCGGAAGCTTTGACCAGCATCTTCCGTCCTCCTTGACCGAGAGCAAGTTTCTCACAGCACGCAGCCATTAAACGTACGTGCTCTTCTTTTGCACCGTGGCCATTGAAGCCCGTCGAGGTTTTGACGAAGTCGAAATTCGCTGCTGCAGCCATTGCGCAGCCTGCGACGATCTGCAATCGATCTAGTTGTGAGGTTTCGAGAATGAGCTTGAGGAGGATAGGATGTGGTGCCTGGAGTCTGAGTGTCGCCAACTCATTGTATACTGAAGCATACTTGCCAGCCTTCAGCTCGCCGTAATTGACCACAATGTCCAGCTCTTCAGCACCGCCTTGTATCGATTTCTTCGTCTCTCTACGCGGAGGTCAGCACATGATCTGTGTCTTGCGGCTTTAATCCTACACGCACTGTGCCTTGTGGAGCAGATCGTATGAGCCTTCATGGAAGCCAATGGCACCGGAGACCTTCACACCACTGCCTTTGAGATCGGCTACGCACTGTCCGACATGTTGTGGTCGAACACAGACAGTCTGTCCTGGTCTCAGCTGCCGTCTATTCATACTAAATTGTCTGCTCTTACCGCGAAATTGTCTACGCGTGCCTCTGCGCAAACCGAGTCAAACTGTGCACTTCTCGCATCCAGTTTCAGAAGTGTATGGTCGATGGTTTTCGCGAATCCCTCGCTGCCCAGATCCGGGCACACACAAGTCACATCGGACACTACTAGATCCTTCTCGAACTGTGCAATGAACCTCGCCCATTCGTCGTCCGTATATCGAGTGGTCATACTCGGGTCCGCTGCGAGAGGCGCAAGCGCAGCAGAGCCATTTTCAGACAGCATACTGGCAGTACTTGTACTCATGATCTGCGCTACTGGTGCAACCTTGTGGACTAGATCATGTGATCATAGGCGTAGCGTGCGACCAGATTAGACCACTAGCTCTTAGTTAGGACCAGATATCAACGTCTTCTTCTCCGGCGTCGCTGTTGGTGCTCCGACAAACTAGCTGCTCATGGTACTTGAGTCATGGCGTCTGCTGCACGGGATGGAGCTAAGCCATAGAGCCTATGATAGCCCGATGGCCACATGCACGGATCCACGAAACTTTGAGCTTCTGGCCGAAGACAAAACGGAGGGGTGTCCTTGGTCAAAGAAGTCTAGGGCTGGATCTAGTCCATCAGATGCACCTCTCATATTCGAAGAGGACATATAGACTTATTCGACCATGACGGCTTCGAAGCCGAATAGGCTCCTAGCGGTTTGATGGCACTCAATTCAAAGAGTGAATATTGGCCTCACATATCACGTTACAGATGAGCAGAGGACTAGCTCCTGGCGCCGTGGACTACCTTACCAACTGCAGGTTACAGCGAGACGCTCTCCTTATCCACCTTAGTTCTTCTTATGCTTCACGCTTACCCACTCCATCGATATACTCCCAAGCATGGTCATACATGCCAGACCTACTCCGAGATACCAAGTCTGGATAAGTGAACGATCGAGACCTAGCAGAACTTCTTGTAATCTGCTCGCCGCGACTGCACCACGTATCTCACTGAAGCCCATACTAGCGACACTACTCGCGTTCAGTCCAGGCACGAGATCGTGTAAGTTGGCTGCTAATCTGTTGGTGAAGATGGTCTGAGCAATGGAGCCAAACAACGCAGAACCAAAGTGCTGCGCGAAAAGGATGACTGCCAATCCCAGTGGACCATCAGCATCTGACAGCACGGTCTGCGCTGCACTCTGTGGGCCTTGGAAACCGATGCCTGCCGCGAAGCCGATCAGTGCTGGATATGCGACTAGCTTTGTAAGGTTCGACTCCAGCGTCCATGTTGTCAACAGTCCAGCAGCGAGCGGTAACAGCGTAGAGCCGAGCAGCATCCATGGCGAGAAGTACCCGGTAATGCTCGTGAGGCTGCCGTGCAAGACCATGCCAACCAAGAAGCCCCCTACTGTCGGTAGCATTAGATAGCCGCTCTTGCCAGGCGTGTAGCCCCTGATGACTTGGTAGTAAGTTGGCAGATACTGGATGAGATCAGGGCACCATACTACGCCATTAACCGTATTGGCTTTACTCACCCACTCGAATACCATTAGGCTGGAGCCGCAACCAAGTGAGAAGATAAAGCCTGCGAGGATGCTCCGTTGTTTGAATATTCGGGGAGGCAATGTGGCTTTCTCGCCCTTCCTATGCTGGTCCCATACAAAGGCGACCAGGAGGACTGCAAAAGCACCATACAAGCACAGGACAACGGCGCTGTCAAAAGCATATTTGCTTCCAGCCCAGGTCAACGCTAGGAAGAGGCACGTCATGCCTGGAACAAAGCAGAGCGTGCCGAACAGATCCAGTTCGGTAATGATTTCTCGCCAGGCCATTGTCGCGGATGTCGACTTTCTGGGATCCGAGAAGAAGAAAGTCAGAAAGAGCAGGGTGAGAAAGCTGGGCGGTAGGGAGATCCAGAAGCCTAAGAAAGAACGTTAGCCATGGGGCTTGTCCTTTCCGTGTCTCGGCTTACACCATCGCCACGATAACTTCTGCGTAAGTACGCCACCAAGGACCGGCGCCGCAATGACAGCTACTGTCTCGACCGCGCCACCGGCTCCTGCATACACTGGCCTCAACCTGAGCGGTAGACCGATCTGCAAAAGTGTGAAAGCTCCAGCTATCTGGCTCGACGTAGCTGGTCCTGTGACCGCACGTCCGAGAACCACAATCTTCGACGATGTAGCGGAGGCGCAAAGGATCGTGCCGAGCATGAAGATGCAGGTGGATACCATGAGCATGATTTTGACCGAGAAGATCCTGTACATCTTGCCGAAGAGGAATGGAGAGCGCAGAGGGGCAAGCGGTATGCCACATTGTACCTAAACACGAGAAGTGATATTAGTAACCCGGTGATTATAGGTCAGAAAGACAACAAACCATCCAATATCAGCCACGGTACGGAAATGATCAATAATGGAAGGTACGGCAGTGGCGATGATCGAGGCGTCCATGCCGCCGACTAGCAGAAGGAGAGCAACCGAGAGTGTTATAAACCAAAACTTGGCGCCAGTAGGGTACTGATTTTCTGCTTCACTCGCGAGGGCCGGGTCTTCGACCCAGTCGAACGGCTCGATTGTGGTAGATCCGGCTCCACGATCCTGCTCATCAGTTCTTGGCTGATTTGTTGTAACTTCAATGCTCGCAATGCTATCATCAACCTGCGAGCTTGCAGGGTCGAGTATTTTGGGCGGCATGTCTCACTAGACGGTGGTTACGTTTGATGGTTCTGAAGGAACTAATTCTAGCGGACATGCAGTATTCCGACGAGGCTGCCGAGCTCACGGTTTTCGAGCTGTAGTCGACTGGCTGTGCAGGCGAAGATTGTACCGTGATGTATTCGCCTTTCGATAGCGAGTCGATCCAGGCGAGTGCCGAAAGCCGAACTCCGTTCACAATACGAGGGTACGACATCTTCACTCTTTCATCTGATCAATTAATCGATTTCCAACGAAGTGATGTTGTTGGCATATATCAGTGGTCTCACACCGTACTGGTTGTAGCGCCTTCCAAGCAGCAACAATGACAGAATGACTCGCCTTTGCGTTCATACAGTACGGAGTACTTCGTCGGCTGCTAGGTATCTGCCGAGCCTGCATTCACATTATTATCGACTTGCTCATATGTCAAGTGGTCGCCGAGCGATAACTTGAGCCTCCAACCACCATCCTGATGGAAAAAAGTCCAACCATGACAGCCAGGACGACAACGACAGCCAAATTAGAATGAAGATAGGCTTTCCCCGCAGCAACGTCAAAGCCTATTCCATGATCTTCAGGAACAAACTCCTGCTCAGGCCTGGAGGCGTTTGCGGAGAGCCCGCCATGACGCCAAAGTACTTTTGCTCCAACTGCTTCTCCCGAGTACAGTCTGATCAGAGCGTTTTCGGACCTGCGATCATCTCCGATCGATCACAATCGTGGGCGAGGTATTCCAAATGGCTGGCTTTTGCGTCGACCAAGGCCTATGTTTTAGCGTCGCTGTATGTCGAGCTTCTCAAGTTGGATGAAGCCATACGCAAACAGTGTCGCACATCAAAGGTAAGCTCTAAACGTGACGTCTATGCCGGGAAGTATATGCTACTTGGGTCCGGCAGCTATTTGTAGGAGCTCTTTCCTGCTCTGCTTCTGCATGCAGAGTAAGACGCGTCGAGGTAAGGCGTGACGGAGAGTCAAGATGAAGAGTATTACAGCACTGGTGTGGGCTCTGCCGGTCCTTGTCCTCGGTAAGACGAGACGAATGAGCACTCCCTTGAGAAGATCTATTGCTGAGACCAGCGAACAGGACAAAAGCCACAGTTCCCGCCAGCCTTTCCTCCAACGCCAATCCTTCCGCCCAGCATCAATTATGCCCCGAGTGTCACTCCCAATGTCATGGACAAGACTGCGCCAAATGCGCAGACCGTATGCCCGGGCTACAAGGCGTCTAATGTGCAAGAGAGCTCCTCTGGCGTGAAGGCTGACCTCAGCTTGGCTGGACAAGCCTGCAACGTGTATGGCAACGAGATCACGAACCTGATCCTGGATGTGCAATACCAAAGCCAGCAACGCCTAGCGGTGCGCATCTATCCAAAGTACCTTGCTGCTAGCAACCAGTCACAATACATCCTCTCGCCCACCCTTGTAGCGCAGGGCAACGTCGAATCTGGTGCGAGCAAGAGCAAGAGCGACCTCATCTTCACTTGGAGCAATGATCCAAGCTTCCATTTCAAGATCTCGCGCGCGGGCTCTGGCGAGGTCATCTTCGATACCTATGGCCATAAAATCGTGTTCGAGGACCAATTCCTTGAGCTCGTGACCAACATGGTGCCTCAATATAACATCTACGGACTTGGTGAGGGCCTGCGAGGCTTTCGCATTCCCAACAATTACACTCAGACGATGTGGAACGCGTACAACCTTGACAATGATCAAATACTCGACGTGAACGCTCATGGGGTTCACCCAGTCTATGTGGAGACACGTTATGCCAATGGTACATCCACCTCCCATGGTGTATACGCTCGTAATGCGCACGGTCAGGAATGGCTTATGCGAGACACGACCGTCAGCTATCGCGCGATCGGTGGCAGCTTCGACCTCTACTTCTTCTCTGGTTCGACTGCAAAACAAGTCATCAGCCAATACCAGACCGGCGTTATCAACACGCCATACTTGCCAGCGTACTGGCACCTTGGCTTCCTCCAGGTCCGATGGGGCTACCAGAACTGGTCCAACCTCCAAGAGGTCGTCGACCTATACGCGGATCAAAATATCCAGCTCGAAGCAATCATGAACGATCTCGACTACCTGAAGATGAATCGCGATTTCACCAACAACCCTGGTCATTACGACCTTGCTGAAGGTGCCGCATTCTTGGAGAGACTACATGCCAATGGACAATACTACCTGCCTATCCTGGACCCCAACATATATGTGCCAGATCCGACCAACGCATCTGATGCCTATTCCACGTACGATGCTGGTGCAGCTGTTGATGCCTATATCCATAATGGTAACGATAGCTTCTACGTCGGTGTCGAGTGGCCTGGCTTCAGCGTTTTCCCATCGTTCATCACGACCCAGGCGCAAAGCTTCTGGACTGAGCAGATCGTAGCGTTTCATAAGTTAATCTCCTTCGACGGGTTTTGGCTGGACGTGAATGATGCCGTGTCCTACTGCACGGGTTCCTGCGGCCAGAACATGATTGAGGAGAATCCAATCCACGTTCCGTTCGCTCTGCCCGGCGATCCAAATACCTCCATCGCTGTCGACTATCGGTATCCAGAGATGTTTAATATCACCAACGCCACCGAGGCGGCCTCTGCTAGCTCTGCAATGATGTCGCAGTCGCTTGCATATCCCACCCCTTCGGTGACACCAACGCCGGTCTTGGCGCGCACCATTCCCACACCGGGCATCCGAAACTTGAACTTCCCTCCCTATGCTATCAACAACTTTTTGCCAGGCCATAGCTTGGTCAAGGAAGTCATATCACCAAATGCCACTCACCCCGATGGCCCATACAACAGCACCGAGTATGAACTTCACAACCTCTATGGGCACGTAAGTGGCCGGGCGACTTACAACGCACTTAAGGAAGTCTTCACTGGGAAGCGACCTTTCTTTATCAACCGTTCTACATTCGCTGGAAGTGGTAACTTTTCCGGTCACTGGGGAGGTGACACCAACAGTATGTGGGGTGACATGTACTTTGGCATCCCACAAGCGTTGCAATTCAGCATCTTCGGCATTCCGGTAGGTGTGACTTGTGCAATTTCGAAAGAATGGCTGACACAGAGAACAGTACTTCGGCGTCGAAACCTGTGGGTTCAATGGCAATGCTGACATGGAACTGTGTACCCGCTGGATGCAGCTGAGTGCCTGGTTCCCGATGTACCGCAACCATAACAACCGTCGGTTAAATGTAGGCATTTCACGAGTTTTTCTGTACTGACAGAAAATGACAGGAAACACCATCGCTCAAGAGGCATACCGCTGGTCTACCACAGCTGAGGCCACTCGCCGCATCATGAACATCCGCTATTCCCTCGCACCATACACATACACTCTATTTCACAAGGCCAATGTTGCTGGTGAGACTGTGCTTCGCGCGCTCGCATGGGAGTTCCCGAACGATGCATCCTTGAAAGCAGTCGAGACACAATTCATGTCCGGTCCGGCGATCCTCGTTACACCAGTACTCGCGCCCCTTGCCACTACGTAAGTCAAACAGGGAGCACATGCGTTGGAGATTTCTAACAGTTGCTAGGGTACAAGGTGTCTTCCCGGGCATCGCTGACGGCACTAATTGGTATGATTGGTACACGTTCCAGAAGATTCATGCCGCAGCTGGAGAGAACAAGACTCAAGACGCACCACTTGTTCATCAGCCTGTCGCGATTCGTGGTGGCTACATAATCCCTATTCAGAAGGCTGGTAATACCACCAAGACCTCGCGAATGAACCCTTGGAGCTTGGTTGTCGCTCTTGACAAGGACGGACAGGCTAGTGGCGAGTTGTACCTCGACGATGGCATCACGCTCAACCCAAGCCAGACCAAGAATGTTCAGGTAAGCTCTATGCATGTTGATTGATGATGGTGACCACGACTGACAGCGCTCAGTTCATGTATGCAAACAACACACTCAAGGCCACGGTCTCAGGCAATTACAACGACAACATCCCACTAGCCAACGTGACTATCGCCGGGTATAGCGGCCAAGTCAAATCGGTCTCTGTCAATGGCGTCCCAGCGTCGAAGGCACAGGCTCAGTCTGGCAACGGCAACGTTCTGTACATCACGGGCTTGCAGGATGCGACGAGCAAGGGCGTTTACAACAGCGACCTCACCATTCAACTGCAAGGTGCTGGCTCGAGTGGCAGCGCAAGCGCTACTTCGACACTTTCGAGCAAGGTCAGCTCCAGCCAGAAAAGCTCTGCGACCGCGTCTAACGCGGGAGGCTATCACGGCTCGCACAGCGCATGGGGGCCCAGCTCTGCCGGTGGATGGTGAGAGACTTGATGGAAGTCGTGACATTCCAGAAACGTATATAATAACAATCTGAAACAATTGTAGACCTAGCATTAACGGCATAGATGGAGGCAATGAAGTGATATTACCGCAAATATCACCAAGTCTGCTAGGCCTTCGGATAATTCCATTCCTCTCGTAATCTCGCAACCCAGTCTTTGACCAATAGGTCCTTGCCATCAATCCGGACGGTATTCTCGGGGTATTTCTCTGCCGTACCAGGAAAGTAGACATGATCGTGATTGCTTCCGCAGATATTCCACCCTTCCATCTTGTTTGACATGATCAGATCGTGGCAGCTGACACAAAACTCAGCAATACAGTAGCTACAGCGCCAGAGTGGTGCATCGTTGGGAATGGTATCGAAGCAGCATCCGTCGCAGCTACAGAATGGGTAGCCCGCGGCGGGCTTGTCTTTGTCTATTGTCTCTACTCTCGACTTTGCAGGCAGGTCGATAGAAACTGGTGCCTCTGTGACCGCTTCCCCTCCTGTGGCACTGTCGCCATTGGCTTGGAGCTCTGCTGTCTTTTTCTCGTGAATGGCCAATGTTGTAGTAGCAGTAGTAGTCGCCGATTCAGCTTGCGCAGTGCTTGTGCCGGTGTCTTCGTGACGCTCGCTGTCCGCCGAGGGTGCCTCCAACACCGCCCCAGGCCCATTGTCCGTCCTTGTTGGAGGATTTTCCTGTTCGGCACCCGGAGTTGCATCGGAAGCAGCTGGTCCGTCATTGACTTTAGTAGCCGCAGCTGGCGTTGGAAGTCTTCCTTGTCGCGGCATCGTACACGTCGCTATGGCTAGTTTTGGGTGCTGGATTGCCAAGTAAGCGTCCGCGAGATGAATCCATGCCAAGTCATCATTCTCAGGATCCAGATCGTCTAGAAGATCGATACCATATGTAATGTGCTGCCGAATACACTCCCTAGCTCGATCTTGCCGGCCGTTGACCCGATCCCAAGCAGCCAAGATATGTCCGCAGTCCCTGGTACCAAAATTCGGCTTGCCATCCACATCAAGCTCCGAGATGACCAGTTGAACAAGCTGACTAGCCCAGCGGCCCACTTCGTGCCACTGATCCTTCTCGCGAGCCTGTAGACTACGATCAAAGTAATGCCGTGCGAGCTCCCTTTCGGTAATGTCCTTGACGCCTCGACCAGAATCGTCACTGTCTGCCACTGCTTCTAGAAGCTTTACTCCTTCATCGGTCCGGTCGCTGTCGAGTCTGAGTGATACCATAGCGCGGATATACACTATGTACGCAGTGTCACCGTCCTCACCATACCGTGCAGTCATGCAGATAGCATTGTCCAAGAATAGAAGCAGGATGTCAAACCGCTTCGTCGTGAAGCCTGTTGCCAGAAGCCAAGAGTGTACCGTGAGATATTGATAAAGCATCAGATACTCCTCGTGGAACCGTGCCGAATGCGAGCACAAGCGTTCGAGAAGACGTCCTACATCGTGCCAGCGGCTCTTGTCACACAGGGTGTAGTAGTAGGCTACGATTATGGATACGACATGATCCCAGTCATCTCCATCAGGATTGATAAGCTCGAAATCCTGGAAAGATCGTTCGTAAGATTGTAGTGCTTCGTCAAGTTGGTTGATCTGGAGTGACCATGATGCACAATCCTGACGGGTGGATCTCAAATACGAGGTGAGAGACATTCCTGGATCCGGGGATGGCTTTGAGTCTGCAATATTGTTCACGAGCTTGTCGATACCACTGACCCCTTCTCTGAGCGCATCTTCGTACTTCTCCTGCGCAGCGAACGTCACAGCAAGACCAACTTGTGTAAGCCCATCTTCTTGGTCCAGCTCGATAGCTTTGTGGAAATATTCGATAGAGTCGTCGTAACGCTCAAGGTTGCGTAACGTCACTGCGATTCTCCCGTACCATCTGCCGTTCTTCTCGAGATTTGCCCATTCTGCGACGGCAATGACCTCTTCCGTGGAGGCATTCGTCAGTGATTCACCATCTTCCGTCTTGGATGTTTGCGGGCTTTCGGGACTGTTGAGCATGGTCTTAGTGGTTCAGTCAGCTAGATCATCGTTTACCCACATGCTTTGGGTCAGACATACTTGGTAGCGCCGGAGGAAGGACCAATAGTCTTCGTAGAACGCTGTGGCTTGTGTAAGCCATCTGCGAGCGACACCTTGGGCCATCCCGCCGAGAACAGTTCTTAGGGGCTCCGCAGCCGCTTGATCGACCCAGTCCTTCTCGGCGGAATCTAGACTTGACTGGACTTTGGGATCCTGCATGAATTGAATTGACCTCGTCCGAAACAGGGTCTTGTTCAAGAACTCTTCCGTCAGCACGCCTTCCGCAAATCCCACCATTCGAGTCATGCAGTCATCGTCTCGAAAGAGTCTGATTAGCAACTTCGCAATCTTTATTCTTGTCTCGGGCTCCACATCGTCCGGGTCGACCGAAGTCAGGTGATCGGAGAGGTACGGTCCACAGTACCGTCCGGCGAGCTCAGAAGTCTGTTTATCGTGGCTTCCGTTGGTCTCACATAAAATGTCCAGACATCCAAGCAGTACCATACCCTGCATGCTGTGAGTCGTGAAGTTTTTGAGGCCTGCTTGCGCAGTGCGTTTTTGAATCTGCTCGGCGATGAGACTGTGACTCAGAGCCACATAGCTTCTTTGCATGGATGCAACTGCACGACGAATAGCGGTGTCGTGGCTTGCAGATGCATTTAGCTTTGTGCTTTGAGCAGCAGGTGTGCTCATCACACTGTGGTCTAGAGGGTCCGCGGGTACAGATGGTACGCTCAGTTGGGCCGTGTCGTATCCATCAAGTCGCTTCCGCGAACGCTCGTCGGCAGTGGTGGCTTCGGTTGCACCAGCACCAGTGACCGAAAACAAAGTCACATATGCAACGCGTAGCCGTCTTTCGAGGTCCACCACTCGCGCACCACCCGGCCGTCGTACGGTCAGCAGTGCATCCAGCTCAGCGAGGCTGAGGCTTCGTTTGGCACAAGCTACCCAAGCTAGTATATCCTGTATTTTGTTAGCTTAGCTTCAACACTGCGGAACGCGTTGTGGCTTTACATGGAGATCTTCTTGCTCATGCTCGTCGAGTTGTCTTGAAAGGCGATTGATAACAAGCAGCATCGCAGTCTCCAGCGTTGATGGGAGGTCTTGAATTGTGGATCGAATGACATCTTCTCGCGGTAGCGAGGTGACTTCGTCCACGATCAGAGAGGCCTTCAAGAAGTTCCCATCGCAGTCGCCTAGAATGGCATCGTGGACCTCGTTGTAAAGATCTCGCCGAATCAGCTTCTTGCTCCATGCCGTTGCCATGCGGATGTCGACATATCTGTCCAGGTCCGCCATGTTGCGGTGCGCATCGACTGGCACGACCATCGCCGTATCAAACAAGTCGGATCCAAATCGCTTGACCTTCGTGGAATTCATGAGCAGCATGACGTGTACGGTCGAAGGGCCTTTCCCCTCACGATCTTTGGAGCTTGCATTGATTGCGGCGCATAATGCTATTGTGTCTGTCTCATCACATTCGTCAAGGCCATCAAGCACAAGATAGACATGTCTTGTTTTGCCTCGAAAGTACGTATCGAAAAGCAGATTCCAATGTCGGACAACATTTCGCACGGCCTTCTCTTCTTCGTCATCAGCCAGGCTTAGTCGATCGATAACCGCACTGTTGACTCTAGACAACTTCTTTGCAAACGCCTGATCTGCATCGTCTGCTCCATCGGTCGTACCAGCTGCGAGAGAAGTTGTGTCTCCATTCTCATCGGTTCCCAAATTACCCGCGCCAGTATTCGTGGCTTTGACATTCTCCGTGGTATTTGAGCCTCTGTCGCTTTCATCAATGTCGTTGCTGATTGCCACCGCTGCACTACCTCTAATCTCCTCGGTTTTGCCGGGATCGGACCCGATGGCATTCTCCTCCACGCTGTCATTCTGCTCCTCCGCGCCCGATGCTGCTCGCATTTCGCCTTGCTTCGCATCGGTCGATGGGCCAGCGGGCGGTGAAAGCAAGTCTCTATCAAGGGCATCATTCAGATACTTCGCATATATCTGGTCACCTTGTGCGACGGCAAAAGCCATGGTCTTCAACGCCGAGCTGATGTACTCGTCTTCGTTCTGACCCTTGCGGAAGAAGAAGTATGCTAGGCCACGGTCCGCACCAGGTCCATTGGTCTTGTGGGTCTCAGCGATATAGTCAATAGCACGACTAGCCAGGAACGTCTTGCCATAACCTGCTTCACCAGATACCAGGAGTAAGGGCACTTCGCAGTGCGACCACCTCTGCACGGCACTTTCTTGAAGTAGCCAGTCTGCCGTTCCTGAGATTCTCTCGCCACGGATACGTCCGTAACTAGCCGCGTTCGCCTGCCTAGTCGTTTTAATGTTAAGGGATGACTCCAAGTTCCTGAGGGACTTAGACTCCCCGTGGACTGCAGATCTGGTCTTGGTGCTAGCATCCTGCTGTTTTGAAGACCCACTGGTCTTTCTCCAGTCCTCAAGATTCTTCTGGATAGTCTCAAGCTGCGTGGAAAGCTGCTTGCTAGCCTTGGCTGACTCGGTCTTCATCTCTGAAGTGGTGTCGTAGGTAGCCTGCGCAGTCATGGCCAGTTCATTTTGACCAGATTGGAGTTCCTTCTGACCCAACTCAATTCGATCAACGGATTGATTTAGTATTGTGACCCTGAACTTCACCTCAGCAGTATCTGCTTGCAGATCATATGTGGCCTTGCTCATCTGAACCGTCAGGCCCTCGATGTTGACTGCAATACCTTCCAGTCTGGTTGCTTTCCGCACGACTATAGCTTGCATCATCAGAGACTCGTTCTCAACAAGAGTCTTCAAGCTCCCAACAGCTCCGCTAACCTCACCATTACCGCCCATCAAAAGTTGCTTCATGTACTCGTCAATGTTTGCGAAAGCCGGTCTAGTGATTTTCTTGAGCTTGTGCAAGAATCTGGACTCGCCAACCTTTCAGTGCTCTTGGTCAGCTGAACTCTTTTAATCGTCTGTACCAAGCTTCGCCGTACCTTGACGTCTTTCATGCTTCGCCATGTCATCTTTGTGGCAAGCGAGCATATATTCAGTAAGCTGACCAGCATGGCCTGGTAGATGGGCACGAGCGCATCGGGAATTGTCTCATGGCTGACCTCGCTAAGACGACCCGTAAAGCTTCCGAGCTTCTCGAAGAGGCCGCCCACAGCATCAAACGATCTGGTCACCGCTGCTCCTGCCTGCGACCAACGTTAGCGAGATACGAGCAGTGAGGCTTGAGCCAGTACCCACATTGATCAAAACCCCGAAAGCTGCTAAGACTTGTGACCCACCAGGAAACATCTTGCTCTCATCAGCCAAACCGCTTTCACCAACTACACCATCGATGTAGACCTACAGATGCCGCGGTACTCCCGACAGTAGACGTCAAGAAGCTGAACGGCCCAATAGCACCTTTGACGACCTGCGTGAACTGTGAGCTCTTCGAGTCGTGCCCGAACTCGCTATGCTCATCGTTAAGGTGGCGGATCAGATCGTCCACGCTGCTCGGATGGTAGACGTCCGTATTGTTGACCAGATCAACATCAGTATTGCCATAGAAGTCCCGTAATGCCCTGGCCCAGATGACGGTGAAGTCCGCCGGCCTGCCATCGATGGGTGCCATGCTGGTGAGCTTAAGGGTGTATCTACTATCCAGTAGGCGGCGGTGTACACGGCCTCAGAAGCTCCTCCGATCGTGCTATATGTCAATGGAGTCTGTAGTCTCTCAAGCCAGCCGTGCCGACGACCTTATTACAAGATCCCCTCGAACCTCACCAGAACGAGGTCAGAAGTCATGGCTGCAGACAAGGAGAGCATCCACTTGCCTCTGAACGTACTACAATCCGAGGGGCACAGCCGCCATATATATATAGGAGGTCACGAACGGCTCCAAAGTGCAATGGTGTGACCAGACCTGTTTGAGCTGCGGCTGAGATGCTTTTCTGAGCAACGGGACGACCCGATTCGGTCGGTAGAGCGCCACTTCGGTCTACAATTAATTGAAGGAGTACTGTACTGGACGCCTGAGTGACATAGTTTGGTGGCGAGAGAAGAACAGACTTGCAAGATCACACAAGTCACATCTCAACATTTGTAGGAGGATCATACTGCTGGAATCCCGATACACCCCTCGGCACCCGCCGCCAACAAACCCACGCCACTACCAACGCCTCAAGCATCTCATCATACCACTCTCCCTCCCCCTCAAGCGGTAAACCATTCACACAACATTCAAACTCATACCTCGCGACATCCTCCCCAACCACAACAACAAGATTCGCCAGACCCAGCGTCCCGTACTGCGGCCGCTTTCGCACGTCGAGATGACTCACATCGCTCATCCGGATTCTGCGACATAAAGAACTATTGCTCGCACTGGGTGTCCAGAGGAGGTACTCGCCGCCTTTGCCTAGCGATAGCATCCCGCGTTCGTTCTCGTGGCTGGTCGTTGTCGATACGTTGTTCTTCTCCCCAGGTGCTTTGATCCGGCCGTTTGTGTGTACGGCGAAGGTCTTGTACAGATCGCGTTTCTCATACTGTCGGACGTGCGTCCATCGACGACTATCGCGATCTATTCCAGAGGTAGGATTCGCATCTCCAAAAATTGATTTCCTGACGATGCGTCCCGAGTTTGTTCGTCCAACGAGTACAATGTCCCGTAGATTAGATGACCAACTCGTATCCTCATACCCGCTCCATGTCTCCACAACCAATTTATAAAGCAACCGATCCACGCATGCACGATCGAACATCAGCCCCGGTGCCTCATCCGCCAAGTCCTGGAGTCGCACGATATCCAGAACCAAAGTCTCAATATGTGGAAGATCCGTCACCAGAGTCTCTGCTTTATACATGCAGTCCCGAGTGCTATCGTGCATGGTAGGCGTACATCCTAAATAGTGCAGCCATCGACCGCCCACAGTCAGGCCGTTCGCTCCAGCGGCGACCCCTCCTTCGCCACCTCCATGCTCGAGGTCGCTGAGGTCGACGATCAGAGTCCGGATCGATTGATGCTGTGCTGGAGTCAAATGACCGAGGAACCAGGACGCTAGCATCGGGCGTGTGAAGCTGAAGTCGTTGCCGCTGAACACAACATCTATATGCAATTCGGCATAAATGCGTCGACATGTCCGTCGAAGAGCGAGTCCGAGAGGCGGGATGTCCCTTTCATCCGCAGGCACGAGGAGAGTCGTGGCGGCATTGAGGATTGGTCGGTCGACGACCAGACTGAAATGATAGATCTGTTCCCGCAGCTCGGCGGGCAGCAAGAAGAACGGAGATTGGGATTGGTCGTGCATCAGTCCAGTTCCCGACTTTCTTGGTAATATTCTGGTAACGGAGTCCGTACAGTCTCGTCTATGTATGCGTCAGTGGGAACGATGTTGCGGCACGGAGAGTATCGAAGATGTATTCCAAAGCTTCAGAGGCTAAAGGCGTGCTAACCCAGTCTGGCGAAAGGCAGTAGTGCGACGCTTGCAGATGGCAGATGTTCTTGTAAGTGCAAAGCTGTGCTTCTCCACCCAATATGGTAATCAATATCGATGAGGGACACAGCCATCAAACAGTGACAAGGCCAAGCCCAGACTGACCAAGCAAGCACAAACACCAATAAAGCTTTCACCTCACACCGTCTCAAGCAAGCGGGCACAATCATGAAGCGTCACCCAAACAAGCTGGAAACGGCCAATCCACGTTTCCATAATATCGCAGCTAGTAAAATCTACCCAACCCCTAGCTAACTCCCACCACCCAGCCTCCAAGCCCGCAAAGGCAGCGCCTGCAACTGCAACGCCCTCGGCCGGATAAACCCCCAAAACGTCACGACACCAAAGGCCACGCAGAGGATATTGACGATGTAATACCCTAAATCAAAACCACTCGGGTCAGCATTCATTTCTTTCTTCTTCTTCTTCTTCTACTCAAGCCTTGGGTATTGTGTGGTGAAAAGACTTACCGTCTCTCTGTACGTTGCACACCCCACCCCCGGCCAGACATCGATGTTTCTCAGCTTCTAGCACACAACTAAACGGCTGCGTGATCAGGCTTCCCTTCAAGTCCGCTGGTGCCGTTGTGGGAGGTATGCAAGTAGCGACGCTGAAAGCATCGACGAACTTCAAGACGAAGAACCGCGGGAAGGTGCCGCCGAGGTTGCTGACCCTATCAACCCCCAAACCCAGTCAGTAAGTACAAAATTCAATGCACCCGAAGAGCAATTAGAATTGTTGCAAGGAGGTCGGGGTATACGTACGTAGCAAGCAACGTCATATACGTCCCGCCAATCACCGGATCGGCAATCTTGGCATGAAACGCACTGATAGCGACAAACATGACCGTACTCATAAACGTACTAAACACATGCTCCACCACCACGACCCCTAAATACCACACCGTCGTGCCACCCGCAGGAAAGGCCATAACGACTAGCTGCGCAAACACGGCGGCTGCCAATCTCCCGATGAAAGCCCAGCACCAGACTCGAATGGGTTGGTATTGCTCGCTCCATTTCCCCGCGTAATAACCCAATGATATCTCAAAGGGGAAATCGATCAGGACTGTGAGGGCGAGATCTTCCTGACTAAACCCTTTATCCAGTAACTTGAGATTCGTGACGGCGTCGTTGGCTTGGAAACCTATCTTGGCGATCAAGTGGATGAGGATGAAGATCTGGATGTTGCGGAGTTTGAGGATGCCGCCCATAATTTTGTAGACGGACCACACGCCCTCGTCGCGTTTCTCCCGGTTTTCTTTCTTGAGGAGGGCGAGGCCCAGGGTTACTACTAGGTAGGCGTAGCCCCAGAATTGGAGGTAGGTGTTTAGAGTCATCAAGCCCTGCGGGAGTGGGGCGGAGGCGGGCCGGAAGTATTTGTTTGTGAAATCCGGACTGCTGAGGGCGAGGAAGACGGTATACGACAAGAAATGGCCGGCTGTGAGGCCTACAGTCTGCGCGGTACTGGCGTAGGATAAATTGGCCGGGCTGAGGAGGGTCAAAGCCCAGCCGTCGACGGCGATGTCTTGCGTTGCGCACATGAAGACGAGGGCGAACCACCAGCCTGTGAAGCCCCAGACGCCGGCGCCGTTGTCTGCGCCGGCTGCTTCCATCATTTCTTGCGCGTGGGTTCCCAGCCAGATCATGCCCAGTCCTGAAAGCGCCTGGATGGGCAGGATCCAGCTCTTTCTCCTTCCTACCCGCTGGGACCAGATGGCGTCTACGATTGGGGACCAGAGGAGTTTCAAACTGTATGGGTAGGAGGCGAGACTGTATACCCCGATCTGCCCATAACTCAGATGGCTCTTGAGGAGGAACGGCACACTGCCCCCTGCTAATCCCATCGGTATGCCCTGCAAAAAGTATAGTAGTACTAACAGCAGGAAATTCCGTCGATCTTGCATGGGAAGTTCGAAGAAGCCTTTACTCTCACTCCCCTCTCCTAACCCCTTCTCGCTCATCGGACTGAGGGCCGGCGGTGCCTCATCCAGTGTGAAGGAGCTGCGTTCCATTAATCGTGCGGTCTGAGCGGAACTGTCGTCGGGGACATTGAGGCTGTGGTGTTTATTCCTTTCGCGGAAGGAACCGTTCATTTCTGCTGTTGTGGGGGTGGTGGCTGCAGAGGTCGTGCTCCCGTTTCCGTTTCCGTTTGCGTGTGCTTTTGTGGAGGTTCGCGGTGGTCGTGGGTTCGGGGTGCGGGAGCGTGTGCGGCGGGAGGGCATGAAGGGTGTTGTGGAGGGTGAGGCGGAGGAGGAGGAGGTGTCCGAGGCGGGAGAAAGCTCAAGCAGTCCTTCGCGTTCGTGGGAGGAGGAAGAAGTGTCTATTCGGAGGTGCGTATTGCTTCTCTTCTTATTTCTCGCTTTCCCTCGTTGTTGTTGTTGTTGTTGCTGTCCTCTGCTGCTTGTCGGAGTGAGGTTGTCAAGCTCGTAATCATCAACCACAATATTATCACGTGAACTTCCACTGCTCGTCGTACTACTTCTATTCTCGTGCAACGGCAACTCTAAATCTATCGCCGTCGTTCGTGTCGTCGTCGTCGCAGTCGCCACACTCAGTCGTCGAGGTTGCTGGTCACCCATGCATTACATAACCCAAAAATCAACATATACGTAAAAAAAGAGAGAGATGGCGGAGAAAATGTGGGATGATGATGATCGCGTGGCAAGGAATATGTGTTCTGATTACCCACTGCCACCCACGCGCACGCGAGTCTGCAATCTGGCCTTCTGAACTTTCAACATGCGAGGTGTGCAGAAGTGTCATGCAGGTACCCGTATCAGCGGGAAGGCTATTCCTTCTATATATACATGTACTTGTAATGGGAAATACAATGTGACAAAGTACGAGATCCTTCACTTCCACAGGTCTTGGGTCGTCCATGGGAAGGAGCACATGCCCGCGACTGTCACACAGCGGTGTTGGCATGGCGGTATTTCCTGGCCGGCACCCGGACGACCCGACGACCAGGCACGGATGGTGGCGATGCGGATATCAAGTAGATCTTACCGGAACATCACCAGCATGCAACAAGTCCATGCCAGGATAATCTTTTGCATTCATCAACATAACGGCTTTGACCGAGACTTTCCTTAAACACACCCGGCGCCTCACACCGTTCCCGCCCTCCCCCTCCCTTTCCTCCTTTCACCACCACTACCCCCACCACAGCCCCCACAAAGCACAATCCTCCTCACCCTCTCCCCAAACCCCATCGGCTCATCGAACCGCCTCTTCCCCGACCTCATCTCCTTGGCCCTTACACTCCCACTCCCCTTCCAACCCCTCAAACCCCTCCTTAGCGGCACCCCTTCCTCCTCCTCATCAACCTCGAAAAAACAAGCAGGATACAGCCCGCTCTCACTCCTCCTGCTCCCACCACCACCTCCAGAGAAATCCCTCAACAGACTCCCGAAACTGGTACGTGGCCCTGGAGTCGTGGCGGCCGTAGGCGAGGTGATGGTATCGTCGGACCAGCGACTCCTGTATATCTCTCCTTTAACATCAGTACGACGACCACCACGTTCTGGTGGGGAAGCAGTCGCGGCAGAAGTAGAAGTCGTAGAAAAAGTCCGATGGCTTATCGACGCCGACCCCGTCGACGACGTGGAGGATAGAATTCGTAAGGGGATTATACGCCGGCTCGACCGCAGGGAGGTGAAACTATCTTTCCTACTCCTCACGGAACCCGTCAGACTTTCTTTCCTGCGGCGGTAGGAGGAGGCGGGCTGTTGATGGTGGTGCTGAGCGATGATTTTGTTCGTTGGGCTCTCGGCTGGTGAGACGAGGAGGATCGATGACGGAGATGGGATGTCCATTGTTTGAGGGCTGGGTGTCTCCTTGACAGCAGCGGCTGGGAAGAGGCTGTAGGTGCGTTTATGCGGTGGTATATCCGGAGCTTTGCGCGTTGGGGGGGTGAGATTCACGAGTGCGGGCTGCTCGACTCCGACCTTTGCGCCTGCAACGCTACTTTCGACTTCTTCTCCACAACCGCTCAAAGTCCCCTTCACAGGCGTCTCTTCGACCACCGCCCCCACCACAGCGTCCTCCTCCTCACCTTTACTAATCGGCAGCGGCTTCCGCCCAATATCCCTCAATTCCGACACCGACGGCGTACACGGCACGAGCTCGAAATCGAATTTCTCCAAACCCCGACGATCCACCGCGCGCTCCGTCTTGAGCGCAGGCGCAGGCGTAGGCGTAAGCGGTGGCGGCGGTAATTCCGGACTTTGCAATGGCGAGGGGTCACGGGTGTAGTAATCCAGGATTCCGAAGGAAATCTCTGATTGGCCGGCTGTGCTGTGGCGGGAGTAGAGACTTGGGGTGTTCATTCTTGTCAGTAGTGGTGCTTGTTTGGGTGGTACGGGTGGTAGTTGGAGGCGTCGAGGCCATGTTGTGGGAGGGGCTAGGTCGACAATCTCGGGGTCGCGGGGTGAAATTGTTTCTTGCTTATTGTTGTCGTTCGATGAGGGTGGTGGCGCCAGTAGCTTGATAGGCGGCGGTCGACCACGATGAGGTGATTTCGGTACCCTGGCCCTCTCATCTCGTGGTTGCCGAGCAGTGCGTGTGGAGATGTTGGTTCGTGGTAAGGGAACCCATTCTTCTGGCACTAGTGTTCGTAACGCCATGATGTCGTGAAAGGAAGTATGGAAGATCAGACCAGATCAGCATTCACCTACCATAAGCAGCGATAGCAGATCACATTACGATTCAGGAGAGCGCCGGACGCGCCTACCCTATGCCTATATGCTCCTCTCATCCCATCCCGCGAAAGGGAGCCGGAATGTAAGTGTCAACAAGTAAGGCTTGTGGGAGATCCAGCATGTCTCTTCACAAAAGACCGGGCTTGTCCTGTTCGGGGAGAGACAGGTGCTAAGTTGGCCAATAGCTAGACGGTACGACGTGAGGTGTCGCGGGTGGAAGCGCAGCAAGGGATGCATATTAGTGCCGGGGGAAGTTATGGGGATGGGGAGATTTTGTGTAAACAATGGGAGAGGTTGTCTCGAACATTCCCTGGAGTCCTTGGAAGGTCGTGGCGTTTGCGTAGACAGCTGTATGTTGAGCCTGTCAAGAGTTCTAGGCAGTGCGCATGTCCACGATATTGGAGGGTGGGAAGTGGGATAGAGAAAGGTGAGTACGACGAGCGCAAGGAGAGACCCGATAGAAGAAGACACACGAGCAAGGTACTCCTAGAGCTTGAGAAGGTCATGCCATGCATGATGCTGTCTATTGATCTCGATGCCTTGTCGATCGGTGAGTGACTGTAATAGTGGGTTTCTTATGCATGATATGAACACCATGGAAAGTAGAAATGATTGCTTGAATGCCAATAATGCAAGACGAGACAAAAAATTGCTGACTAAGCGAAGTCCGGCGAATTCTGACTTCACCTCGTAACACCCCCACGCCCTGTACTGTATCGTGCACCGCAAGTACTATCACGCGATAGAAGGACAACTTCCGGAGCAATGGAACAGTTTTTCTGGACAATGTCAGCTTCACCTATTTCTCTGCGCCGTACAGATCCTGGCTCAGCGGCCAAAAGGACGCCATCACATAAGCCCGCCGACGTTATCACGGTATTCTTTTCCCATCGAGGCATTAGCATCTTGCCACGAGTCCATCAGGTTCTGATGATGCAGCACTGGACTCGACTATCACTGGACTGATTAACAAGAGCCCATCGTGATCATGGCACCCTCTCATACCCAATTCAACGGCTCAGTCCAAAAAGACGCCGAAATGCAAGACTACTTCACCACAAACCCGCAACCCCCAAACCTCGACCGCCAAATCACCCTCGCCCGCACTTTCATCAACCACCACGCCACCGCGCACCGCCGCGTAGCCCTCATAACCTCCGGCGGCACCACCGTGCCCCTGGAAAACCAAACCGTGCGCTTCATCGATAATTTCTCCGCCGGGACCCGCGGGGCGACGAGCGCGGAGTACTTCCTCGAAGCCGGATATGCTGTCATCTTCCTGCATAGACAATTCAGTCTCCTGCCGTACTCGCGGCATTATTCGCACAGTACGAATTGCTTTTTGGATTTCATGACGCATTCCCCCGTCGATGGGGCGGTGGTGGTGGATTCGGAGTATCAGACTCAGATGTCGGGGGTGTTGTCCCGGTATCGACAGGCGAAGAAGGAGAATACGCTTCTTTTACTTCCGTTTGTGACGGTGAACGAGTACCTTTGGTTACTCAGGGGTCTGGCGATGCAAATGCAGCCGCTTGGTGCGAAGGGGTTGTTTTACCTGGCGGCTGCTGTCTCCGATTTCTTCGTTCCGGCCGAGAGGATGGTGGAGCATAAGATCCAGAGTTCTGAGGATTTCCACCAGAAATCTACGAATGGTAATGGTAATGGTGCTGGTGGTGGAGATGGTGAGCGGGCCCCAGCCGCACATATGGAGAATACCCGCCTGATCATCGACCTCGACCCGGTCCCCAAGTTCCTGAAACTACTAGTCGACGGCTGGGCACCCCAAAGCATGATCATCTCCTTCAAACTGGAAACCGACCCCTCTCTCCTCGCTAACAAAGCTCGGGGGGCATTAGAAAAGTACTCCCACCACCTCGTCATCGGCAACAAACTCAATACCCGGAAATGGGAGGTCCTGTTCGTCAGTGTCGAGGGCGGGGAGAAATGGATCCGGGTCCCGGCGGGGAGGAGGACGAAGAGTATGAGTGGTGCGGTTGGGGATGGGTTGGAGGATGTGGAGCTGAGGGAGCCGGCGGTGGAGATTGAGAGTCTCATTGTGCCCGAGGTGGCGGGGATGCATGCGGAGTTGATTGCTAAGTCGGAAGGTCGGAAGGTACAGTAGGCGAACGTAGCTAGCTCGAGTCCTCAAGCATCGGTCTGACGGGAGCCACATAGCACAGAGACATCGAGCCCGAAGCTGAGGGTCCTGTCTCGAGGTGCCTGTGTATGTATCCATAACAGATCTAAGCATATCTATACATTACAATCTACCAACTCGTCCCGTACATCGCCAACCGGTATCTCTACCATCGTACACAACCCACACCAATCTATCTCTGTGCCCTTTTCGCGCGAGGCAGACCAAAAATCAATGATTTCCACACCGAAAGTAATCCGGATCATTCCCCACCGTCTGCATCCCACACGTCCCATACTCTACCGATCCCACGCGGTTCTCTCCACACTCCCATAAAAGACTCCCGTCGGCACTCCACTGGATATACTTGTATTCAACCGGCGTCCCCGCACTGACCTTCACGTCCCCGCCAGACCACAGCGTGTTGATGTCCGTATACCCCTCACTACTCAGCGGTACGGCGTGATAGACATCCCAATCCCCTAGTTCGGTGATATTTCCCACAACAAACACATTATCCCCGTAAACCGTCCTTTCTTGAACAGGGAAGGATAGGGAGACGAGGGTAGAAGGCGTGTTTGTGCATGCGGAACTGGTATTGGCCACGGGGATCTCGTACCCGGTGAAGTTGGATGGGGTGGTGCATTCGCCTGAGGCGTGGACTTGGAACCCAGGATTTTCCGAGGGGATGATGGAGCAGGTTAGGGCGGAGGAGGAGCCGGTGGAGTTTGTGATGGTGTAAGGGATGGAGGTTGCTATGAGTTGGGTTGGTGTGTTGTTGCTGTTGTTAGTACGGCGGTTAGTGTTTGCCGATGAGAGCTGAAAGGGGTGTGGTGTAATATAGCTTACCTCGTCTCCGTATAATTCTGCAACACAGCAACCTCAAATGCCCCAATCCCAAACGGTTTGTACAGCTGGAATGCGAACTCGCTCGTTTGATCTCCTATCTCACTAGCATTATGCGCGCACTGGATCCATTCTCCCGTGGGAACATAATCGGAATAGGCGTTATTGCTCGTGTAGCTGTTGTCGCCCCATGATGCCCAGCAGTATCCGGATTGGGGCGAGTCGCCATTGGTGCTTTTGAGGGTGAATTCGATGGTGTAGAAGTTGGTTTGGCCGTCGGGGTTGCCGTTGGGCTGTTTGGTGTAGAGGTTTGAGAGGGTGAAGGGGGTGGTGGTGGTGCTGGCAGCAGCGGTGAGGGCGGTGAGGGCGGGGAGAAGAGGGAGTGAAAGGGGGAAAGCGAGCGTGAGTCTCATGGTTGTGGTATGGGTGTGCAGGTGACGGTACAGTATAAGGGAGGTGCAAGAGAGGGTGGTGGTGGTGGTGGTGGTAATAGCAGCACGACAGACGAAGGAGACGTGTGTAATACTTGCCTACCTCCCTCTCCTACCCTATTTCCCAAAGGATCCAAATACGAGATACTATGCACGTCACTCTATTGCGATACATCGCATGCTGGTCAGTAATAAGAGGTTGGGATGGAAAATGACGAAGACGAAATTGGCAGGATTGGGGACCAGGATCACGCGTACGGGACGCGCTGTAGAGAACAGCCTCCGCATCCCGCTTGGCTTGGCTTGGCTTGGCTTGGCTTGGCTTGGCTTGACTTGGCAGGAACGGGAGAAAGTGCTCGATTCGCGTTGATGTGTAAGTCAAGTAGCTGCACAAGGTGGTCGCAGACAGAATCGAACAATATGCTACACTTGCTGCGAAACTGCTACCACCCACTTCATTCTTCTCGCCATATCCTACAGATCTTCACCAGAGGGATTGTCTGGCCGGGTCAGACAGATATCAGCACTTGATACCAGTGCCGCACTCTTACAGTCTCCTCCCTCCCACGGCCCACGGCCCACGGCCCACCCTCTCATCACATCCCCCATTTCCATCCCCGTCTCAGGTCATGTAATCTACGACTCCGCACTATGCGTCCCCTCCATATAAACCTCCTTGGCCCTCTTCGACGTCTCCGCAAACTGGACCACCGGCTCCGGATACCCCAGCTTCTCAAACTCCTTCTTACTCAGTCTATCATGCGGAGCATAAACCGCCCCATTCTTCCCTCCCTTCAACCCCTTCAATTCCGGAACCCATTTCCGAATGAAATCGCCATTGGGATCGTGCTTTTCCGCTTGCACGACGGGGTTGAAGAAAGTGTAGGAGGGTTGCCAGCCTTGGGTGTTGTTTGAGAGGTCCCAGTCTATTAGATGTTCGGCGAAGTACCGCTCGCCTTTGCGGTAATCTATGAGTAAGTTCCCGCGCAGGAAGGACGCGGTATTCATGCGCAGGCGGTTATGCATGTAGGCTTCTGTATTGATTTGGCGCATCCCGGCATCCACAAACGGGATCCCCGTCGTGCCCTCACACCACCGTTTCCAGTCTTCCGCGTCATCCCGCCATTTCACATTGTCGAACTTGAGGTTCTGAGGCAGGTTCATGCTAGTGTGGGGTGTGGTGACTGTGACCTGGCGGTAGAATTCTCGGAATACTATCTCACGCACCCAGGATGCTAGGCCGATGTCGCCTTGGTCGAAGTGTTTACCTTTGTTGGATTCTAGGCACTTCTTCAGGACTTCTCGGACGCTCACGATGCCGGCGGAGAAGTAGGCAGACATACGGGATGAGGCGTCGAGGGCAGCTTCGGAGCGGTTGGCGGCGTAGGTGTGGGCTTTAGTTTTGAGGAAGTGGGAGAGGCGGGTCATTCCTGCTTCGTTTCCTGCGGGCCAGAGTTTGCGGATGCGGGCTTGGTCTTCTTGTGATGGGTATTGTTTGCTTTCTGGTAGGTCGGGGACTTTCATTTCGAAGAGCTTGCTGAGGTCTTTGGTCGCGCTCTTGTCGTTGCCCTTGGGGACCGGCACGAGGTCGAATAGCTCTGGATGCGCTTTCGTTTCGACTAACCACGCTTTATGATAAGGTGTGAAGACTTTCATTGGCCCGCCGTTTCCAGTCTTTATTTCTCCAGGCGTTACGGCCGTCTGATCGTGTAGCACCTCGAACCAAACGCCACTTTCCTCTTTCGCGGACTTCTGAGCAAAATCGATATCCCTCCTCAGCTCATCGACCTCGTACTCCATATTCGCATAGACATGCGAGATATCGTTCTCCCTCACGAACTCCAACAATTTCGCTGTCTTGTTTCCTCTCCTCTCCGCCGTGATCACTGCAAGAGGTATATTCTTCTTCTCCAGCTGCTCCTTCAGAATCCGGAAACTGTCGAGTATGAAATCTGACCTTGCAGGACTCGTGCCGTGCCATTCCATGTCACGTGGACTGAAGAGGTACATTGTGATTAGATGGCCCTTTCCTTCCTTCGCTTTCTGGGCAGCGGCGTGCAGGGCTTTGTTGTCTTCTTGGCGGATGTCCTTGGAGCGGAACCAGTGGAGGACATTTCGTGGTTTTATATCCTTACGCTTCTGGGCAAGAAGGGTGGTGAGTTGGGAGAAAGGTGTGTCTGCGTCTATTTCCCTGGCGCGTTTGGTTGTGGGCTTCTTCATGGCGTGTTCGAGGTGAATATAGTCATCTTGTGCTGAGCTGCCTGAGCGGGCGTGTTTTTGACCGGCTTTGGGCGCCATTGTTGTTGCTGTGGCCGTGGCGAATCCACGGAATGTGGTATAGACGAAGAGAGGTGTGAGATGGCTAGTTACGTGCATGTACGGGATGTAGGGAGAAGAAAGTAGCCGGAAGATTGCAGCTGCATCTGATTCGAAGGCGTTTGCGACACGATCGCGCTAGGATCTTGATCGCGATCGTGCTTGCGGAGATTTATCTGCACAATGAGGTCACGAGAAAAGTCCAAGCTTCCATATGGGCCCATATTTCAATGAGCATTCACTTACAAGTCTCGAAAGCGTTCCTCTGCCTTCATCTCCGCTTGTCTCGTTTGATGGACACACAATGGCCCTTATTGCAGCAGGCAGCAGCGATGGGTCTAATACGCGCTGCAGTCTGGCAAACACTTCGAGCCATTTCGAGAGGCGTTGACTATGATCCCTACAGAGACATGTTAGGGGAGAGATACGGTATTGACAGTGCAGAAAGGCAACTTATATATCGTCTACACTATGTCTAGTCCAGCGCATATCAACCCTCGGCTTTGATTTCTTCACTTGCCATTCCTCCGAACCAATCTCACCATCCGCTCAATCTCACTCACAACCTGATCCTGCTCCGTAATATGCGGATAATGCCCACTGCTATGTGCAAACACAAATCTTCTCTCACCAGTCCCCGTAAGCATCAGATGCTCCCTCTGACATTCCTCCTCCAAAACATCACACCCCTCCATCTTTCTCAACAACTCCTCCCTTTGCTCATTCGTCCCGCCACCCTTAGCCTCAGAATAAGCAATAGCCTTCCTGATGTCCCTCTCACTGAAACCTTTGATCACAGTCACGGGCCTGTCACCCAGTGGATGCTTACTCACAAGATCATGACGAGCGAGGTCCCGACAGCTGTCATGCCAACCTAGCATTTCAGCCCATCCACCATTCTCCCCTTTCGTCCAGCCTTCGGGCGGATCCCGCTGACCATTTAATTCCTCCCACTCTGCACCGGACATGTGATGTGCATCATCCAAGCCAATAACTGAACAATAGTCTAACCCTCCTTTGATCCCATCAGCCAAGAACTCCAGATCCGGATCCATGACTGCTCGCTCGATGGAGCGTGGCGAATTGGCATCTAGGAAGACCACGCCAGCTGAATTCTCGCTGTGAGCGGCGGTGTACTCCCAGATTGTTAGACCGCCGGCGGAGTGCGTGATGAAGACGAATGGGGACTTGAGAGCGGCGGCGTGCAGGACAGCATCTAGTTCTTGTGCTAGTGCTGATGCTGTTCTGGGTTTTGGTGTCTTCTTCTCGGAGTCTCGATCTGTTGATTCCAGGAGTGGTAAGGAAGAAGAGCGGCCAATGCCTAGGCGGTCATAAGTGAAGGATGCAATGCCCGATTTCGCGAGCTCGGATTGGATGGTCGTGAATGTGAGACAACCCAGACCTAATCCGGGAACGAGAACTACTACAGGATGATCTTGGGTCGTGATGTTTGTGCTTCGGCGAATGTGTATATTCTTTCTACCGTGGTCGGTATCGATCTCAATAGTGCTAGAGGATATATCCGGGTCAGTATGCCTTGAAGCCATGATTGTGGATCGGGTTTGTGAAATGGTCTGCCAGAAAGCAAGAATAGAGGCGAAGGAAAGTGGAGAGGGATGATATGGAAAGGAAGCCCCTTTATACGTGCATAACATGTAGTAAGCGACAGCTCCAACAGTATGCAGGCGTGCGGCGCAGTCACCTTCCCATTATGTCTTGGCGTGCACCGATGCGCGCCAGCACTTTGGTTGCTATCTTCATGCTTCGAAGAGAGTCTTACGGAGTAGAGGGGGCTCGAGACACATGACAAAGGAGGGCTTCAAGAGGTTGAGAATGTATAGACGACAGGCCTATAGCTCGAGGAATTCGCGGCTACTTCAAAGCGATACCGACCTCTAAGAGAACAGCTTCGCCCACAGTTTGTGGGTTCGTCTCGATACGACTCCTGCTTCGATGATACACACCATCTCCACTAGCCTTCAGTGACAACACTATCCTGTCAGGAGACTCATCCTCGACAACCCACTCCTCGACATCTGACCCTCCATCCACCTGATCTTTCCTCCGAGCACACCATACCAGTATCCCTTGCCTTCCGGGCCGTAGCGTCTGTCGACCCTGCGAGCTCAATTGCTGCAGCGTCTCCTGTCGACGGAGCGACTCCGTATTTGGAAGCCAACAAGCACCGTCGAAAGGATTCACACTATTCCCAGCCAGGATCTTGGAATCCAGTGCCCCACTAGCAGCGGCCTTGAGCATCGCCTGCGTAAAACCAATCCCATACTGCACGTCTACGGCCGAAGTGGCGTGAGCCAAGCCCATGACGCCGTAAAATCGATCTTCTTCCAGCCGGCAGCGTCGGTATTGTGTCTGATGTATCAGCGGGGTGAGACTTACTTTGGCCTTCTCGTCTTCGATCATGAGGTTCCATAGTCGGCCGCCGGTTGAGTATAGAATGTCACTTATAGACATTGTGAGGCGGCCTTGAGTGTCGATCCATAGATCCTCGTGGAGCCGCACTGCATCATCGCCGCCCGTGACATTCGGATACCGTTCCTTTGCTCGCCGGCCATGACAGCACCGTACTTGCCCTTCTATGGCAGTATGATCCCAACAACGGACGCCATTGTCTAACAGTAACCGCTTGCTACTCATAGCTTCCTGGAAAGTCCAGACTCGTGAGAACCAGCGTGTACGCCGCAAGCTTTCACAAAAGCCTCACCGTTGGTAGCATCGGGCAGTACAGCCAGGTCGGGGGCAATGACAAGTACAGCCGCTGCATGCATATAGTAATCTCGCATGCGAGGGACGTGGAAAGCTTTGTCCTCGATACTGGTCTGCTTGATACACCACCGATCGACCCAGAAGCGAGTATGGCCCGTCACAGCATGAGCACGGTCACACGCCTTCCGTAGAGCAGCGTCCGTGGACTGGTTCCAGACGTGGGAGAGCGCTATGTAGGTCGCTTTGCTCTCATCTCCATACTCATCGATCGAATCCTTGGTCAGGTCGTATAGTCGAAAGATGGGTAGTACAAGATTCGGATCCGGCTTCTCGATGAACTCCAAGGTCGTAATCTCGTTGTACGGCTCGACGGCGGGTTTGGAACCATACGTGAACAGCATACGCTCGCGATGCCGCTTAGTATCCTCAGATATGGGGATGTGTTGCCAGTCTCCCGTGGCTAGTACTGCTGCGATCTCATCTGTGCTTGTAGCGGGTTACAATTCGTGTTCAAGTTCGCCGTCAGCATATCGCCACCAGACAGGCATGGCTCGACCATCCAATAGCACCCGTTGTATGGTCTGAGGTTCGTTGGCGATGGCAATGCTGAACTCATCTTTGAGGGTCAGGATGTCGTCGCGGAATTCTGGTTCATGCTGGCGATAAGCATCGGTCATGATCATGATCGGGCACGTATATCACCCTGAACAAAATGACTCGTGCTTGTGTAGTCGCTCGAAGATGGTATGTAAAGCTGTGAAAGTAGAGCTCAGGGCTATCGTCAAGCTTCGCCTATGCAAGCATGCCTAGCTCCATCAGCTCTACGGCCCCACTTTTGAACATAGACCGGTGAAGATGCACCACGGTCGCGCCATGCTGTTGGTTGCTGCGCTCCGGTGAAAGTGACAATCGACAATTTGCTTCCTCGACGACCGGGAACGAGCAGAATTGCATAATCTACGGTCTATCATTATCTCATCAATCGTTGAGTCTCCTTCAAACCAACCCGCTACATGACTGCTGCCTACATCTGCATCAGCAACTCCAAGCAGGACAAGCGATCTGCGTCCCATAAGGATTCGGCCCGGCAATACCAGCGATCTGGAAGATCGCGTTGATCACACCTCCAATCCCCTCACCAGCGATCAGTCCAGCGGCGACAGCGTATCCGTAGATATCGAAGTGTTTCGGATTCTTCTTGATCCAAAAGTATGCTGGGACGGCCCCTATGATCATGGCAGTGCCGTAGTATGTTTGGGGTAAGACAAAGGCTAGACCAATGCACATCATGTTTGGGTGGTAGATACGGTATTTGGCCCATTTGCCGGTGTAGGCGTAGTGGCGGATGACGATCATGATGCCGCCGAATATGGAGAAGACAACGCTGAAGATGCCAGAACTTGTCGGGACGGGGACTTGACACGCGATGTCAGCATGTTCTCTCTATCGTGCTTGTGATTATGAACTTACACTCTGGATCGGTGATCGCTACTGTGACTGCTCGCCATGCCGAGACAGAAGGCGCGCTGAATGGGCATTTGGCTGTTGGATCGGAGGACAGGACGATAATGCATGGATATGCCTTCGCAAACAGCATGAACAGGGCTGGTGCCAGAAAAACTGCTACCAGTGTGCCCATAGCCTGGGCGAAGAATTGTTGCTGAGGTGGTGTGCGGAGTAGAAACCCGACCCGGAAGTCGCCCACCAGGTCGTGGGCTTGATTAGCGCCCATCGAGGCTAGGGAGCCGCCGAGGAGGTTCAGGCGCTGTGCATGCTGAACGGGCCAATGCTCGCCTTTCGTAGCGCCACCAAGCACGATCTGCGACGCTTTCGAGGCGGCAGTGAGTGGTGTGATATCCGTTACTCCAGCGCACTGGACTGCCAGAATAGAGAAGAAGAAGGCCAGAAAGATGGCTAACAAGCTCATGCCTACTGGCATCTCAAATCTGTACAGTGGTCAGTCTGGACTCCGCTGTAGCTTCGGTGGGTTACTTGGCTTACTGCACTCCCATGACCACACAAGAGCAAATGATGACAACTATGAGTGGTGGTAGCCACATCCAGAGCTTGACCATCTCGTGATCCGCTGCCGGATCTATGACAGGAGCATCTTCCTTGTGCTCACCCTGCTTCTCGAGAAATGCACTCTTCTTCCCAGTCGCTCGCAGCGCGGCACTGATACTAGAGCAGCAACCGCGCCAGATGGCTTTCGCGACAAAGTAGAAGACCTTGTACTGGAGCCCGAGCTCCGTGAAGGAGACAACAATCCTGCAGTATGGGTTAGCTAGAGCCAAGACTACGTGCTAAGCGCCGAAACGATACTCACATTAGCAGGACACCTGGCCATAGCAGCCAAAAGCGAGGCGAGGGGGTGGCCTTTGCCGCGGCTTTGCCAGCCATACCCGAAAAGCTGACGACGCCGGACCAGTGCTCGTGCATCGGACTCTTTGCACTGTAGACAGTCTGACCGAAGGCCATACCGTTATGGACAAGTGCTGGCCCGATGATACCCCAGGCAAGCACAGACCCGGCAAAGAACGATATGGCCGTGTTCAGGCCAACGAGTACACCAATTCCGATGAAAGCCGGAGTCCACTCGATATACCAGCCCCAGTTCTCTACGGCAAGTGCTAGGTCGTGATGACCCGACCAGATGTAGATCCAGGTAAAGATGTGCCAATCCCAGAGTAGACCCGTAGCGTACTGTGACACAACCCGGAGGACGAATGCAGCTGAAAATGCAATTCCGAGCGCCTTAAGCTTCATCTTGGCGATTAGCTCACCTGTCGCAGCAGCATGCATACTGCGGATCGTCATGGCGGTAGCTGATGGTGTGGGGAAGATGAGCTTGAGCTCTCGTGCAACGTAGATGATGAAGAATTTGCGAAGGGGCGTGGCAAACAGGAAGCCAAAGTAGCCTCCGACCACGGTAAGCGAGATGAGACGGCCAAAGTCTTCCCTGGGTGTGCTGAGCAAGTTGAGTTGGTCTGTACTTCGCCGTTAGTTCCTGCCAATATGGATGTTGTTGACACACTTACACAAAGCAGGTATGCCAGAGATGAAAACACTCGACAGTCCTCCGGCCGCCGTCGCTGCAGTCTGCACGATGTTGTTCTCACGTGGACCGAAAGATCCGCCAAAGATGGGAAATTTCTCCGGCAGGGCACGAGACAGCGACTTGAGGACACCGAAGCCGACGATGGCCCCAAATAGCGAAGCACTAAACGTCCAGCCAGTCTTGAGACCTAGGTAGAGGTTGGAAGCGTTCACCAGAGCACCGCAGATACAGCCGACCAGCATTGCTCGAACGGTGACGATGCGATGGTTTTCGTCCGGCAGATCGTCGAACGGCACGAATGGATCGACTGTGGGTTCTTCGTGCATCTCGGTCTCTTCCATCTCGCCAACATAGCTAGGTCCAGTCTTCTCGTCCAGGGCCTCAGGCTCCGACTCATCTGTGCTGCCATCACGCGAACGGACGTTAGATGGATTGAAGGTGTTCTGCTTCTCGGTCAAGGGTGGGACATCCGGGTTGATGTGACCCTGCTTCGATGTTAGTGACTTTTGTCTTGGATACGCAATCCGAAGCTTACCATTGGCATGACCGGCCGGTCAATGACTTCAGAAACAGACATGATGTCGTCCCAAATCGGCAGTCAGTATACTGTAGAATCAGCGAAGAAACATACGCATTCTCAAGCTCAGAGACAATCAGCAAAGCTACATATTATACTTATGCTTCGTACCCCTCGTGTAGCCGCTGGACCGTCATTGCGTTACATTCTCACATCCCATACCACTCTGATAGTCGCGGTTTGTGGCAATGGCACATGTCTATCAGAAGATCATGGCTGATCCACCACTCACAGATGACCTGGTGGCGATGACAAGCCAGAGATCCGCACGCATTGTCTTGACGCCTGCCGGATCTGGCTAGAGGCGCTGTACTTCCAGCAGCGTTGGAGATACCGAAGTACATGTCCATGCACGGCAGAATAGTAGCTTCAAAGGAGCTTATCGTCGCCAAGTACTTGCAAGATAGCTGCTGACGGTCCTTTGCTTGCATGCTTGGGAGTCAGCTCGATTTCGCTACATAGCTGAGGCAAGTTGGTGAAGCTGCCATACGGGGATAAGACGAGGCCAAAGTCGATATTGTTGAAGGAGCGAGGGATGAATTCCATTTGTGCAGTCCCGGTATTGTGGTTGACGCTAGCCCGATAAGGAAACAGCTTTCAACCCCTCCTTCACAGCAAGAGGGGCAAATCCTCGTTTTCCTCCGCCATGAACCAAAATGCCTAGATCGAGTCTGTCCAATGGAGACTCTTGAGCCTGACATATCTCCTGCGTTTCCAAAGCAGGCAGGTGAATCCACAACCCAAGCTGTTACACGGTATTCCCAAGACGAGCACCCAACGCCGTCGGCATTAGATACTACCCCCTCCTCCCAACCGCCCTCCCAATCAGACTCAAATTCCCCTTCTGCACCCCACTCAACAGTGCCTCTTCAAGCGCGCTCTGCGTGACACTCGCATCCCCATCTAAATCACTGAAACTACTTCCCATACTCGGACTCCCGTCTGAGCCTTCACGGCGGCCTAAGGAGCGGGAGGTAGGGCTGAAGTTCGCGTTGGCGATTTGGGCTCGGTGGCGTGGACTTAGGGGGCCTGGGGGCCGGGTGGGAGGTAGGGTTTGCGAGTCTGAACTTGTGGATGCTGGGGCTTGGGCGGCGGAGGAAGTGGTGGAGGAAGTTGTTGGGGAGTCGGGAGGCGGCGGCGGGTGGGTATTTGTAGCAGCAGATTTGGTAGCAGATGGCCCAGCTGTACCTGTAGCTTGTCTTTGTTTGCTTGGTGCGATGGGCTCGCCACGAGCAGTAGCTTTACTGGCAGCAGCGAATGGGAGATAGCCTCCCTCATCCTCATCTTCATCGTCCTCACCTTCCCTGTCCCCATCCGAACTCACTCGCCTCAAAGCCGCGGACTTCTTTCCAAGCGGCGCACGCTGAAAAGCCTGACTAGCCGTCCTCGATACCGCCTCCACCTCAGAGTCCGACTCAGAAGTCACAGCTCCATCGCTCTCACCAACATGAGTAGCAGTCTTAGCATACAAAAGTTTCGGAAGCTGCCGTTGCGATCCGCTAGATGTCCTCGGCGCTCGCTGGAAAGCTTGTGGTTGTCTGTTGCTGCTAGTCAAGATCTTACTTTGCGTGACAGTCGTCGTACTTGGTGTCCTCGAAATTCCAGGGTGTGTCGAGCGCGGTGTACCCGGCGAAGAGCCGTCACTGCCCAAACTCCCACTTCCGCTTGCACCTGCCGCACCTTGAGCTTTGAGGGTGTTGATGACAGATGGCATCCTGGCGGCAGCACCAGCTTCACGACTAGACTGCCTTTGCATTGCCACACCGCCACCCGCAGGCGTGGTAGAAATGCTTGAGCTTTCCATAGGAGGAGTAGGAGGAACAGCATGACTCTGCCCCAACTTCTGCATCTGCCTCCTCATCCCCTCCAGATGCCGCTCGTAAAGCCATGCAGCCTGCTGTAGCAAGAACGGCAGATCGACCTCGAAGCGGGCGGCGATGTCCTCCCAGTCTAGGTCCTATAAACACTATCAGCATCGTGAAACATTCATTGCTATGATGCCTAGCCAGTAGCTCCTTACAGTGGCGAGGAGGAGTGATATATACCTTGGAATTAGAAGCCAGACTAACAACCTTCCACAACGCCCTATCCTTCCCAGCATCCCACTCCACCCGTGGCGGATCCAGGAACTCGCCCCGTGCAAAGGGGAGGCGAATGTAGCATGTATACTGTACTTTTGGCTTGACAGTAAGAGCAGGCTGTCGAGGTGATGGCGGGGGTCGCGGTGATGGCACTTTGGATGGACGGGGTTCTTGCGTCCCTGCTGCTGCTGCCGTTGTTGTAGCAGTTGAGGTTTGGCGGGAATGAGTTGGTTTTGATGGGGCACGGGAGGAGGATGGTGTGGATGCTTGGGCTGAGGAGGGGGGAGACATTATTACGTTGTTGTGGAGGGGTTTCCTGGAGGGAACATTATTGTGCCAAGAAGCAAGGCAAGAAGTCGAGGGGTGAGGTGTGGGTGAGGAAGCAAGTTTGGCGTCACACGTGATCACGACTAGAAGTGAACATTGGTCATATGCTTTTAACAGCAGACATTCTCGATGGGGCTGAGAAGGACTCCCGGAGCGTCCTTCTAAATCATCTTTCTGCTGGCGAAAAGTTCATGTCTTTGCACGCTATCGGAGAAACAGCACAGGAGAAGGTTGATCATCCTTGCAACCTACGACTGCAAAAGCCACTTCTCGTGCTCATGCCAGAAGCCCACAAGATACGCCCCCAGCCACAGCAATCCACACACCAACGCTTAGATAGTAGTCTCATAAGCAATCGGCGTAATACTCTCTGGCTTATTCTCGCTCGTCTTCACCGTCCTCGCCTCCCGAGGCATCGCCGGCTGCCTCTTCAGCTGCAAATGCACACCCTCCTCCTTCGCCTTGCGCTTCTTGATCCCGTTCTCCTTCACACGTCGGATGAACTCGTCGCGGGATCTCGAGGCGCGGACGTGCTCGATGCGGACGTTGATGCGCTTCTCGATGTAGCGGTTGCCGACTTGGCGGTAGATGATGACGCCGAGGGCGGACTTGGTCACGTTGTAGACGACGCCGGTCTTGCCGTGGTAGACTTTGTAGGGCTGGTGGTCGGAGTGTTAGAGGGTATGTGCTGAGGTTTTGTTTTTGGGGTTGTTCCTTACCATGCCCTTTTGGACCGCACCGTTGGCGACCACATCGACAATGTCTCCTACGCGGTACACCTTCATGTATGTCGAGAGTGGGATCATACCCTTCTTCTTGAAGTCACGGGAGAACGCTGTGCAGGAGAGTTAGTCCATGTTCTGTGCATATCCCCGAGCTCATCCCTCGCCATCTATGCCACAGCCACTCCCTCTATTCTACTCTTCTATCAGGGTGTAGACTCACCATAGCGCGTTCCGGCGCGGAGACCAGCTGGATGACCCATGGCGACGGTGTTTCGAGGCTAGAAGATGGTTTTAGTGGGCGATGTTCGCTGCTCGTAGGAGGTTCGGTCGCATACGTCAAGCTATTGGTGATATGCTGTATCGATTGTCAGTAGTGCATCTGTATGCACCGAGTCTATGTTGCACTCACAGTAGTCTACTCGTCGCTGCTCAATCTTCAATCCATCGGCTTCAGCGTCGCGAAAGTGTGGGTGCAAGAATTCGCAGTCTTGGCGTTTGACGCACGGACTTCAAGCTTTCCGCACCTGAATTTGTTCGACCTGGGACTTCGAGAACTTTGAGATTGACCAGCACGACTGCAAGGCAGCACAATCGACAACCACAATCATGGCTCCGTAAGTCATTGCACTACTGAGAGGTAGTAAGAGCGGTCAGCAATGCGAGTGGTGGATGGCTTTCTTCGAGGTGGCAGGCTGGCGAATGTATGGCGAGCATACGACATGGCAGTGAGGATGCGATGGCGCGACAATTGAGGCTATACCATGGGAGAAAAGCACGGAAGTAGCACACGATACATTACAATCTTGCCGTCACCACCAGATCGACGTGACCTTGAGCCATCCTCCGCCAAGCCTGCCCACCACACCACCAATCGCAAAGCCATGGAACCGCTCTACTACTACGACCCTCCTGTAAATGAGAGATACGCTTACTGACCAAATCACAGCCGCAAATACACCAAGACCTACAAGGTCCCACGTCGTCCCTTCGAGTCGGCTCGTCTGTCAGTACACACCATAGCCAATGGCCACTGAGCGCGAGCTTGTCTCCGCTCAAGTCAAACACTGCCTAACAACCTGCGCAGTGACTCCGAGTTGAAGATTGTCGGCGAATACGGTCTCCGCAATAAGCGTGAGGTGTGGCGTGTCCAGCTCACCCTCTCCAAGATCCGTCGTGCCGCTCGGTATGAAAAACACTTCCATAAGACAATATATGTGGATGGCTTGGCTGATTATATACACAGTCAACTTCTCACCCTCGACGAGAAGGATCCCAAGCGTCTCTTCGAAGGCAATGCTCTCATTCGCCGCCTGGTTCGTGTCGGTGTGCTCGACGAGTCCCGCATGAAGCTCGATTACGTGCTGGCCCTAAAGGTCGAGGATTTCCTGGAGCGCCGCCTCCAGACTTGCGTCTACAAGCTCGGCTTGGCCAAGTCCATCCACCACGCTCGTGTCCTCATTAGGCAGCGTCACATCCGGTATGCATGGAAACGAGAACATGATCTGATATGTTAAAGTACTGATATGTTTCGTGTAGCGTCGGTCGCCAGATCGTCAACGTACCATCTTTCATCGTCCGTCTCGACTCTCAGAAGCACATCGACTTCGCCCTCACATCACCGTTCGGTGGTGGGCGTCCTGGCCGTGTGAGGAGGAAGAAGGCCAAGGCTGCCGAGAAGAAGGATGATGGTGAGGAGGGTGGCGAAGATGAGGAGGAAGAGTAGATCATTCGTCGCTCCATGAGGAAGTAACGAGTGATGGTGCATTTGAGCGTCTGTAGCTCGCTGGCGTAACGGCGATGCAGCGACTTGATATACAAGGTAGCCATTGATCGCAATGTGTCAAGGCATTACTTCACTTCCAGCTCTCTGCAGATCCACCGTTCGCTACCTAGGTCGGCCCTTCCATCTTCTACCCTGCCCATTTAGGCTAACTCCACAAGCATCAGTTGCACCCGCATCTAATGCGAAGCACCTCTACCTCAGCAGGAACATCAACCTTCCCCAGCCCGTCCAGGCTGTGATACAGAAAATCGATGCAGTGTTTACCAAGATTTGATAGCACCGGTGTCATTGATCACGACGGCTTTGGATTTTGCCTGCGACCAATTGAATGAAGAAAGTGCGATGTGACATGTTAATGTCTCGGCAGGTGATCCGTACGCAACGTCGCTCGTAGCTTCCTCTCGAAGGCCTTATCAGAATTCTGCTCCGATTCGACACGTAAGAATACAGCACTTCAGCAAGACTCCATAGACGTGTTGCTGCGGATTCCTGCGACTATGGCCGAGCATGCAGCACCGCCGTCCAAGCGATGCAAGTCAGTAGCACCGTTTCCTGCAGATGTACGAACGGATATTGCTGACTCTGGATGGCCAGACTCGACTACAATGACACTATCACGATTCTCGCTGGCTCGACCGAGACTCCCTTTACCATCCATAAAGACGTTGTCTGTGCCAAGTCGGACTTCTTCGCGGCAGCATACACTGGGAACTGGAGTGAGAAAACTGGGGGAGTCGTCAGACTTCCCACAGTAGAGGCAAACATCGTCAAGATGTACATCCACTGGTGCTACGCCAACACAATCGACGTGAGCCTACTCAGTTCTGTGCATGAGCCAAGTTTTGAGCCAATCGAGGACAAGACTTGCAATCTCCGCTCAATAACACGAGCTCTGATCAGTCTCTACGTCGCCACTGATATGATTCTTGATGACAACCTCAAGGACTGCGTCATGGATGAGATGATGAAACGATACAAGGGAAAGTCCTTGAATTTCGAATCCGGCGCGGTGCAGGAAATGCTGGACACAATCGGCACAAACTCGAAGATGTACATCTTCGTGGTCGACTATTTCGCCCGCTGTAAAGTGCGATGCTCGTCCGTTGAAGATCTAGCCAATTACCCTCCTCTCTTTCTCGCAGATGTTGTAGTGAGGTTCAGTGAAGTTTCGGGCAAGGTAAAGGCAAATGCGGAGCCTGGATCAGAGACAGTATGCCGCTATCATATTTGCTGCAAGAAAGAGCAAAATTGCGCCTTGTGACGAGCACCAAGACTCACGTGGGCTTCGCAAAGGAAGTGAAGCCGATTGCAATACTATGCAGGTCGATGAAAGGGTGAGAGGCTTGCAATATTGGCCTTGAGGTCCTGCAGTCCTGGATGTGGGCTACAATGAGTCAAGTATCAGAGACCCAGCCACCATCAACGACATAACTGCTGCCTGTCACAGCACTGCTATCATCACTAGCCAGAAACAGAATGACATTCGCCACTTCCTTCGGCATCAGGTCACGCTGCAGGCTCTGTGCTGCCATGACTTCCGCACGGTATTCAGGTGTCAGGACTTCCTTGATCTGTCGGTCCGTGGCAATAGCACCGGGCATGATGCTGTTAATTCTGATCCCGTACTTGCCGAACTCTTTCGAGTGGGTGCGTGTGAGACCCATGATTGCTGCTTTGCACATCTGTAGAGGACGTGTCAGATGTTCTCGTCTTGCGGAGCACGAAGGTCGTAGACTTACAGTATATACCGGCAAGCCAACAGCAGGGATACGCCAAGTAATTGATCCAAGATTGATGATGCTCCCGGATCCGAGCTTCTGCATAGATGGCACGATGTACTGTGTCAGGAACATTACATGCCGAAGATTTGTGTTGACGTCCTTATCCCAGAGCTCTGGAGTCACATCAACGGAAGGCACTCTGCTCTTAGCACCAGCAGCGGCCGCATTGTTGACTAGGACGTGGACGGGACCATGTTCGGCTAAAGCTTTGTCTGCGCATGATTTGAGGGTATTCAGGTTACTGACATCGCATTGGTAGAAAGCCGGAGGTAGCAGATCTGGTAGCCATTCTCGTTCTTGATGAGTCTTCGAGTATCGTTCTTCGATGTCTTTGCATAGAGCCGAGATGTCTTCTGCGATGTCGAAGACTATCACTTGAGCCCCTTGGCGGTAGAAGAGTTCCACGGCTGCTGCTCCGATGCCTTCCGCACCACCTGATATCAGTACTGTCTTGCCGCGAAGGCTAGGATATACCGTATAGTCCGCCATTAGTATGGTAGAGCCTGGTGTCGAAATTCGATGATCTTGAGTGTGGGCACAAATACGAGAGCACTCATTGCAAAGGCAAGATACTGATCAAGCGCAGTGGAGAGTGAAGTGGAGGTGGAGATCAGGGTTTGGTGGCTCGTGTTGTATTCTATTTCTTCCGCATTGCACCACATGTTCATCTGCCAGCGAAGATTGCAGTACTGAACCGTCTTCGTATAGTGCTTGGGAACGGCGGCCTCGTCACCGCCGTCTAGTCGCATGCGAGTCTGGACACAATCTGGTTGCAGCACGGCCACATAAGCTGCGCCTATTGTCAACATGAGGGCCACAAGACACGTGGTATCAACAAAGGCCTACTTACAACACGATGCTGCGACACATCACGCAAAAGCAGGCTAGATGAGTAAAATACCATACATACCTCTCAAGGAAGGACACATACGTCTGCTCCGACTCACACCTGGAAGCTGGAATGTCAAGACCATCTTCCGTTTGGAAACATACGACATCAACCAGGTACCGCCGTATTTTGCTCTGTCCTACACATGGGGTGACCCTGATGAAGTCGGAGGCACCATCTGGTAACAGCCGGGCGGCATCCAGGTAGTCGTCACCACAAACCTGTTCTACGGTCTGCACAGGCTGCAGGCAGATATTCACTACAATCATGTGGCATATATCTGGGTAGACGCTCTCTGTATCAATCAGGACGATGTTACTGAGAAGGCCCTACAGATACCTCTCATGCGCAGGATATTTTCTGGAGCGGAACATGTGCTGGCGTGGTTGGAATTCGCCACTCCAGAGGAGGAATTGGCAGTGCAGACTATCAGTGTGCTCTGGCCACAATTAAGCGCTATCAAGGATCCGTACCGTGGTATCGGTAGTTGGTTTGTGAGAATTGATAACGTGGCGCGACTGCTACCACCCGCAGACGATGTATTCTGGTCACGATTTCTCGAGCTTGTAGCAAAGCCGTGGTATAACCGCGTCTGGACGGTCCAAGAGGCATGCGTTGATACGAGTGTGACGTTCCTGATAGGTATACAAAAACACATCAGCCTCCCAGACTTTGTGGGCTTCGTGGCGATGGTTCGAGCTGCTAGAAGTAACGGGTTTGGCTTCCTGTACAACGTCTTGGCATGGAGACCCAGCCCTGCTGCAAGAACGGAGCTGATCAGCAGGCTTGTGTCTAGATATAGCGAGAACGAAGAAAAGCTGCTCGAGGAGATGGAGTTCTTGTCGACGTTCGATCGATACTTGTCGGACCTCTTAGAAGGTGTCTACAATGTCGATCGCCTCCGACACCAGATACTAGGTCCGGATACATCAAGTCTGCGACACCTACTCTTCAAGGCCTTCTATGGTAGGAGTTATTCTGTTCTATCGGATAGGGTCGCTGCGATGGCAGGCATTCTCACCCCAAGCCTGGCTCTAGATGCTTCCTTGGATCTAACCACGAAAGAAGCTTTCATACTGGCATCCCGGAGCTGGTGGCTCCATGATCCGGATCTCACGTTCCTACACTTCGTGGACCCACATAAGAAAAGTAAGTCGCATCCTTCATGGGCACTCGACTTCACACTGCTCAAACATGCTCCGCTGGTGCAACATGGGCTCGACCAGGAATATGGCTACGGAGCTGGTATGATAGCAGATACTGCTACGAGACATTGCCGTAGCGTACATAAGCGGAACAGGACACCTAAGCATCACTGCCGTGTATATGCCAAAGACCTGCTGCAGTGGCGGGCACGCAACATCACTTTCGGCAATTGGGATAGTCTAAGAGTGTTGGCTATCTCAGCTGACCGCCTCAGAGATGTCGGATCTCGCCCTTCATTCCCGCTCGAGCAGCTTCAGTCACTCAAAAGGCGCCACGAAAAGCTGCGAACAAGCGAAAGCGCAGAGCTTATGAAGCGGGCATCAAAATGAATGGAAGAAAGTAGGTCATTTGCCGAGCACGCCTTGGGCCCCCAGCATTACTTCGAGCCATACTGGCGCACTATGACCGCCAACTCACGTTGCTTGGAGCACAACCCGGACCATCAGGCTGTCGACGTGTACTACCAGGATCACAGAGCTGCAAGTTACCATGCGGTCGTTCATGCATTGGCCGCTTCTGACGCTGCGGCATTGGCTGCTCCGGCCGATGATGCGCGAGCATACTATGAAGACATTTCCAGTGCTAGCGCCATCAGTAAGCTAGTGGCTACAGCGAATGGAAGGCTCGGTTTAGTAGCTAGAGGAGATGTTGGTGATGAGGTAGTGGTCTTTCAAGGTGCACGTACTCCATTCATACTTAAGTCTACAGGACAAGGCGATCACTGGTTCATGGGTGAGGCGTACATTCACGGTCTCATGCGCGGAGAAGTCTTCGATGAAGGGAGTGGTGCGAGTTTGAAGACGTACATGCTGGTGTGATACACAAACTATAACCTTGATCTGAACCAGCCAGAGAATAATGACCGGACCTGCGGCTTGGGCAGGTACTGCTCGATCTCGGAGGTGTTGAGGTAGGACATATCGCCTCTTGCTTTCTCGAGGTTGGTGACGCCACATAGTCGCATTGCTGTCTCGAGCTCGTCTTGCAAGACTATACGAAGGTCAGTGGTTGTGCTAAAGCAGGTCATGCATGACTTACTCTCTGCGCAAGATTCGACACCCTCCTTGTTATACATGACCGAGCACTGGAAGGGTCGGCCGACACCAACACCTCTAGCACCCAGACAGACGGCCTTTAAGATGTCAGATCCTCTTCTCACTCCGCCGTCAACGAACACTTCAATCTTTTCAAAAACCTCTGGACAGTCTCGTCTCATCTCTAGCAATACTAGTATCGTAGCTGGTGCATTGTCAAGCGCACGACCACCATGGTTGCTGACGACAATACCTTGACAGCCCAGCTGCATAGCCAGCTTGGCGTCTGCAGCTGATTGGATGCCTTTCACCACGATTGGTAGCTTGGTATGCTTTCGTAGCCATGCCAGATCGTCCCATGACAAAGCCCAGTCGATGAAGGATCCAGTCGTACGGGCCAGACCGCCACCTTTCTTGTCAACTTTGTTTTTCTCGCCAGAGAGATAGAGAGAAGTGACTTCTTGCGTTCGAATACGCTCGTCTGCTTCTCGCTTGGACACAACAGCCAGATCCACCGTCACAAACAGCGCTTTAATCTGGTTGTGCATCTCGATCTTTTTCAAAATCTCCTCGGACTTGTGCCGTTGCTTGTCGACGTACAACTGGTAGAAGAAGGGATTGTTAGGTGCCGCGGCCAGGATGTCCTCAAGTCCATACGATGCAGTTACAGAAGTGCAGTGAATGATGCCACTCGCTGCCGCTCCAGCCGCGAGAGCGGTCTCACCTTCTGGACCTGCGACTTTTGCGATGCCCATTGGACAGATCCAGACTGGCATTTTGACCTTCTGACCTAGCATGGTCATCTCGGTGTTGATAGTGGAGACATTACGCATGATCCTAGGTCGGAACCATAGTTTCTGCCAGTACGACTTGTTGGCATTGAGCGTTAGCAGATCATTCGATGCACCCGAGATGTAAGCATTGGCCTTCTGAGCGCCGAACTTGTTGAAGGCCTGTTCGAAATCGTTCAGATTGATGATGGTCTCAAGTAGTGGTTTCTGCTCCGGATCCGATTGAGTGACCGATGACTGTTGTTGAGCGTCCTTCCATTCTTTGGTGACCGTGGGTTCGTCTAATACACCCTTCTTCTCGGCGTCGGAAAGACTTCTTTCGATGAGATCTGCGGCATGGTATTGGTTGTATGTCTCGCTGCCATCCTTGCCTGCTGAAGTGTAAAGTGCTTGATCTCGTTAGTCAGTCGTCGAGCTATGCGATGATTGTACATACCATCCGGGCCCCCAGGATGCTCCGGTGCGAACTTCGACAGATCGTACACTTTACCATTGACCACGATCCAGAGGTCATCGGGATTGTTATGCTTGGAAAGCTCGTCGACGGAAACCCTTCCAGACATGTTGATGGCGCAGTAGACTGTAGACCTTCCTTCCTGCCTATTATCCGCTTTCGGGGTGATTAGATTCTCTTCTTGATATCCCACATTAGTCTTGTGTATTCTCGGTGAGGCCACTTCTGTGTTATGTTCTCATTCACTAGACCGCGGATTATCCCCGCATAAGTGGCGTTCAGAAGCCGAGGATAAAGTGGGTCATTGCTGAAGCGAGAAAGCTTATGAGCAGCACATTCGAGGAGGTCTGACGTTCCCGCCTGTTCGTTCACACTACAAAAGCTGTGCAAGGCACGACCGACTCCCAACTATTCCCTTGGAGCATTGATACAACCCCCTATCTGTACTCAATATCATTGGACCTTATATACTACATCCTTGACGCGCTCACATGCTGGAGGCCAGAACGAAGATCGATTCATGCGTCTCCGCCTGCGTGCTCAGCTGTTCGACGCCACCAATTTGTAGTTGCCGGCGTTGGCCCTCCTGCGTCCGGCAACACACTCCATGACCGCAAGCAAGAGATTGACCACAGCTGTAACGAACAAGATCCAGCTTAGCACAATCGTCATATTACATTTCTAGTGCCAACTGCGCGATCGAACACATCTCCGGCCCCAATGCACCTCTAGATACTGTCATAGGGGTCAGCATGTCATCGAACGCAAGTGCTGTGGACACCGTTACTTACTACCGCCAAGCCGAAGTATATTATTGACCATGCGAAGTCAAGCAGAGCAACAAGCCAGAATACCATGAATGCGAACACCGCCTGATTGATAACAGAAACGCAGAGGCCAGCGAGCGCAAAGGTAAGAACCATGACATAGTGTGTATTGAATTGGTTCCAGATCCAAGCGTCCGTGGTGAGCACGCGGCCGGCGATCCCAACGATTATGACATGGAATGCCAGCTGAAGAAAGCGCATGGCTGACATTGCGAATCGGAGCTGCTTGTTCGTCTTGTTCGTTATCGCAGACCCGCTCCTTGCTGATGTTGGATGGTGGTGGGCAACGACTTTCGAAAAAGAGGACGACGACTCTGGCTTGGGGAGCAAATCGGCTTCTTCATCACCATCGTCGCCGGGGTCGTAGTCGGATGGGTTCCGGAAGATGGGATCTTTGAAGTGGTCGCGAAGGAGGGAGCCGTCCATCGAGACCATCGACATTGGCCTCTGGACGTATGCGGTACCACCAAGCGTGGCGGACTCTGGTCGGTCCAGCAGAGGGTATGAAGATCTTGAAGGCATGATCTGAGTCTTGCGTGAAGAACAACCACAACTCGGGGATGAAAAGATTTGCGGAAGCAGAGGTGAGTGACTGATACCTGGTCCGCTGATGGGAGGCTAGGAGACCATGATATGGTCGCACTCGTCCGTAGCATAACGATAAGCTTCTACCTGCTTGCAAACGCACAACAAACTCATGTAGATCATTGTGTTCCAGAGTACTGCGGCTTAGCCGCCATGAGGTTGGTCAAATCAAACATTCACATCATGCACCGTGCGAGCTTTCGAAATCCCAGCACTTCCCTCTGCTTGTTGGAGCACTGGAAACGCATGTACTACGAGCCGCCGTACCCTTTACAAGCCCCTGTAATCTGCGACTACACAAAGGTTGAGTGGTCAGAATCCCACGCCACCATCCATCAATTCCACCGGTCTGTGCTAGTGGTCATAGAGTTCAAAGCAGGCCCCGAGAAACAATTTGAGATGATATAAGCAGGAAATAATGCGCCGTGGTGTGACTCAGCTAGATTTGATTGAGCAGGAGGTAGTGCCCACGGACAGTTCGTCCTGTTCACACAACGCACATGGACATCCCACACCTGCTCGGCATAGACTCACAGGAGATTCTTGCTACTCTGAAACCGGAGCTCGAGACCGCAATGCAATATCATTCAATTCAACCGACCAACGCGATCGAAATCACCATCTCTTGAGGTTTGTTGGTTTCGTAGCAGCCAACTGGACTCAAGCTGGAAGGCTAGAGTGGACATTGACACGGAGTGCATAGTGCAGCGTCCCTGAAGCTTGTTGACCGCCGTGGCGCAGAGCCAATTGGCAAAATGTCTTGGCGAAGGATTTCGGGAGTGATCGCAATCCTTGCGGCACATCGGAGTCCGAGCAGGACGAACCACTCATCAAGACGTCGACACGCCTGCCTGATATCACAGCAGCCCATTATCATGCACACGTAGCAGTCAGCCACGGCGATAGTTCCAAAGGGACGAATTGGTATATGTGTCGCAGTGCAAGACCTCCGACGACCACCACTTTCTGTCAGGTCAGTACTGCGGTCTGAGAGCACGAACCGCAGACCTCAAAGGACAAAATCAACACCGCCGAATGAATACCGCGTCACTCGAGATTTCTCCGATCGAGGACAATGGTTTAAGCAGCCAATCCTTCGGTGTTGGTGGCTGGAACCTTGTTTGTTTGTTAGCCGCCATCCTGCCAGTATCCATAGGCGCCCTTGCCATTCCATGTTGTGCAGATCGACCTTGCTGTAGCCCACATACGATCGACATGAATACCAAAAGACCTAGTGTTTCATCCAGCGCCTTCGCAATTTCCCGCCAACAACTTTTGTCCGTCTGGGCCTCCATCGCTGCTCGAGAAAGGTAGTATATCAGGTGTGAGGCCTGATGCGGCTCAGTACATCTATCCACATTCCTTTCAGCTTTCCTTCCAAGTTCTCCATTCTACAAGATGCATTTCTTAACCCTCGTTATCGGACTCACTCTCGGCTGTGCCATAGCTGGTCCTGTACGCCCAGCTGGGGTTATCCTCCCCATCGAGACTCCTGCTCCTCCATTTCCCACAATTGCACCGAGCGTTGCCACGAAAGCTCCATATCTTCTCCCGAGATCAGCCTTCTCAACCACGTTCCCAGTAGAGACCATCACAAAGGTCAGCGGAGAAATTGGTGCCACTGTCACTGGCTGTACAGTTACTACCATCTCTGCGCACGTTGCAACCTTAACGTTCAATTCAACCAGCACTACGACCGACTCCGATCCTGGACGCTTCCAGTGTATTTGCCCTAGCATTGATCCTTCGGTCATCGTCGACGTTTTCACACAGTGGGACCATGTCGGCAATCCGGGCGAGCCTGTATGTCACAGATGGAGCTCTCAGGATCAAGAGCAGAACGCTGACAACTTTCCTAGACCGGATCGTACTGTGGATCAGCAATCCTGCCTGTTTCGATACAGACTGCACCCTATGCCTCACCCAGCGCCGAACCTTCCAGTGCAGTCAATGGCGCTGTGAGTTGTACATACTGCTGATGGTATGGTGTAATCTCGCTGATAGCAATCCCAGTGGGCCAACGTATCATGCAGCGAGGGCGGCGCCTTCGCTTCCATTACCAACGATCCTCTGTGGCAATGGAACGTTGCTGGTACGGAAGCCGCGTGGAACGAGCTGGTCGCCGATTATGTCTCGAATGCAACGAATGAGCTCGCATTCTCCGACTTCCTTGCCGACAGGTTCCACGCTCCTCGAAACCCAACGTGCGATAAGGTCGGTGATGAGTTCTGTAGTTCGACTATCGGCTGTGGTAGCTGGCTGTTCCACAATGCCGACGTAAACAGCCCTGCCGGCTACATGTCAGTCCTTGTTTCTCTTAGATGTAGTCATCTTTTGCTAACGCAAGTATAGTCTTTACAACTCCATGGTGTATCTACACCGAACAATCAGTGTGTTTAGTAACAGCATAATCCAAGCGCAAATCAATGTAAATGGCTTTGCTGGTAACATTGCCGGTAAGTTCAGACCCGGTATCTGATTCGCAGCATGATTTTGACGACTCCAGGCACATTCTCGGGCGTCGAAGCCGAAATAGCCGAAGAGCAACAGCAGAAGCTTAATTACGACATCATACAGCTGGTCCTGGGCATTTCGCTCAGTGTCTTCTTTGAGAAAAATAACGACACACAAGCACCGCCACGGAACAAGCGAGTCTAATCTACTGCACAGGCTTGCCATCGACTCCCTTCTTCAAAGGAGGTGATGACGCAGAAGGAGCTGCCCTACGAGGCTCGGATCTGGGGACCGTCCCCAGTGGTATCCAGAACGCCGTCGACCCTGTTGTGAGCGTAGTCACATCGAACAAACTTGATCCCGGAGTGGGGCAAGACTGGACAACGGCTGCAGTCAGTATCTCCTTTCCCACCACAAGCGAACAATCTGACCAATGTGATCTGATCTACAGATATTCGGTGCATTCGCCTACGTCAAAGACGAGATTGCCTATCCAGCACAATCTCACGACATACATCACATACCTCGCAAACGTCGTGCAGAATGCAACTCAGTTATATGCCGAGGGCCTCTTCAACGATCCCGGCAACCTCTACACCGTCATCCAGCAGGGCCATGTATTTGGGAGCCCTATACGAGAGGAACCAGTCACCATCGCCGCAGAGTTGACCCAAACGTTGCTGGCCAATACGCTCCCTTTTGGTAACAAATTATTCAATCAAGCGACGTGTATTTCTCGCTGACAGATTTCGTTCCTCTAGCATGGAGCTCAGCTCGTGACTCGTATACTGCAGTGTTCATGGCGTAGGTCGTGCCCGCAAGTCTGTTCAAAGGATCACACTGATGCGGAAATAGTGATGCCAATGGTATCCCAAACGTTGGCGGAGGCTGCCACGGTTACCAATTGGCCAATGCTAGCGGCCTCAATTGTGGCGTCGACACCGACAATTTCCTTTGTGTTAGCGTTGTCAATGTCAATTTCACCAAGACACTGTGCTGTGATGGCGAAGATGCCTACTGTAAGTCAATGATTCCAGCGTCGAACCGCCTGCAATTGCTGTTGCTGATCACGATCAGGGTTGTTCTCGGCCACGACGGGCGGCAACCCGGTGGGGCAGATGGAGTTATTAATCAGTACGCCTGAAGGCTGGGACACTCTCGATGGGCAGAACTGGGCGGGCTTAACGCAGCAGCAGTTCCTGCAGACGTGAGGCAACTCCGAGACCCCAATCAATGTTTCTGATCCTGGTTGCTGACAGCATGCGATTCAGGGCCGTCAACACCTGGAAAACAACAAAAGACGTAACGGAGTTTTCGATGATAGCTTCAATGATGCCAGCTGTAGGTTGTCCTTTGTATTGCACAACATTACCTCAAGCTGACAGCTGTGTTACAGTCATCTCTGCCGTTGCTGCAGGAGATATCACGAGTAAGTGGAGAGAACACACGATTTCGCACAAACAACATTGACAAGTTCTGACTATTATCAGTAGACGTGCCAGGCCTTGCCTTGGTACCAATCTGTACCCTTTTCGAAGCCGCAGTAATTGCATCCAACGATCCAGGAAACTCCGCGAACAACCCGACATGGCCGTGTCCGCCGCCAGATCCAAGCAATGCTTTGCCTCCAGCGGTGACTTCGGCTTGCGTAGCACATGGCCTACCCACGAACTGCTAGCAAGGTTTCTTGGTCAGACCGCTGTATCGTTGAGAAATGAAAAGCTCAAATTTGGTAAGGCAGTTCCGGATCTGGAGGAAGGAGTCGCAGGTGGGACAGAATGACTAGTCAGGCAGACTGAATTCGCGGGATACTGCTCGTGGTTCTATTCGAAGCGCTTTAATATAGCTGCGCCCGTTCATTTCAAGCATCTTACAGGCAATCGATTGATATAGCAAAAATAAATGATTGGTCCAAGGGCCCTGGAAATTCTGGTTGCTGTCACATGAGGAGAATGTTTCCAGTGTCTGCAGGCATCCTAACGGTTTCATGAGAGACCACCTCACTGATGGACAGTGCAAACATGTATCAATGACTCGCTGCACAGCTAGTCCCGTGATTGGTACACCGCGACCGTCTTCTCTTTTACCCTCGAGTCGACCCCTGGCAGCGGCATACACAGCGTCTCTACACCCGCCGCCGCTGGGAACATCTCCCGTCGTCAAGAGGACTGGCGTGATCAGACCAATTGTAACGCAGATAGGCTGCATGGTGTCGAAATTTCACTGATGCAAGCGGCGCAAAATTCTGATGCCTCAGGCTCATCGGTCGGGTTTTGATTCTGAACGCCCTTCACACTTCGTCCCAGATTCCCAAGATTACTCTTTTCGTAGGCATCGGCGTACATCCTGCCATCCAATGACGTCCCTGCACAGAGTTCGCGCATAGACGCGCTGCTATGAAACTACGACATCGATGCACGCTCTGGCCAAGATGGACCTTGATAGCGTACCGGGCTCCTTCTGCTATGATTCAGAGCCCGACGCAGTGAAGCATGAATCTACGACCGATACGCAAATCATCTTGCGTGGGTATCCTACTTAAGTATAGCAAGTCAAAGGTACAGCACAACAAGCTCTCTCATTTATCGACCACTGCAACAAGTACACTGCCAATGTGCTAGCGACCATTCCGATATACGAGATGGCCGACACACTAAAAGATAGTCTGTTTGCAGCAATCGTGCGAGTTGCCAGTGGTCGTCGATTACTGAGATTTGAAGATGAGCATGACGAGAAGAAGCGCGATGAGTATTTGTACGGCCGCCACTCCACTTTCACCAACGGTGCCACCCCGACACCTCAGAGTAGCTCGGACACGACACTTACAGACCATGCAATCCCGCCAACGGATCCGGACAGAGCAGAGAAGGGCGAGAAAGCTTTGCTTGTTGAGTGGCTAGAGGACGACCCTCACGTAAGGACTGTGATAGCTTATACCACCGTGCCCCTACTGATAGTCCCGTCTATCACAGAACCCACTCAACTGGTCTGCTACGAAGAAGACTTTCGTCATGTTCAACATCTGCTTCCTGACGACCTCAGTGTACATCGGCTCTGCCATCTACACAGCTGGACTTCAAGGAGTGATGGAGCAGTTTCACATATCACAGACCGTGGCCATCCTGGGCTTGACTTTATACGTTGCTGGGTATGGTCTTGGGCCGATGCTATGGGTGAGTCGCTCCTGATACGCCGTCGACCTATACTCGTAGCATCTCGAGCATCTGCTAACGGAATGTCCTTCGCAGGCACCCATGTCCGAAGTACCTTTTTTTGGCCGCAATCCAATCTATGTTGGCACTTTGTTCGTATTCGTTGCTCTCAATTTCGGTGTCGTCTATGCCAAGAACACTGGCATGCTGCTTGCTTTCCGTTTCTTGACCGGCTTTTTTGGATCTCCAGTTCTGGCTACCGGCGGCGCCAGCATTGCCGACCTCTACAAGCCAGCCAAGAGACCATACGCGCTCGCCATCTATGGCATGGCAAATGTTCTGGGCCCCGTCCTAGGTCCCTTAGTCGGTGGCTTCGCCGCTGAAGCGAAGGGTTGGAAGTGTAGGTAGATGGTCTCACAGATGCCAACGTCAATCGCTGACACGGTGCTCCATAGGGACGATCTGGGAGCTCATCTGGCTATCCGGAACTGCTCTTGTCTGGCTGTTCTTCACGCTTCCGGAGACTAGCGCGGGCAACATACTCTACCGCCGCACAAAGCGCCTCCGCAAGCACCTGCCAGCAGGCGTCGAAATCGAATGTGAAGCCGAGATTGAGGCAAGACTGATCACGCCTCGTGAGGGGCTGATGATGACTTTTGTTCGGCCGTTCACGCTCACATTCTGCGAACCAATTCTGCTGGTCCTCAATCTTTACATCGCTCTGGTCTATGCACTTCTGTACCTGTGGCTCGAGTCGATACCGCTGGCCTTCGAAGGAATTTACCATTTCAGTCTTGGTCTCACTGGAGTCGCTTACTCTGGACTTTTGGTCGGCGCAATCATAACGCTTGTGATCTTCTTCGTCCACTATCGCTGGCGTGTAGAGCCACAGTTTGACGAGAACGGTGATATTCATCCCGAAGCTCGACTTACCATCGCCTTTGCGGGCGCCTTCGGCCTGCCTATCTGCCTGTTCATGTTTGGCTGGACCGCAAGACCGGACATCCATTGGATAGTGCCTATCATAGGGACTAGCTTCTTCTCTTTCGGAGCCTTCTGCCTCTTCATGGCGGTTTTGTCGTACATTGGCGATGCATATCCGAAGTACATTGCCTCCGTCTACGCTGGCAACGATCTCTTTCGGTCTGCATTCGGTGCAGCCTTTCCGATCATCGCAGGTCCCATGTTCCGCAAACTTGGGCTCGACTGGGGCAATAGCTTGCTAGGCTTCATTTCGATCCTGTTCATCCCAGCGCCTTTCATAATCTACTGGAAGGGTCCTGCAATACGTCGGAGAAGCAAGGCCGCGCGCCATGATATATGATGGGATTCTAGTGGGACAGACCTGAATCGATGGACGTGAAAAAGTATGATCTGTGGTTGTTGAAGAGATGTAGACCAGATTTCAGCTTCGATAGATAGCGAGGTTGCGAACAGCTCTAGATAATAGACGTAATAATCTAGTAAATTTCGATCATGTCATGGTAGTAATCATAACACCCACAAAAGCTGGCGAATATAAGCCTGTGTCTTGATCTTTCATGTCTCGGCATCGGTGATAGATTTTAAACTTCGTGTTCATGATGGTGGCGCTGTGACTCGAACTTGGCGCGTTCTACATCCATCTTATACAAAGACATATACCATCGCCAGACTACATCGCGCCATCTCAGTATCGATGCAGATGGACCCGCCGCTATTGGCCTGTCAAAGGTGCACTCGTCTGAAAATTAAATGCTCGAAGGAGACGCCGACGTGCGCACAGTGTGAGAAGTCCAGCGCTCAATGTGTACCGACAATACGCATGCGCCGGCCTCGTGGTCGCCAAGGAGGTCGCACATCGAAGGAGACACAGTTATTGGCTCGTATCGAGAAGTTGGAGACCTTGCTCAAGCCCGATCATGCGCAAGAACTTGCCACTGCTCCAGCATTTGTGAATGGAGATCTTGGCTACGCTTTAAACGACAGGTCTATGTCAGAGGCCACGACTACATCTAATTGCGCGGATGCGATATCTACTAGCACTACGCGAGAGCATCCAACAGCCACTTCTCGATCACAGGTCCTACTTGGGTCATCATTGTTCTCTCAGCTGAGCGAAGAACTTGTCGGGATTCGTGACATTCTCGAGGCCTCACCGGAGAGTGATGATGCGCGGAACACACTCATCAATGGTGCAGAGAATGGTAGTCCTGGCGAAGGAATTTCGAACACTACCATACATCTGTTTGCCGCAGCTGCTGGTGGCCATAAGAAAATGCTAGTACCATCAGCCTCCGACACGAATTACCTCTTGGGTATATTTGAGCAGAGAGTCCATCCGGTCGTCCACGCTGTGCACCTTCCTACTTTCGTGGCAGGTATTCGCTCGAGCCTGTTGGATCTTGGAGCTTGGTCATATGACCGACATGCTGCGGCAGCTCAGGTTGCAGCTTTTTACGTGAGTATCGTGGCACTCACCGATACTGAATGCATGCAACGATGGGGTGTGCCACAGGTGAAGCTACAGATGCAGTGGCGGCAAGATGTGGAGCAGCAGATCGCGGGCTCTAATTTCTTGGTTTCCGAGCGTTTGGAGACGCTTCAGGCACTTATATACTATCTGGTCCGTCGCGCTGTCTACTGTTGGTCGTGCTAGATACTGACTCATTCACAGGTAGGTACCCGATCTTTCGACAGGTCAAGAGCCGTGTGGACACTCCTCCCTGTAGCAATCCGTATAGCACAGGCGCTGAACCTCCATCGTGAAGAGCACTATCGACACCTTCGTCCGCTTGAGGCACAGCTGAGACGTTGCATATGGCACTGCCTGGTGCTAATTGACTTCGAGTCGGCCATGGATCGCGGTTCGGATGTCGTTGTCAGTGAACGTGGAACCAGCACGAGGCCGCCGATCAATGCGAACGACTCTTGTTTTCACGACAGTCTTGACATCTCACCAGCTCCGCAGTATGGCTATACTGGGTTATCGATCTTCCTGATCGAGTCGGAGTGTGCCGTGCTGGCAAGGGTGCTGAACTTTGTTGAGGTAAGCATTCTTCGACTATGGCTGGATGAATGTGCTGACATGAAAGCTTAGCCAGCAGACATGGAACGCGCCCCTACAGCAATGCAGTACGACTGCCATGCCAGGAACGAGGCAGTTACCAGACAAGAAAACATACTCAAAGGGTACCTTGGTGCTCCTGGAAGAGGACTCGAAGATTCCACTGCTCAGAGATTAGCACGGACCATCATATCCTGCATGCGGCTTTATGTTGTAAGGCCTCTGCAGCGCCATCCTGCTATGAAGGCGCCGAGGATCGCCGAGATCGACATTGTAGGCCTTGCTGTGGAGACCCTTGGCTTCACGCTGGAGTTGTATAGAAGCTCACATCCATGGATGTGGTACATTCGGCAGTTCAACAATTGGCATCCTCTGGCTGTGTTGTTAGCAGAGCTGGCAGTCTCGCCGAATCACAAGCATCCTGAGGCATGGACGGTCGCTAAAGAGGTGTATGCAGAGCTTAGTAGGACGGTAGCTGAGGGAGTTGACGGTCCATTGTGGCTTCCGGTTGCGAAACTTATGCGTGCTGCGGAAGCCCGCCAGAAGGCAATGGAGGAAGCTACCTACATCACAGGCATTGGGTATCACGACTCCACAACAGTGGGAACGGTAGATGAGATGGCATCAAATCAAGTTCCTATGGACATGATGATAGATGCCGAGGATGAAATACAGCCGTGGAGTTATTGGGAAGCCTTCATCGGTGATATTGCGGGAGCCGATGATCCGTTCTGGCCGCTGAAACCAGCATGAGGTTATTTCATACGATAGGCAGATGAACGAAGGCGTAAATAGCGTTCACATATGGGTCTCCGTACTACACTTATGCAGAATAGATAGACAGATTTGGGAGTCCAGAAGAATATCCCACTTTCCCCTATGTTCTAGCGCTACGTGACTAAGCCGGAACAAATCAATCGTCTCATGCTTTTTCTCTCCACTTTAACTTCACTTCACTTTGCACGACTGCAGCATACATGTAAACACACCCACGCAACACGATCGCACTGATTGCGGGTCCGTGATCTTGGTTCGATTGCTCATCAACATCATAGGCAGCAGTTTCGCTGGCGAGTATGATTGTCAAGGCCAGCGAGACAACATTGCATCCTGTGCGCGCCCTACCCTCCGTAATGCCTCGTGATATCAGACATATTACGCATGTTCCTTGTCTACTGCTGCAAGACAATCTGCATGTTCGTGGCATTGCACTGATGGCAAATAACATGTGCAGCTGCAACAGCAACGCAGTCCTGCGACACGCACCTTCCACCTATCGCATGCGGAAGGTGCGAGCTACTTGGCGTGCCTTCCTTGTGAGTGTTAAACGGTTATTCCCTAAAGATGGCCTCATACAACCTCGAGAAATACTCTTACACCTACACTAATGTTGGCCGTCCAACCTTGTCTGATAATGCTCTGATCGTCCACTGAGCTGCTACAACTACACAACCAACACAGCAGCAGCCAGTCGCTTGACCGGAGGAGTTTATCTTGCTCGTACCGACCTCCTTGTTTCTCAACGTCACTGCTTTCAGCTTGCCACAAGCGACTGCGTTTTCGACAGCCACAAAAGATATCTACTCACCATCACAACAGCGGCTTCCTGCTGGCACTCCTCAACCACCCACGAGGCATAACATCTCAACAAGGCGCTCGTCTACTCGGACTTCCCACCACTCTTCGGACACCTCCACCGGATCTCCCTCCCTGGCCCGCTGCAACTGACCGACTGCCGCCGCCACTGCCGCTAACACACGTACCGAAAACAGACTTATAGCCGTCGCGAACATGTCAAACGCAGGATCGAGTGGTAGGACAGTCATGTCTCTCGCAGAAGCTAAGCTCGCTCGGCAAAATGCACGCATTCAGCAAGCTGAGGCAGCCCTGACCGCTCCTCTAATAGGCAAAAGGAGCGAACTTGATCGTGGCACACTTACTCAGCCAGCAGCAAACAAGACTTCTGGGATAGCTGCAATGACACAAAATCGAAAGGTGCGACCTCGCTCGCACTCGCTTCAAGTAGTGACACCAAAGCACTGATACTTTTGTCAAACAGGCTCCAGCATATGGTGCATCGGAGCCAGAAGTGCGCATTAACACGTTTCGTGCTCAACCCCGCGACTCATCGCTGAGTCGATCTATGTCAAGTCTGTCGCAACGCACCGCTGCCACTCATGTCTCAGATAATACACCACTGGACAACAGTGGCTTTCAGGTGTTCACCGGCCGTCGTGCCAAGAAGCTGTCCGGACAGCTGAACGCCTACGAAGACAAACCCGAGCAAAAGCAGACGACCGTCGAAGCTCCAGTCGACACCCGCGAGATTTATGAAGTCTTCGGCAACGCTCTACCTGGCACTGATTACATCCAACAAAACCTTGGCGCGAAGAGTGGTCAGCTGCAGTTTTTACAGCATCCTAACGGTGATGTCTCCGCTCATCAATGGTCGATGGACCGCTTCCTGTGGGAAAACATCGGCCAGTTCTCAAACATACGCAAGAAGACTGAAGGCTTGCTCGCTGCCGATCGGCTGAGGGGTGAGACTGCTCAACAGACTCTTCAGCACAATTCACTTGCATACTTTCAAGCGATCGCTAAGCAACACGAGGCAATGAGCATGGGTCAGCACTTTGACGCGGCGGATATGCTGGGACATCTGACCAGACTGAACAACGATGAAGGTGGTGTGGAAGGCTCCGCGCACGACAATGCACGAACGGAGCCAGGTCCCACAGCAACCCCGTCAGAGTCGTCTCAAAGCGCACAAACCTCATACGAGGTAGCCTCATCCTCACAGCATCATTATGGCGTGCCGCAGCAATACCACTACCCAAGCTATCCTCCCCATGAGATGCCTCCTGCGTATACGGGATACTATCACCCAGCTTACGGCAACTACGGCTCGAACTATGGCTTTGGCTACCACACTTGGCAGCCGGGACAAATGCAGTACAACTCCCGCGCAGATCGCTACAGTAACAATTTCTTTGGTGGTAGAGGCTTGACACCATCGCATGATTCAGTCTATGCTCAAGAGGCCATGCGCCACATCATCAGCGAGATCCCGTCGCATCAGGTCACATACCCTAGCAGAGCTGCACACATTGCCAGCGCATCTCAAGCTCTCAATTACGACTACCACTTTCCACCTGTCGAGTCGACAGCACAGCCTTGTCAACCACACAATACGCGCAAAGCTTCGTTCCAGCAGGCTGTGGAGCAGCATCTAGCTGCCACCATTACAGGTTCGGATACATCACGAGCTCCGGCCTGTGGACCGCCGTCTGATCCTCACCCTCGACTACCTAGGAACAGCGGGCAATCTCATGCACCTCCACCACCTCCCACCTTCCGATACAATACTGATTATGCAACGCCATCGAATGTTGAGGCAGGCAATGTCCGTACGAAGATGCGTGAGCATCTCGCCAAGCTCAGCGATCAAGCCAAGGAGCGGAGTATAAGTCAAAGCAACATACGCACGGTCTTGCACGATCCATTCCGCACGGAAGGCGAGGATACGCTGCCTCAGATCGTATCAAGGCCTCAGCCCGACAAGAACACTGTGTTGGAACTGAAAAAGACTGTTGCCAACCCTAGTGGTCTGCCACCTCGTCTCTTCGAATCGGCTGGTAACGAAGGCGCGGCGCAGCGGCTACAGACAAGAAGCGTGGAGAGTACTGCCATTGCGGAGATCGCGAAAACTCATAGTAGTCCGGAGTCACGATGGAGCAGACAGGAAACGGACGTGACGCCACAGATTTCGAGCGGATCGCGAAAACTGCACGGTCCATCACCAAGACCCGAAGGATACACCGGCCATACTATGGAAGAGCTTACGAAGTACTTCGAAGCAAAGTGTCTGGACGAAGTTGCCGAGCAACCGACCAAGAAGTCATACGAGCGACGTGTCAACGATTGGTGTCTGAACGGCAGCACGTTTGCTCGACATGAAGAGCTCTTCAACACCATCAAGGCTGCGGATGCAGCAGTCGAGGATGTACTACCAAGCAAGACACCGTCGCTTCTCGCACCAATTGGTACGCCGGCCAGGAAGGACTCTACTCAGGATAGTGTCACAGTCACCGCGCAGCAGAAATGCGATGCCCATACCCGCATGCTCATTCCCGTCTGGGAGAACTTGGCTTCGTACGTCCAAGGTCCAGCAGAGAAGCGCCGCGGTTACTTCTCCCAATGGACGCAGGCACCCGAGTGGGCGATCGATCATAACGACAACACCACATTCTTCGACAACAACTGGGGTCAGCCGCCACTAAGGATTGGGTGGGACCCCAGGTATCGACAGGTGCAGTCTGAGTCTACACCAGGAGGCGATGTGTCGGACGGAGGTAGGCAGGGGGTTGAAAGTGTCAAGTTTGGCGGTTTCAGCAGTCCGACTGCGAAGGTGGGAGATAGTTTGGCTGTTGGTGCGGGCTCGCCGGGGAGGTTCGCTTCTGGGAGGATGTGAATGGTGTTAATGTTACCAATGAGGAGATGGAAGGCTTTAATGATCGAGAAAACACGATGGCAGTGAGGCTGCCGAAAAGTGATGGGTAGGGCGCAATGCGATGAAGTATCTTGGGTCTGTGGCGATCGAGTGTCCGATTGCTTACTGAAGCCGTCTCTCAGCAGACAAGATAGACGTACACAGTGAAGTACATAATCCCAGACAGACTCAAAACCGCCTCGTAGGCCCCAGTATTCACCGTGTGGCAGATTTATCGTGTAACTCTTTCGCCATTGATTGAAGTCCAAGAAAAGGTGGTGTCAAGGACATTATTGTACATTAGGCCATTCGGCCAAAGGTAATGCGGACGCTAGCGGAGATGCCGTTGTAGATATGCTCGGGTCAGACAACATCATTGATCGTAACGAGCATCACAACAATCATGGCCGCCCCTCTCCGAACATCACTGCGCATAGCAGAAACCTCGATATGTCGACGATGCGCTGGCCAACCAACCCGACGAGCCATGTCATCCATCACACAACCACGCAAACCTGATATCCGCTCCCGATCCTCCGGCATCACATCACCCCCGCGACACTTCTCCTCCACCCCCTCTCACCCCTACAAATCAGTCGAAGAAGCGAAATCGCGGTACAAATCAGGGCCCTTCAGCTGGCAAGCCGGCATCCTCTTCCTCTTCGCCGGTGTCGGCCTGACAGCCTACTTTCGCTACGAAAAGGCTCGGATGGGCCGGGCCCGCATCGCCGAGGCCAACAAAGGGATTGGGAGACCGCTTGTGGGTGGTCCCTTCGTCCTCACGGATCACGATGGGAAGGAGTTTACGGAGAAGGATTTGAAGGGGAAATATAGTCTGGTGTATTTCGGCTTCACGCATTGTCCGGATATTTGCCCCGAGGAGCTGGATAAGATGGCCGGGATGATCGACCTGGTCAAGGCGAAGCATGGGAATAGTTTGAAGCCGGTTTTCATCTCGTGTGATCCTGCGAGGGATACGCCGGAGGTGATACGGAGGTATTTGGCCGAGTTCCACCCGGATATTTTGGGCATGACGGGCACGTGGGAGCAGGTTAAGGAGGTTTGTAAGGCTTATCGGGTGTATTTCTCGACGCCGGCGGATGTCAAGCCCGGGCAGGATTACTTGGTGGATCATAGTATTTACTTTTATTTGATGGATCCGGATGGGGATTTCGTGGAGGCGATTGGGCGGAATTTCTCGGTTGATGCGGCGGCCAAGGTCATTAATGATCATGTTGCTGATTGGAAGGGGAAGATTGATAAGAGCTGAGGTGGACAATGATGCATATAAAGTGTAAGATATTGTACAACAGCATTCCCCCTTCAGGCTCGTCGAGGGGCTCTCCAGTGCCTTCAAGGCCGGTCCTCACCGTCGTAAGGCCACTTTCCGCACTCGTAGCTCTGGCCACACTGCCTGCTTGTGCAGTCTTTTGTTTTGCATTCTTCACCATCCATTTCTACCACTGGAGCCCAGATCTCTTCCTTGCGTGATCACATCATCAGGCTAATCGACCAACACGCATCCACCGAGCCTTCTATCTCAACCACCAGGTACCTGCTTGAAAAGTCTCCGTGGCTGGCGCGCTATCGAGCTGCAACAGCGGAGCTTGAAGGCGGGTAGAAGCGTGGCGGAAGGGTCGGCGACAGACGAATCCACGATCAACGTAAGAGGGAAGGCCGGGAGCAAGGACGGAGGCTGAGGCAACGATACAGCGGAAGCTGTCGATATCATGCCTTCATGAACGAAGGAAGCAGTGGGCGTGTAAGGCACTGCAAAGCTCAAAAGCGGTCATACCTCACGACCGCTGATTTCGCTAGGGACGAAGGATCAGGAGGAGGTCGATTTGTTTTTGCTTTCTGCTTTTTGCTTTCCGCTCTTGACTTGAGCATCGCCGGAAACAAGGTAGCAAATTCAGAGGGCGACTAACATATAAAAGCATCGCCACATAAAGCGGCCGTTACACAGCGTTGTATAAACAAACCGCTGCTACTACCCAGTATTGCCCCTAACCCGCCATTTGGTGTATCTACACTTTCTTCTCCACGCGCCAAACACCTTGCGGGCAGAAAGCAAATCCACTTCCTGCGTCGCCGCCGCTGTTGGTCTCGAAGCTCTCTGTACACATAAAAGAACAGCTCTCCCCGATCCATCCATTTTCGCCTCGCATCCACAGTCCGTCTCGTATCTAACAGCTACCGCGCATAGCCAGCCCATCACTTCGCCACCACCGTCATCATCCCCACCCTCGACTCACAAGCAGACATCGTCTAGATATCCGTCGGGTACCGACCACCAGGCACCATAGCCGGCTGAATCGGGGGCGACGCCATCCGACTCATCCCCGCCATTCCTCCCCCTCTCCCCCTGCCTCGACCTCGACCAATAGGACTCATGCCCGGTAAGGCGAAATCCGGGTTCGCGGTCAGAATCACATCCTCCCGTCTCCTCTGCGCGGCGCTCGCGGAGCTGGGCGGTGGGCCCATCATGCTGCCTCCGTAGGCACTTCCACCCTGCGGTCTCCAGTCCGGGTTGATAGGCCGTTGAGAAATGCTGGTGAAATGAGAAGCTTCGCTGCCTTCGCCCGGAGACCTGGCGCCCATGGGCAGGTTCTCGTAACTATTATCCGGTCCGGTCCCGTTGGATCCTCCTGCTACGAGACCATCGGAGGGCGGTCGATCTAGAGACGGTGTGCTATGGGCATTGTCAGTGTCGACTCCAGAAGCAACGACGGCACTCCCGGAACTCGCATCTCCAGCTCCGACGCTCGTTCCGCTGACATAGCTGGGAATGTTGGAGCGATCTTGTGGTGCGACGGAATTATTGTGAAAGGTGCGGGCAGGGGCTTGGAGGAGGTTCGGGTCTTGGGTGGTGGTATTGGTAGGGGTAGGCATACGTTGGTTTGCGTAAGGCGGACCATAGCCGCCTGGTGTCAGGGCCGTGGGCAGTGGTCCTGCGTGGTCGCTGTGGCCGACTTCGCTGGCTGGGTCGACTGCAAAGCGCGGGTCGACGTCTTCGTAGTAGGCGTCTGAGCCGCCGCGAGCGTGGTGAGGAGCGTGCATGCCGAGGGGTGAGCGTGGTGAGCCTGCTACTGGTGAGAGCGGCAAGGCTCGAGAGGAAGGGGCAGCGGTTGATGAAAGCCCTCGCGAGGAGTCGGAATCTTGGTGATGCATTGGCGGTGGTTGCTGCTGCCATTGTGCTCGAGGCGGGACGTATGTGCTGTTAATCTGTAAGCTTTCTGGATCACCGCTTTCGTGCAGCAGAACATACTGATCGCTGTAGTCGCTCGTACTACGCATAGCACTACTGCGCTCACTCTCTCGTCGCATCGGGCTGTTCCGACCTTGCTGCAATCCCACCATACCAGCGACATCACCGTCGCTGTCTCGCAAGCCATATGGGGAAGCCACTTCCGATCTTTGCCCTGCTATGGGTGGCGACCCATGACGCTCATCCATCTCGATGGCTTGGCCGATGGGCCCAGCCACAAACTCGTCATGCATCGGAGGTGGCGGCCCGTCCATTGTCGGGCTTGCAGGACCAGATCGAGGACCACTGTAATATCCGTCGTTGGGAGGCGGTCCAGCATATCCAGGTGGCGGTCCAGGTCGACCGCCTCCACGCATCATGCCTGGTGGCGGACCATATCCACCCCGCCCTCGCCAGCCTGGAGGTGGAGGTCCTTGGCCTCGGAAGCCTTCCCGGGGTCCGTAGCCTCCTCTAGGTGGGCCACCATATCCACCTCTCGGAGGACCGTAGCCCCGACCAGGAGGGCCATAGCCTGCTCTCCCACCACGCTGATAGCCTCCTGATCTGTTCGAGCCCATGCTGCCTTGCGATCCTTGATGTCTGAGACCAGGTGAAGGTAGATCGCCAGCCATACCCATCGCAGCCGCAGCAGGTATGATGTTGCCATATTGATCTCGGCTTGGTCTACCACCCATGCCATTGCCATTGCTCTCCATGCTTGGTCTCCCATGTGGCATCGGTGGCATATCTTCACCGCCTTGCGGTCCGTATGGCCTTCGTCCAGTGCTCGCGGATCTGATGCTCTGCTCCCGCGTTGGGTTCAAAGGTGTCCGATCGTCGTTATTGTTGGGTAAGGTGCCTTCTCCGCTGCCTGCACTGTTCGTGTGCTTCATCTCGAATGTCGCGAACGAAGCCACGCCTGCTTTGTCGGCAGCCGTTGTGCCACTCATAGGAGGTGGACTGTCTGCTCGTGGGAGCTCATCTGCCATCAGACGATTCTGATTCATGTTCTCGTAGTAGTTTGCGCCATTCATCTCGGCATTCTCCGCAATCCGCTTCTTCCTTGCTTTGCGGCTGACCAAAGTTCTCCGCATAGCACACGTCACGACACTGGACGCGATGATCAAGATGGTAGCTGCGAGCACTATCCAGCCACCCCATTGCATGTGCGGTACAAATAGTAGGATGTCAACCAGGAAGGCCAGAAGCGTGACGAGTAGAGTCGGGACGGTGAGGATCAGAAGACCGAGCAGATATCGAGGAGAGTGCGAGGGCGAGTGAAAGTGTGCCGCGCAAGCCAGACCAAAGCATATCAGGACCAAGAATGCGGCGATCGGATGGACGATGAGAATGGCGGAGAGCGAGTGGCGGGTGGAGGATGGTAGTGTGAAGTCATTGGCGTTTGGGCCGGTGAATAAATTATCTGTTGGAGTGTATTAGTGCCAGTCCACGCAAGTAATAATCGTCTACTGCATTTACCTGTACTGTAGCCAATCTTAAACCCGGAACATTGATCACCCTTGCAGTATCCAAAGACGCCGAAATTATATCCTTGAAATGCGCCGAGGGGGATGGCGTGGATGATTGGCGTGCTGAGGGTGGATAGCAGGAGGAGGACGAAGGCGACGAAGAAGATGACGGATAAAGGGGTTGCCGGGCGGAGAAGACCCATGGTGGCGGTGGTGTGATGGTGAGATCAAACGAGTGTGGTTTGGTATGACGACTCCTTTGTGGGCCTTGAAGAATGAGAGGTGGCTTAACTGGTGCTCGCTGACGAAAGAGGAAGGAGGTCTCAAGTTATTATCCGGGTGGGTACCAAGCGTGGTATCGCAAGCGTAATGATGTCGTCCCTAGTCGTCGGCCGTCATGTGATGTATGGATGTCTCCTGGCCGCGCAAACAAGGACTCGAGAGCTTAGAGAGGTGTATCGGCCAGTCTCGAAATCCTGGAGGTCGTAGGAGGACGCGCGCCCCGAATTGTCCCAGCTTGCTCTTGCTAATCGCGCATGATGGTGAGAATGGGGAATGGCGCACGGTCGAGAATGTCAAGTACCACGTGTACGAGGGAAGCTGCGCGTGGGGTGGGTGAGTGCGTGGTGTCGAGATGGAGGTGGTGCTGTAGTCGAGGAGACGGGCAGCAGCAGCAGTAGTGCGGGACGGCACAAGCTCGCTAGAATAATAATTGGATGCTGGCCAGTGCGGGTCCTTTTTAAACCTTAGGTTGCTTACGATTCCCTGCTTGCTCCTGCTACAGTACTGCTCTTGCTCTTGCTCTTGCTCCACTTCCCCGCCACGCGGCCGCGGCCACAACCGTTCAGGCCAGGAACGACACCCAAATGTGCGTTAATTGTTGCTCGTCAAGAATGTCAGTAGTGGTCAATCAATCTCTTACAAGTCCCCATTCAATGCTAGGTATACTGTCATAAAATCTTCTGCCCCAAATAATAATCAGTTGCCTCGCCACAGGAACATGAAATTGGCAATAGTTTGACCCCATGTCTAGTGCGCAGCTTCGCGACGCCACACTAGTAGTACTGGCCCACCCACACACGTCCATCACGCCTTGTGCGTCTGCTTCTGCTTCTGCTTTCCCCGGAGGAGTCAGCCACCCTTGATTCTTGACACGCGCCACGATATAAGGGTACGCGGAGAATGCATTGTTGACGACGAAGAGCTTGAGAGACCAGTCTGGATCAATGCTCATTCTCAGGAGCGAGTGAGTTGGTTGACTACCTCTGTTGCAGCTAGTCAGCATTACCTCCTCCACAGCACGACACGTCATGGTTGCAACAGGCTCGTTTCACTACTCGTCGTTCACCAACTGCATCAACACGCGAGACAAGAAACAGCCAGCCTTTGTCGAGTAAATGGTATCGGGAAACACTTCTGTTTCCATCAGGCCTTTCGCCATCAGTTCCGTCTTTATCAGTTCCCACGTTAGCATTAGTATTTTACAGTATATTGTGAGTGTAGTATATAATACATGAAGTTTGCCACTCCAGCACAAACAAGCCCTTTGAGCCCTGCCGGTGTCTATCTCTCCCATCACACAACCTCATCTCGAAGCGTCACCCTCCAGCACCCTACTCATATAACTCCTCCCCCGGCAGTCCACTATCGCCACCACCGCCATCACCACCACCACCAGATTCAAGACTCTACACAGCACTACTCTCCCCCAACCCCTTCAACACCCCCTCATACACCCCAAACATAATCGCCGCACTCGGCACCACTCGCAACATATGCGGCACCAAACCCCCATACAGCGCTCCCATCCCTTCTTCCCGGAAAACCGTCACGAAGCAGGACCAAAGACCAGTATACTTCACCCGCCCGCTCGCATCCAGTGGTGCTTGTCGTAATCGTGTCCGCACAACTTCGTGCGGGTAGGTGATGAGCGCTGCAACGAATTTGGCCCCGCCGGCTGCTGTTAGTTGGCCTGTGTATTGGACTACACGATCTGTGAATGTGGGTTCGCGGCCAGAGCGCACGAGGTCGGTTTGTCGCCGGGCGAGACTGCGCTTGGCTTGTTCGTAGAGGACCCATTGGAGGGTGCTTTCACTAACACCCAGATAGGAGGCCGAGAGTCCACGATAGAGCCCACGGATGCCTTCTTGTCGCACGGTCTTGACCACGCAGTCCAGCGCATTACGGTATTGTCTCCCTTGTCCTCCAGGCCCGGAATTCTGCTTGTCGAGTTGTAGTCGCGTCTTGACCAGCCAGATGGGGTTCGTGGCCGTGCCTGTGATGATACCCGCACTCGCCGCACTCATTAAATGAACCAGCGCCGTCTCCCTTCCATCAAACAAAGCGTTGGATATCACCCTCTTCCCATTCCCATAAGCCCAGAAGTTTATCGCTCGCGCGGGCACCACCCCCACCAAGTTCGGTCCCAGACCCTTGAATAATGCTCTCCACCCCTCAACCTTAGGTATCTGTGCCAGTATCTGCCCCGTCTCGCTGATATGCATCCACGCCGCTCTCATAAGGGGTAGCTGATGCGGAGCCGGTAGACCCTTTGCCGTTCTCGCAGCAGCTAGCTGTTCTTGGTAGAATGTCGACTGGAGTCTCGTTTTAAGGACATCGAGGGGAGAGGTGAGGGTCGCGGAGGTCATGCCGCCTAGACCTCCTGCTACAAAATGCGCCCATGGTCGTCTCTCTTTCACCGAGCCTGCCGGGTTGGCAGGCATGGGTATTATCTCGCCTGCATCTTGTGCTCGGCCTGGGTCTACCTGGCCTAGTTCGGTGGATTGAGTGAAGGGTTTCACGTCGAGACTTTGGTGTCGAGGCTGTGCGCCAGTGTATGACGGCGAGGTGCTCGCAACCATCAACTCGTGAGGAAGGGTTTAGCGGTGATCGGAGGCTATAATGATCGTGATCGCATTCGCCTGTTCAAGGAGTCGTTTTGCGATTGTTGGGAGGTTGATGGTTCGGTCTGGAGCACGTTTCGAGATGGAAGATGGGAGTTCGGTATGCTGAGTGATGATATCTTGGGAAGGCTGGAAATGAAGCTCGTCGACTCGCTCATAGAATCACTGGACGACTTTTGAGGATGATCGCATATGAGACGGAACATAATGCTTCCGCTCCGAGCCCCCTGTCGTTTCGCTCCCCTGACAGCAAGATTCAACATAATAGATGGCAGTGGCGAAGAAAACGCTGAAATTACTGGATTGGATTGCAGAGTATTACACTATGCTTGCTCGTCTATCTTCCCCCACATCAACCTAAAAGCTCACAGCCCCACCACTTTATCCACTAATTACATTACAACTAATCCTCATCGAAAATCGCCGTAGCATTCATCAGAATAGTATCCACCACCCGTGCCTGCAAGCCCGCATCCGCAATCTGCCCTCCACTCCCCGTCCCCATCAAAGAAGGAGCAAAGCACACCGCCAGATTCCCGGATCCCATGCGGTTCTTGCTCTCGTTCATCGCTACCCGGTGCAGATGCAATACCAACGCGCGAAGGGTGGCGTAGTTCGGGTCCGGAAGCTCATTGATGAGAGCGTGGAGACCGTCGCGACGTTGAGTCTGTTCTTCGAGGCGGGCGGCGTCTATGAAGGCGTTGTAGCTGCTGTTGGGGAAGAGCGGGTCGGGGAGTTGTTTGAAGAAGTGTTTTAGTAGCGAGGCTGGGATGTTTACGTCGTGGTAGAAGGCGGCGGGGTTGCGAAAGTCCACGGCTGTGAAAACAGTCAGTACGAGTTCTCTGATTAGGGTTGTGGTGTGTTTGGATAAGACTTACTATTAGGATTATGATCGAACTGCCCTATCAGTCTCTGCACATGACTGGACGTCCCACTTTGTCGGTAGATGCCTGTTGTTTCAATGCCGAAGTGATCCACCGCTAGTATACACTGAATGACTACTAGTGGAACGGCACTTTGATCGCGATCAAAAAGCTCTTGTAGGCTGATACCGAATGTTGGACGGAGGCGTGGTAGATTGGCCCCTGCTGGTGACATGGGACCTGCGCCGCCTGCCGATGGAGGTGGCTTGGTGTACTGGCTTCGTGGCTGCTGCTGCTGCTGCTGCTGCAGTGGTGGTGGTGATGGCGAGGAGACAATGCCCGTGGTCTGTTGTGGCACGAAGCTGGAGTTGGTCCGTTCAGATGGGTGTGTAGGGTAAGGTGGCGCGGCATAGCTATCTTGCTGCATAGGCGAAGACTGGCTTTGATATGGCGAGGACGGCTGCGGCTGTGCCTGAGATGGTGCTTGCCTATACGACGCCGGGGGTTGGCCATAACTACGTTGCTCTGGCGCCGAGTACTCGGGTTGACTGTATGCTTGGCCTTGACTGGGTGCTACCAATGGGCCAGGAGGTGCTTGCTGCGTGGAGTACCTGCTGTTCATGGAGGTAGGCTGCGATGTAGGGCCAGTGTTGATGTTGAGAGTTGGCTCTCGAACCGGCGGCTGTATAGTAGGCGCGTTTGTGGATACACTTCGGCTCGTAGGCTGCTGTGTTTTGGACGCCAGAGTATGGTGTGGTTCATACTTGATCTCACTCGGTCGGGCGGGTATCTTGTTGACGTGACTGCCGACAAAGCTGTGGAAATCCTTTTCGTTGTCGATATCTGTAATGACGTCCCGAAGGCTTTTGTGGGTACCACTCTCGGCCGTCAGAGGAGAAACAGCTAGGCCATTGCCAAGAAGTAACTTCTCGTTGAATGTTGCGAACTTCTGTAGCTGCAGTGTCAGAGCAGCATCGCACTCTCGGCACAGCTCTCGTAGCTGTCGTACAGCCTTTGGCCGATGATCGCTGATCAACAGCTCTCGCTGCGTCCTAGCCAGGCGCACCCGCTCCTCGTAGTCAGCGTCTGCAGCCTGGAGCTTCCGTTGCAAATCACTCTCATACTGCTCCTGGCTCTTCGGTCCTTTCAAGCCGATGCGCCGCGAGCCCTTCGTGTCTCCAGTCTTGGCGCGGTCGAAGTCATCAGCTAGGCCATCATATTTGCTTTTGGCCTTCTGCATCGCGGCCTCAGCCTGACTTGCTCGAGTCTCGGCATCCAGTCCTTCGTGCTTGATCGTCTTCCGCCCTCGCTCCATATTGGTAGTCAGAGTATTGAGATCCTCGTGCATCTGGTGTAAGCTCAAGGCGAACTGCATCCCGTTGTCGGCCATGCGCTCATGCACCCGCATCACCTCTGTGACCTGGGAGGAATAGCTTCCACCTCGCATTTCAATCTTCTTCAGCGCATCGATGTGACCAGTGGCTAGCCTCTTGAGCCCAGAGGCCTGCTCCTCTTCCAGCTTGCTCCGCTTCTGCAGGAAGCTGGCAAAGTCACGAGCTGATGCGACTGATTGCTTGAGCCGGTTCAGGAGGGTGGTAATGCCGATGTCGCTGTACAATACATCGTCGACTGCTTTTGGCGTCTCCCTGGCCGCCGATGCTGAGGCTGGCACTGGCACTGGTACGGGCGCATCGTCGACACTTCCCACTGTTGAGCCTCCGTTGGTCGGCGCATGGCTGAGGTCGGGACTATCGGGCTCGAGGGAGCCATTGCGGTCCGCAACACGGTCGAAATCGACGTCGTTCCTGTTGAACTCGCCTGACATGATGGTATGTAAATGGTGTGTATGGAAAGTCGGAGCGTTGGGGAATATGTCTCAGTGCTTGCTTCACATGTCCTTGAATGCTACGCGCATGAACATACGTAACGCTAGCCGCAGCTCAAGTCCGGGAACTGTGGATCCGTGCACGTGGCGTCGATCCAGAATAGCCAAATTACTGCCACAGCAGCCTTCGCCGCCATTGAGATCCTTACAAGGAGACATCCTCTTAGCACGGCAGGAGTAATCAAATTCTATCACGAGCTCTATCTGGACCACCACCACAATCATGCTCATCGTCGAGACGCATAAAGATGTACCTACCCAGCATGGCGGCAATATGCGTATCAACCTCCCAACACGCATACCCAACGGCTGCCATCTTCTGACAGCAAGGTAGGCATTTTCCTCTTCGCCCCATCCATTCCGAATTATCCGAAAGCAAGGTTTCCCGGTGTAGTAGTCTTTAGTGAGATCTATCAGGGTGAGTAGACGTTCCTGCCAAGCTCTTGATGCCGCCAGTCCCAAGTCTGAGCTCCTTTACCTTCAGTACACAATACTCACGGCTCTACAGTCACCGGACCAGTCGAGCGCTTCGCCCGGCAAATCGCTGGCCATGGTTATGTGGTGGCGGCACCTAGCAGCTATCACGAATTCACGGGCCCGGAAGCACTAGCCTACGACGGGCCTGGGACGGACAAAGGCAATGCCTGGAAGATCGAGAAGAAGCTCTCGGCCTACGACGAAGATGCCACGCTCAGTATCGATACTTTGATCAGTCTACCAAAATGTAATGGACGCATTGGTGCGACTGGGATGTGTTTGGGTGGGCATCTGGCGTTCCGTTGTGCTATGGATAAGCGCATCAGGGCGGCGGTCTGCTATTTCGCTACCGATATCCACTCACATAGCCTTGGCGAAGGCAAGCAGGATGACTCGCTTGATCGTATCAAGGATATTCATGGCGAGCTGGCAATGGTACGTTCGTGTACTTACCCACTAGCATGTCACTGTAGTTGACCACCATCCCCCAGATCTTCGGCAAACGTGACAACCATGTCCCTCCAGATGGTCGTGACCTCATCCGCAAGACACTACACGAGAGTGGCACGACTTTCAGCTTTTACGAAATGGCGTGGGCACAGCACGCTTTCATTCGTGACGAGCTCAGCAAGGGACGATACGACCCTGCCTTGGCTGGGATATGCTTCCAGATTTTACGTGAGCTGTTTGGCAGGACGTTGAGTGGTGATCTTGGACCCAGGGAAGGCGATGGTGGTGAGGTTGAGGATGTCTGCTAGGCTTCTGGAGTACTGGGTACTGGGCTGCTAATTGGGTGGATGTTGCTACGCTGGCTTTGGTATGTACCAGAAACGTATAATGAGATCACCTCTTGAAGGACGATCAACATGTTATGCTCACTCAGAATGGTGTTACTTGCAAGAGCATCTATTGTTCTACAGGAGGGACGGTCTCCGAGCGATGTGCAAGGAAGACACCAGCTGGAAGGGTGAAGCTGGGTATGTGTGGACACCTTGTCTAGCAGAGTCGATCCCCTCACGTAGATGTCTACTATCGAGCTTCGATGTCATCCTGTAGTGGTCGCCATTCAACGTCTACGTCTGCTGCGGTGCCCTGTCCTTCCTCCCTTCTGTGGCTTCGGAACGGAGCGGATGTATGAGGTGTGGACTCATGAATTGAAAAATACGAGCCTCATTAGTGTATGCAAGATACATGTACCCTTGCCGGTTAAACAAAATGTCACATCGGCGACTGGCGGTCGTGTTTCGGATAACTTCAAACTTCACTTAATCTATTTTGCGAAGGATCTACGCAAACCAGACGTCACACCAAGCAACCACTTCCGCGGTATTGAGCAGATACGAACTTGCTGCTCGTTTCGAGCCTCATACTTTGCCTACCAAGACATTGTCTTGACTAGAAGTGCTTGCAATACGAATCAGTATGCATGTATAGAATAATCACGATACCACCTGAGCATACGAGAGGGCGGAGCTAGTATCACAATTATGATGGACCCACGAACTGTTTTCCTCGCCATGTCATGAATAGGTATATAGGTAGGTCTCTCCACAAGATTACTCGACTCTTCATCAGCACATCAGAACATCAAGTTATCATACCATCCTCATCCATCGTCTCTTCGTCGCCACGAAAATAAGATCTACCCTTCCGGCAAAACTCCAACGCCAAGTATATCCAACCCATCAAGATGAAGTCAGCAATCAGTTTCGCGGCCCTCAGCAGCTCTCTCGCCTCCGCTCAGTACTTTGGCGTCACATCCGCACGCTCAGGCTCAGCAATCCAATATCTTCCCATGAATGCCGGCAACGAAACAATCTACCTGGGTGGCCAAGCCTTAGCATACTGCCCTACCAATGTCGGGGAACTAGGTGGCTGCCCTGAGAATCATGGCCAGACCAACTTCGCGGTCAACAGCAACGCCAGCACTTTGGAGCTGGGTACTGCGGTACCAGGTGGCCAGCAGGTGAGCTTTCCCTCCTATCTTAGGAACCATTGTTCAGACATATCCTTACAACCTCCCAGGTCTACGCCGACCCTCAGACTGGTGCTCTCAAGTATACTATCCCCCACTCGGCAGCAATGTCAGAAGGTGCTGCTGTTGTGGGCTGGTCTGTCGAGTACGGTGGAACGCTTGGTAGACTGAGATTCGCCTTCGAATTGCTCGCATGCCAGGACGGTAACATTTGGCCTGTCTATGCTGTTATACCGAATGCTACCCTGCCTGATGGCTGCTTGAGCTTCGATGCACTGACGGTCAATCAGACTGAGCCGGCTGCTTGGGAGTTTGAGTAGACTTTGATAGCAGGTTGCGAAGGAGATAGAATTTAGGAGATCATACAAGCAGAGAACCATGACAGGGCTGTCCCGCTACTACCAATACCTTTACTGTCGCGAGAGCACTTCAGTGCGCTCTGACACGGCGTCTTCCATGTGATCTGATGCGTTCAAAGCCCATCGAATGTGCCATCGACCTCATCGGCGACACTATCTGCTGAAGTGGTTGACCCGTAAGCAGAAACAGAGAATTCTTTGAACTTGGCAAACCGAGTTGAGCGGATGTCATACAAGATTTTTGTTGACATTCATACATTTCCAGGTGCTCATCACCATGCTTGGTTGTACGGTACGGCTGATCTGCGTGTGTTTCGTCGCGACCAAGTTGTGTGCACTGAACAACAAAAACGTCATGACACGTTTCGACGTCCTCAGCTCGATATTCTGACTTGTCATCATCTCCATCCATTCAACCCGAAGAGGTGTTGTAGGGGTCGCTCTTATCGTCCGCCATCATGTCGACGCTCGGGATCTGCTTGGTGTCTTTGTGATGAAGATGCTTGCCGGATGCAAGTCTTGCATTGCAGACCGGCCGCAGCCTTACTCGTGGCCAACGTGAGAGCGAGTGGATCTACGAGCTAAAGTGGCACTTGAGACCACCGCATCGTTTATCATCAATACGTGCTGCTGCACGTGGTTGTAGGAAGCTCTCGTTGTTGTGGCAAATAGATCGAGCCCGGAAACACCCGTTCTGAACCCCCGCGCTGTGTCATCGCTCGATCCATCTTCATCACCAACCTTCTCCCTCTTCCCTCCTCAGGCTTCCCTCTTGGGTTGCTAAGACGTACTACGACCTTAGCTGTCAGATCACATTACCGATATAGCAGCCCACAGCCAGGCAATCGACAAGATCGGCACACGTCTCTTCGCTGAGAACGGTCCCGCCGAGAGGAGAGAGTGAAGCGCGTCATCAATCGTGAGTTTGAAGATGAGCCAGCCACCAGCTCTGGCCAAGGCTTCGTCGAACCTGCCAGGCAAAGCCAGCAACGCCATCGCTCAAGTCTCGCCTGGTATATCACGAGCCGAGTCATTCTTCAACAACACTTCTGGAGGCCGCTTCCCAACCCCGACCCGCCCACAAGCAGCGCCACGAAACAGCCAGGCAAGCAAGCCCAAGCACAAGGCGGGGAAGAAGGGTGGCAGTGGATTGCTGGACGACGATGAGAGGCTCGCCATGCAGAACATTGGGAGACGCGGCAAGCAGGCCGATATCACCCACCTGATGAATATTGCCTTGCCACCGCGGCCTCAGCAAAATCAGCATCACCGACACTCTTACAATGCTCCGCGACGTAATTATGGAGCGCGTGGTGCTGGGTGGGGAATGGGCAGTGGGTATCATGCTGTGGACAAGGCGCGATACATTCATGCCAATTATCGGTTTATCGTGACGCCACTGGGTGATTACGCTGCCCAGGCCACCGATGCTGACGTGCACCTGGACTGGAGTGCGGTACTGCAGGTCATCGCCTCGCCAATCTCACAGCAGGCTTCTTGTCCGATTTGTCTTGGCGAGCCGGTAGCACCAAGGATGGCGAAGTGTGGTCATATCTTCTGCCTGCCATGCCTCATTCGATACATGCATAGCGACAACGAGCCAAATCACCACGAGAAGCGGGCAAGATGGAAGAAGTGTCCCATCTGTGAGGACAGCATCTACACCTCCGAGACCCGGCCAGTGCGGTGGTATGCTGGACAAGAAGCAGACCATCTGCAGGAGGGTTCGGATATCGTCCTTCGTCTGGTTCGACGGAAGGCAGGTCATACATTAGGTATGCCTCGCGACGGAACCGATGTCATTGCTAAAGGCGATGCCATCCCATGGTACTTCGCAGCGGAAGCAATGGACTATGCTCGTGTCATGAAAGGCAGCGAGCAGTATATCAATGAGCAGTACGAAGAAGCAATCGCAGCGATACGACAGCAGGAAAAAGAGGACGAATTAATGTTCGGTGAGGACGCTGAGTGGACAAGCCGAGCCGTGCGTACGCTTCAAGAAGCGAAGGAGAAGGTGAAGGGTATTGGTAGCCCGCCTGAGCAGCCAAAGAAGCCTGAACAACTAGTCCAGAAAGAAGCGAGACCGCCGATACAGTTTAATGATAGCGATGAAGGAGTCCCTGACATGTACCTTCAGCGCCATGCGAACGACGCAGCCCTACCGCCACAAATCATCGAGACGCAGGAAGGTGCAGCTACTATCGCCTCGGATGTACCACGCACGATTCATGAACTGAGACAACGACAGTTCGCGCCCAAGCCCGAACCCAATGAGTATCTTTTCTACCAGGCCCCACTACATTTCTACCTGAGTCCACTCGATATCCGCATTCTCAAGTCAGCATTTGGCCCATACGCCGCTTTCCCATCCTCAATCCTACCTCGCGTGGAACGCATCAGCAGCGGCCACATCGTGGACGATGAACTTCGTAAACGCATCAAGTACTTGGCACATCTGCCTTATGGCTGTGAAGTTGGGTTTTTGGAATGTGATTGGACGGATACCGTACCACCATCTATACTAGCTGAGTATCAGCCCATGCTCGATCGTAGAAAGAAGAAGCACGATGAAAAGGAAGCTCGTGAGGAGAAGGAACGAGTACGGATCGAGAAAATGGCCGAGAAAGACTTGGCACACATCCGGCGCACTCGACACGTTCCTCCACCGCTTAGCGAAGATCCAACTCTCTCGACAGAATGGGAAGCTCTGCCCTCAACAGTCAGCCATTTCTATGATGCCACGACCGGCGGCAACGAAGCAACCTCTCCGCCAACCGACCGTGCTGGGTTCAGCTCACTTGCTTCCCCTTCTTCTTCTCCATCTATGCATCGTACAGTCTGGGGCACAGCGGCCATCGCATCGAATGGTGAACCGGACTTTGCTTCGCTGCCTATGGATAATGAGTTCAGTCAACGCGATGACGGGTGGTTGCAGGGCTGGGAGAAGGATTTGTTGGATGGTAATGCTGACGCACACATAGCTGCTGAGATGGCTTCGCTTGGGGTAGGCCCGGGAGATGTGCTGGCTGTTGAGAAGAAGACCGGTGGAGGTGGCAAGAAGGGCGGCAAGAAGGGAAAGAAGATCACGTTGATGAGTACTACTGCCAGACGGGCTGCTTGAGGCTTGATCATAGAAATATGCAGTACCATTTATGTTCATAGTCGTTGCAATCTTCTCCAAACGGTCTTGTCTTGTATTCATACGCGCAACCGTCTAAGTCATTCGGAGGACAATTCCGCCTTACTAGTTGGCTTTTCCGGGTGGCTTATATAGGCAGGAACGTATCTCGACCATCAGGTACATATCGTACGTCAATAGCGTTGGATATTCGCTTATCAGGTATCACTGCTGCAAGATTCTTATTCGCGCTGACACCACCTGTAGAATGCTTAGCCAGACCGTAGGTACTCATCATTTGAGCGACTTGTAATCTATTGAGTGGCCATAACGGCGTCACTCTACACAAATTCTCAACGTTGACATATGACCGATCGAATCCGAGTTGGAACGACATAGTTGTGTCATTGAGGTGATGCTGCTTGCGAACCTTTCGACTCCAGGCAGATACCGTATGTAAGGATGACCGAGGACACATGCTTTTCAGGAGGCTGCTCATCGGCCTAGGCGTTCGTAAACAGTGGCTGCTCAGTGGTCGTGTGGCCTTTTGCCAGATCGTGATGAGCCAGAGAAGTCAGAGGAGAAGGATAGGTGGAGTGATGGTGCCATGACTCGTGAACGGCATCCAGGAGCACTCTCTTCGAGCCACCACCGCCACTGTAACATGCGACATGTGCATGCGACGGCCGCAACTCGAAAGGCTATTGGCAGCTTGGGATACGGGGATCCTGGAACCCAGCTCGGGAGATGGAAGAAGCAAGCAAATCGGATCGCATCTACCCGCATGCCGAACGCCAGAGGGCGTCTGGATTGCGACTTGGCGGACGGGCATGTATGAAACAGTTTTCATGCAGGAGTTATGATCGCCGAGTTGAACAACCAGATCGATGTTTACCCCTCAATATTCAAGCGAGATTGGGTTGCAAGTGCTGTTTGAGATGACACGGCTGGAGTGGCTCGTGACCCATTCACCCGGATGGTGGACTGACTGTCAGTGCGCAGGAGATCTTGCGTGGTCGTTGCGGCATGGGAAGACTGACAGCCTACCACATCATTACCATATGGTGTAGAAGAATGGTCGGCTCATATGAGCGGAAGAGAGGCAATCGGTCCGGCCATGTAGGCGACTCGCTTGGTAAGGACGGATCTCATCCTCAGCGTCAAGTCGAGAAGAAGAAAAGTCCTACCTGGACAATGGCACGCAGCACAAGCATCACCCTCGAGCGCTGTCCTGGCGGTCTGCGATAGCCTCTTCGAGCGTCTGTGCTCTGGCTAAGAATGAAAACAACCTCGATGTCCGATTGTCGTGGCGTCAGCCTATTTCCATCCCCCGCATGCACTCCGCATCTTGATGGAAGCCCAAGACATCAGATCATTGTGGTACTGGCTAGGATCTCAGCCATGTCGGACAGGAGGTGCCTCTTGCGCCCCCCTTGAGTCTTTTGCATGTCGATAGGCTATAGGTACCTAGACAGCCGAGTCAGATACGATTACGTTAACACTGTCTCGTCCTGTGGCAAATAGGCGGGAGCACGAACGGTCCCTGCACCTCGTGGTAGCGCTACCAACATTCAGACGCAGGGCAGATGGCGCCTCACTTCATGTGTAGTGGCCTCTCGGCTGCGAAATGAAAATCCCCGACGTTGGGCTGTGCCTAAATCTGCATCCGAGTCTTGCACCTGTGACGACTCCCCTTGCCTGCGACACATGGTCTTGACTCGGCAGGTCTCGCCATCGGATTTACACCTTTTGCTCGAATCTCTGCGCGTTGGACACTATGATCATAAGAGACCGATCGCTTGGAACCCACATCGGACGGAGTCACCAAGTCCACTAAGCACTGTACCAGAAGCATGGTATCCGGAGGAGACGCTTCACCGATTGCTGTTCTCGCGGTCACAGTGGTCTTTACGGTACTCGCAACTCTCTGTGCAATTCTTCGACTTTTCACTAGACTTGCGATCGCGCACAATGCGGGCTGGGACGACGCCTTCATTGCAGCAGCGACGGTCTTCTCGATTGGTTCCGCCGGGTTGACGATTCTGGAATCTGCCTATGATCAGCGACGACGGCATGCTGGGATCGATGCCTCGCAGCAGCTTACATATGTGAAGTCAGTGTATGCTTCGATCATCCTTTATAATGCGGCATTATTCTGTATCAAGATCTCGGTAAGTGGCCACTCAGTCATCTGTCCTTCTTCCACCGATACTGACTGGGCACCTAAGTTGATCCTGCAATATCTTCGAATATTCCCGCAGCGTGGCTTCCGAATAGCATGCTTCACTCTTATGGCGGCTGTCATAGTCTACTCCAATTGGTGTGTATGGAGCGCTATCTTCTTCTGCACGCCTGTGTCGGCGTTCTGGGACTTCACCATCATTGCTGCGAGATGCTTCGATAAGCAATCAGTGTGGTGGGTGCGTCGCTACAAATCACAGAGGCTCGGACTGACAGCTCTAGGTTTGCGAACGCCGCCATCAACATCATCAGCGATATTGCTACGGTCATCCTACCTCTGCCAATGATCAACCGGCTTAATATGCAACGAAAGTCAAAAGCAGCTCTCATGGGGGTCTTTACACTTGGATTCCTCGCATGCCTAATGTCGATATTGCGCTTGGAGTCCTTGTATGCTGCTGCTCATCTTCAAGATGGCCTGAACTATCACGGCGCCATGGCCGCACTGTGGAGCGCCGTGGAGATCAATACCGGCATAATGTGCTCGTGTCTTCCGACGCTACGGACCCTGCTTATACGAGTCGTACCGCATGCTCTCAGTTCATCGCATCGCACAGTACCTTCTGGCCAGGACCCACGCACTCGAAGCAATGCACATAAGGGCGCCATGATCTCACTTCATGACCATGGCCGCGGACTCAGTGGGCGAGATGAGCCGACGCAGTCAGCCTATGCACGCAGGCATAGCTCCATTGATCTCGATGTGCTTGGAAGCTCGACAAAAGAGATCAGGGTTGTCACAGTGGTCGACCAAGAGTTTGGTAAACACGGAGATGAGGGTGATCGAAGTGAAGAGGGTAGCATGCGGGATCTGATACACAGGACATCGTCGTCGGTCTGATGGTCAGCTGCGTGTGCAGAAGGACAATAGACGACCCTCTCAGTGCAGCTATACATGCTCGCCGCAAGGCCTCGACCCTGCTAGAACAAACTCATGGCCGCCTGTACGCTAGCCGCATTGTATATTACTTAATGACCAACACACGATCCGTAAAAAGCGCACAAACTTTTACGTGTGAACGATCGAACTCGGCTCTTCTGGGAATTTAGTGAAGTGCGTGGAAAAGCGGACGTTCCACTACTGGCCGAATCTCTTTACAGGGGCGATGACTTCTGCAGAATGGACTCGGCTAGCTCGTGGCGACGACCAATCCTTGTCCTATCAGTGCTTGCCAACAGAGTACAACGATATGGGCAAGCCATGGAACAGTCATGGACAAAAGGTCCTGCCTCTGGCGCTCCTCGCTCATTATGCGCTGTCTGTAGCACGGCGACGCGCGAGCTGTCGGCCACATGAGTCATGATCGTGTCGCAGATCACTCAACATGTCTGTCACCTCGGACCATCACTAGAATGCCCCAAGGATAGCCGTGATGGTGTGGTGCTCAGCCGCCGGCTAACATACCTGTCAAGCGTAGCTTCTCGGCTGCATGTTGTAGGGCTTGAACATCATTACGAACGGCAGCTATGATTACATCTTCGTCTGGAGGTTGCTCTGTGATGGTAACACAGAGATCGGATTCGGACTATGGGTATGTCCTCGACCTGACTGATCCTGCCCCAGAAGAGCATCCACCGAGGAATTTTCCAAAAGTCTTGGCGGGAGTAAGCTGAGGAGACTACGACGATTGTACTACCGAAGATGCCCTCTTAATTCAATCCTGAGATATACTCCCAAGCCCTCTCAGCGACAGCGACGATCAGTGCCGACGGGTTTGTGCTCATCATACCTGGAAAGATTGAGGCATCAACCACATGAATCTGCAATTGATCATCAGCACACCTGACAACATGTAATCTCACGAACGATACTTACATTGTCGGTACCATAGACCTTCGTGCTTGTATCGACCACACTGGTACCACCAGTCAGCCCGCTATCAGTGCCCATCCTCGCCGTCCCGATCCAGTGGTTGGCTGTCCTAGCACTTGTGCTCACTGGATAAGAAGCCACGAAGTTCTCGACACTCTGACCCGCAGCGGGAAAGACGACCGTGATGTCCTTGTTGTTCGCGAGCGCAGTTTGAAGATGCTTGATACCTTGAACGATGGCATCATTATCGCCAGCGGTCTTGTTGTATGGTAAATCCGAGACCGTGATGGAGAGATCCGGCCTGATTGACAAAGCCCCTGTCGAAGTCTTACCACGGCCAAGATATTGGGATAGCACCATGGATGTGTTGTCTGGGAAGCCGTGACCTCCTTCTACGCGAGCGGTCCACTGAAGTTGACGCTGGATACCATCTGACCCAGTGATGATCTCCCAGAAGACGGGGCCGATGTTCGGCGCACTTTGAGCCAGGATACCGGTTCGCGAGCTAAGGTATGATTGGGCATCAGCCTGGATTGGAGTCTGAAAAGCAGCATAGAAGTCGTAGAAGACCGAGTCTTTGTTTCGGATGACAACGTCAGTGTTGGTGTGATCGTTAAGATTCTTGCCTACTGGGAGGTTGATCCACTGCGAGGAGGATATCATGGTCGCACCGTCCTTGGCACTACTCTTGACAATGTTGAGCTGGTCTGTGAGGCCAATGCCTGACCGGTATAGAAGCTTGGTGCTACCGAAGACTCCGGCTGAGACGATGACACGACCTTTGGCCGTAAGGGAGATGTTACCGCACAGTCCGTTCGAGTTCGTAGGCTCGAGCTCCACACCAGTGGCATGTCCACCGGTACGGATGATGCGCCTCACTCCAGTATTCATGATGAGCTTGAAATTGCTGCGTTGACTTGCCTCGACGAGATATGTCGCCATTGGTCCACCGCGCTCCCCGTGTGAGAACATATATGGTGTCTGAGAGTACGTCCGGTTTTTGGATCCAGGATTTGCGTTGGCATCGACGCTAGTCCACCCAGCCGCCGTGAGTGCAGAAGCGATGGAGTTGAATCCTTGTCTCAGATAGGTCTGTCCATTGAGTGACGGGTAGTAGGTTCCAGGTATCTTTTGAAACACTCGCGATATCGCCTGCGCCACTTCACTTGAGCGCCAACCAGCAGGGAAGTTGTAGTCAAAGTCCGCGGGGTTAGCCCTCCACCACAGACCAGCATTGATTGCAGTGCCACCGCCAAGGACACAGCCGGCCATGGACGAAGCATCTGTGCATGAGATGCCTACGGAGTCGACCCAGATCTCGTTACATAATCCTGGAACGTCGAAGCGAGTGAGATTGGTACTGGAGAGCCAGGTTGGCGCGTTCCAGCTCGAGATTAAGGAGCCGCCCCAGCGACCGGAGGAGGGCGGGCCTTTCTAAGCACCAGGATTGAGTGGTCAGTATACGTTGTGTCAGTCCATTGACTTCAGTCCAGCCTTACCTCGATCAAGAGGACTTTCTTGCCACCATTCTCTGATAGCTTAGCAGCAAGTGCTATACCTCCAGCCCCAGCACCAGCGACAATGTAGTCGTAGGTCTGTGAAGAAGGAGTCTGCGTTGCGGCGCAAGCTGTCGCTACGGAAGCGGTAGAAGTCACAGAAACAGATGAGGTTGACGTAGGCACGGAGGTCGCCGTCGCAAGACTGACCCAGCTGGTATATGCGCTGTTGCGAGCACCGCCTATGCTGTCGAAGACCCCAATGTCGTAGTACTGATGTTGATCGACGAAAGAGTTTGGATCAGCAGGGTTTGTAGGCAACGTCGTGTGCTGCGCCCAGCCCATTGGGATGTTACCGTTGGTGGCCGTCGGTGGGATAGCGCTCCCACTTTGACCATTATCCGACCAAGACCAGCAATTCTGGCACCTGAATATAACGTCGTAGCCAGTGCTAGTAACACTCTGAGAGATGATCGTAAAGGTCGCATTGCCGGTGTAAATATCTGGCTGGAGAAAACCGCTGACAAACCCATCTTAGCAAGGGTACTCTGCTAAGTGAATCATACTGTGGGAGATGCTCACGTTGAGTATCGGAACGACCCTATGACTTGTTTCCCATTCGGCCACGTTAGTAGCAGCAGGTAGCCGGCCATGGAGGGTCCCACTGATATGGCTGCCCAACCCTTTCCATTTGTTAAGCCGGAGGAGATGTGTCCAATAAACTCGTTCTGATACTGGCTCTGCGATACAGCTGGCAGCGCAATCCCATATTTGTAGCCTCCTGGCGCAGCTTCACCGCTGACGTCTACCTGTAGGAATTCGATGCCGGTTGCCGAATCAGTATACGCGCTCGATTGCCCAAACACTGAAGTGGCCAGAAGGCCTAGAAGGCTGAACAGGGAGACAAGCATGGCGTGACGCTCTGTAGAGCAATCAGGACAACGAGGTTAGTTCTCGAGGGAAGGTTTGAACAACCGTAGCGGGTGACAGAGGACCAAATATGCGTTTGTCAATGTCGACTGGCGAACGCGGGCCGGCGAATATCATGGTGAGGCATCATCTAAAAGCGAGGACTTCGTGATGAAGGTACACGCACCCATGCGTAGACATCGTGGTCAAGCGACCATCCTCACCTTGGTCTCTGTATTGTCGGCCAAAGTGCATATAGTATGAGGCCAGACGTGTCCGTATGATCCGGCGGACCGTACTGGGAAAAGCTAGCAGCTCAGCCAGCAATATCAATTAGTACATATGTGACGGAGATTCCAGTAGTTCGGTGGGCAGGTGCGGCAGTCACGCGCATGACTATAGAGTAGCGACTTTGCCGGCTGCGGGGCTGATCTCGTATGTGCTACCGATCCAAAGTTGTCATGTCGCTTGCTTATATTAAGTCTTAGCTGGCAGTCGAGGGAGTCGTTCGGTGGAAGTCATGTGGGCTATGTTACAGTTGCTTGTTATGCATCTGTAGCGACAAGTAAGCTTGATCGTGTCGCGCGTCGACACTAACACCCGCGAGTCTCGCACATCGTTACCAGCGAGGTTTACACGTCGACACAGCGAGGTTCGCACGTCGACATCAGAGACTTTCATGGCGAGATTTGTTATGTCGACATCAGCAAGTCGGTACGTCGACACTAGCGAGTTTTTGCGCGCGTCGGAGTTTTCGCTTACGTCGACACTAGGGAGTTGTATACGTCGACAGTAGCGCACATCGATAGTAGCGAGTGTCCTAGTTTTCGCGTACGTCGATACTAGCGAGTTCTATATATTAGTACTAGCGAGTTTTGTAGTCAATACTAGCGTACGTCGATACTAGCGAACTTTTTATCTTAGAAATAGCTAGCTTTATAGAAATACTAGTAATATTTTAGGGTTAATATTAAGAAATTCTATAATAACACTAGTAAGTCTAGTATATTCGAGTTGTTTTTAGTTAAAGTTAAAGATTTAATTATATAGCTAAATTTCTTACTACTAATATACTTTTAGATATCTATTTAAAGATTTACTTAATCTAATAATATAAGTTAAAAGTTTTATTTATTTAATTAAATATATTTTTAATAGTTACTAATAATAAGTACTATAGTTACTATAGTCGCTATAGTTACTAATAATAATTACTATAGTTACTATAGTTACTAAGAATAGTTGCTATAGTCGCTATAGTTGCTATAGTTAGTAATAATAGTTACTATAGTTACTATAGTTACTAATAATAGTTATAATAGTCGCTATAGTTACTATATTTACTATAGTTACTAATAATAGTTACTATAGTTACTATAGTTGCTATAGTTGCTATAGTTACTAATAATAGTTACTATAGTCGCTATAGTTACTATAGTTACTAATAATAGTTACTATAGTCGCTATAGTTACTAATAGTAGTTACTATAGTTACTATAGTTACTAATAATAGTTACTATACTTACTTTAGTTACTATAGTCGCTATAGTCGCTATAGTTACTAATAATAATTACTATAGTTACTATAGTTACTATAGTCGCTATAGTAACTAATAATAATTACTATAGTTACTATAGTCGCTAATAATACCTTTAGGTAGAAAAGCGTTTAGAGTAGGTAGGGGCCGGGCCTAGAGTACGCGCTAATTAGCCCCTTACGTAAGGCTCGTAGTATTATAGATATAGAATCTAATTATTAGTAACAAGTCGGGAACTAAGGCCTAAGGCTAGTAGACTAACTCTAAGACTAGATATAAGATTACTTTATTACTAAGTAATTAAGTAATCTAGGTCGCGATTACTATTAGTAATTGTAACTATATATAAATCTCTTATATATATAGAATAGACGTTTTCTATATAGGTAGTTCGTATTTAACCTAAGTTACTAACCCGCCGAAAGGTTAAACCTTAGAGTAGTTACTTACCTAACCTATCGCTTAGAACTTACTCGTCTAATAAGCTCTAACCCTCTTATACCGTAGGTATATAATATTTTAAATACCTTTATAGTAGGTAAGTACTCTAAGTAAATAAATAGCTACCTCCGCGACGCCTAGCTAAGATCCTCGCCCTTCTTTCCTAACGCGTAGCTAAGATCCTCGCCCTTCTTTCGCGATACCTAGCTAAGATCCTCCCTCTTAAGCCCGCGCTATAACGATAGCTCTATTATCTTCTCTAGGCTACTCTAGGGTAGCTAAACGCCGGTTAAGTATACTCGGCGGAACCTTTCTAACCCTACTAGTATAAAGCTATCGTCCTAGCTAGATCGCCTAGCTATATCTAAAGAGCTAGGTAGCTTCGAGGGCCGTAGGCGTAGCGAGGCCGTCGACTTACTCCGTAGTAGGTTGCTAAGGCCGTCGTAGTCGCCTTCCGTACTAGGAGGTAGGCGCCTAGAGGGTAAGGTTACGCTACCCCGTAGGCCCCTACTAGCTACCCCTACTACTATACTAGCTACCTTCGCCTAGGAAATACTAGAGACGTCGGGATCGCCTCTAAATACTATCTTCGAATAGAAGGGTAGGCCGTACTAATATACGCCCTTCGCCCTAGCCGGTATTATCGAGTAGGTTAATACTACGGGGAAAGAGCTAGTAAAGCCCGATACTACTATCGCTCCGAAGCTAGTTAAGTTTCTAAAGTACTACCGGAGATCTAGTAGTAACGTTAAGCTTATATACTATAGCTATACTAGTCGGTTCGCCTAGTCTCTCGGTATAATTATCTATAGTATTAAAGCTAATACTATATATAGTAGGCTAGTGTTATGCACCTGCGGTATAAGGGGGTTAGAGCTCGTTAGACGAGTAAGTTCTAAGCGATAGGTCGGGTAAGTAGCTACTCTAAGGTTTGACCTTTCGGCGGGTTAGTAACTTAGGTTAAATACGAACTACCTATATAAGAAACGTCTACTCTATATATATAGGAGATTCGTATATAGTCGCGATTACTAACGGTAATTGCGACCCGATTATAGTTATCTATAGTAATTATAATCTAGTTTACTCGATTACCTAATAATAAAGTAATCCTATATCTAGCCCTAGAGTTAGTCTGCTAGCCTTAGGCTTTAGTTCCTACCTCGTTACTAATAATTAAATTTTATGTTCGTAATATTATCCCCCGTCTATAGTCCTATGTCCTTATAGTAGCCTATTGCCTTAACGGATTGTTATTACGCCGGCGCGTAGTAATCGGTCTAATATAGCTTAGCGCGATTTCTAGCTTAGTCTATAAGTAATCGCGGGGTCCCGTAACCTTAAAGTTCGTTATCCGAAGATAAGTTCCCTTATAACTAAGAATCGACTTCGCCTTGCTTAAGAAATATAATAGTACGGGGAGTCTGCCGTTATCCCTTATAAGCGCTATCTTTTCTCTAGTTACTATTACGTTATAATAGAATCGAATTCCCGCCTAAGATATTCCGAGTACGTCCGCCTAGGGCGTAAGTACGTAAACATATTATAGGAGTCGCTAGATCGTACTTGCGAGAAGTATTAGAAAAAGGTAGAGAAGGACGAGGAAGAACTATCTATAATCCTTAGTCGTCTTATACGGAATAAGAAAATTCTAAAGTAGGCGGATAAGCGAGCGAAGATAAAGGTCGCGTACCTTAAGTCGGAGATAGAAGCTACGGGAGAGTTAGGCGACGAGGACTATCCTATAGCCGATGCTATAGTAGGGTTGTCGCTAGCCGTATAGTCCTCGCTTAACTTTATTAATAACGCGATTAACTTCTCCGGTCCTAAAATTGTCGTAGGAGGTCCTAGCAATTCTTAAGGTAAGTTCTTAGTTCCTACGTATTATCTTCGTTAAGGTATCCTTTCTATTTAACTAAGTATTTCTAACCTCTTTTCTCTAGGATTTCTTCTACTTCCTACTCCTAGTTTTCTTAGGATTCGTAGTAGAATATCGTTTAGAGCGCGGTATCTAGGTACGCTAGTTCGAGGAGGGAAACGTAGAATACGGGGTATACCTTAGTATCCCTAGGTAGTTCGAGTTAGTAGTTAAGTTCGCCTCTTTTCTTAGCGATTAGAAACGGTCCGACCTTTATATAGTCTAGTTTCTTTGTTCCTCTCTTAGTTTTTAGGTTCTTCGTTAGGAGATATACCTTATCCCCCGTATTTAGCTAAGGCGCCGTTTTTAAGGCTTTAAATCTTGTCCTTATAAGAGCTTACTAAGATTTAGTAATATTTTGTCGTAGTTTGCCGTAGACGTCCTTAAGTTCGGAGGCTTTAACTAAAGCTTCCTTAGATACTAGTCCTTCGCGCGGTTCTATAAATAGGTTCGGATCCTTGCCGTAGTTAGCGTAGAATAGTAACTCGCTAGTAGTCTTAGAGGTATTGTTGTTAAGTACAACCTACGCTATTAGTAGCTTTTCTACCTAGTTATCTTAGGCTAGGTTTATATAGTATCTAAGGTATAGCTCGAGATTTTAGTTTATTCTCTTAGGTTAACTATCTATTTCCGGATAGAATGCTATAGATAGCTTATATTTAAGTCTAATTACTACGACAAGTGTTTTCTAGTAGTTCGATATAAACTTAGTATCTCTATCGGTAATAAAAACCTTTAGTATCCTATAGTAGCGTATAAGGCGATCGAGCATAAGGTAGCCTAACTACGGGGCCGTAATCGTCTTACTATAGGGAATAAAGTATATATACTTAGTTAGTGTTACGGACACTGTAACACGATTGGTGGGATAAGCGAGTAGACAGGAAGTTAGGAGCGGAGGCTTCCGCTCCTGCAACTAATACGACTAACACTCCTTCGATCAGTCGGATTAGACACTACTAACTAAACTAACCGCGCTGCGATCAGTCGGATTAGTAGAGACACGAATCTCCTATATATATAGAATAAGCGTTTCTTATATAGGTAGTTCGTATTTAACCTAAGTTACTAACCCGCCGAAAGGTCAAACCTTAGAGCAGTTACT